AATGATCTTAACGCCATTACCACCGAGCACCAAATACTCAGCAATGGTCTTCTTGTCCCATTTCTGACCCTCAGTACCAGGCACCGTACTAGCCCAGTGATTCACCATACTGCGAACAGCAGGAAGTTCCACGAAACGGAAGTCTTGATCATCGGAGTATGTCGACAAATCGTATCCAGTCCAACCACCGAAAAGAGCAAGCGCGCCCTCCCGATCTCCATATGTCTTCAGCTCCTCAAACTTAGCATTCGCTTCCTCATCCGTCTCAGCAACGATCACCAACGCACCCGCCACAACCTTGATATCCTTCGGATTGCGTCCAATATCCGCAGCCTGTTGGCGGATACTATCAACAGAAGGACGCACAAGCTCCGGCTTCTGCGCATGCAAGAACACAGCCTCGGCATGTTTCGCCGCGAACGCCTTACCCGCCGTCGACGTACCAGCCTGCAAGATAAACGGCGTGCGCTGGGGACTCGGTTCACAGAGATGAGGACCGGGGACCTGGAAGTACTTCCCCTTGTGATTGATTTCACGGACAGCAGCCGGGTCCGCATATGCCTGTGTCTTGCTCTGGGAGCCCTGTTTCCAGGTCACGGCATCGTCTCTCCACGAAGCCTCCCACAGCTTGTAGGTGACATCGAGGTACTCGTCCGCGATGCGGTAGCGCTCGTCGTGTTCGACCTGTGTATCGAGCCCGAAGTTTCGAGCCGCGGAGTCGAGGTATGAGGTGACGATGTTCCAGCCTACACGGCCATTGCTAAGGTGGTCTACTGTTGAGAATCGCCTTGCTAGGGCGTAGGGGGAGTCGTATGTTGTCGAGGCTGTTACGCCAAATCCGATTGATTCTGTGGCTGCTGCCATGGCGGGGATACTGTAGAGAGGGTCGTTGATTGGGAATTGGGCTGCGGCAGGGATTGTTGGGGAGAGGTTTGAAGGGCCTCTGTATACATCATAGCCTCCTAGAACGTCTGCGAAGAAGATGGCGTGGAATTTGGCATCTTCGAGCTTCTTGGCTAGGGCAATCCAGTGCTTAATGTTCTTGTAGTCTGCGCCTTGGTCCGTGGGGTGGCGGAATAGACCTGGATTTAGGTGGCTCGGCGATTGCATTGCAAAGGCATTGATGATGAGTTGTTTCTTTTCGGACGACATGATGATATCTGGTTCAGAGAGGATTGAATGAATTGGGGGTCTACAACAGCTCTAGAGGGGTTATATTTATTGACCCTGCATATGTCAATATCTCTTAACCCCGCAGCGCATTGCCGTGGGACGTGCAAAAAGACGTGCAGTTGGAGGCCGATGGCGTCAGCATGTAACTGTGGGGGTTGCACATAGCGGATGGTTATTGGGGTTTAGGGGATTTTGATGGACACTATTTGATAAATTATGCTGTACTTGTACGTAGTTTATCTTTTCTCGTGCGAGTGAAGTATGGCGACATTCTGTTGCGGATGGCAATCCCCCCGGTATAGGAATGATAGACTAATATTTTCTTATACTTTCTATAGCTTCAAGGAGACTAAATTCATATTTGTCTTCGTAATAATTATAGTAATAGTCAATTCAAATATTGTGTACTTATTTTAAAACATTGTCTTCTCTGTGTTTGTAGTGTAGTTGCTGTTGTGATATATATTTGGGGGTAGACCTCATGTGTGTCTATTACCCAATTTGGTCAACATCAATGTATCAACCTTGAAAGACATAGAATATGAGATATCTACCCAAACGAGTGAAATACTTGGATTTACTATCTAGTCTTTCTATGAAGTAAAAAGATGCAAATAGATATAAGCTATAAATCTGCTAGAAGTGGAAAAAAATAAATAAAAAAAGAAGTGCATCATCCGTGAATCGAACACGGGCCTCGTCGATGGCAACGACGAATTCTACCACTAGACCAATGATGCTAGTTCATGTAGGATAGCTCAGTATTGTGCTATATAAGTTTAAACAATAGCTACTTGTAAACCTGCACTGCCCTTCCCGGAGAGTTTTCTAGGCACTGCCTCCTGGGTCTCGGGACATAAGGCATGGGGGCCAAAGATCGTCCCAGACTATTGGTCTTTGAGCTTCAAAATATTCCTGTGCTTTCCTAATAGGCTTTCCAGGGTTCTGACGGCTCATGTGATAATACGAGTATTTCCAAGGTTGGCCACCGCATGGCCACCGCATGGCCACCGCATGGCCATGGAATTTTGCGCCTTGCGCCTTGGAACTTTATGACGGGGAGACTGGAGCTCTCACGTGCAATATATTTATGACACATACCTAGGTAGACACAAAGACATGTCGATCGGAATGTGTAATGCAAGATTCGAGGAATGGGAACCATCTACAATGTACTACTGTAGTATTGAAGCTATCTGAACAATATACAACATACCTCAAGCCATGACCTCAGCGGCTATTCGGCAAACCCCCATAATGGAGCCAGCGCCCGGAAGACTCAGCCTTGGGAGAGAAAAGAGGCTTAGAATCATCAAACCAATCATATCAAATCCTGTTAACATCAAAATGGTTCCACTGCGGAGAAGTACAGGGCACCTCGCAAGTTCTGTTTACCTTTTAGAACATTTAAAACCTTCTATTTTCCCCTTTTATCCCTTCCAAATCAAAATATCTATTTTGAACATACTAAGATACCCAATACATCAACTATGTCCGAAAACGGCGCAAGCACCAGCAAAGCTCCTGTTACCGATCGTGGAATACATCAACCTCTGGTCGATGTCCAACCATTTCGCATGAGCGATCTGCAGCCCAAATACGCGCAACGTATCAACCATGATGATGACAACCCCGATGCACATGGCTGGTATGCCGGTTTGAGTGAGTCGCGTTTTCCTATACACGTTGCGACTCTCATCCTAACCATAATGACCTCATTTAGTCCATAGCCTGGGTGAATGCATCGGATTTTTCGGAGCTATCCCCTGCTGCTTCTGCTGCCCTAACCCCTTCAAGCCTGTCGACCAGGGTGCAGTCGGTTTGATCTCGCGATTTGGACGGTTAGTGATCTCCCCCTCGGCTATATCCATCGATTATCACTAACAATGATTATTTTAGCTTCGAGCGATCGGTCGATCCTGGTCTGGTTAAGATTAACCCGCTCAGCGAACACATCACCACGGTCGATGTTAAGATTCAAATCGTCGAGGTGCCTCGTCAGATCTGCATGACCAAGGACAACGTCACCCTCAACCTGACCTCCGTCATCTACTACCAAGTGGTCTCTCCCCACAAGACCGCCTTCGGTATCTCGAACGTGAGACAAGCCCTAGTCGAGCGTACCCAGACTACACTGCGCCACGTGATAGGTGCACGTGTGCTGCAAGATGTGATCGAGCGCCGCGAGGAGATCGCCCAGTCAACCTCGGAGATCATCGAGGAGGTAGCAGCCGGGTGGGGAGTGAAGGTCGAGTCGATGCTGATCAAGGACATAATCTTCAGCGAAGACTTGCAAGACTCGCTCTCGATGGCGGCGCAGTCCAAGCGTATCGGTGAAAGCAAGGTCATTGCTGCGCGCGCCGAGGTCGAGTCCGCCAAGTTGATGCGCCAGGCTGCTGATATCCTGTCCTCTGCTCCAGCTATGCAGATCCGCTATCTGGAAGCAATGCAGGCTATGGCCAAGACCGCCGGCAGCAAGGTTATCTTCATGCCCGGAGTGTCACCAAATGTAACTGAGCAACTGAATGCCGCTACCAATGCGGGAGAAGGTCCGAGCATTTACGGTGGCCCAGCTAGCAACAACGATGGTGGCTTCCAGGGTGCGATAAACGCCCGCGTTGTTGAAGACATCTAGATGTGATCTTGATGCACTGCCGTCTTCTTATTTTAATTGGTTGCTCGCCATGAAGACATGATTTCCTGTTACCTGCCCCTTTCCGGAAAGTGGATCCCATGAAGTTGTTCTCCAACAGCTCATTCGTCTGCGCTCCCGGATTTGTGTTGTTTTGTTTATTATCGACGTGATTGGATGACGATACCCACCTTCGTTTGCTGCTATTGTGGCTGCTGTTTTAATGTCTATGATTGCTTTGGTCCTAATTAGTATAATGCAATGCAATATTCGCTCTTCACTCTACGAGTTTGCTTCTTGTCTATCTGTCATAGCATATATAACCGAGGCTGACAACGATAATACTCTGTATAACCCGTGGACATATAAAAACTTCTCATCATTTGATTATGCGGACAGCATTCACCTGTTACTTAAAACGACTTCTAAAGGAAGGGCTCAGTGCGGTCTGAAACATTTTTAGATTACACCGAACAACATACGGAGTAGACAAATCCACCTAAGAAGCCTATGTAATATTCTCTTGAAGCTGTTGTTTTTTTTCGCAAATATCGAAAGTTCAATGGTTTCGCAAATGCTAATACGTACATACTCTAGACATCCGCACTTCACTATGACTTCCCCTAATTGCATCGTATGACTGTTTCTGCAACATGTCCCTTAATCTTGCAGATGGAGTTTTCCTGATTCTCAGCTGCAGCCAAGACATGGTATCCTGGTATTAAAATTGAGCAACGCACCGTAAAGACACTAGCATGTTAGTGGACATTGCGGCGCCGATCTTGGGGATTTTTAGTGAGTATTTTCCAACATCCAGTTCGACTATTTAGGAAGATTGTTAATGATTGTCATTATTTTGTATGTTGTATTATTTAGGCGATTCACACCGACTTAAAAAAAAAAATAGAAAAATAAATGCTAACTTGACCAAGTTTGGGGGGAGTGCCAGGTAATGAGCAGGGAAGCTAGCCCTAGAGGATGAAAGCTAAGGAGTATAGAATCAGCACTGAGACGCCCTACCGAGAGGAGCTAAGATCAGTTCGGAATTTGCTTTTCAGCGTATGGAATATACATAACCGGTCAAAACAAGTCCCCCCTTTCGAATTGGGGGCTAAATAAATGTTGATTTCCCTTCCCGACCGCTACACACTCTTTTCTGCACTCTGTAGAACAACCTAGCATATACAGCTTCAAAATGACGTCTACTATACCGACATTGGTCGTAAGGGCCGCTGAATCGACAGGTACTATTACGACGATGCCCATGTCGAGTATCTTCACGGCGCCCGCCTCGTGCTCGAACTCGTGGACATATGAACCAGAGGCTGCAAACCGAGTCCCAAATGGCCTCCTAATACAAAATGCCGTCGATAAGGACAATGCCGATCCTGCGTGTTTCCCTTCTGGATACAGCCAGTATGGAAGAGTTCGGCCATCTATCGCCTATAGCCCAGGCTATTGTCCACATGGATACACCTCGGCCGATTTAGTGATCCACAGTCCAGCGACTACTGCCATATGCTGTCCCTCGTAAGTGAAAAGGCTCATTCTGATTTCGGGATTGGATATTGATTACAAGGCTTTAGTGACTTCTCCTACTACGAAGAAAAAAGGGACCTGCAAACGACATTCGGCGGATGTCTAAGCGTTTTCCCTAGTTCATCATCTACCATTGTCACCGTCCGCCAGGTCGACGAGGAAAGCACCCAGGTCTCCGGCCCAGTCACTATGTGGGCTCAAGCAATCCAAGTCCAGCTGCAAGCATCAGATAAAAGCCTATTTGTCTCCGCCACTACAACCACAACCAAGACCCAAACATCATCCGATGAACCATCCGAGACCAAGACCTCAACTGGACCATCCGACACAGCAGCCTCATCAACCTCTTCATCAATACAAACCGGCACAGCAGCCCCAGAAGTCCCAGAAACCCCGATACCGGCAGCCCCAGGCACAGGAGTAGAGACAAGCGGATTATCAACAGGAGCGAAAATTGGCGTTGGCGTTGGCGTCGGCGCAGCAGGACTCATTATAATTGCCGCACTATTATTCTGGTTCTTCCGCCGGCGCCAAGCAAAAGGAGAGAAGAGTCTGCCGGAAACAAAACCATACGCAGAGATCAGCGAGCTTGGCGGGAGCACTGAAGCCCAGAGCGTGTCATACCAACGCCCAGCACACGAGGGAACACCCAGCGAGCTTGGTGGGAGCTCGCAGGCAGCAGAGTCTAGCATTGTGAACACGAGGACGACGGGTCCTTCTGAACTTCACGCGACAAGTGGCGGCCCGAAGTTCGTACATGAACTTGGAGCTTAAGTTTTTCTTTTATTTTTGCTTTTTGTGTTGCGAAATACCCCCTTCCTCGCTCGGCTTTCTGACTTGAGTCTATGGAATTGAGGCTTGAATGTTTTTGCAAATAGGTGCATGCTATTTTCACTGGAGGACTTGATGCTGGAACTAAGGACGGCGATATCAAGTTTTGGCTTGGGCTTGCCGAGTCTTTCACCAGTATACATGTCTCCCCTGTCTGTATATGAGCTTGTTTGGGGCTACATGAGCCCCATCGGATGTAACTATTATACATTATAATCACTCTTTCCAGCTTTGAACGTTGCTTCTTTACTGTGGCTCTTGTAATACTCTCTTTCTACCTCTGTGGTTCTATCATGGGATACGCACGGTATCTTTTGAGGTGCCGAGCTATGCATTATACGTTAGGCCGTCAAGTCCAGGGCAAACAGCCAGCACCCTAGACCCAATCAGGACTTCGAACTTTGAAATATTCTATGTATGAAGGCTACTGCAGAGTACCGGCTAACTAGTTAGAGGAAATATTTGTTGACCGCTGTAATTAGCCTACCAAATACAACATAATTAGAATCAATTAGAGCTGCATGCTCTAAACTAGCCTGGATATGCAGGCCGTCATTGAATGCAATCTCCACAATCCAAAATCTCCTGTTGTACCCGCGCTTAGATGCCCGACTTATTATCATGTAGAATTTTCTCTGATTCTATTGTCGCACTATCCTTTCCGGTTCGTCCTCAAGAGCTCGAGAATCGCATGCAGAGTTGCACATGAGAAGGCAGCTGATTCCCAGGATTTTAGACCGAGCTAGCAAGTGAAGAAATGGGACAATTAGTAGATTCAAACAGCGAACAAAGAAGTCAGACAAGCATTACTATTCTCTTTTGTTTACCTTGTATAGATCCCAGGTGAAAAGCGGCCAGGAACTATACCTAAAGGAGTATGACACCAGACCTAACAAGGAAAATAGAAGGCGGTGGGGATATAGCGATCCTCCCCGCGGAGGCCAGCTCTCTTCAAGTGCGAATTGACGAGATAAATTGCCAAAGTTCCTAAGACCTTCACATAAATGGCATCACAAACATATAGCTCGTCAACTCGAGCTGGCGTTAAACCGCCAAACCAGGCCGCTGCATCCCCTAATTTCGCCGACCCGAACTTCGACCCAGCCGACTTCCTCAATGACACTCTATCGCCGCTGACTGTGGCATCCTCACAACCAAATGCCTCGCGGTCACCGGGCTCTGTACCCCTGGCAGAGCTGTCCACGCAGGTCCAGTCACTTCTCTCCCAAATTAGCGCCCAAAACATCCGTCTCTCGAGCACATTATCCCAACTCACCGACGAAATCCTCCGAAGCGGTGGACGACTAGCCTACGAAGTTGAGGTTCTACGAGGCGAGACAATCGGGCTATCAGAAACTCTAACTGAAGTCCTACGCGACGACATAGCAAAGTTCGTCCCGGAACCCTCAACAGAAGACGGGCGCAAAACCGAACAAGCAGAAGAGGATGCGCCAACGAAAGAAGACGAGTCAACAACAAATCCAGACGACAAGAAAACACCCGTACCAACAGACCCAGAATATATAACGAACCTCCGCATACTGAGCCAAGTCCGATCGCGCCTAGAAGACGTTGTACAGACCTTCGGCGACGCAATGAGCTGGCCACTACCGCCATCTGAGATCTCATTCTCATCATCCTTTATCTCCGTCTCAGGACCAGACCTCGGCCCCGAAGGCCAAGACCGCGAAGAAAAGGGTCAAGAAATGATGAAGAAGTTACGCACAGAAGTGACCGAGCTGCTCGACAGCGAAGGCGGAGGATACGCCGGACTGGAGGCTGCTAACCGCCGCGTTGAAGCCCTACGTACACTCGCGACTGTGTGGAATACATCGGCGGAGGAAAAAGCGCGTAATCGGTTCGTGGATAGCCTAGCGAATATCGTGGAGGATCGACGACGCACCTTGGACCAACAAGATCAGAACCGACAGAAGTCTAGGTCTGAGGCTCGGCGCGATAGTGACAGTGGGGCACCAGCCGGTGGACTGTTCCGGAATTTGCAGCGTCTAAGAGAGGAAATCTACTTGGAATGAGATGTTATTGTACATATGGGTTCTGGGATGCTGAGCTGGTTCTCTGGATACTTGGACATTGTATAGTATTTTGCATATTTTAAGCTGTAGTGATATAAGAAATATATCCAGATGTCTCACTTAATAAATACATTTATATATATCTAACTACATCATTAACTTGATATAGCTTAGTAACGTCCACGAGGAGCCCAGGTGTGGCACCGGAAACGTTGCGCCGATCTCTCTAAGACGATTGCGTATTTCCCGTTTTCCCCTTAGGCGTTCCTGGTTTCTTCTTCTTTTTTTGGTTAACATCTTACAATGTTCCATATTGCTTTAATCAGTACCTGATTCGACTTTATCTTTTCGCATGATGGTGTCGGAGGACACGCCACTACACTTTCAAGATGCTAAATCGACTATGTGGCACGGCCGTCGGTCACGGATAAACCGGATTAAGACAATTGGCTTGTCAGTGATTGCATTGTTCTTCTTCTTTTTTACGCTGCGGTATTCTTCAACAGTAAGGCTTTCTGCTCTAACACTTGGGACCAACCTAATAATCTACCTAGCGAGTTGAACCGGACTTTTGGACCAAGTTTCCCTCACGTCATCCTTTCCCCCAGCGCCCGGAAGACGCCCAGGTCATCCTCCCTCCTCGCATCGATCTTAATGTCAACGATACCGTCCCCCATGGCCTGGACAAGCCAAACCCGCGCCTGCATGTCTTAGTCCCAGCCTCGCGGGGCTCGCGCGGAGTCTGCCGAACGCTTACGTCTGCCATGATCCTTGGATATCCGCCGCCTACATTAGTCGGTTACGGACATGACTCTCCAGGTGCGACCGAAGCCGAGCGCATGGTGGACCGGATCACGCGAGTGCGCAACTATATCCGAGACAGCAAGGCCGTGCATGACCGCGACTTTGTGCTGATGGTCGATGGCGCAGACAGCTTCTTCCAGTTGCCGCCCAAGGTACTAGTGGAGCGATTCCAGGCTATCATAAGGGCGAACAACCAAAAGCTGCAAAAGAAATTTGGATTCGCAGAAGTGGAGCGCCAAGAGCCTGGGGCTGCGCCTGAGGTGGTACAAAAATACACTCAGCGCGTTCTCTTTGGAGCGAGCAAGATATGCTTCCCCGGGTTGCTGGACGACCCCGGTTGCGCATCTGTCCCTGAGTCGACTCTGCCCCCGGATGTGTATGGCTGGAAGACTGATACATACCCGGATGGATCATTAAATCGACCCCGGTGGTTGAACCCCGGAGCAGTCATTGGTCAGGCTGCGGATCTGCGTCTGATCTACGACGAGGTCTTGCGACATGTTGAGCTGGGCTCGAACAAGTCTGGAGATCACCTGGCCCTAACACAGATGTACGGACGACAAGAGGTGGTTCGAGAACTGGAGCGGCGGCGAACAGGCAATGACTTCCAAGAGTTGCTCTACCGGATGGTGGGTATCTCAGATGCAGCCAACATCACCGGACTGAGACTCCGGCTAGAGACAGGTCGCCGCTATGAATTCGGCATTGGCGTCGATTTCGAGTCACAACTCTTTTTCAACCAGATCATGTCCCGCAAGGACGTCGAGTGGGTCAAATTCGGCAACATCACCAAGATGTCCGCGTTGCAGATGGAACACGGTGTCCCGCGCGAACACCGCCTCCTCCTACCGCAGGATATAGCCAGTCTCCCCAACCCATTCATCCAGTCTCGCTTTGCAAATGAGTCAACTCAGAGACCAGTGTGGAATGCCACGCTGGACAAGCTCCCGAACCCGCGCGAACGCACCTGGCACAACATCTCGCTAATGACGAATGTCCACTCCGCCTCGGTGCCGGTACTCGCCCATCTTAATGGCGACCCCAAGCTCCGCAACACGTGGTGGGAGAATATGTGGTTTTTCCCATGGGGACGGGCACTATTGCGCAAATATGTCCGCGACTCGCACGGGTTCGACGCAGCACAGTCATCACTGCTAGGCGGGCAGGACTGGTTGGAGGTGCGCGGAGGTCGAGGTGGGGTCTGGACAGATGATGAGAACTGGATCACTCTTTCTGAGGTCTGTAATGGCCAAGAAAGAGATCTCTTTGACGATGACCTCGGACCCTGGGCTAAGGAAACCTATGACCCAGATGATCCGGTTTACAATCAGTATGGAAGTCTCATTGCTGGCAAGGAAGAGAAATTCCCTATCGATGCCAAATTCCCTTTCGATGAATTGAAATTCGACTAAAGCTGGACCTTGAGTCACTATGCTTCCCCCATTTACTCACTACATCATTCTCGATGGCTGTCAGTTTGAGACTTCCTGTTCAGCTCACGAAACCGACTGCCCTACGCTATATCTCTGCGTTGGGTTCCAAGCTTATCGACTTCCGGACGCAATCCGAGTTTTGATTGGACGTATTTCTTTTGCATCACCAGCCTGATTGGATATGCTATTACGGGACCGGATCCACAGGATTCGGGTTCATTATGTCGGGAATTCGACGATCAGGAATAGCTGTACATTATCGTGTATGATACCACAATAGATGTAACCTAGCCCATTGGTGAGGCTGTATATAGAAAGCAACAGAATGAACTTGGAAGTAGTCATTCTCTCTCTTCCAGCTAATTTCACACCCTCTTCTCGATTCATAATAGTAAAAGCAATTCGGTCATGACTTGTGGATCCCAACGGCTACACTGCCGATAACACTGCCGGCCAATGCCGGCTGGTATCCCACCGGCATCCCACTAAAACTCAACAGATATCGAACCCTAATAGAGGCATATAGGCGATCCAACTTCTCTAGAGTTCATTTTGGTACGGTATTGGCATTCTTTACTCAGCCATATCTGGAGAATGTCAAAAAGCGTCCACGGGTAAGAAAAAGAAAGAGTATAAGATGCCCTGGAAATCCAGATTCAACAATATAGTGGGCCTCCCACCTGGACAGCATCATAGGATGACAAATTAGTTTAGCAGACGTCATTGTTGGTTACACCTAGGCTTGTAGTTTTATAACTAGTAGCGTACACCCTAAACTATTCGCGTGTCTCACCTGAAAGCGTAAGGAACTTCTCATCATGAAGGAAGCGATTGTTAGGAAGGACACATCAGTCGACATTGTCGATTCTCCAATCCCAAAGCCGGGGCCTGGCCATGTGTTGATCAAGGTTGTCATCGCCGGTAAGTACTAAATAGGCAAGTCAACGTGTGCCACTATGTAGTTGGTCTCTGCAGCGCGTATATACGTCATCCTAATTGTGTAATTAACAGCTAACACGAATGATTGAAAGGTACGAACCCGAAGGATTGGAAGCTCCCCCTCATGATGGGCTCGGATTCGAACACCGGTGACGATATCGCCGGTACCGTGGAAGCCGTGGGAGAGGATGTTGTCGGATTCCACAAAGGTGACCGCGTAGCCGCATTCCACGAGATGATGACTTCGCATGGGTCTTTCGCCGAGTACGCCATTGCACCCTACTACACCACCTTCCACATTCCGGACTCAACAACCTTTGAAGAGGCTGCGACCATTCCTCTGGCCGCCTACACATCCGTCTGTGCGCTCTTCCAGCAGCTCGAGTTACCGGAGCCCTGGTCACCACTTTCCAAGGCCGCAGGCAAGGAGGGCACCAAGCGTCCTCTCATCATTTATGGAGCTAGTACTGCCACAGGAGCTTACGGTATCAAACTTGCAGCGGCCGCCAATATCCATCCTATCATTGCAGTTGGTAGCAAGCGGAGCGAATTTATCAAGCCCTTCCTCGATGAGAGCAAGGGAGACGCTCTCGTCGACTACACAGCTTATCCTACTGAGGAGGAGCTGATCAAGGCAATCCAAGAAGCTGTTAAGAAGGGGGGTGCTCCCGATGGCCGCTGCTGGAAAGCTTTCGATAGCGTTTCCGAAGATCATACGGTCAGGCTCCTTACCAAGGTCATCGCTGGCCCACCGGATGCTACTGGCCGGAAGCCAAAGGTGACTAACATCTTACTCAAAACCGACGTCGAGGACTCTGATCCGAGTGTTGATATCGTCTTCGCCATGGTCGGGCAGGTCCACTACGAGGACGAGAATGACAAGCTCATTGGCGTGACATGGGGCGCGGCGTTTGCCCGGGGTTTGCGCGAGGGTTGGCTCACAGGTCATCCTTACACGATGGGCAAAAACGGTCTCGAGGGGTTATCTGAAGGTCTCAAGGGTCTTAAAGACGGAAAGATTCGCGCGCAGAAGTTCTTGACACGCCTCAGCGAGACACCAGGTGTAAGCAGTTGAGTCAAGCAAAAGCGAGCTGACAACGGGCCGGAGACATGGTTGCATGTTGGGAACAGGGTTGGAAATGACTCTCATTGGCTCTCTAGATATTCGGGCGCAGGTCGAGCGCTAACTGTCGAGCCTTACTCTCTAAGGCAATTGAGGCGCAAGCACACTCAACTTCAGCCGCAAAGAGGGGATGTAGATAGGCCGCATAGGCAACACTGCTTGGGCAACGAATCGATATCTCTTTGCTGCCCAAAACATGGAACTTCAATTCAGAGAGAATCTTGACCAATCCTTACTACAATTATCTCCAAAATGTCAACTCTTTTGCATGGCGAAGACATCGCTCTCCAACAAAGTTTTCTTTCTATAATCAATCGGGCAGTTAAAAAGCCAAAGCCACAGGAACTAAACAACAATATACGAGAAATTGAGAGATACCTGAGCGATCCACACTTTAGAGTCAACTACGAAATAAACGGCGGATCGCCTTTGGCCAAGGCAACGTCAAACTGGGAGGTGCTTGAAAAACTCTTGGAGCTGGGGAGCCCCGACCTGAACTTTCGCACGCCAGATGGCCAAACGAGCATCTTTTCTGCAGTCAAGTCAGCTCAAACCGATTCCCTGGAGCTTCTTCTTCAACATGGAGCCGCCGTTGATGTGGTTGATAACAAAGGGCGTACGGCAATTTCGATAGCTGCAGAATATGATCGAGTTGATCATATGAAGCAGCTCATTCAAGCCGGTGCGGATATCAATGTGGAAGACGAGAATGGATGGACTCCAATATCATTTGCAATTTCGAGAAATCAAAATGATTCGACGAAATACCTGTTATCGCAAAAAGACATTAATCTCAGCAACCACGACACCGATGGACGAACATTAGCGGTTATTGCTGCGCAGGGTGAAAATGTTGAAGGTCTAAGGCTTCTGCTCGATGCAACTATTACTGTCAGTCCGAGGGATAGAATCGAAGATAGCCCTTTGGTATGGGCTATTCTCCAAATGGATACCATCACCGCTCGCCTGATACTCAGGGCTGATAGTAGGCTTGTTGATCACAAGGTGAAGGGCAGGACACCCCTGTCAATAGCGACCGAGATCGGCGACATCGATATGATAAAGCTTCTAGTTGAGTTAGGGGCAAATGCAAACCCGACTGAGGAATCTATTTGGCCTTGTCTGAGAGAATTTTTATTCATAAGCTATTTTCCTCCGGAGGAATTTCTTCGAGCGGTTGATTCCTTTGCACCTGGTGCTCCATATGACACAAAAGGTCAAAAGCCGCTGCTTCTTGCTGCCCAATCTCATGGTTTAGAAATATTGGATTTTCTTCTCGGGGCAAATGCAGACATCAATACTAGAGACACAGAAGGACGGACAGCACTTACCTGGGCAGTCAGTCGAGAACTGAGAGATCTGGTCGATCTCTTGCTCTCAAAACCTGGGATCGATATAAATTGTCGAGATAAGAACGGCCAAACTCCGTTTGCACTTGCCGCTCGTATGGGCAATGTATCTATATTGGAAAGTCTCCTCAAGCAAGGCCCAGATGTGAACTCAGAGGACGACAGACAACAAACGCCGCTGTTGTTAGCTGTCACAAATACGTGCCTAGCAGCAGTCGAATTCTTGTTGGAAATCCCGGAGATAGATGTGCATCATATGGATGACCATGGACGGACGCCTTTCTCTTTTGCAGCAGAAAAGAACTCATTATTAATGATGCAAGCGCTCCTTGATAAACAAGCCGATCCACACAAACCGGATAACCAGGGCTACACGGGATTTTGGTGGTTCCTTCAAAAACGAAATCAATGCCTTAGCTCACAACAACAGCCAATCTTTGCAGACTGGAAACCGTCAAGCTTAAAAGATTTGATCTATGCCCTACCGACGCCCAACAAGAAAGACGCTTCTGGTCGTGATTGGCTGTCTTGGGCTGCTTCATATGGCGACGAAGCGATTGTGAGATGCTTTTTACGGCGCGGCGAGGAGGTCAACGTCAATGCCCGAGACAATATTGGGGGGTTCTTGAAAACTCCACTCATATGGGCACTGGAGGGAGAGCACAACTCTGTAATAGGTGTGCTCAAGGATGGTGACAATATTTCATTGCATTTACTGATCAAAGGGATAAGAGTCACAGGTAAAGAGTATTGTTCGAGGCTTATGAGAGCACTCTTGCAGGCAGGTTACAATCTCAATCAAACCGACATGAACGGAATGACTCCTCTACACATTGCCTGCCAGACAGACCACAACGAAATCGTTTCTATTCTCATCAATGCCAAGGCCAATCTCAATTGCAAGGATCATACTGGAAAAACCCCTCTGCAAATCGCATTGCAAGCGAAAAGCAAAACTGTCGTAGATACCCTTCTGAAAGCTTCGGTGAACCTGAACCCAGTCAGGTCAGAAGAGTGGTTCATTGGGAAAAAACGGGCTGCGTGGGCTCAGATTATAAAAAAGAAAGGTAATGAAGGGTTCGAATTGAAATTGGAGAACGATATTGGTGTCTTCTCCTGTGCGAGAGAGGTCCGTCTTAGGTGAGTTATGTATACTTGAACGTATAGCATGTAGTCTGATTGCTATTTCTAGTCTCTGTCGAGATACATCTGTTTGGTCGAAGTTGTCCGAGATTTTAAACATAAAAGATCTCCTTGGCCAAGAAAAGTATTTGAAACATGCCCAGAGAGGTTTCGGCAATCGGATTGTTACATACATTGAAATTGAATTCCCTGAAGAGTCAGAGAAATTTCATTGCCCATGGGGTATCGCCTGGATCAGCACTCAGACAACAGAGGGTCCTGCTCACGAATTTATCAGCACTCTTCCCAATGGATCAGTACCAGAAGACTCTGCGGAATTTTTGCGACAGTTCTTAAAGACTTTACAACAGCGATGGAAAGAGATGTGCTCCTACGCAAGCAGAGAAGTCGAGTATCTGGTAAGTGATTATATTGATTTATCCATGCAAAGCTGAACCCATAAATCACAGCGAAGTGAGCAGGTAAGGGAAAAAGGGAAAAGCCTGAACTTGGTTGATCGGCTTGCCAAAAATTCCCAGTCGCGAGCAAGACTTCGGCAATGCCTGGAGACGCATACTGAGCAGCTCGTGGAGATGGTTACGGCCAATACTTTACTTGATTTGGGTCAGAAATCAAGCATCAGAGAAGATATTGACGAGATTGAGCACACTGTGACCGCGAGACTTGACCATTTAGAGCAGGCTATACGCGAACTCTTGCAAATTGTGAGTTTGCACGTAAAGATCTTGCTTTCTGATACTAAAATAACATGAACTCTCGCAGGAACTTGCTTGGATTTCCACGAACGAATCTGCCAGTTTCAAACGTCTAAGTTGGATCACCGTGGGTATTTCAGACACTTTCATTGTGGAATTGCTAACATTTAACCTGCCAGTTTATCTATTTGCCTTTGATGTTTGTGTCCGTGAGTTATGCACAATATCCCATCTATTCTAACACTGACAATCAACACCAGAGCCTTTTTGGGATGAATGTGAACTTGCTGAAGGATTATCCCGACTGGAGATGGTACTTGCTTTCTAGTGGACTGTCGCTAGCTCTGACCGGGACACTGTGGATAGCTTCCAAATTTCTCTACGCGAGGAACACCTCGAGTTCCTCCAAGGGCTGATTTCTCTAAATTTTCTAGGAGCAGACAAGAATCAACAAAAAAATGGGCAATAAAAGATGGATTTTTAGCTTCTGGGGCTAGGATCATAGCATGATAGCCATTAAACAAATCCACTAGATCATTTCACATTCTGAAAAGGCCAGACACTTTCCCATATCGCTCTCTCTTGTTCGTTCGCTGATTCCCGAGCCAGGAAATCCCGCTTTGCCACAGCCAGTCTCCTCACTACTTCATTATAATCATGAGGAGAAACTGCACCATTCCAGCCTACATAGACGCCTATCTCCTCAAGTACTTGCGCCTTCCTTTCAACATCCTTCTCCCACTTGGCATACTCTGTCTTGAACTTTGCAATGTCTTGCTTTGAATACCTCAAAGGGCATAACATGTTGAGACTACCATTTCCATCAACTCCAACAACCTGCTTCCAGACCTGTTCTTCGGTGATATCCGCAAGTAAGCTTTGTACGTATGGTTCTCCATCATCGTAGGTGGACCCAATCGTTCCCAGTATTTGGCCAGGCAATGTATCTCTGCGGCGGAATGTATGCAACAGCTCGGGTGCAGCTCTTTGTACCTCTATCTCATAGGTAAGCCACAAAGACTGGGAAAGAAACAAGTCTTTTGCTGCCTTTTTGGTTTCGGGGTCCAGTGTTTTGATATTTTCAGGGAGAACAGGTTTAGTAAGCCCATCCAACTTCGGTCCCTCATATTCAATCAGGGATGGATGATGGCAAATCAGGAACATAGGATAGACAGGTGTGCTTTGCCAATCTATAATGCTTGTGATCTGAGATGGATTCTCAATATCGACGAATATGTTATGCATGTGAAGGTCGTTGTGCCAAATCACGCCGGTAGAAAGTTTCTCATCTGTGGGAAGAATATGAGGACAGATTTCGAGGAAGTCGCGCAGAACAGATAGTTTCGCTTCCTTGGTTGGATGATAACCACCGGGCCCGCCAAAGATGCCTTGCTGAGTGTCTCGGGGGAAGGTTGAGAATGTCTTTAGACATGTCGTTTCTCGCTGAACCAGTGCCTTTATCACTTCTTCTGCCGAGGTCCCTAATACGAGCAAGGTTTGTTAGATTGCGTTTTTATGCAAAGGTAAGAAAGGCACGTACAAGGACCCCGGGGAACTTCAACCTCTGCTCTCCTATTATCGAACCATGCTCGTCCAGTCGTGGGCCTAATGGCAAACTCATCATCAAGGACAAAGCTCTCAGATGGGGTAACATCTTGTCTTCTGTAGAGTGCACCATGGTATGGAAATTGGGATCGAGCGAGTGTGCAGGTGATAGCGGCAATCTGTTTCACGATAGAAAGCTTATCGCGAACCGTGAGCTCTTCCCATATTCGACCAAGTTCTACTCCAGGAGCTTTCTCCATCACGATATACTCCACCCTGAGCTTGCTTTCGTGGGCCTTGGAGCAATAGCCAAGAACTTTCGGAACGGGAATATGGAGCTTCTCTCGGACCTTAAAAAACCGTCAGGGCTCTTTCACTGGAAGAAGGTATCTATCAAGGATGGGATGTATTTCTCACGAATTGCATGGTTGCGACTTCAGATGCCGTTGTGTAATGAGCGGGCCCCGAATTGGGATTTGGAATTTTGACGATGAGCTGTTTTCCATCTTGCATTGTGATAACAAAGACTTTGTTGGAATTTCCTTCTGGAAGTTTTGTTACATCCACGCAGACTGACCCGTATCCTGCAGCTTCTTCGACAACGTGAATAAGGGCGTCCATATTGAATCGGACATATCTGCGTAGCAGTTGTGCTGGCTCATTCCACAACCATTTCTGGGCGGAATAACTGTATAATTCCTCTGGATTACAATCTGCCATTTTGTCAGTCATATGCCCTTGTGATAAAGGGAACAACTTGCCAGGAATGATGGTATCATAAGCTCTCCCTCGGCTAGGCGGTATGGTCAGGGGACGAACAGTGGTGTAGGTGGCCGATGGGCTTAATAGTCTAGAAAGATATCTATAGGTTCTGGATTTAAGTGGCATTTTAGACAGTCTTCAATGTTGTGCTCTAAATCGCAGGAAACACCGGGGGCTTGGAATTTCGGAATCACGTGGCTTTTTCGTATACCAGCCTCTCCTATTAAAGCCCAAGGCACAATGAAATGGCTTGGGGGAAAAAAAGCAAATTAAATAAGAATGCGTATAGGCTAGGGTAACACAAATCAGCTCTAAATAACAGTTACACTATGTACACCTTCCCATTTTGTATGTTGTATCAAAATATAAAACGTAAGTTCCAAGGTTGAATGGGTGTGTCCCGAATAAGTATTTAGTGGAGACCTCGGGAGTACCCGTGTATTATATGCATAATTAAGAAATTATGACAATCATCGAACTAAAAAGCGGGAACGCTGCTTAAGGTTAAGTGCATACGTGCATACTCCCTTAAATTAACTATCTTACTCCACTAAAAACCATCGTGTCTCCAAGTATAAAACATTGAAGATTGTCTGTGTTTCACCTTTGCTAGCATTCTTCGTGGCGTGGATTGTAGCCCGGGGACATGACACGGATTTACAAAACCCATCTATCCCGCTTTCTGTTATGGCTTCGATGCTTTCTTTGTTTTGGTGCATTTTCCCCAGCAATGTGTAGTTTGGTCAATTGCATTGAATTAGGTGTATCGTTGATGACCTTTTATGGCTGGGCCCAGCTAGACCTAGATTATTTCAACCATCTTTATGAAATCATCAAAAGGCTTGCTACTTCCATAAGCACACCTCCATCATATATGCTTCTAATTGCAGTGATGAGACTAAAGAAGCCGACTCAGTATTCTACGTGGAGAGGCTGGAATCTTCATCTTCCGTCAGAATGCCATCTCCATTGTGCCATTAGGAAAGTTTGAATGTTAAGCCAAACGGAAGACAGATGGAAATCGAGGAATGTGATGAGGATGGTACGAATGAAAGCTATGAGGGACTTGGCCTTTTGAAATACTCATTAACTCATCAAAACAGTGTATTGTAGTATAAATGCAGAAGTCCCAAGGCTTTAGAACTTATTATTTTAGAGAATGCACATATCCACAATAAAGTCTTGTTCTTTCACACGGGAATAACAGTTTCTTTGCTTTCTATCTTGGATATCCAAAACCAAGGGTGAAAACGGAATGGATATACTGTGAAGCAAAGACATACGGGCCATCGAGCCTTACAGGGAAATTAGGATAAACTTGAACATAGTTAATTAAGACTTCATACATGGGTTCATTGGTGGCGCTAAGTACAAGCAAAGAGATGACTCTTTGAATTTTCTTTTTTTTTCTGAGGAATCACCCAAGGGGCTTTCCCTGGCCCCAGCCTTCAAGGCGGGCCAAGGAAAGCAAAGAAGTGACTCTCTGATTTTGTTTTTTCTTTTTTGGGAATTTCTTTCTTGGGAATTGCTCCTGGGGTTTCCCTGGCCCCCGCCTTCAAGGGCAGGCCAAGGAGAATAGCAAAGAGCTGATTCCCCAAGGTTGTTTTTTTTTTTTTCTTCTTTTAGAATTTGCCGTCTGAAAATTGCTGTCTGGAAATTTCTTAGGAACTGTTCCAGAGGGTCCCCAGCCCAAGCCTTCATCCAAGGCAGGCTAAGGAATCCCCCGGCCCCAGCCTAAGAAGGGGGACCAGGGAAACCTAGACTAATTCCATTGTCCTATTTTTGGGATTTTGGTATTTCAGCGCCGAGCACGCTTCTCGGCACGCCTCTCAGCAAGCCTCTGCGTAAACAATTCATCATAGTTTCTGTGAAGCTCATCTTTGAAGAGAGGATATGAAAGGCTGATGGTCTTCTTAAGACCGCGCATGTTCCAATCGAAGCGGTCGATCCATGGTTCGGTCTCAGGCCAGATAATGTTGCTCAAATCACCGGTAGGGCAGGCCTTTGCGAGTGAGATCTTCCTCATCTTGAGGCGACGCATGGTCTCCTCCTCAGGGTAATAATCGCTGCAGCTGCTAGAGAAGTGGTGGGCGGCTCGAAGACGACTGGGAGTCTTAGGCTTGTACTGTTCGGCCTGATCACGAGCCTTGCGAAGTTCTTCGGCGGTATTCTCAGGTAGTGGTGCATTTGCCTTGTAGTTTTCCAGGTTGGCATTGCTAGAGTGCACAGGCTCGGGGACATGCTCCACTTCCGGTGCATTTTCCATGTGAGTATTGTCAAAGCGCGCACGCTTCGAGACATGTTCCTCTTCCGGTGCATCGCTGACTGTAGCTTGTTTGCCTTTGGTACCCTGACGTCTGTGCTCGACGGTGGGCAAATCATCGTCCTCATCGTCCTCGTCGAAGACGAAATAATCTGGATCAAACCCGTAACTACATCCTGGAGGGTGGGGAATGACATCGGGTGATCGCTTGCGCTTTCTGTCTTCGTTCTCCCGCTGTTTCTCTTCATTCTGTCGCCGTTTGTATTCGTTCTCCCAGAGCTCACGTACTTCTTCGTCTGAAGTCACAGGTCGGAGACGCTCTGGACTTCTCCATCCAGCACGCATGCGCGCCAGCAGCTCTGGGTCGAATCCGGGTGGGTCCAAATCATAGGAATATTTTTTTCTTTTAGCGATCTCTGGAGCGCGTGCGCTAGCTGTCAAACGCGCGTCTGAGGATCGCGACGCCGCAATACGCTGGCGCGGGGTGGGGGTTTGGAGATTTCTTTGTGGCACAAGGGAGGAGGATGGTGGAGCGGATGAAGGTGTTGCGACTGGAGATGAAGATTCATTTGACATTGGATGTTCAGGCTCGGCCACTAGAATCACTATGTTAGCCACTGGAAATAGATACCATGATATAAGGAGCGCCTACCTTGAGGGGTATCTGCATTTTGGGGCGCATTGTCTCGTCGCCAAAGACCAGTCACTGAGTTGAATATCCATTGTCGCCAGCCAGGTCGATTCTGGTTCTGATTTTGATTCTGTGGGAGTGCAGAAGGCAATGAAGAGAACGGAACAATACGATTACCACGGGGCGCGGCCTCTTCGCTTGCATGAGAGGCAGGAGGGCTCGGATTGTCAGACCTCGCATCTTCACCTTGCTGAGCCAAAAGCTGGGGGAAACGGTAAATGGTGCGGTCGATACGTCCATCCCTTTCTGCTTCGCGTCGCCGGGCGCGATCCGCATACGTCCTGCGAGAGCTGCCACGAGGACGGTTTTCGAAGCCGGGTGGGGTTTGAGGCGTTGACTTGTGACGTTTCGACGGCGAGGGGTCCTCTTGGGACGATCGGTTCCGTTTCCTAGAGGGTGGGTCTTCCGTATCGGTCAGCTCGGGTTCATCGTGGGTACTGAATTCCAATGAGCGGTAATGTGGCCAGGCTCTCTCAGGAGGTGGTGGGGTCCAGGGAAGAGACCAGGGGATGCGTTCATTCTTGTTGTAAGTTACTCCAGGCGGCCAGGCATACGCCTTCAAGGGTGTCCGTGGGGGAGAGCAACGACGATAGGAAGGCTCCGTTTGTAGGAGTTCGGTAGCACTGCCATATCGAAAGGCCCGGGAAGTGCCTCGTCTATTGAACATGCGCCGGGGACGGGGACCCGTGGTGGGCTTTGGGGTCAACGTACGGGTATCAGGTTGCTCCACGGATGGAAGGAGCGCAGGGGACGCTTCCTGGGGTTCGGCGGCTTCAGCCACCGTGGTGGAAGCCGCGGGCTTCTTGCCCTTTCGCGCAGCCTTCTAGCAGCCTGAGTTAGTTATGAACAGTGGTGACATCTGGTTTCTGAACTGACCTTCTTCCGGCCAGCTCTCTTGGCTGGCTTCCGCTTTGGAGCGGGCTCCTCTTCAGCAGGCTGTGCCTCTGGCACAGTCTCTAGCGCAGTATCCTGCGCAGTCTCCTGCGCAACCTCTGGCGCAGTCTCAGTCGCCGTCTCGGCGGCGACTTCGGGGGCGGCTTCGGTCCCAGCCTGTGCGGATGCACTCCGCGTCTGGCGGCGGCGGCGTGGGACGTACTCCGAAATTGGCGGAAGAACGTGGTTCGACCGCAGTCTCATCTTGGCGAAACGCGCAAGATGGAGGAGAAGGGGGGGAGGGCGGGTGGTGAGAGGGGAGAGGAGGGGGGAAAGGAGGAGAGGAGGGAGAGGAAGGAGGAGAGGGGGAGAGAGAGGAGGAGAGAGAGGAGAGGAGAGGAGAGAAGAGGAGAGGAGAAGAGAAGAAGAGGGTGGGTGAGGAGAGGCGAGGAGAAGAAGGGTGGGTGAGGCGAAAGTGAGAGACAGGTGATTCAGTCACAAGAAGCAAGTCAGAGATATTTGAATATCTCAGGCACAGGTAACTGTTCACAAGGTAGAGTCGATCACAGAGACTCTTTCGAGAGATCCAAAATGAGCTTTTGGATGATAACTTTTGGTGATGGAGGGGAGAAAAGAAGAGAAGAAGAAAAAAAGAGAGAAGAGAAAATATAAACAACACGAGACGTGACAACCAAACGAAAAAGGAAGGAGTCGTTGCTAGCTCTCGAGCTTAACTATGTAACTTTTCAGAACTGGAAGGCGCGACCCGGCAGAATATTTTATAGGGCGGTGTGACATTCGTCGCAAGGAGCTACTCCGTCGTATATTCCAATTATTGCTATTCTCTGATTTCTCTGATGTACAGATTTTTATTGTTCATCTCATTCTATTATTTTTGATTACTTCATTGATGATGTATCTTTTCTTCCCTTTTCCGTAGATCGACTTCTCTCCCCACATACTCCATACTCTGTCCCAGTAATAGTGTCCAGAGGGAAATCAACCAACTGCTTGCTTATCAATGGAACTAGAAATTGATTAAAGGGCATAGACCACCTTTAGAATTGACTCAATGTCCTTCTCAAGGATCCTAAGCTGGCCGATTCTCTCCACCCACTTTGGGGTTTCTGCCAGTCGCTCGATCCTCGTGGATCCGTCCTTTTCCCATATGAGTATTTCACCTTCAGCAACCTTTTGAACAGGATTCCCAACAATGAAACCAATCCAGTAGTCCTGGAATTTATGTACCATATCGAGATGACTAACTGCGCACACCTCCTGATCGGCAGTCATCTTCTGCTCCGAATTTTCTGTTTCTTTCTCCGTATAGGCTTTCACGGAGGATGCTGCGTATGGGGTAAAGACATCGTTATCCACACTGACAAGAGCGTCATGGAACGCATCGAACTGATATATCAGCTCGACAGCGTGATGCGCACACCCTCTCTTCGGTCCGGGAAACGGATTTCCAAACTCGATGTTGTATGGCTGTATCGTAGCAGCGTTACCGTACTCAATGCCGCGTTGTGCACTTAGTGAGTCGCGTGTGCGATAGACAGATAGATCGAAGACGGCGTCTGAATGGAGACGTAGGAGGGCTGTTCACAAAGCGCTCTGGTCAATGCCTTCAACCAAACCGTAGGCTTCCAGAACTTCTGCGCCTGCCTTAGCCGATGGGTAACTTTGGGCGAATAATTCTTGCAACTTTTTGAGGTCAACATCATCCTGGAAGTTGCCAGCTGACTGTATTGACTTTGTTTAGCAAGAACCCGATAGCTTATGGCGGTTCTACGAGGCGAATCCACGATTAGGAGTGCCCGAGGGAAGTTGACTCACCTCGACGTCAGATGTGCCTATCATGATCTCAATGGGCTTATAGTCAACAGGTTTGGCCTCCTGGTGCAAATCTACGTGGGGTAGTGCCACAGTCTCCATTGTCATAGTCAGGTCTTCAGCGATAGGTGGCATCATGAATATCTTGTTCTCGAGAGCAGACTCGAGTATGGACTCCGCTGAGATATGGCGCAGCGCTTCCACTTTAATCTCACTGCTGCTTCCATCCTCGATACCCCAGTGTTGGCACAGCTTGTCCCAGTTTTTCTCGGCCTCTACGAGCGGCCTGGGTGTCACCGTTGACTGAGCACCCGATTGCATGAAAGCTCTCTTAAAAAGGGGTTTCTCGGGCTTCGCCTCGGCATCGAGAATGTGTGCATGCACAGAATGAGATCCTGATGAATGACCACCCCGCGTAATTTGCTCCGCATCACCACCAAACTGCGCAATATTACGCGCCACCCAAGTCAAGCCAACTTTCTGGTCATATGTACCAAAATTAAGGCCCTTGAACTCGGCTTGATCTTGAGTGTTCAGAATATCGGTCGAGCCGAGACATCCAAACACATTGAGCCGATAGTTTAGGTTGACTGCGATGAAAGGAGTCCCAATTTCCAGAGACCGAAGCACGACACGGGCAGGGTCTAGATATAAGTTAGTAGCCATCAACGGCCATTTTAATCAAAACGTAATATAGCACTTGGATTGGACATCCTGTTTCACGCACCAGTGATAGGATCGCTGTTCGCACCGAACGCGCCACCGCCGCCATGGATCCAGACTAGAACAGGGAGCTTGGCTGGTGCTTTAATTCCCGCGCGGGATAACCCAGATGTACTGGGACGGACTATGATGAGGTTCAGGCATTCGAATTATGACTCGGCGAGTTCAGGAAAAGGCACGTGTGCTTGAAAGTATTCACTGTTAGCACACTCGCGGGGTTGAGGGCATTTTGGTCTAGAACACGCCTAATTAGTAGCTAGACCGTGGGAAAAAGAATATCATATAATATCCTTGTCGCCTTATTTATGTAGAACATACCCATCATTGGTTGCATCAAATACATTGTGAGGAAGATGAGTACGGAGTTTTGCATGTTCCCATCTCTTGTTCACCTCTCCAAAAGGGATGCCTCTGAACTCATCCAAGTCGTCGGACAGACTTGACCCTTTCCCAACCACTGTTTGGATGTAGCTAGGTGTAGTCAATGTCGGCAATTCCACGATGACTCCGTTTTCAAAATCCTGTTTCTTTGTTGGATCGCTCATGATGCCAATCTCGCAGTATTATGACAAGACAGGAGATACACACAAATTCTTCCACTTAATGGCCGTATGTAAATATGAAACGTTACTGTAGAATTTGCTCGTTGCGCTCTTAGTGAAGCTGATTTCGATTCCCCCTGTAGAGAGAGGGAATAGATTGAATATATGTACGGAGTAGATGTGAAGCAGTGGAGCTGGAAATACTCGTTGTAGGGGTCCCAAATAGATTAGAAACGGATAACTCCACCTATATAGTCGTGTTCAAAAGGTTCTTTAGGTGGGCTGGCCATTACTGACTGGATGAATATGTCTCATTCCGAGGACAGTTCCGTACTACTGCACTGTTTTTACATATATTTTAGTCGAAATAAATTTCCTCTACGAGACTTTTAAGCATGAGTTGTTTTACATTGTCCTATCTTATGCATAAGGGTAGGGCTGCGGATACTAAACCCAATACGACCAGCCCCACACAGATCGTACCATGTTTTGGTTTTGTAAAGGTACCACCTACCGAGGTTGGGAGTAAACAATCTTGAATCCAACCTTTAAAGTTGGAATCTATTAGCAAATCAGAGACAACAACCTTGGAAGGAGAGATAATGAGTCATGATAGAAACCTGGGAACCTTCGAAGTTTGTTGCTACCATGTCTCACCAACTTAACTTAGTACGGAGTACATCGTAGGTCCCCGGGGCCGCATGGCAGCTCAACGTATAATCGGTCAGTGTTGAAACCCCCTGACGTGGCAGCGAGTAGTCAGGGATAAACAGGTATATTTAGCCATGTCCACTTTGCCAGAAACGGTCGAAAAGGTTAGAAAAACTTAGCATCACTTGATTTCAACGCTCCATTAACAGTATTGATATGCCTTATTCAATGCTCAATTTGTAGAAATCTTCTTGACTAAATAGGATGTAATTTGTTATTGTTCTCCTCCATGGCTACCCAGGTAGCTTCCTAGAATTCCTACCTACACTTGAACCCACCCAAAAGAAGTACTAGTCCACCGAATTACCGGGAAGAGAAGCTTGCATAATCGGCATTTGTCATCTTGATATGCTGCTCAATTGACGTGCAGTACCTCTGGAAGTCCGCCACTGTGATTGTTGTCACAGGGTTCTTGATGCCATCTAGTTCATTGTCTTTGAGGACTATGAAACTCTTCAAATCCGGCACCTCCATCAGCTCCATGATCATCTTTTGTATGGCAAAGTAAGGAGCAGGTCCTAGTTTCAGACCCAAGAGAGTTCGGTATTTGGTTCTGATTGCATTGATGAACTCTCTGTTCGTTGAGTATTGTTTTCGTGTACATTTCATCCACGATTTCATTGCAAGTCTCAAGACTCCATAACTTTCTATTTCCATATAGTCCTTGATCTGTTCGACCAGTTCATCTGCAAAGACCGTTCGAACACCTCGGTCAAAAATACTTCGCCGCACTTCGTAGTCAATGCTGCTAGATATCCAGGTGCGAACCTGAATTGACAGAGCTTTCCATTTTCTTCTATTCGGGCTATCTCGTGTAGGCCATGGAATCGATTTGTCTATCAAGTTATGAAGATTATGGCCTCGTAAGGTCTTCCGGACTTCGTCAATCCACATTTCCAGGTCCTCTGGATCCAAAAGTGGGGGTGTAATCTTGTAAAGAGTAAAGCTTCCGATCTTTGGGAGACCAACTGATTGATCAGCAACCTCTTCGTCGGTATCTTCATACCAGTTGTTGTCATGCGGGGGCTGCTCGGTCGCCATTGGAAGCAGTGTTCGTCAGTGCTGTTGCAAATGAGAAATCAGCGAACAAAAGTATGATGGATATGGTGCCTTCTAACACTATTCCTGTTCAGATTGAAGTCAAAGGTGTGATCCAAGTCGGGGATCTCTGAAAGATGGTGAACTAGGTCTTCTGGCTGTAGCCTTTGATGAAATTTTGATGAAATTTGATGATCTCAGGGGTAGAGATAGAGTATCATAAACTCTTGAGATACGAAGGAGAGATGAAGGTAAAAGTCTCTAATATTCAATCTATGGAAAGCAGGTATTTATATCTTGGCATTTAGCAAACTACTCATTCTGCTAGCAAACAAGGGAGATGAGACAACAGATACTCATGGTTCATGGATGAGCGGCATCAGGACCTAGAAAGATTCCTAGAAGGGGTAATCCACGAAGGCCTATCTGGCCACTGTGCCCATGGTTTCGTCTCCTCTTCGAAGCCTACGTCCGCAGTAGCTTATCGAGAGACCATCATCTCTGAACAGCTAAAAGCCGCTAGTACAAGAGCAATTTAGTAGACAGTTACTGAACTGAATTCCAGAGCATATGCTCCGGAGCAAGTTGGCTACAAATTATTCGTGAACGTAGAAATAGACGTAGGAAAAGAAACAATGATATTTGTACAGTGCTCTGCGGGTGAAACATGGAAATAGAGACATGGACCAACAAGTACCCCTCGCTAGCTCCTAGATAGATGATACACGGTAACACGCTGATACTTTTTCAAAGCCAGCCAATCACAATAGAAGAGAATGGTGTAGAGATACCAAAGACCTCTTATTAAAACAATGCCATTCATATGGCAATCTCTCCCTTCCACGCAGCGTCAGACAATCCCAATGTCTCCATCAGGTTCTGCCACCGGGGACCTCCACGTTCCTTCCTGCGGACATATTGCAGCAGCTTCGCGCGCTTGTGGACTAGTAGTTGCAGGTTACGCTTGTTGTGTTTGTCCTTGTTGGTGTTCTCGAGGTGTCGGGAGAGGTTCATGATTTTCACGGTCAAGATCGCGGCTTGTACCTCCGCGGAGCCGGTATCGGGTCCAACGCGCGGTGCCCGTTCTGGATGAACAGGGGCAGAACCGTGGACCAAAGCCTTCGGCTTTGGTGGGAGAATTGAGTCTGTGTAGTGTCGCCCGAATGTTTCGATGCACTTAGCAATGTTGAGGCGCACGCGGTCCTTGGTGTTTCCATTGTTCAGATTTACAATCCGGTTGATTGCTTCTTGGGCATTCTTATGCTCTTGGTTATGCGCGTTCATTGCCTCCTTCTCAACTTGGGGATCGGCCGTGTTGCGATCGGGATTTTTAAGCGGTGCGGTCAAATCCTTGGAGAAGTCAAGGGCAGCATCCAGCTCATTCGACTTCAAATAGTAGTTGAAATCCCCAGTCAATGATGATTGGATGTGCGAGTTTGTTTGGATTGCTGTCATCTCTTGGATAAATGGTGTAGGCTGGCTCTTGACAGGGTCACCGAGCGAGGATCCCCGTTCTTCTGCAAGAACTTGTTGGCGGGAGACATTGGCTGCCTTGCGCTGGCGCGCCTGGGCCATCATGAATGGGTCATGTTTCCTCCGAACCTGAGCCTTGCTGGACGCAGCTCTGATAGAAGTGTTGATCGAATTGGACAACGGGCTATATCCGGAGGTTGATCCTAAACGAGTCTTGGTTAGCACGCAGGTCATTGAAGATTTTGACATCGCTGGCCTTGACTAGCATACCGGTGAATGCCTTGAGAGAGGACTGAACTGAGATACGCGGGGGCATAGTGGGCGTAGCTGGCGAGTAGATGGCTCTATCGTAACAATCAACTTCTCTTTTCCATTGACCTTTCGTCGGGAAATCTTGCGGCCGGAGGTCTAAGTACGCTAATCCTAGTCAGGAGATTATCTGCCCCAGGCATTAATACTCACGTGAACGAAGAGCCCGCCAAGATTATGATTACATAACACCCCTGGAACCCTGGAGCCCTAGCCCTAGCGCACGCAAGCGAAATTCTCCCGAATCGTGAGAGTGCAACAATTTTGCGGCTTGGCTTTGATCTTTTTCCCTCCATCACCACGACAAGAGCCAGACGATTGATCATCCAACTCATCAATCCATCAATCGCCCAACATGGCCCCTTCCCAGCTCCCCCCGGTTTTCAACCCTACCGCGCAGGACATTGAGATGCTCCTTGCCGCTCAGTGCCACCTTGGTTCCAAGAACCTCCAGGTGCACATGGAGCCTTACCTCTGGAAGCTCCGCGCCGATGGTGTCAACGTCCTGAACATCGGCAAGACCTGGTATGCGCGAATTCGAAAGGCCGCCTGACTGTGGTATGGTATCTAATATATTCGTTTCACTGCAATAGGGAGAAGATCGTCCTTGCTGCCCGTATCATCGCCGCCATTGACAACCCCGCCGATGTCTGTGTCATCTCCGCTCGTCCCTACGGCCAGCGTGCTGTCCTGAAGTTCGCCTCCCACACCGGTGCCACCGCCATTGCCGGTCGTTTCACCCCCGGTAACTTCACCAACTACATCACCCGCTCTTTCAAGGAGCCCCGTCTCATCATCGTGACCGATCCCCGCACCGATGCCCAGGCCATCAAGGAGGCCTCCTACGTCAACATCCCCGTCATTGCCCTTTGCGACACTGACTCCCCCACTGACTTCGTCGATGTTGCCATCCCCACCAACAACAAGGGTCGTCACGCCATCGGTCTCGTCTGGTGGATGCTCGCCCGTGAGGTCCTCCGTCTCCGCGGTACCCTCGCCACCCGCGAGACCGAGTGGGACACCGTTGTCGATCTCTACTTCTACCGCGACCCCGAGGCCGAGGAGAACAAGGAGATCGCTGATGAGTCCAAGGTTGCCGGTGCTGAGGAGATCGGTGCTGGTGCCGTCGAGTCTGGCTTTGCTGGTGAGAACTGGGATGCCTCCGCCCCCGGTGCTGGTAACCCCGGCACTGCCTTCGCTGCTGCCTCCGCTGCCACCGCTACTGCCGGTGCCACCAGCTGGGATGCCGAGGGTGCCGACTGGGCTGCCAGCTCTGCTCCCGCTACCACCGAGTGGGCTGAGGCTCAGCCCGCCGCTGGTGAGGCCAAGTGGTAAATTGCTTCGCCGTGACGAGGATAGTCGTTGAAAGGGGGGAAGTTTGATCAAAAGTTTGGTGATCCGGGATGATTGTGACGATTTCTCGAGTCCCTCAGGACACGGGAATCGAAGAAATGCTCTTGTTTTCTCTTATACACCATCTACTCCATTTACAACAATGGATTACAATCTCCCGCAAGTTCCCTTGACATGTCTATCCTAGTCTCTGTGTGCAATTCTCAAAAACCAAAAGAAACTGAAAAACAGCAGAAGAAAACGAGCTTTCACCGGGATCCTTTCAATCTTTTGCCTCAGTGGTCTCATATTACCAGCACTTTTTTTTATTTCCATGTTTTGCACAGGGGAGGAATTGTCATGCCAATCATTGACTGGCGCTTATGAGGGAAAGAGATCCAGTTGCTTTTATTTACGAAGCTTCTGGGGGAAAGCCCTGTGCTGTCAATTCACAAGGTGGACTTAATCGTTACCTTGGTTTCTCCCTGTGTGTATTCTAGTAATCTGAAAAGGTTGTGCTTGGTATCATGTCCAGTAGGTTTTGTAGTGTATCTCCCCCCAATGTTGATTGTAGACCTAACCGCATCAACCGCATCATCAATACTGTGTACCTGCTCGGAAACAATGCCATCTATACAAAGCCCAGATCTGCCCTGGATAAATTATTTTGTCTACACTGTAGGCTACCCCTATCAACTAGGCTTACTCCCACTCGAGGTCTCTCGCGTCAAATATATTTAAATTCTCACCCACGGAATATTGCGAGACTATCTACTAGAGTAGAATAAAGAACCTAAAAGTAACACCCAGGAACTAAATATAAAGCATCTTTCTCTTCTCAGGCGCCTTAAATTTCTATAAATTGATCGTTAAGGTAAAGTAAAGTGTGGACATAGTCCTGGAGGTACCTATGTCGGGCATTGACACAGCTGGTTTATACATGCCTGGGTATGGGAAACATGATAGGAAATTGACAACAAAATAATCAAAGGATAACGCAAGAGGTTCCCTCACTCTGACCACCCTTTTCAGTCGTCGCCATTGCCGCCAATCTAGCGACATCTTCAAACGTCTCTGCGAGCAGCTCGCCCGTGACAGCGGAACACTCGGCGTATCTATCGCAACGAAGTTCTTGCGCAATACGATAGGCCTAGATAACTTAGTTAGCCAATGCATGCGTGAGGCTCCATCTCATGTTACTCACTTCTTGTGGATAGATAATTCCCTCGCCTTCTCTACGCAGGTCCCTTTTCAGGCCTAGCATCATCACTGGAAGGCGCTCGCCAGGGCCATACTGGAAGTAACGGGTAATGTCATTTCGCCACTAGGAATAGCATTAAGTTTCAGCACGTGTTGACAGTACCCCGAGTATATATATATATGAGACTCACCTCTTTTAGTCCAGCAAGTGTGTCTCGATTGGAGATATCAAAGGCCAGAACAATCACATCAGGCCGAAGAGTCGTCCAATGATGGTTTGGGTTAGATGTGTCGTAAATCTTTAGAGTGAATTTCTTTTGGGAGAATCGGATGTCGTAAATAAAAGGCTGGTCACCATCTCGCAGTAGTTCAAGCGTATTTGGCTCGATATTAGAGGGCCCTGATGGGTACGGTCTTAGACTCTTCAGCCGACTGGATCATGTTAGTACGCCCCCTATATATATAGTCTAGAAAATCGTTTGCGGATTGCAAACAACTAGCTTGAAGAGCCGTAGCTCGTGGGACTATTAGGTACTCACGCTAAGAATGTTGATTTCCCACATCCTGCATCCCCAAGTAGAAGTAAAGAGACTGATTTATCACTGTCTGGGTGAGGATCTACCTCAGCCATGCTAGAGCAGCTGTTCAGCTTATGTGCAACTGTCCAGATATTGATCGGCTTGCACCCTTCGGTCAAGTAACAAGTTGTAGATAATTGCCTCTGCCTTGACTATAGGATAATAATGATTTCACCACAATCTCGGGGTGGCCCCGGGGGTTTTAGGTCAGAGAGATGGACTTGAGGTGATAAGGTTCGATTCTTGGCGAATCCAATGTTGATTCATATATTGTTGTTGCAGCCCTAACCTCGAGTCGTTTATACTTGAAATTTTATGAGTTCTATAGTTATTATTTGACTTGCTATGTCAAAAGATATGTGGCAAATTATTTGCAGTTAGATTCCCCTGTTACAAATGAATTACAATAGTAGACATTGGATACATAAACCTTTGGCTATGGAGTGCATGTAATTACGGCATAATACAATGGTTCAATACTAAAAATACACCAAACAGCGCCTCCGCGGAACTTTTTCAATTTCGATCCCCGCCGGTTCAACGTCCACACCAATCCAATCTCAGCCTCAGTCGGTGGACGTGGTATGTGGAAACCGCCTGCGAGACTCTTTCCACTGAGTTGCAACCTACAAAGAGTCCTCAGGCAAACCCGACACCTAAGCCAATCTCGCACCCCCACACCCGAAACCATGGCGGACACCAACAGGAAGGAACAACCCGACTACTCAGCTTGGAGTAACACTAGCCTGATCGCGCGCATTACAGAGTTAGAGCGCCAGCTTCACTCTCAGACGACGGAATTCACAGCGCCAACCGAAGAGCCGTCACAGACACCCTGCTCTTCTGCTGCGCCAATCTCTGCCGATGTTCAGGAACTGGCGGTCCCTCTCGCTGAATCATTCAATGCCTCTAAGAAGCGACCACACTCTCCTCCAGATAGCGACACTACCCCGGTGCCCGCGCCGCCGAAGCGGTTCATCAAAGTCCCGAAACCTCCAAAAGTCGACCGCAGTTTTGACCCCTCTAAATATACAACGCGGTTCATTGCGCTAAAGTTCGCATACTTGGGCCAAGAATATAATGGACTGGAACATACAAATGGCAATACCACGCCCCTGCCTACCGTTGAAGAGATTCTGTGGAAGGCGTTGAAGCGTACGCGGCTCATCTCCCCCGAGACCACTTCTGATCTCGAGCCGCCCGAGAGAGCGGCGCGCGTCCCCATGCGCCCGTACCACCTTTACTGGGATGGATGCGACTACTCTAAAGCAGGTCGTACGGATAAGGGTGTGAGCGCCTTTGGGCAGGTTATTGGACTGCGGGTCCGCAGTCAACGGCCTATGCCCAAGACCCCCACCGAGAGCGAGGATGCGATGAACGTTGACTCGGGATCTACCGAAAAAGAGTGGGATGATGTAGCCGATGAGATGAACTATATCAATGTTCTAAACAGGGTGCTTCCGGAAGACATCAGAGTTTTGGCGTGGTGCCCTAACCCGCCTCCTGGTTTCGATGCCCGCTTCTCCTGCCGTGAACGCCGGTACAAATACTTCTTCACCAACCCGGCGTTCTCTCCGACTCCTGGGCCCATTGGATTCCAGAACCGTGCAAACAATGGCAATGGACCGCGTGCTGAATTCCGAGAAGGCTGGCTCGATATCGAGGCTATGCGCGAGGCAGCTAAGCATTTCGAGGGTCTGCATGATTTCCGGAATTTCTGCAAGTTGGACACCAATAAGCAGATTGATAATTTTGAACGCATTATCCATCACTCTAGCATTGAAGCCGTCAATCCCAAGGTCAGCCCAGTGGGCTACATTGGCCAACCTGGGTTCCAGGCCAAAGAAGGTTGTGTACCCGATTCGGATGTATCGACGCCCAGTACGGTTTCTCAAAACATCCCCCAGGTCTACTCGTTCAACCTTCATGGGTCTGCCTTCTTGTGGCACCAGGTGCGACACATGGTTGCAATCCTGTTCCTAGTTGGACAGGGACTCGAATCCCCATCTATCGTCCCTGAACTGCTGGACGTTGCTAAGAACCCGCGAAAGCCAACCTATGCGATGGCTGATGATGCTCCCCTGGTCCTTTGGGACTGTATTTTCCCCGACCCGAAGTCTGGTAGTCGCGCAGATTCCTTGAATTGGATTTATGCTGGTGACAACCCTCCAAACTGCAAGGGGAGCGCCAAGGGTGACAGCAAATTCGGGATGCGGGGCACTGTTGAACGAATGTGGACCGTCTGGAGAAAGCGCAAGATAGATGAGATTCTAGCGGGTGCTCTGCTGGACTTGACTGCCAGTCAGGGTAACCAGGACGTGGAAGACATTGACAACCAATGGCTGAACGCGGGTTATTCCAAGAGATCAAACAGAGGTGCCAAGATCTGGTATGGTGGAAACGATACTGTTGTTGGTGGAAAGTATACCCGTGTCGACGAAAAGAGCAAGATGGAGACCGTGGAGGTTCAGAACGCCAAAGGACTCGTCATAAAGCAGCGCAGACTAGCAAAGGGCGAGGCTGCAAAGGCGGCCCTCCAGGAATGAACCTGGTTGTATATACTTGCTGATAGAGCATCGAACCTCGGGGTTAGAGCAAGATAGGCTTTTATACAAACAAAGGTTTATTGGTGCAAAGGCTGGTATATCATGACTTCGCATCGTAAAGGCATCGCCGAGAACCTCTCCAAACCTGTTCTAAAATCTCTCGTTTGGGCAACATATGCTAGTAACAAAATTAGGGCTGAGTACACAACACTGAGGATATTACATACCGGGAAGACCACTAGAACATTAGGTTCGTTTTCGACAATGACCGCCAAATAAAAGCGGACTTCGAAGCCCTTGAAGGCTTCGTGAATCACAATATCCTGGATTTGTGTGGTAGGAATGAATCTTGTTGAAGCAGTAGAAAGATACGTCGAGGAAGATGTTGAGGTCTGGATTCCGAAGCCTCGAATAACTAGGAGCGATTCCTCTGTCGAACGATCAGTCACGCACAAATCCAACAAAGCCAAATGATCCTTCTCAGCTTACCGACATAACCTCTTCTAAAAACACCGTATATCACCAATGCGCCAACCACAGCAATTGCTAGCGGGTTGTATGAATCTATCAAGCGACACAGTTTGGACCCGAGCGGGCTTGACCACACGGCTGGCCAACTTATCATTCTCCCATCTTCTTGGAAGAAAAAATGTCGGACACGCACAATACCGACACCGATCACACATAAGAATAAAACTGCACGCAGGAGCACTTGGACACTGAATAGGATTTTGGCGGCGGAACTTGATCGCTGTGGCGCATTCGATACCGTGAATGAGACGGTCGTTGGAGAGGGACGCTGAACCTCTAGTCGGCCTCGCATTGTGGATACGGAGGAGTCAGGTAAAAAAACGGGAGAGCAGAATTAGGCGACAACTTTGCATTGCAGGCTGTCTGTTCAAGAGGTAGATCAAAAGGCTGGAAGATCTAAAGGTGCTTTACACAGGAGAGCTCTCGTGAATAAACACGCTAATCCAGAACAGGACTAGCGTACCCCACTAGCAGCTACATAGCATCACGTGATTCACAGCTTCTCCGTTTGGATTACATCTGGGCTTGTCAGGCACCTACGCAACCTCATCTTTTCTTCATCCACAGTCATGGGTGACCGATCACGAAGCAGATCTCCCCGCGCGAGAGAAAATGCTGATAGAGAGCGTCCCAGAAAAACGACTGGAGGGTTTCGGTGGAAGGACAAAAGCCGCACCGACGATTCCCGCGGAGATGATCGCAGATTAGAGCGCGGATATCGAGACCGACCACGATCACCACGACGCGACCGAGAGGGTGACCGGTATGGAGATAGACCGAGGGATGGTGACCGTGACCGGGGCCAACGACGTGATGATCGAGATGCGCCACGCGACCAGGAAAAGAAAGCGAAGAAGGAAAAGAAGGAGAAGAAGCCTGTCGCTCCCCAATCTTCCGAGCCCATGATTGTGGTCCATGTCAATGATCGTCTGGGAACCAAAGCCGCAATCCCTTGTCTTGCCTCAGATCCGATCAGTATGTCTCCTTCTGTTGTTGATCGCTACTAGTGTATTAATGTTCTACGCAGAGCTATTCAAAGCTCAAGTGGCAGCTCGAATCGGCCGTGAACCCCATGAAATTCTTCTCAAACGCCAAGGTGAACGTCCTTTCAAAGATCAACTTACACTGGAGGATTATGGAGTGAGCAACGGAGTTCAACTTGACCTGTGAGCCTCAGATCCCCCCCTTCTTTCGGATACCGGCACAGTACTAACTCTATACTAGGGAGGTTGGAACGGGCGAATGAACGGATTCGCAGAGCAGACTGCACTCGGCGGGAGAGTTATGCCAAGCTCTTTTATGTTTTTTCTCTTTTCTTAGTACATATTATCGGGAACCCGGAGCATAGGAGTTACACATGAATATGTTTCTCTTTTTTTCTTTCTTTCCAAAGCGGGATTTGAGCAGAAATCATGTATATGGAATGGAAAATCCGAAGCAGTAAATCTGCTGACCATTTACTGCGTTCCTATCTGCCCAGAAACAACCCCAAGGGCCATTTTTTTGCGGGGCCTCGTCACGACATACGCTTTACCCAATGCGGGTTCATTTGCCACCTGAGGCATCAGCCACAGGTCCGCTCCACTCCCAAGAGGCTTTTTTTCCCATCGCGGGACTCACATCGTCGTTTTTCTTTTTATGTCTTTGTCCCTCGAAGTCTTGATTCTTGCTCCGTCATGAGGTAGCATTTGTCTTCAATTTCAAGAACCCTTATACTTTTTCTTTTCTCTTTATTTTTTATCTCCCTTGACTACTCACCGAGATCGTCCCCAGATTTTCCTCCCCCTCCATCCAATCCCTTCAGATCGATCGTCCTCCTTGAATTTTCCTACTTCAACCCGACGACCCGGTATATCCCACAAACAACGACAATATGGTTCGCAATCTTGTCGTCATCGGAGGAAACTCCCACCCTCAGTTGACTCAGAGCATTTGCGGTGTGCTCGGCATTCCTCCTGCGGAGGTTCTGCTCTCGAAATTCGCCGTGGGTGAGACTCGAGTTGAAATTCAAGAGTCTGTCCGTGAAAAGGATGTCTATATTATTCAATCTGGCGGTGGCAAAGTCAACGACCACCTGCTAGAGCTTCTCATCACCATTTCCGCCTGCAAGACTGCCTCGGCCCGGCGAGTCACCGCTGTCCTCCCTCTTTTCCCTTACTCTCGCCAGAGTGATATTCCTTATGACAAGGCTGGCGCTCCTCTTGTCAAGTCATCTGTGGCTGGTAAACACTCCAATGGCTATACATTCGACAGCACTCCTCCTACCCCGGGTCCTGGTGGAAAATCCGAAGGCCTGGGCATGAATGGAATTGAAAACCTCCAGAAGGGCCTTGCCAGGGCTCAGATTGAGGACAGCACTGGTAGCCCCGTGAAGCGGCGGGGCAATGGTCTGCCCCGCAGTGATACGACGGATTCCCTCAAGTCCTTGACCAACAACAACGATGACACAGCGAGCACCTCCTCCAAGATCAACTCCTTCCAGCCGCGCCCCGGTTACAAACAGTGGGTTGCTCAGGCCGGCACCCTGGTGGCTGACCTGCTTACCTGCGCCGGCGCCGATCACATCATCACCATGGATCTGCACGACCCCCAGTACCAGGGATTCTTTGATATCCCGGTCGACAACCTCTACGGCCGACCTCTTCTGAAGAGCTACATTCAGCGCAACATCCCCAATTACAAGCAGGCTGTCATTGTCAGCCCCGATGCCGGAGGTGCCAAGCGCGCCACGGCAATTGCTGACCAAATGGGGATGGAGTTTGCCTTGATCCACAAAGTAGGCTAACCAAGCGCTTAGATTCGCCTTCGATTCGCTAACAATTTTCTAGGAGCGCCGCCCCACCAAAATCACTGACCGCCAGAATGCTACAATGATGTTGGTTGGTGATGTCCGTGATCGGATAACCATTTTGATTGATGACCTGGCGGACACCTCGAATACGATCACTCGCGCTGCCAAGTTGCTCAAGAAGGAAGGTGCCTCTCAGGTATATGCCCTTGTCACCCACGGTATCCTGAGTGGCGACGCCATCGAGCGCATCAATGCTAGTGCCCTTGACAAGGTTATTGTGACCAACAGCGTGGATCAGGTTGAACACCTGCGCCGCTGCCCCAAGCTGGAGGTCCTAGAAGTCGGCCACGTTTTCGGCGAGGTGAGTCCTATAGGCCCATCATTTCACATAGTATACTAACCTATCCCCCAGGCCATTCGCCGTGTGCACCACGGTGAAAGTATCAGTGTTCTCTTCCAGTATGATTGATCGCTGTCTATACTTTTCTTTTCATTTCTCCGATATCCTAAAATTTCCATGTTTGCTCTACGACAACCTCCACCTCAATTCCCCTTGCCATAGATCCAGGCTCGCAGTAGACTTGGTACACTGGATTTGTTCTGGTATTCTGTGATTTCTATCGCTTGCTCTCCATCTGGCTTTTCTACATTTGTTTTCCATTTTCCTGTCATACTATCTACCTCTGCCACACCATTTGCCATCTGCACATATGAGCAATGAATGTTGAATCGAAATTGGAAATTTCCACTTTTTCAACATGCATGTAATCGCCGGTCTTGGACTAGACTATCAATGTGGCTGATCTGTGTACTTCATGGAGACGTAATACTTTCCAATAGTGAAGCCTATGCATGTTGGTCTGTTCTTGATTGATCACGATTCTCAACCCTTGCATATTATATCGGATTCTGTGTGGCACTCGAACCCTTTCCTTTCTGTTCTCACCTATTGCATTCATACATGATTCCACGGACTCCTAAACATCCGAAAGGCGCAGTCAACTACACTTTTATGAAACATTTGGGAGAGCAACATGGGGTCATTGCCACGTCCCCTGTTGAATCATATATTTTTTGACTCCAAAAAAAAAAAAAAAAAAAAGAAACTAACCAACACTTCCCTTGGCACATGTGTCACCATGGGTAGCCTAGGTATCATTGAAGGACGCATATCTTTTGCTTATGCACGTCAGAAACTACTAATCGTCGGAATTTTTCAAATCCATAGGCCTTGTTCACGTTCATGGGGTCAGCCTGAACCTTGAGCCTATCTTTTCTCCGCGGGGCCTGAGTTAGGCCATCGAAGGCCGCGTTACCTGGGCAATATGGCAGCCCGGATCATTTGTGTCCGCTCTCGCCATGTGCTCTGTGGACCATATATTGACAGCGGGAATGGAGGGTATCCAACCTGTTCTGGTCTCGGATTGATTCCCGTGCCTCTTGATGACGGTGGAGGGTCGACCTTACTTGGTCTCATGGCCAATCAACACACCGTCATAGTTTGTCTTTGACCTGTTCGAGATACTATGGTAGATAGAGTAGAACATCGCAATGTACAGCGATGGATCCGCAGCGGATCCGCGGCCCGTGCCATGCCCTAGACAATCTAATGACGACCTTGTCAGGGTCAAAGAAGGTGCATTACTGTAGTTACATTCATTTTTGTTTAAATACAATACCTCATGCCTAATTACTCTGAATACACGTCCAAAGCTAGCAGCGTAGCAGTTCGTATCGCCAAATTCCAGGTCTTTGATCACTCAGCCTTGATAGTGAATGCTTTTCAGGCGGCCCACGGCTAGACACATCCATTCGACGTCGCGGCATTCTTCGCTTGTTGATCCCCGACGTAGGTATTGGCATGCATGTAAGATTGAAACTATAGAGCATAGTTAGTTCAGATCACCCGTTATTCCGTGTCGATCTCTCGTGGAGTAATATAATATTCTCAGTATTGTACTCGGTATACAAATATAGGTCAAATCGTTTTGAAGGAATAAAAAGTTGGAAGTAACATAGGGTTCTATGTAGGACTTGGTTTTTGAAGGATGTCCTTTATGGGAGTTATAAGAGAGAAATTTCTTTAACTTGAGGTTGCCCTTTTAGGCAACCATCTGCCTTCTCCGTATAGTTTACATCGCTTTATAAACCTTTTAGGAAAAATTAGAGATCAGAGATCGTCAAGTCTTATCTACCTACACAGACTGTACGGAGTACTCCGTATTTCAAGCAAATGAACGCTTAATCTTGGCAATTTTAGCGCCGAAGGATGCTGATCCTGGCATAGTTTTCAAGCCTCTTTTAGGAATTGTGTCTCGTGGAAATATAATTAATTTCATCTGTGGCCAAAAGCAAAACGGATTTCCTTTTTACATAGAAAAGAAGGATTTCTTTCTCCTTGTAACTAACATTATTTTTACAGTGTGAAAACAACGTTGGGATTCCTCTTAATCTCACCTCTTAGGGCTTGGGGACATTGTTATCGGAGTTCTGAGTCACATGGGGGCTCCTTTAGGACCCCGGGAAGTAGATAGATATTTCTTAGCTCCGACTAATTTTTTTTTCCTTGTAAAATTCATCATTTATCATCTTCCTCCCTTCTCTGCTAGAGACATCGTCAACATCCAGATTCGCTCTAGACATGGCAACCACAGAATCGAAAACGGTGGCTATCTCTAGAAGCGAGGAGGATCCAGTTGAACAGGGACAGTTAGATCAAGGACTTCGTGCTTGGACAGTTGTATTTGGAGCATGGTGCTGTCTATTTTGCGCATTTGGCTGGGTGAATGGTGAGATTCCCCCAGATGTCTCTATTTCTCCTATTTCCCATGCCGACCGATAACCTAACACGCCTTGCCCTAGCCATTGGCATTTTTCAGGAGTATTACCAGAACAATCAACTACATTCCTATTCAGCATCTAGCATCTCTTGGATTTTATCTTTGGAGCCATTTGTACTTTTCGCGGCTGGGCTTGTCATTGGAAGAGTAAATCCAGCCCCATCAACCCTAGGACGTATACATGTTAATCTTCTTTTAGGTATTCGATAACTATGGTCCCAAATGGCTTCTTCTTATTGGAACATGTCTTCATGTCTTTGGTATTATGATGACCTCCATATCGACGGAGTATTACCAATTCTTGTTAGCCCAAGGAATCTGCAGCCCCCTCGGAGCAAGCTTCGTCTTCTCGTCCGCACTCTCTTGCACCGCGACATGGTTTGAGCAACGACGTGCCCTAGCCTTTGGAATAGTTTCCAGTGGCTCATCACTAGGCGGTGTCATCTTCCCAATCCTGTTATCTCGGCTCTTGCCTCGTATTGGGTTCGGATGGTCACTACGTATATCTGGATTCATTGTCCTCGCACTCCTGATAATTGCCAACCTGACGGTCCGATCGAGAATAAGAAATATTCCACGGCCGGTGAAGCTGAGCGATTACACGAGTCCGTTTTCGGAGGTACCGTTTGTCTTGCTTATGCTGGCATCCTGCTGTGGATTCTTCGCTATGTTTGTGCCAATCAGTTATATCGTTTTAGAGGCTCAGGAGGATGGAATCAACCCCGACCTAGCTGGGTATTTATTAACTATACTTAATGCCGCCAGGTGAGTACTACTGTTTATCTAGGCTTGATGAGAAGGTTGTGGTTGAGCTAACCTATTATCCAGTCTCCCTGGTAGAATTCTACCAGGCTACATAGGGGACAAACTGGGCCGATTCAACGTCATGATCTCCATGTGCGCCTTATCCGCCATCGTTATCCTAGTCCTCTGGCTTCCAGGCACACTTCTTTCTCCAGGAAGTGCGGCGATCTATATCGTATTTAGCATGTTATATGGATTTGCCTCGGGTGCATTTGTGGGCATGGTACCTGCCCTGCTAGGTCAGATCTCGCCTGACGTGACCAAGATTGGTGTCCGTCAGGGCGTTTTATTTACTTGCATTAGTATTGCATCGCTCACGGGAAGTCCCATTGCTGGCGCAATCTTGAGCGGACAAAATGGGACCTATTGGGGGTTACAGGTCTTTTCGGGTGCAATGATGGTAGCAAGTGTATTCTTCTTCATTGCGGCGAGAGCAGTACTTGCAGGGCTGTCTATCGCAAAAAAGGTCTAAATAGAGACAAAAATAAAATATAATATGGAGACTTTATACACAGCTAATGGAGTCGGCCGACCTTGGTCGATGGGTGCACTGATGTCTCACATTATAGTGTTGACTAGACACAGGAATAAAAAATTGGTAGCAAGGTTGAACAAAGGACCGGACAAGACGACACCTCATGTTGTAGTACTCAAGGCGTAAACTACTGTATGACGGATAAATCCCTATCATTGTCACATCCTGTCTGCCTGCACTTCCGTCATCGTCTTGGACCTCTTCTTGTGCCTCCGTGGGGTTATAATCTTCATCCGTGTCTTCGTTAGAATCCTATCCAACGACAGCGTCGGCATAAATTTGTCGTGCATTGTCGAATGCGTATTTAAGCACGCACTTGTGCCATTTTTCCCTTGCCGTCAGCCGATGGGCCATGTTCGGGACCACCTCGGCATACTCCTGATGGTCCTGGGGGCGTTCCTGGTGTAGTTAGATAATCCCATACACCAGGCGTACTCAGATCTTTTTCTTTGCGGAGAATGGTCTGCGTCTGAGTTAGCCAAACCCTAATCTGTATGAAGAGGCGAAGCATAGAGAAAGTGATTGTTAGTATATATAGCTTTATATGGACAAGAATCAACCGCATAAGCAGTGTTGTGATAAATGTTTTTCAGTAGACTTTTCAGTAGTCTTTTCAGTGGTTCTTTCAGTGGTTCTTTCAGTGGTTCTTTCAGTGGTTCTTTCAGTGGTTCTTTCAGTGGTTCTTTCAGTGGTCTCTTTAGTGGTCTCTTTAGTGGTCTCTTTAGTGGTCTTCTCAAGTCAAAAGGCGGCCGACTATTCTTCTTTTTTAGAAGAGTCCTCGAGACCTGTGATACATATGTTACTTCTACTAGTATCCAACTTATTGTGTTGAGAAGTCATTATTAACTATTATTATAAACCCTTGTATCTACATTATCTCAATGTAACATCACATCTGGCCCCTGGGGCCGTAACTTACGTATATACGCTAATGCAGGATCCCTGAGAGTACTATAATTACCCGATCTTTTTGTGAGGGTAGCTCATCATAACCCTGTTCAACATCATACTCCGTACAAGATGATAGCCCTCGCAATCTTCGATTTCGACGGCACCCTCTTCGATACACATGAATCCATCTCTCAAACCATCAAACTCACCTTCGATGCCATCCTTCCCAACCACACCCCTCCCCAATCTGAGATCCACCGTCTTATCGCCAGCGGGGCCGGTCTAGCGGACACCTTCAAAGCCCTACATCCCTCTCCCGCCGATTTCACTCCGACCGCCGAGAACGAATGGATTGAAAAATACCGCGCTCTCTATGCCACCCACGGCCAATTACTCATCAAAGCCTTCCCCGGCGCCAAGGATGTCTTGACCGAACTCAATGCCCACAAGATCCCCATCGCTATTGTTAGTAATAAGGGTGTGGCCGCTGTGAAAACGGCCCTGGAGCGGAATGGCCTGGATGGTTATGTGCCCGAAGATTTAATCATCGGCGACAAGACCCCCGGGGCGAAGCGGAAGCCGGACCCTGCTAGTTTTGTGGATGTTCTGATCCCCGTCTTGAAAGAGAAATATGGGATGAAGGAGGTTGATTCAGGGAGCGTGCTGGTGGTTGGTGATACAGTGGCGGATATTCAGTTCGCAAGAAATATTAAGAGCAGGGTCTGCTGGTGTCGATATGGTTACGGAGATCAGGAGGCTTGTCTGGAATTGAAGCCTGATTTTGTGGTTGATTCTTTGGGAGAGGTTGTGGGGATTGTGAAGGCTTGAGATGTCCTATTTCATAATACCAGGATTGATATACACGTTTATACATATAGAATTGGCGATCCTAAATTTGGCCAGGTCCACATTCTTATATTGTACATCGACGTAGATGTATGGACTGAGTGTCATCAACTGGAATGATTCTACACGTGACTTGAACATTGCGAAAAGCAGCTCAATTAGGAAAGCCCCTATACAAACAAAATAATATCTGTATTTTGCCCTTCTATGTCACAAGGATAAGGTCACGCACATGCCAAACGCCTCGTACGAAAAAAGCAACATAGCCGAAATCAAAGACGACCAGATTGTCCCGATCAAGGAAAAAGAGGTCGATGCGCTCACGTTAAAGAACAAACTGGGTACTCGATACAACGAAAAAGGCTGGTAACCAAAGCAAAATACCAGCCAGGAAGATAGGTAAGTACAAAGAGGTGGAAAAACAGAAAATCATAGGGGGCCCGAGTCGAGCTTAGAAAACGGAGATGAAGTTTCCGATTCTCTCCTTCTGGTTCTGAGCAATGCATTCCGAGATCCAGGTGACGTTTCGGATTTCCTGCGCGATGTTAGTTCCATACTAGAAAAAAGATAGGTGGGTTTGAAAGGCTTACCTGCTCCTTCAGCTTCATCCAGGCGTACACCACAGCCGGAGTGAATTGACGGGTGAAAACCAGCTTTGACAGATCCATCTCCTTTTGGTAGAAAAGATCCTCTAAACTCTTCCCATCTGCCGGACCTCCGCCCATACCACCGAGACCGCCGCCGCCGCCTTGGCTCAGACCCACAGCATCGAAGAACGCCTTGTAATCAGCCACCGCGCTAACGGCCAAGGCCACACCCTCGACATCCTCTGCCCGGGAAAGCATAAGACTGCCCTCCGGGTAGAGCTTGCCAAACTCCGGGTACAATTTCCTCCGCTCGAGCTTGGACAGCTCGGTGCCAAAGGAGTTCAGAGTGATATTGATAGCGCGACGGTCCGCCTCGAACTGCAGAATTTCCGCCATGACGTCCTGTGTTGGTGTCCCGCTGAAATCTGGGTGGGTGTTGATAAAGTTGTAGAAGTCTTCCAAGTAGTTCTTGTAGAGGGTGTTGCGGACGATCTCGATGTTCAGCTCGTCCAGGTCCTGGTGGCTCAGACTGCCCTTGAAGTAGGCGGCCAGTGGGGTCTCGATCAGTACTGAATTGTACAGTTCCTCGATGTTGGTGGCGACACACAGCACGGGAAGTGTCTCAAACCATCCTAGTGGGTGGCATCGCTCCAAAAGTTCCCGGGTGTCTCGTTCATGCAGAGTGCCTGTGATCAATAGTGCGATGTTATCGATCATGTATCCGTATGTCATGTACTCGAGAAACTTGGCAGATGAGCCTGTCGCTTGTGCGATCAGGTACTTGAACTCAGACACCAGCTTATCGGTCATCCGGCTTGCCAGATCGGAGGTGGAGGGGTTTGGGGAAAGAGAGGCAAGGAAATCGCCATATGAGGGGGCAAGTTGGAGTTTGACATCTATTGGATATGATTGTCAGAATGAATATGCGGTAGTAGAAACAACAACAGAGTCGGTAGGATCAATAAAACGTACCATCGATTGTCTCGCATTGAGTGAGGTTGGAGTAGTTCTGGCCGCTCAACAGGCTGTTTCGATAGCCGCGAACAATGCCCTCGACATATCTAAGAAAGTCAACAACGGGCTCTTCGGACCAAGCAGAGACAATAGATCACATACCCGCCGTTAACATTAAAGAATAGGCCCTCCATGGTGAATGTGGAGAAGATGATCGGAGAGACATAGCTGTAGCTCCATCCGTCCTCTGAACACGCATGGTGCTTAGTCATACACCTAGCCACAGGGCTAAGCCACTCGTGGCACCCGCTTTTCAACTTTTTTTCTTCCGTGCAAATTTAGATTCAATTTCTCCAACGACACCGGTGGCCGACGCCCTACGCTAATTATTTTTTCCACCATTTCCTCAGTTCGGTCTATCGTTCGCTTTGATTATATTACTTCTTTCCTGTTAATTTTTCGATCCTAAACGCCGTGGCCGCGCACCATGACGCTTTTCATCCTTACTGAGACCAGCGCGGGCTATGCCCTGCTGAAGGCCAAGGACAAGAAGCTCCTCAAGCGTGATGATATCGCCGAGGAGGCTTCCACCGCTGAGGGTGTTTCCAACCTGTACGTCAATTGTGTCCTCCAATTCCCTCGAATGAAAATTTGAGTGGAAATGAACAGACTCGCCGAACAGGCGCAAAAAAATCGTTATCGACAACAATGTCACTAACACACCCTCTAGTCTCAAGCTGAAGAGCTTCCAGAAATTCGACAGCGCTGCCTCAGCTCTGGAGGAGGCTGCCTCCGTCATGGAGGGCAAGGTCACCCCCGCCCTGGCCTCGCTTCTTGACGGAATCAAGGATGAGAAGAAGGTGTCCCTCGCCGTTGCCGATACCAAGCTCGGTAGGTCAATCTCTTAAAATATCTTCCCACAGTATGTATGCTGACTGTGTGTGTGAATAGGAAACTCCATCAGCAAGCTTCCCGGTCTTGACATCCAGTTGATTGCTGACTCCAGCACCAACGACGTCTTCCGTGCCATCCGTGAGCACCTTACTACCCTCATTCCCGGCCTTGCCCCCAGTGATATGTCCACCATGTCCCTTGGTCTGTCCCACTCTCTCGCCCGTCACAAGCTCAAGTTCTCCCCCGACAAGATCGACACTATGATCGTCCAGGCCATCAGTCTTCTCGATGATCTTGACAAGGAGCTGAACACTTACGCCATGCGTGTCAAGGAATGGTACGGATGGCACTTCCCCGAGCTGGCTAAGATTCTCAATGACAACATTGCCTACGCCAAGCTCGTTCTGAAGATGGGTATGCGCTCCAACTGGGAGTCCGCTGATCTTGCTGAGATTCTTCCCGAGGAGATTGAGGGTGCTGTTAAGGCCGCTGCCGACCGCTCCATGGGTACCGAGATCAGCCAAGATGATCTGGAGAACATCCAGGCTCTCGCTGAGCAGGTCGTTGGTTTCTACGAATACCGTGCCCAGCTTGCTAGCTACCTCACTTCCCGCATGAACGCCATTGCACCCAACCTAACTGCCCTTGTCGGCGATCTCGTCGGTGCCCGTCTTATTGCCCACGCTGGCAGCCTTACCAGCTTGTCCAAGAGCCCCGCCAGTACCATCCAGATTCTGGGTGCCGAGAAGGCCCTTTTCCGTGCCCTCAAGACTAAGCACGATACCCCCAAGTACGGTCTGATCTACCACGCTTCTTTGATCGGCCAGGCCACCGGCCGCAACAAGGGCAAGATGGCCCGTATCCTCGCCGCCAAGGCCTCTCTGGGTATCCGTGTCGACTCCCTCGCCGAGTGGGGCGAGGATGCCACCGAGGAGGACAAGGCTGCTCTTGGTAACGAAGCCCGCTTTAACCTTGAGCGCAAGCTTGCTGGTATGGAGGGCAAGCCCATGAAGCCCCGTGGTGTGGCCATTGCCCCCACTGGTGCCGCCGAGAAGTTCGACCTGAAGGAAGCCCGCAAGTACAACCCCGATGCTGACGCCCTGGCCTCTGAAGAGCCTGCTGCCGCCAAGAAGGATAAGAAGCAGAAGAAGCTTGTCGAGGAGGTTGAGGATGAGGAGATGGCTGATGCCGACTCTGATGAGGCTGAAGATTCTGAGTCCGAGGATGAGGCCCCCAAGAAGAAGTCCAAGTCCAAGAAGACCGACATTGAGGCAATGGCTGCTAAGGCTGGCCTCAGCGTTAAGCGATACGAGCGGAAGCTTGAGCGTGGCGAGATCACCTTCGATAAAGACGGCAACCCCACTTCAATCAGCAAGAAGGACTTGAAGAAGTCCAAGAAGGATGCCAAGAAGGCCACCAAGGACGAAGGAAAGAAGCGCAAGCGTTCCGAGGACGATGATGAGAAGAAGAAGAAGAAGTCCAAGGGAGAGTAAGCGTATGTTTTCAAAAGTTTGTGCAATGTGACCGGATGGCTTTCCTGGGATCTGTATGATATCACACCTTTTTTCATTTCATTTCTGTTCTTTTTTTTTGTTGCAATCTTCCTGTCGCTCGCATGTTTTGGGGCATTTTAGGTTGATCTCCGGTCTTTCGCTGGCGCAGAGGGTGCTCGTTAGGAACAAGGCAGTACAGTTTTAGCTGGAATAATCTGTTCATACTTCAGTACTGGATTATCAAATTGTAGTCAAGCATCACAGATTGTAGTATTAAATCCTCCAATCAAGGCTTCATCTTTATTGCTTTGCCTATATAATTTCCGGATTTGGCCTAGATATGCGGTTAGATAAAGACACCGCCTAGTTTCTGCCGGCAGTTCAAACAATTTTCCTTTCTTCAGTCCAAGATCCATTTGCTCCAGTCTATCTTACCACATTCAAAACACAAAATGAGGGTGAGATCTATTCTAGTCGAATTGCAGGAATGATGCTAACAAAATAATCAAGATCCTTGACCCTCAAACCGCCGTACTGACCAATGTCGAGGTCTTGGCCTATCTGACCTCCAATCCACCCCGCCGACCACCGCCAAGTTCGGGGAACTGGGCACCAAGCCCAGATCTCAGAGACCATAATACAGTGGTTAAAGAGGTGAGCAATTCTATACTGCTCTTGACATCTATCGACGGGGCGTTGTGGCCTGCTGCAACCGTACCACAGACTCTAGCATGAAGCGGAGTCGACCAGACCCCAAGCTCCGAAGCCAGACACCAAGTGACCAACGATAGAGGAAAATCACCCTATTAACTCCCATAGATTCACAACTATGCAAGCCGTCTCTCCCCCCATCTCCTACGATACCCCCGCTACACAGCCCACCCTACCCCCGCCCAGTCGCAATCACAATCGCAAGCCGCAATGACCGGCACACTGCGAACTTCAAATTCAGCAATTACAGAGGCAGATGGTAATTCCATGCCACCACCAATCCCCTCCACAGAAACAACACCTATGGACACCGCTCTCCGGGACCTCGTCGTCCGCCTACAGCCGTACGGACTGACCAAAGCCGAGGTCGTTATGATCCTGAATCTCGGGGTGGGACTGAGCGGCAGCCCTGCTGCGGAGCAAACGGGAGAGGAAGGTGCGAATGGACATGACGCAATGGAAGTGGACGGGGCAGCGGAGGGCGAGGAGGGCGAAGAGGAAGATTACACTGCGGTGGTGCTAATGGATGCTGTTATTGAAGAGCGGGAGCTCCGACTTTCTGATGAAGATGTTAAGGCCATTTTGGCTATCATTAAGGAAACCCTTACGGCGGACTATGAGAATGTGAAAGGGTGAAAAGGTTACTAGTTATATTTGATATCAAGAATCAAGAAAGAAACCAAACTGCTACTTCAAATTCCACGGCAGATTCACAATCGGAAAGGCCAAATTGCCTTCCCTTCCTCCGGAGTTTCCTTGCCGGCCATTTCCTCAATGTACATGTCCTGCAATTGCATGAGTAGGCTTCGTTTGTTCTCGAACTCTAGATGTGGTGATACCCAGCCTTCTGCATCGGTATCCAGGCATTCCCGAGCAAGGGTCTGAGTTTGGTGCCAATCTTCATAATAAGCGAATTGGCGCTGATGGGTCTCAATCTCTTCTTCTGTGAAGGAGAATGTACAATCTCCAGTGAACCCCAAGTTCGGCCAGCCCTGGAATATCTCTATAAGACACTCGCGGAGTGGGAGAACGCCCACCTCCGAGGTCTCACCGCAACGGATAAACAGCTCTCGAAAAACGCGTGGCACATTCATAGCGGTATGAGCCGGTCTGTTCTCGAGATACGTTGCGATCTCGTAAGCCTTTGTTTGCATTTCTTGCCCCCATTCGTTCAATGCAGCCCTTCTTTCTTCCCCGTACAATTGATCAAGGTTCCGCAGCTTCGGTTGTATAGGGCCTTTCACATATTCTTTCTCCTGCCTAGGCTTTAGGAATACTGGCCACCGAGCTTGGAGGAAGGCTGGCAAGACCTGCACTCCTTGAAAATCAATGAAAGATACTATCCGTGAGTGTTCATCGGGTGAGACGTAGATGTTTCCCATATGTAAATCTGTGTGCCAGAGTGTTGGCTGAGAAGACCGTGAAAGGATGCTATTTGTATCCAAAAGCGCCATGAGGCGTATTGTAGTCTCTAGAAGTTGGGTCTGTTCTTCAATTGTTCCCTGGTAGAAATGTGTATGGTTCGTAATATTTCCATTGGAGATTTGAGACAGCTCCCTTCTTGCGATAGATATCCCCAGGGCTGAAAGTGTATTCACTGGAAGCATATTTTAGTTGGTGCTCTTTTCAAACCACAGAAGACTATACTCACAGGGCCCGATATCATGCATATTAGAGACAGGGTTTTCAATTCCCTCTGTTTGGTATATGCGGTCACAAGAGGGACCGATGCGGAAAGCACCTGTTGAATCAATATCCCTGTCAAGAGGGATCCGACTCGAATTATTCGTCTCTTCCTGAAGATAAAGTCCCCCTTATGCAGGGAATCGAATAGCCGACAGCTGGTCCTCCAGCTTTGTTAGGCTTCTGATAAGCTTTGGCTTTTCTACTCCTGACATTTTCCCCCAAACCTCACGAAGTTGGACACCTGGGGCTTTCTGCATGATGATATACTCAGCTCCCACGGCGTTAGACCTGTCCGAGGACCAGGACAGTACCCGGGGAACGGGGATACTTGTGTGCTTGCTCACTGTTGATTATTAGTAGTTGAAGTCTTGCATGAACCAGAAATCACGTACAGAATTTTAACACGTCCACTTCGCATTCTGTAGTCAAGGTTGCAGGCCCGGCAATGCGAAACGGGATTTTGGCGATGACTTCCATCCCATTCTCCTTTCGCATCAGCAGAGCTTTGCTTAAACCGCCTTCCATCTTCTCAATAGCTGTAATTGGAGATGACAGCCCGCCAGCAGTGGCAGCAGCACTGCAAAGTGAGTCCAGGTCAAATCTCGCATATCGTCGATCAAGTTGGTTTTCTTCGTCAACAAGGAAATGGCCATTGGTATAGGCAAAGAGTTCCTCGCGACCGATTGGTCTGCCTTTAGAAATTAGTAAAAGAAAGAATTCCCGGATTTGATTACTTACCTCGACAAGTTATGGAAAGATGGGGTCTTCGTGGTTTCTGTATGTGCTTGAGCCATCGAAGAAAGGAGAGCATGACAGGGTATAGAGTTGTCTGGGTTAGATGCCCCGACAGCTGTCAATGGAGAAAATGAATATTGCTCCTATGTCTCTAAAGATTGAACAAGATTCTTCAGGTCTACTGTAATCGGCAGAGTCAAAGATGATCACGTTACCTGCATCGAGGTAAGCTAGTGAGCCCCTGAGGGAGCTACACCTACAAGGGTCCCAACCCCCGCTGTCAAGAGGGCATCCCTCTACCCTCGCGTACCTATAGGCCGGTATTACCGAGCCTGCATATATGTGAAGGGAGTCATCTGACAATTTCGAATTAATTTCCCACCAATTATTCACATTTCCGAATCGGAAAGAAATGCGAATGGGGTTGATATCATTTTGATTTGTATTGAGCTAATCCGTGTGCTTCCCCGCAGTCCCAATGGAGATCCGGCAAGTATATATGTCGACAGTTGTGACATGTAGACCTTAACCTTTCTAACTCGGCACTGCGTGGCCCAAATATCTTATTCAAGTGTGATATTCAAGCATGGGTGATACTGTGTCACAAAAAAAGCGCTATGCGCTGATCGGCACTGGTGGAAGATCAGCTCTGTTCTACACGAGCATTGCGAAAGATTTCAAGAACACCAGCACTCTCGTTGCAATCTGCGATACAAATCAGACTCGACTCAACTATGCGAAAGCCAATATCGAGGCCTTGGGCCATGAACCGGTCCCAACCTATCTCGCTGCCGATTTCGATCTTATGATCAAGGAAGCCAAGCCAGATGAGGTTATCGTTACCACCATCGACCGTACCCACCACACCTATATTGTCCGTGCCTTGGAACTTGGCTGCAATGTCATTACCGAAAAGCCAATGACCATCGATGTACCGCAATGCAACGAGATCCTTTCGGCTGTCGATCGTACCAACCAAAGGGTCAGGGTCACCTTCAACTACCGTTACGCGCCGCATAACACGAAGATCTTTGAAGTTATTCGATCCGGTGCAATTAGTACCGTTACAAGCATTCATTTCGAGTGGATGCTCAACACATCCCACGGTGCAGACTACTTCCGACGTTGGCATCGTGATGCACGAAACAGCGGCGGGCTTCTGGTTCATAAATCTACTCATCATTTCGATCTGATTAATTTCTGGTTACAGTCTCGACCAAAGACAGTATACGCACAGGGAGATCTCAAGTTCTACGGGAAGAAGAATGCGGAAGAGCGGGGTGTGACCCAGTTCTACTCGAGGGCACATGGCAGCGAGGCTGCTAAGAATGATCCATTTGCACTGCATTTGGACGAGAACCCTCAGTTAAAGTCTCTCTACCTGGATGCTGAGCATGAAGATGGCTACTTCCGCGACCAAAGTGTGTTTGGCGATGGAATCAGTATTGAAGACACGATGAATGTGCTTGTTCGATACGAGAACAGCGCAGTATTGACCTACTCTCTCACTGCTTATGCCCCCTGGGAGGGCTTCCGTGTCAGTTTCAATGGAACAGGCGGTAGACTGGAGGCGGAGATTGTCGAAAGTAGCTATGTCAACTCTGGTGGAGAACAATCCCTAGAAGGCGCGGCTGAAAGCATAACTCTCCTTTTACGGCCTCTGTTCCAAGAGCCGCGCAAGATTGAGATTGTGCAAGGCGCTGGTGGGCACGGGGGAGGTGATAATGTGCTGCTTCGTGATCTTTTCGGAGAAGATGAGCCCGATGAGTACATGAGAGCTGCTAGTCACATTGATGGTGCGGCTTCTATTTTGACCGGTGTCGCGGCCAATCGGTCCATCCGTACTGGACAGGTGATCAACGTCAAAGACATTCTCGACCTCCCCTGATGTTGGCTTTCTAAGTTGTTAGATTGACAGGTTTATTGCACTTTGGCTTCATATAAACAATTATTTTTTGGAATACACATTTGAAGTGATCTTGTCATGATGATACTTCGATACCCGTTAAAGTACCTTGTAGTAGCGGTGATATGTAGTTGTATTGTATAGCCAATGGGGAAAGGGAAACAGGCCTACATGCGACCAAACTATAGGCTAAATTGGCCTCAGAATGCGGGGAAGTAAGGAAGTGTAGCCTTCGGGTCAATTAGTAGCGATGGGCATTGCCTGTACACTTCCCCGCAATATCAGCCAAGCTTCCCAGTAAGGAGTTGGACTTGTTTGTTCGTATTTGTTCTAGTTAATGCGTTAGCTTCCCTTGATAGGTGCAAAAACTGTTTTAGTCAATGCCACACTCCTATCAGGCTATGGGAATAAAGTCTGTTATGATTCATTATGCCTTTTCCGACATTAGCTCTTTCTATTAGGGTTAGCGATGACTGACCATTTGACCGAAAGAAGAAAGATAAGAGGCTTTGCATTCCTTGCAAGGGGAAGTTAAGCAAGTTGGATTTCGATTACCCTTCAACCCCTTGTTATATTCGCCGCCATGACTGCTCAAGTGAATGATGAAATCTCAATAGTTCAGGAGCAAGAGCAGCGCCCTGAACGAGCTACACGTTCAAAGGCAGTTGAGTTTCTAACTAGTCATGCAACTGAGACTGCGTTTACCTACGAAGAGGAGAAAGCTGTCCTCCGTCGTATCGACAAGCGAGTGCTCGTCCTTGTTTTGTGGGCGTATTTCTTCCAACAGCTTGACAAAAGTTCCTTGAGGTAATTATCATAATACTACATCTTTCGTGGACCTAACGCTTTCTGAATACTCATAATACTCTGCCATTCTAGTTATGTCTCCATTTTCGGCCTGCAAGAAGACGCTAATCTAGTCGGCCTACAATATTCCTGGCTTGGGTCCATTCTCTACCTCGCACAATTGGTAATGCAGCCCCTCGTGGCCCTGATTTTGGTAAAACTCCCCACCGGAAAAGTCCTCGCCAGCGCCATCTTCCTCTGGGGATCATCACTTGCAATTATGGCGGCTTGCACTGATTTCCCCTCGCTCCTCGGATTGCGCTTCGTCCTTGGATCATTCGAGTCCTGCATTGCACCCTGTTGTGTTGCTATCACCCAGATGTGGTGGCGTCGAAGCGAACAAACTTTGCGTGTTAGCTACTGGAATGCAATGAATGGCCTGACCTCTATCATTGGTAGTCTTCTCACCTACGGCCTTGGACATATCCACAGCAGGACTTTATATCGGTACCAGACGATCTTCATGTTCTGTGGGCTCCTGACAGTGGCTTACTCTTTTCTTGTTTTTTGGTTAATGCCTGATTCCCCGATGGAAGCCAAGTGCTTAAGTGAGCGAGAGAGACTCATTGCCACGGAGAGACTGCGTGCCAACCAGATGGGTATTTCCAACCAGGAATGGCGATGGGATCATGCTCGAGAGGTTCTTCTTGACCTCAAGACTTGGTGCTGGTTCTTCTCGATTATAACTATCTCGTAAGTATTCAGTCGTTGTCTAATTCAGGCGACGAATTTCAACTGACGAAATTGGTAATAGTATTGCAAGCGGAGGGATCTCGAGCTTCGGTTCCTTGATTGTCAAATCATTCGGATTTGACAGCTTCCAAACAATCTTATTCAATATTCCCTTTGGAGTGATTCAAATTCTGGCTATCTTAATCACTGGATGGCTAGCCACATGGACTCAACGTAAGGGTCTCGTTATAGCAGGGGCCAGTGTACTGCCTAGCGCTGGAGCTATCATGATGCTCACTGTACCACGACACAATAAGGGAGTTCTACTCTTCGGCTACTATTTGGTATGCTCCTAATGATATAGTGATATAGGGTATAAGATCGACAACTAATCTTCTTCTAGGTCTCTACAATGGCATCCATTACCCCACTGATATATGCCTGGCAAGCACAGAATACCGCAGGTGACACTAAGAAGAAGTGTACCTCTGGTATAGTTTTCATCGGCATGTGCGCTGGCAATGTTATTGGACCGCTTCTTTACTCTACGGAAGAGGCACCCTTATATCGAACGGGACTTATAGCCAATCTTGCTATGTTTGTCACTGTTGGAACCATCGCTGGGTATGTAGTATGCTCTGACTTGACTGTAATTTTAATTGACTAACTTTGGTAGCCTCACTCCTTTCTATCTCATGTACCTGAACAAGAAACACGAGAAGCGACGCGTGGAACTTGGGAAAGTAGGTCCCATGGCTGATATGTCTATGCTGGGCAAGGAACAACTGAAAGAGACTAAGGTGATGGAGCTAGAGGACATTCGAGATCAAAAGGTGTCGGTGGAAGAAGACAACGGTTTGCAGGACATGACTGACCTGAAGAACGAAGACTTTGTGTATGTGTATTAGGCCCCATGTGGCTTCATTTAAACTAGCAAGTGTTTGCTCTATATCAACACGTCTTGTTTTCGATGACCATGATTATATTCATTCTGTTGACTTTTCCCCATGGCCCTAGTCAAATGCTTGGCATACAAAGAAGGTCATTTGTTGTAAAGAGGAGGTAGACAAGTAGCAGAGAACGAAATATGGTATCGAATTAAACATCTATACTGTTTTTGACCTAGTCAAAGCCCTTGAACTCACCGCCCTTTTCTTCCTCCGCCTTGGCAGCCAAGTTCAACAACCGCTGCTGCTCGTTCTTGGCACGAATCTCTTCCAACATACGCTGGGTTTCAAGAGCCTTCTGCTTCTCCTCCTCTGGCAATTTCTCCCATCTCTCCTTCTCCTTCCGCGCCTTGTTGAACTCCTTCTTCTTGAACTTCTTATCCCGTTCTTCGGCCTTCTGACTCCAAGCCACACTCTCCGTAGCACGGCGCTTGTTAGATTGCTCAGCACCTTGTCCATTAGCAGCCTCCTCCATAGCCTCTTTGCGGCGTTTTTCTTGCTGCTTGTCCTTGTATGCGTAGTTAGACCATTCAAGTTTAATGCCTAATGTCCGATCTCCTTCGAAGGAGCGCGCTTCAGGCATCTTCGGCAGCTTGAGGAGCCCCCATGCCTTACCGAGGGCCTCCCAGTCTAGATCTGCAACTCGGAAGATACTGCTCGCTTGGTGCTTGCTGTAGCTGCGTAGCCAGCTGACGAATGCCTTCTGGCCCTTGTCGTGCATCGCGCGGTCTTTCAACACGGCTTTGCGGACTTTGTCTATCGAGGCCATGGCCTGTTCGTCGGTGAACTCGGGTAGGCTGTATGGTGCGACGGGGGTTTTGCGGATTTCCAGGAATGATACGTAGTCCTCCTCGCGGCCGGGGTGGATGAGTACGATGCTGAGGCCTCGACGACCGGCACGACCGGCACGACCACATCTGTGGATGAAGGTTTTGGGATCGGAGGGTGGGTCGATTTGGACCACTAGGTCAACAGAGGGGATATCTAGACCGCGAGCTGCGACATCGGTGGTGAGGAGGATGGAGGGGGTTGTGGAGGTGGTGAAGCGGTTGAAGTTCTTTTGGCGGACGTTGGCTTGGTGTTTCCCGTGTAGTGGGACCAGGATGAACTCGTCTCCTAGGATTATAGGTAGTATTGTGGCGAGGTAGTCGACGCTGGAGCATGTCGATACGAAGAAAATGGTCTTTTGAGGTGTGGGTTGGACTGTGGAAAGGATGTGCTTCAGAATGGCATATTTGTGAAGCGGGGGTGTTGTCATGTAGGTCATTTGCAGACTGTTCAGCGGTTAGCTTCGTCTTTTTGGATTTGGAAACCAGACCAAAAGACATACCTTGCTGGAGTGCGCTTTTCTTCGACGCCAGCTCCTCCTCTGACCTTGACAGCAATTTTGACGGGGTTTCGTAGACCAAGCCGGACGATCTGATCAACAGCCTCACTGATACTGGCACTAAACAATCCTGTCCGTCGCTGCTTAGGTAGACGGCCCAAGATCTTCTGCAAGTCATCCTTAAATCCAAGATCTAGAAGTCTATCGGCCTCGTCCAGGACAAGCATTTCAAAAGATGCCTGAGGGCAGTGAACGTGAGGGGACGAAAGCAGCTCCAACAATCTTCCGGGTGTAGAAACCAATACATTTGGCGAATTTTTGAGGAATAGCTTTAGGTCTTCTGCCGGGGATGTCCCGCCGCCCAGGAGAAGTTGTGGGACGACCCTCAATGTTGAGGAAGAGGTTTTCGGACGAGGAACGCCCTCTTCGGCGGGCTTGATGGCTGCGGCCGATGCTGGGTGGAACTCCAAAAGTGAGATAAGGACTTGGTGAATTTGCACGGCCAATTCTCTGATAAATCAATATTAGAAATGTACTCCGCCGACCTGGATTTGCGCATTACCCACCTTGTCGGAGCAATGACAATGGCTCCAACGTGATGCTTCTTGAGAGGCTGATCAAGGCGAAGAAGCTTTTCCACAATTGGAATCAAGAACGACAGTGTCTTTCCGCTTCCAGTGACAGCTTCCACCACCACATCTTTATGTTGCATAAACAGAGGAATGGCCGAGGCCTGAACTGGAGTCATGCGTGTGAAGCCCATTGCGGCCACAGCGTCGAGGGTCCATTCTGACAGCGGGGGCGTGAGAGCATCCCACGCTCTTGAAGATGACTTGGGAGGCATTTATTAATTCCAACTGACACGGAGTCGTCAAATTGCTTCACGAGTCACCATCGCAATGAAAAAAAAATATCCGTTATCGATTAGATACCGCGCACGTGACTGCGGCTGTGGTCGGAAACCGAGGCGCTCTTCTTTTTCCGTCAACTCAGCCTGGCTTTCTTTAATTTACTTTTATTTTAATATAACAAGATAACACGTGCTTGGTGTTCACATCATGCACCGGGCTCCTATCTTGTGTCTTCAGCTTATTCGCCCATAATTCACATTCAGGCACCATCACGTGCTCATTGCTTTGTTCCAAGCCCATTGATATTCCGTGGCTTATTCGCTTGCGACAACTCAGATATCTGTACGCGGCTATCCTCTGGTGTTGTCCAAGCCGCATCATTTTCTTCTTTTAAATCGAGGGCCCCGACATGTCCTCACCAAATCCCGTACCGGAAACACCTCGCGTGATATCACCGACCCCCTCTATATCGGACGTGTCCGAGACACCCGATGGATATTACGCACCGGTAACGCGGTCTGCAGCGCGCCGCCAGCGCCAGCCAGAGGATTCAGCCGAAACTTCTGGCTCAGCCCGAACCTCCAGATCCCCCACGACACCCTCGGCCCGGCGCAACCGCCGATCAAACCCCATGATACCCGCCTCGCCGCCGCGCTCAGCAAACGGTTCTGCCTCGAAGGATCATCTATCCCCGTTGAGCATTCCCGATGCCCTACGCGATATATCCAGATCACCATCTCCTCTCGGACTGATCCCCCTCCACGCACGCTACCGCAGCTTCATTCACCGCCATGAAATCCCCCGCAAGCTTTTGCACGTGTCAATTGGATTTTTGACTTTGTCATTATATAGCCGAGGCGTCCAAACTCTCCAGATTACACCGGTGCTCTTTACCGCACTAGTGCCGATCGCAGCAACGGACCTGATCCGCCACCGCTTCGAGAAGGTCAACAAGGTATATATTCGGTGTATGGGTGCCCTCATGCGGGAAACAGAGGTCACCGGGTATAATGGCGTGATTTGGTACCTCCTCGGAGCGTACATCTCCCTCCGTTTCTTCCCCAAGGATGTCGGTGTTATGAGCGTGCTACTCCTTAGCTGGTGTGACACTGCCGCCTCGACATTCGGTCGCTTGTACGGCCGCTATACCCCCCGTTTGCGCCCCGGAAAGAGCTTGGCTGGAACTATGGCTGCCTGGCTCATGGGTGTTGTCACCGCCGCTGCTTTCTGGGGCTGGTTTGTGCCTTACATCGGCACTTTCCCCACCGACCCAGAAAATTCCTTTATGTTCACCGGCCGCTTGAATTTGCTCCCGAACTGCATTCGTGGCCTGCTGGGATGGGAGCCTAGCACCTCGGCGGTCATTACTGGTCCCTTGGCTCTGGGAGTTATGAGCGTCGTCTCGGGCGTTGTTGCCGCCGGTAGCGAGTTCATTGATATGTGGGGCTGGGATGATAACCTGACGATCCCCGTGCTGAGTGGAGTTGGGCTCTGGGGTTTCCTCAAGGTCTTTGGATAGATGGATAAACGATACACTCTTGATTGGCGCTTGCACAATATTTTCTTCTTGTATATTAATACTATATATAGGCGTCTGACGTTTAATATTTGGACATGTTTCTCTTGTGCTTCTCTCTGGCATTTTGCATCATCAAGAATTGGGTTATTGTTAGATAGGAACTGGCTGAAGCCATAGCAATTTAGACACTCCTCTCTTTTCTTCAATTTATACTCTTTGGGTGTGTTTTCGCATTGTTACTATTACAATATTATTGAAAGGCGAGAGGATACTCTGGGAGATCCGATCTTGTATATATGGCAAGTTCTTTCTGATGGTTTGACAGCTAAGACAATTGTTGAGACTACACGGGTAGACTCGGGGATTAGAAGGGAGAGAGTTGTATTGGGAATCATCTACAGCTAACCGGGCTTATAACTATCAAATGAAGGTAGACTAAAGATAACTTAATACTAGTGCCTACTATACGCAGTACTAGAGCAAAAAGTAAAATAAGTGTATATTTCAAAGAGTGTAAAGCGCTCGCTATTTAACCCCTGTATTGCTAACAAATCGAGTCCGGCAAGTGCGTGGTCTAAATAAGATAACTAGGTGGTTCCTATATGTAAGAAGTGAATTACAAAAGAATGTATGGAATAAGGGTAATTCCGGCCAACATATACTATCCTATTATTTTTATATACGAAGTAATAAAGATATTGTTATATAAGTAAAATATAGATATTGGGTGTAGTTTATTATAGTCGACTTAAGCACTTCTCGATATAGACAAAATTATATAATCAAAATGGCTAACTAACTGACTACATATGTAGTTACCCGTGGACGGTGACCTTTGCTAAGTACAGGACCTGGCGTAGGTCTCTGTAGCCGCCTTTGATGTGGGTAGTTAATATCAAGGGGCTAACTTCCTTAGATTTATTGTGCGTTCAACGTTTTTTTTTCTAATCTCTCACAAAAAGTAATAGTTTACTTCATTGAGATAAGATTCCTCTCTCACTAATTAGATGCTCTACGCATCCTTGACCACTACAAGCTTGGCACTTTGTTGAAATTCTGAAGCCGTCTTCTTGATCTGTGTACGAGGTTAGCTTGGAGCAATAATTCACTTGATTGGACAAGATGCTTTGCTGGACATACCTCCTCAAACTTGTTGACTGCATATTTAAGATTACCGTTGATCCACATTCGTCGCGGGTTATACTCATTGGTCTTAACGCCCGCGTTCAAAGCATTCAACTTTGTCTTCAAGCGACGAAAGTTGAGTTCTTGAGAGTTGAACAAACTGTGCAGGTACTCCATGGCCTCTAGCGCCTTCACCATTTGAGGTACCAAGAGGTCAATCTGAAGAAGCAATACCCTCACGACTGTGATAAGTCGTCTAAGTTCCACCTTCTCTTGTTTGTGCTTCGTCTCTAGTGCCATCATCTCATCATATTTTTTTTTCGCTAGATCGTAAGTATATAGATCGTTGATGACTCCGAAAAGGTCGCCTTCTGCTCCAAGGAAGAAGGTGCCCGTAGTTTTGTCCTATATTGTTTGAGATGGGGTCAAAAGATGGGTTCAAACACAATCATAATAGCACCAGCACATGACATACCATCACATCACTTTCATATTTCATTCTTTTGATCTCCTGTTCAATCTCCTCCTGCAGTCTGAGTACCTCGGCATCCATCAGCTTGGTGAAAGGTTGGACTAGCTTTCCATGGCCGTCCCTCAATCTTTCGTTCGTATCACGATCGATGGGCCCGTCACAGAACTGCTTTCGAAGTATTTGGAGGTTCTTCTTATCCTCATCTGTCCTCATCATAAACTTGAAGTGGGGATGTGAGTAAAATATGATTGTCACAACACCGGTTCCTCTTCGATATTTGAAGATGATATCTTATACTCACATTGCTGAGTACATTTAGTACGCTTCCAATATCTTTCCCTGTGTCCGCAGCAGTGTTTATCATTTGGTCGATTGCCAGATTTGCCATAGTTTGGGCATCCGTAAAGGCCGTGTCCTTTGGCCCTTCAAGGTATTTCTCATCCAAGAGAATTTTGAACTGGGCTAGAAGACTTGACTGCCCATTATATTTTAGCTGATCCAAAGCGTCGTCCGCAAAGGAAATTGTGCCATTTGCCGAGGTTACTACGCAAAAAGATCAGGATAAATAGTGCGACCGGTTTTTCACACAAGACGTACCAAGCTGGTTGAGACCGTCAGTCTTGAAGTCGTGACAATTTCTAGCCATGGAAATGACACTGCTTTGTGTGAACTAATCGACTTAACATCTTCGCTTCCATCTGGATTGATAGAGGGTGGCCATACCTCATAGATTCCATGGTCCACAGCTTCTAGTACCTGGGCTGCGCTCTTGGGATAACGCCTCCCGAAGTCGAAGTCGGATCTGGAAAATTCACTTCCGCTGATGACATACGCCTGCAGGTCTGTACATTCCAAGTCAACTAGTTTCTTAGCTAGATGATTTAATGGCTCTCGATTTACCGTGAAACCCTGATTCTTTCAGAATGAACGCCGAACTTCCATTGGAAGACTCCTTCACAAACTCTCCTGGACCGTCTACCAGCGCTTTTTGGAACAGGATTTTAAAGTCGAGTTGATCCTGGTGAGCTGGATTCCATTCATCCTGTACTGCCACCATGATGAAAATGGACTAGTTCGAAGCGAAAGGAGAGAATGTATCTCCGAGAAAGTGATCAGACAAAGAAATTCTGCTCTGGTGCTTTTCCAGTCCGAATGCTGAGAAGCTAAATAATCTTCTTGGTGGGAGACGACTTTCTTAAAACAAGCTGAATTGTGGATCCCGCGTTTTGAGGTCGTGTGGGGGATTAGTGGGGCAAAAATGGGCCCTAAGAATTGAGCAGAGAGTTCCTTTTCCGAAACAAGGCAAGCAGGATGCAAGTTGTGATCGGCGTGAGTTGTCCATCTGATAAATATGCGCTACGCGTCACCAGAAACAGTAGTGGATTTCTTCAGCCAGCCATGAACACCTACATTATCTGTGAGGTCACCATTCTACTCCAGGAGGATATCAATAACGGCCATTTCCTGCTGTTCAATACGATTGGAATTAACCAAAGGCTTAGTGTATCCCTGATGGTAAAAGTGCATATATGCTCAGATCCTCGAATATTAAAGAGCTCCTGTGGGTGGCTTCACGATGTTCTACCTGCTATTTGAACCCGCTTCACGTCATGAGCCGGGGGGGGGGGGGGGGGGGGGGGGGGGATGATACATGACACCTTGTCAGCAATCAGGTTTGCATCCTGTGGAAAACGCATGCATGAATATATATGTACTAGGGAGTAAAGTTCTCTACGATGTTCTTTACTGGTTCGCATCCATCTATGCCGAGTATGGACACGTCATCTTGCCGGAAATCCTTCAGAGACTAAAATCGCTTATTCGCGATCGCGATCAGCGGTCGACCAATGTAGTCTACCTATCAATACGGAGCAGGAGGTCCTTCTTTCCCAGCTTACCGTCCACAAGTAAATATTTCTGCCTGTGGATTCTGCGATCTGCTTCGCCCCACATCAAATTTGTTATATAAATACATCTAAAGTATCATTCCCTCTGTCTAACTAGAATACGAAGTCTCTCAAATTTTCCAGAGTGTCGATACATCATGTCTGCCGACCCGAAGACTGGCAAGCATTGGCCAAAATTCCAGATCACTGTTGAAAGCAACTCCGGAACAGAATCCCTCCCATCTTTTCCAGGGACGAATATCGAAAGCGGAGACCCTGAGAAAATTAAGCTATCCGATATTCGGAGTCATGCAGGAATGTATGACTTTTGAGCCCCAATCGTGGCGGGTATTCTGCTAAGGAACATGCTCACAATTCCCAAAATCCAACAGTTCCAAGAAGCTCAAATTCACCGCCGATGGTAAAAGTTGCGTAGACGATGCGACCACCCTTGCGTATTACATGGCGCTTTCAGGCCAGGGATGAGTGCCCTTTAAATTGAACACGTGGTAAATGAATACAATATACTAATACGTGTGTACAGGAAATGTTGAAAAAAAGCGATACAGAGCTACCAGCAGACGGCAAAATCACGGTTGTCACTGTGAAGGCTCTTCCAAGCGGTGAGAAGCGCACCAAAAAAACGCCTGCCAAGACCAATGAAGAAATACAAAGGGAAGTGAAGGACTTGCTTGAGCGGATGAACGCCGAAAAAGGTGCTCAGATTGAAGATGTTGAAGCGCTTTCGAAGGCTCTAGGGGGATTATGGGCAGAGTCAATGGATTTTGCTACCTCTACAAGGTACGTAAGCTTTCATCAAAATTTGATTCTCTGAGATAGAGATGCCTACTGTCAATTTTTGTTTTAGCTCGGTTAAAGGGGATGAGCCTGCAGACTTGACTGAGCAGCAATGGGATCGAGTCATGTCCAACAACCGCGTCTTACATGGGTATTGGTATGATGCAGCGAAGAAGACCATGCGAAAGGCTCGTAGAAGAGGTATGTCTCAACACGCCCGTATGTTAAATGCGGCCTCATCCCATTTCAGTATCCTTCTCACGCATTGTAGCCTTTAAGATTGCCTCTCTCGATGCAGATAACTCAACAGTGGAGCTCACTTCCCTCCATTTCCTTCCCATGACTGACAAGCTCCCTTGCAGAAGCCTTTACCCTCGATCCCACCATTCTATGTCTCTGATGATGCGGAGGTTGAGATCACAGAGACCAGACAAGCATTTCAGAATAGCTTAGCCAAGCAGGGGTTCAGCGCAACTATTATCAAGGCTATGGGGTAAGCATTTCACCGTCAGAGTATATGAAAAATATTTTAATCTAATCACGGAGAGCTGCTCTTTTCTAACTACCCGGTATACTTAGGGAAATAGATGGCCCTGAAAAGCTAGGAACTTCGGGCTCGGTCTCCGCAGCATCCGACGAAGAGCATTCGCACGCTTCAAAGGCGGTCGAATCCTCGAAAATTCAACACTTACATGTCGCCTACAAGGTTGGCATTCTCCTCTCTTCTCCTTGGGATAATTCTCACTGCTCCACTAGTTTCCTCGGGTTGTGATAGAGCTTGATCACACTTCTCTGGCCCTTACCCAGGAATGTATTAGCGAAGCTCAATCGATCGCCAATTCAGAACAAGCAGAAAAATTCATTCGCAACTACGGTACGTTAAGGGCTTATTTTTCTTGTTTAAATGGGAGAGGTGGCTCATTTGTGCTTCCAGGAAATGTTTTTGCGGCTACACTCACTCTAGGGGGTGAGCTTCACAGCACCCGCAGCCTTACTGAGAAAGAGAAGACTAGCTTAGAAGCTACCAAGGACCATGTGAAAACTGCTGCCGGATTTAGTCTTTCGAGTCCGTATCTGAGCGCAGGAATTAGTGGTGGTACAGCAGAAGCTGGTAACGTGCAGACATTGGAGCAACAACTACGACAGAATCTGCGACTCGCATGGCACGCGAGAGGTGGCGACACAATATTATGTTCCAAGTATGTCGCCCTGTCTCCGCTACTCCTATCATTATTTCCTCTGAGCTTCTTGTGCTAATTTAATATGAAAGCCCGCCGCAATGGGGTCCCACTGTTAAAAATCATCAACTGTGGCGCGTCATGGATGTAAGTTTCGTCAGCGGCCTGAGAAAATATGTCGGACCCTTTGAGAAGACTGAGTTTACTTACAAAAATCTTTATTTTCAGCAAGAGACCATTGTCAATATGATTGAGTTCATTAGACTCATCGATGCCAGTATCGCGGATCGTATAGAGTCGCCTTCAACCCCTCCAAAGAACGATCAAGATGAATTGGAAAGAATCTGGGTTATCTTGGGTGAAGAACTTGAAGGGAATGAGATGGGTAATATCGGGCTTGCAGTCAAAAAGTTCCTCGAGAGTAATCGTTTTGTGCTGAAGGACTATAACGAAAGCATCGGCAAAGATGAGGGGCAATGGACTAAAAAGAAGGCTTGGAGTGAATTGACGAAGGCTGAAAAATGCAATGTTGGTGTTCTCGGCTGGAAAAAGGGCGCTGTCAAGATTAACTAGAGTGCTCGAGTGAATAGTGATGCCCGTGATTCTCTCATTTGCGATACGTATACTTGCGACTCTATTGACTTTCTCTAGTGTTACTAGGCTGCGCGACATAAGGGTCTTTCTATGAAATATGTTCATTTTATCTATTTTCTCTCATTTGAATAGTAAGCAGATCTATATGGTTCTCAATATCCTGAGCCAAGGATGGAGGTTCCGGCTAGTCAGAATGAGTACCATGGCTAATTTATCGATTGACCACCGAGGCATCAGTTCGTTTTTAGAGTTTCAGTCGCAGACGCAACAGCACAGAATTTCTTATGGGATATTTTGGAAGGAACACATCTAATAAGAGCAGGCTCGTACCTGTACTTACAAATTGAACTTGAAGCACTTTACTGTAATAAACTACCTACTAACCCTAGCACTCTCATTCGATAATTTGGTTCTAGTAAGGATCACAATGACTAAACATATCCTTCCCCTTGTTTGGCCCCCTGGTAGGCGTGGTGTGGCCCATCGCCCCGCAAAACCTGCATGGTAGCAAGATTAGCACAAATGTACAACATAGGGGAAACTGTAGAGATAGACGGAGATGCGTGACTTACCTCACGTCCTGACCAGGTCTGCAACCACAACGAAGTTAGCATGGGTCCCAATGGGACGCTAGACTCTGATAGTCACATAAGCAGGTGAAAATTGCTTACCTTATACCTGGTCCCACGAATGAGAGAACAATGCGAGCGGTGCCCGGGGTTTGTGGAGGTCCAGTATAATTTGTTAATCTCAGAGGATACTCGCAGAGTATATGATTCACGCAATCTGGGAACGATACAAATCTCTCGTAGTTTCCAAATCTCTTGGGGTAGCCCACTCCTATGCAGCTGTCAGATAATCAAGTAGGCACCTTTTAGAATCTGGTCTGGATTTTGTCCACAAACCTCGAGCGTTAGAAGGACACATTTCACCGGGGAGGCGGCTGAACGCCGCCTCTGTGGCTTGGGCCACTCTCTCTCTAACTCGGTCGGCATGAAAAGTCCCGCCGCCTTCATTATTGACCTGGGGGCATTTAAACCCCCGTATGTTTCCAATAACCCTAGTTGCATTGATGGTGGGTTCTTCAATGCCCTGGAGGGGAATCTGAGCTGCAGGCCCTGTGGCGGCCGCAAAGACCACGGGGGTAGTTGCCGACAATAACGACAAAAACTTCATGACAAAGGGGAAAGAGGGTGACTGTAATGTGCCAGAATGTACCACGCCTAGTAGTGTAGGGTTGGGCGAGTAGTTATAATAGGAGGGAACGGGTAGTATTTCAAGCGGCTGGCTGCCGAACCTTTTAGGTCGAGGTACCTAAGGTAGGTACTATAAGCACCGAGATTTCTCACAAGGTATGGATCTTCATAGACTGCACTTGTGGGGTCCATTCATTGCGTGAGCTCTCGTCATTGGATTGCTGTATTTCAAAATTCTTTGTGATCAGATCTACTGTATGTATCTTGGATGCATTGAAGGAGCCCTGGAGGATATGATTGGTGTGCTAAGGTTAGAAGATATCCTAGAATGTAAAACGTATACGGAGTAATGACGTACGCGATAATTAGTTGAGAACCTACTAGTGAAATCCCACAGCGAGGGATGATTTGACAGCGTCGCCGCCTGAGCTGGTGAACGAACTGCATCATATTTGCCTCAATCACCCCTCCATACTTTTTCGCGTTTGCGTTCACTCTTAGAATCGGAATGTTATATTCTCTTGACGTATAAGGCGTTGTAAAGTTACACAGCTTTTAGTAGCTACATTATTTGCGCTATGCAGCCCTCGCAGACGGGACCAGCCTCAGGCGGTTGCGGCAGTTCCCGACAGTTCCCGGCGGGATTCCCCGCACTACGCAATTTAATGGAATGACGACCTACCACTCACTATTAACCCGCTGGATGTTCCTATACCTTGTTAGATAGACTCATAACATTTGAGCTGTTAAATGTTTACACACAATATGACAAGAGGCTGATATATTTCATATTGAAACATTGATGTCCGCGTGGATGCCTCATCAGAAGATAGCTGGAGATACCTCCGGGGTATAATAGGTGATGACTCTTACATTTCTGGCAAAAAGCCAATGATGTCTTTCAATGCTGAAAATACAAGATCCGAGCCCGCGAAAGTTGAAAGTAGGAGACGAACCAATCGCCTCCAGTGACACCTGTTGTGTATGTTGTATGGCTGCACGCTTCTGTAGCTGCGTGGGGCAGTACAGAAGCGCCGAGTACTGACCCTTCAGCCTTCCAGCCAATCGTGGTCCACGCGCAGAGCCTGTGTGCTGCTTAATGGCGGAGCTGAAAGGCGATCAACTAGTGGGGAAGCCTCATCAGCTGGGATGTGACCATTAGGCAGAGTGGATATTTGATGGCCATATCAAATTACATGTGCAGCAATGCGGTGTGAGCAAACTGGTGATCGAAGGGTTCAAAACCTTGGAATCGGGATGTGGCTGGCTGGATCGGAAATTCGGAACATATACCGAGATCGGCAGATGAATGTTCGATTCCTCCAATTCTACCAGTAGCTTACCGTTATGCCGAGGCATCCTGACCTGGGGATTTGAAAGGGTGGTATAAATTGGTTTGAATGAAAGCAGCTCTGAAGTATTCTTTAAAATTTGGTCGAGATTCCATGTGACGGAAGAAAGACTTTTCAGCTACGGAGATCAGTGAGGCGGAACAAGCTTACAGATCATCCTGTTATTACATCATCACCCCTGTGGAGGATATTTAATCTAAATATTGATTTTTGCGCACGGGATTTAGTAAAGAAACAGATTTCCTGGATAGCCATGTAGACTATACGGAAAATGAGTCTCCTGTGTGTCTATGCGAGAAGGAAAGGGAAAAGATAGAGAAAGGATAGGATAGGGTGTGACTAAAACAGAGCAGTAAAAGTTTGGACGGCTATGGCTGAAGGAATGCCTAACCAATTGTAGATTGAATGGGGTGAATACTATTTGCTGCCTGATTCCCCCATACAGAATTCCTGTTAAAGTTTTAGGTTTAAAGAGCCAGTCCTACTTTAGTGACAAGGCTATATAGGTGTGGGTGCAGCAGGAGCGAACCGAAACCACACACGTATATTAACCGAAGGCGTTATTCAAAATAAATCAGTAAAAGAATTCCCGCATGTAAGCCTCTATTCGGTGCCAACTCAATACCGCAACCTGCTATAGACCTAAGTAACCTCTCTACGCACAGACCTGGGAAATGGAATTTAAGTTGAGGGTGCTGTACCCGAATGATCAACTATTTTCTCTTTAAAGGAAGAAGAACTGGAGTAATCAATTCTGTCACAGAAATCTCAGCCGTGGTCCACGTAATACAATGTTGATTCGAGATGCTGCTGTTGAGATATTCAACAACCCGCTGGGGTTGGACACATCGCTCCTCTACCTAATGTGCTTGATCCACCGCAAGCCTCTGCTGAGTTTCCACCAGATGCATGGCTTGGTCGAGGCTTGGATTTGACCTCTGCTATGCCAGGGGATATTGGATCGGTAAGAAAGGCCACTCCCCGATTGGGAGACTCCCTTACTTTGTTGATTCTATGTTACTCATAAACATAGATCACACGAGCGATCAAGCCTGCTGCCCGGTTTATCAAGCCAGACGATGAAACAAAGATGCGGATTTTTAATTCTGGCGTGACTTGAAAAGTTCCTAACAATGTCAATGCCTTAGAAGATGTGAGGATTGGCCAATGTAAGTTACCAAGATATTGACATCAGCTCATACCTATTTAACGCTAATATTTGCCTTTCTTGTCTAGCAAACTACCACGCATATCGAACCGGCACGGAGGCCGCCAATGCCTTCCAAGCTGATGCCAGCTTAACTGGAAAATACATGGCAGTGTCTGGTTCAGTGTCTGTTGGAGCCTCGATCAGCAAGATGTTCAGCAAAGACTATTCGTATGCATTGTTTAGCTATAACGCGAACTTGATCAATGTCTTCTTCAAAGATTGGGACGATCACATCGATGAAGATCACCTAAAGAAGCGGCTGAAGCACCTTGGGACCTTCGATGCAAGCAAACCTGATGCCAAAGTAGTAAGCAAGTGGAATAACCTTTCCAGGGCCATGGGAACCCACGTTGTTACAGGTTGTGCGTATGTTGCACACTTTCAATTAGTGAGTGACCAGCCCCAAGCTACTAAATTCTTCAGTAGGTCGCCAACTAATCTAAGAGCACTTCTGCAGATGGTGTGGGCTTCCAACGAAAGTTCGTCAGCAAAAGAGAAGTTCAGTGCAAATGTCAGCGCCGGGCATAACGGCTTGACTACGGGTGGTAAGTTTGATGGAAGCGTCACCAATACTAGTGACTACAAGACTTTCCAGTTCACTGTTTAGAAGACATGCTCCTGTCAAGGCGGGGATCCAAGGATGACTGTCACAATCTCGGGTCACCCAAATGATAAGAACATCTGCAAACACTACAACGATTGGGTCGATACGACTGGAACGATGCCTAACATTATGCCGATGCAGACCGTCGCTTTGTGGGAGGTTCTAGCGGCTCCTATGGACGATTAGCTGGTGGACCTCTCACCTTCGGTGGAAGAAGTATTCAGATACATTGTTGCACACCCGGGTGTGCATAAGACCAAGTGCCGCTTCGTCATCAGCTCGGATTGGTGAGAATTTGGCCTCTTAACTCCGTCAGCGATCATTAGTCTAGACGAGGAGAACCCGGAAGGACTTCCTCATTTCTCCGACAGAAGTTTCATGGGGAAAGGAGCATTCTTTTAATTGTCAGCGGACAATCATTGCCGAGTAAGTTGGGCATCTTTAGAAGTGGTTTTACTCTTGTGGGGCATACGACTAATGAATTCTGTAGCTTTGTTATTGACAACGATGGATTTCCTGTCGACATCGTGCTGTCACACGGTAGCAACGGCGACACACAGGATAATGGTAGATGCACGGTCAGGATTAAAAGAGTAAGTGCATCGCTCTTGCAGGAGACACCCCCACACTAATAAATCCACAGAAGGACTACGTGAATCAGGAGATTAGCGGCAATAACTGGAATTCGCTATGGTTTTATGGATGTGTAGTTCAGCAGTATGAGGCTTAGTCTGCATGTGCATACATATCGGCCCCATCTGGGCTAGTTTAAATCTACGGTTACAATACCAAATCTACAAATTATCAGACGGAGTGTTCAACACCCTCTGGATCTTAGTTCTACTTGTTTCTGACGTTATTGTTCATATTTGATCTATAAAGAATGGAGGACGCTTATAAGACCCCTAGGATGGTGAAGCTAGTAAAATATGGTACTATTAGCGTACCTGCGAGTCTGCAAGAGCTGAAAATGTATGACCGAGGACAAATGTCTGCTTCTTCTATGTGATGGTATGTGGTTAGTTCATATAGCCTACATGCTCGGTGGTGCCTTGGTACCTCAGGCACAACCTCAGATAAAGTAGTCTAGCCCGAGAGCTTCTTATAGTAAGCAATAAAAAGAAGACAACTGGCTGTGCAATGTTGATAGTGGTCCTCTAGACGCCTCTCGGAGTATCTTTTCGTAATTTAAACCCGTTACATTGTCACCATAAAAGGGGGAGGGTCAGACCTCCATTTCCCTGCAATCTACCTTAAACCCGTCACTACTCCGTACCTTAATCCCGGTTGGCGAGTGGCTGCCTGACCTGCTTTCCCCTGTCATACCCCTATCTTTAGCCCTCAAAGGTAAATGCAAGATGGGAACGGCACCTTCCGTTCTGCGGAGACAATGCTAAATCCGTGTTGACCAATCACAATAAAGAACGGCACCGTCGGTCTCCACTAGTCTCCACTTTATGTAGTCATAGTCATGGAGTATAACATTGGAAGTATACAGAGGGTCAGGAAAGTATTTATACCCTACATTGATACTCCTCTCTGTCTCCTTCCCATCCTCTTCATTCCTCTCAAGCCTGCAAAATGCCTTTCTATAACAGTTACCCGGGCTTCCTTTATCGCCAGTTCCTGGTCTGCCCTTCCAAGGCCCCCTCCACCACCTCCCTTCGCGGCAAGGCAGGTATCGTGACGGGTTCTAACACTGGACTGGGTTACCAAGCTTCATCCCAGCTTCTTGGACTTGGACTATCCCATCTGATTTTGGCTGTCCGTAGCATCTCCAAGGGCGAAGCTGCCCGGAAATCCCTTCTTGCTGCACTCCCCGCTTCGGCTAAACCTCCTGTGGTTGAGGTCTGGGAGTTGGACCTAGCCAACTACGCTAGTATTATCGCGTTTGTCGATCGCCTCAAGCGCTCCGACATCGAGATCGACTTTGCTCTTCTCAACGCCGGTGTTGCCAACTTCAACTTCACCGTCAACCAATCCACCTCTCATGAATCAAGTATTCAAATCAACTGGCTGAGCACTGCGCTTCTAACTCTGCTGTTGCTGCCTGAGCTCGATCGCCAGGCTGCCAAAAATCTCAATCGCGCTCGCCCGGTGATTTCGATTGTCGGCAGTGAAACAGCCGCTTGGGCCAAGTTCGCCGAAGCCCAAGTGTCTATCAAGCGGGGAATCCCACTCATCGACGTATTGGATGACAAGACTCACTTCGACATGGGCGACCGATACTATGCCTCTAAGCTGCTCCAGCAGCTCTTCTTCCTCGAGTTGTTCCGCAACCGATCCAGTGCCAAGCGCTCCACGGGCACCATTCTTAACTTGGTCAACCCCGGTTTCTGCTATGGCTCTGAGTTGCACCGTACAGCTGAGGGCGCCTTTGGCACAGTCCTTAGTGGGATGAAGAGAGTCATCGGTCGCTCTGTTTCTATGGGTGCCCGCACGCTGGTTCATGCATCGGTGTTAGCCGGTGAACCTTCTAATGGCAGGTACATGAGTGACAATAAGCCGGCTCCATTTGCCGGATATGGAGACAGTGATTCTGGTAGAATCACGCAGGCCCAGGTCTGGAAGGAGACATTGACCGAGTTGGGTCCGGTCGTGGATATTCACAAGCTGTTGGCAGAGATTTAATTGATTTTCGCGATGATTTTTCCTATTTCCTTTTTCTTGTTTTCTTGTTTCTTGATTTTTAGTCATGCTTGAAGCGTGTGCTGACAATGAACATTCCTCTTTGTTAGGTGTGCTTACCTAGGTAGTCTCGTATAGTCTTAAATGAGAAATATTCCGCCTGATCAAAATCCCAATCCTCGGAAGCGATTTCACAGTTGCTGACTAACAATTCCTAATTCTGCCTAGGTCCCATATCGCGACCTGGGCAGTGGACGGCGATAATCTGACTCTTAATTACGAGCCCCCCTAAAACGACCGTATCTGTTTCCGTGAGTAGTCACCATCATGGCTTCAACTCCAGTGGATGCGACCGCTCCATCCCAACTATTACATTATCTGCCTACGTATCGGGTATTGATCTGCCTTCGTTGCAACTATGCGATTCAGCCTGGCGCAGTCGCTCGCCACCTCAAAGAAATCCATTATGTTCATCATTTATCCCGTCGAGCTTTTGTCGAATATGCCTCTGGATTTGAACTGAGCCAACCAAATGATGTCGTCTTGCCTGATGAAACCCAGTTTCCAGTGCCTTTCTTGCCTGTTCAAAATGGGCTAGCCTGCTCTTTCGCGGGCTGCATTCATCTTTGTATCACCGCTAAGCGCATGAAGCAGCACTGGATGTCTGTACACCATATTCCCGCCTCAGAGAATGCAGGTTTCTGGGATCCAGTGCCGCTGCAGACATTCTTCCGGGGAAATGCTCTCCGTTACTTTACTAACCCGGCGTTGTTGATTTCGTCGTCTTCGTCTGACAATTCCGATGGGCTGACGAACACAGTAAGTAGATTGATGGCCATTACCCATCGTTGGCCTCACTGATTATCCCTTCAGACTGCGACAACCCCTGCTTCAAGCGAACATCTCGAGTCGAGTCCTTATCAAACGTTGATCACCACCGACGCAGGTCTACTGGATCATTATCGGAACTACACCTACAAAACGCTCTCATGTGGCCCCGAGACCGATGATGTGTTTCGAGTCATTGTCCCACAGTTAGCTACCCAGTTTCCCTTCTTGCTCCATGGCATCCTGTCCTGTTCTTCGCTCCACCTTGCTTCTATCGACCCTGCAAATCGAGCGTATTATACAATCCAATCAATCAAACATGAAGACCAAGCTGCTCCTGCATTTCGATGGGCAACTATGCATGTGGATAGCAATAACAGTCAAGCGGTGCTAGCCTTCGCATTTTTCCTCGTGATCTACGCCCTAGGCTCCGAGTCTAACGACCAACCGTTATTTCTGAGCAATGATAATAACGAAGAAGACGCGCCAGCCTTGGAGTGGATCGAGATCCTCCGTAACGGCTGCTCCATGCTCTGCCCTGTCTGGACGGAACTCACCATTAGTCCATTGGCACCCTTTACGGCACTTTGGCGGGATGACCTTGGCGTCACTCCCAATCCTAACGACCCGCTACTAATTAGACTACTCTCTGTCATTCCAGACTATGAATCCGAATCCACGGAGTACTATATATACCGCGATTCAGCGATAAAATTGACACAGGCCTTTGCGTTTATGGAGCGTTCGGGGCCATCGGCGACTATCTGGGATGCTCTTAATTCATGGCCAATGCACGTTTCCCCTGAGTATTTGGCCTTATTGAAAAATAACAATCCGGGCGCTCTGTTACTGTTGGCCTACTACGCTATCCTTCTGCAACCACTTGAGGGAGAATGGTTTTTGAAAGGCCGAGTCATGAGATTGATAGATGAAATTTCGCGACGATTAAATGGGAATTGCTCGCCACAGATTTGGGAGGTGTTTTCTATGTTGCAGCGAGAATACTTTGATTATAATTTAAGCGCGTTGATTTGATTGGTTATATCTATAGTACGAAGTTGACATGATACCTCTTGTTTTAGTTCAAAATATTCTGCACGATTACGAAGTATAGTCCTTGGCTGATAATAAGTTTTATGCTAAATAGATTACAACCGAAGTACCCCGAGATCGGAAATAGTTTACAGTGATGGCGAATATTGAACATTTGTACGAAAAACATCTGCGGGGGAATATTGGGCCTGCTACCTTACTAGGTGGCAATTAGTAGCCTCGGGTCGTGCCCAGGTTTCTTAAGGTCTAAAATCCCCCTAACTATAACACTAGTCATGCCTGTGACCCCACATAGTGGACCTTTATATAGTAGAGCTAAGTCAATTGCATGAATTGACTTGGTTATAACCTTTGGATCTCGTAAATGCTAGAAGTAGTATATCACAGGATTCCTCAGGATTATTCAATCGAGCAAAGCGTATATACTACGCAAAACTAGCACACTCTAATTTTTATTAGATATTCTTGGAAGTAACTTAAAAAACAAATTTGTAAGCTGACTATTAGCCCGGTGAGATTATAAGGAAAGCGATTGGACGGTAGTTGAATCTGATGTTTAGTCTGTCCCCCATAGGAGGGCTGTGCTCCATGCTCGGATTCCGTTGTCGGCCATAAATAACTTATACGAACTATAAAACACGAAGAGATAACTATCAAATCTAGAACCAAGCGGAATTTTCATCCGCGACCAGGACGGATCTAAGTGATCCGACCCCCTCCCCTGAACCCTCGTGGTATGCAGAGCTAATGCAGAACAATAACGACATATGCACCTCGGTTTCAAGCCGGACGTAGGGCATTAAAATACCAGTAATATGCAGCAGAGACGTGGTCTTACCTCAATATGGCCCCCAATGCCACATTGCTACCATGAAACTGCCAATTTACTCGCTTAGATTGAATGCAGTCAAGAAATCAGCCTAACCGGACGAGCCGGATTGACAGACGGAACCATCAACCGATTATGATCACATTATAATGTAAAGCTTGGCCCTAGTGGTTGTCGATCGTATCTGTCATCTCGCCTCTCGGCTAATTTATTCTTTTGTATACTGAATGGACGGAGAAAACTGCGTAAACGCCTTCCGTTGTTCCCATCAGCCAAACACCGCAGACCTATTAAAATCACGGGTGAAATCGCCGAAAGAAGGTGGCCACCAGAGCTAGCCAAACTAGGTCGTGTGTTATGCGGGGGGAAAAAGGCCCAAACGTGGGCGTCAGCAGTAACAGGCCCCCATTGAATGCTGGCTGCAACCATCCGCTCCCGTTCTGGCAGCAGGTACTCCGTAGATGCTATCGAGCCAATCTGAGTTGGAACGGGATGTGTGGGTGCGGACAGGCCTCTAAAAGAACGGTAGCAGGGGTTATGCTCCTGTAAAAGCCCAGGTACGGGGGCCTGAAGACTGAAATATATTTATACGAGGTACAAGAGGATTGTCATTCAACAACTGTCTTCAATCGTCTGTTTACATCTTATAAACTTTGACCATCTCCATTGCATTTCTATCATATTTATCATGTCTCAACAGGGGGTGGCTACAATGGATTCAATCGATGAGATGATCGATAAGGAAGATTGGAGTCAAATAACTGAGCCAGCTTTGCGCAAACGTATCCAAAACCGTATTTCACAACGCAAGCTTCGTATGTTTTTCCGTTTCCTGTGCCAGACTAAATTTCATCAACTAACCCAATCACAGGCGCAAAGAGAAAACTGCAAAACAAGTTCAACGTTGTGCCTCCAACGCCTGCTATGAATATCGATAATCCTGACTTGTCCACACTATTTGCCACAGGCAACTCAAATACAGAACCATTTCTGGATCCCATGGAAGCTTTATATCCTTCCATTGACCTCGAATGGCCGGCAAGTTTCGACATGAACACTCCCCCGCTGCTGGACCCAACCCTACCTTGGAGTCCCGACGAAATAACACTTGACATGCCATCGTGGACAACAGACGTAGAAAGCGGCTACTTCGACCACGACCCCCTACCATCTGATCTCCAACTGATTTCTGATGGCGATCCGATCCCCTTAGACCCAGCCCTTATCTCCACCATGGATACAATGCCCTCTCCCCAGCCTCGAAAGCCCCGAGAATTTAAAGCCGGGGAGGTCCTTATCCACATTGATAACCCGGGACTACAAACTCCCCGACCTGACTCTGTGGCGTCTTCTTCCTTAGCCTCATCCGCAGAGTCCACGTCAAGCAGGGCCTGTCCAGTAAAATGGAGTACCCAGATGTTATCCCGCGGCTTCGAACCCAGATGCTCCTCTAGAAGCAGCGGCACTACACGGAAACAATCATTCCGTCCATGGAAGAAATGCACAACTACCAAAGCCGCGACAGCGGATGGCTCATGCCATTCATCACATGAATATGTAGTGGAATGCACGAATTGTGGATGCCACATGGCTGTGCGGGAAACGCCCCGACCAAGCCAGAAGGAACTAGTGGAGATGCTGTGCGAGCGCAATCCGGCATTGGCTGAGTTGGCGAAGCAGCCGAATGTTCGGATCGAATATGGATTACCGCCCTCAAGACATGGGAGCACCCGGCGTGATTCAACAACTGACTTAGAGATGGAGGATCATGGCGAGGAGGCAGAAAGCGAACAAAAGTATATTGTTATATATACAGGACGTGACCGGGCTGGTGATTAAATTATATTACGTCAATTACATATGTACATACAGTTGGTGGTGCCGGGTGTTCATGCACCAACATGCCTGTTTAGATCTCATAGTTCTTCAATGCACTCTCATCTAGATCTGGTTCCTGAGTCTACACCCTCAAGACATGCTTACATACATTTCATGCTATATTAAGACAATTCATGGATGATAAACAATTGGCAACTCCACTTTCTGACTCTGACTGCAGGTGGCTTGAGGGTGACATATGGCATCTAATACCACTCACTTCAACATGCATATTTAACTATAGTGAAACGCACCTAAAATCTTACTACCATTGGCATCATTTTCACCATTATGGACATCAACGGATACGCTCTCGTTACCGGTGCAGGCAGTGGAATCGGTCGGGCCTGCGCGTTGGCTTTTGCTCTTGAAGGAGCTGCTGGCATTGTCTTTGCCGACTTGAACCAGGACAGCGCTGAGAAAGCAGCCGAAGAAAGCAAGAAGTTAGCAACAAACGCTGGCTACCAAGCTTTGGTGTTGACCCTCGATGTGACCAACGAGGAGCAGGTGGAATCAGTCGTGGCAAAGACGAAGGAGTCCTTTGGAAGAATCGATTACATGGTGAACTCGGCCGGAGTATGGGCTCTCTCTCTTTTTTATCTCCTCGTTTCTTTCTTTCCTCAACACTAATGGCTATATGTAGATTGGTGTACAAGTTCCAGCGGAGATTGCAGAAGCATCTCTTGTGGAGTTTACCCGCTTCCTCGACGTGAATGTCAAAGGATCGTTCCTCCTCACCAAGATCGTTTCTCGCGCAATGAAAGAGCAAGAGGCAAAGGCTGTCAGCTCTACAAATCCCAACCGGGGTTCTACTCGTGGTGTTATTCTCAACATGGCATCCTGTTCATCTTTTGTGGCGACACCTCTGTTGACTCAGTATACAACATCCAAACATGCCGTTCTTGGATTGACCCGAAATGCCGGTAAGTGTGACTCTATCCTAATGAACGGAAAGAAGAGAATCGTGTCTCTGACAAAAACAAAGCATTGGATAACGCGAAGTACAACATCCGTGTCAACTGCCTGTGTCCGTCATGGGTCGATACCCCTATGGTAGACCGCGCAGTGCAAGGGAATCCAGACTTGAAAGAGCTGATTGCAAAGGCCGTTCCAATGGGAAGAATCGCGCATGTGGATGAGATAACCGATTTGATCATGTTCCTATGCAGTTCCAAAGCAAGTTATGTCACAGGCAGTAGCTGGATTGTTGATGGAGGAACTACTCTGACGAGTCATGTTTGATATTTCCGTGTGATTGTCAGACAGTGTCAGATGGGAATGTCAGACTCAGATGTCAGATGGGAATGTCAGACTCAGATGTCAGATATTATGCACTACATACACTTATGAATATATAAGACGGATATGTACATGCTTTTCAAATCCACTCAACAAATCAAATATTCTATATCAATAGCATTCTATCATGACTACCACCGCTGCTATCAACTTCATTACCGACGGCTTCCCGGCCCCCGGTCTGCGTCCGGTCCAACGTCTCATCACCGGCAACAAAGAAGAAGATGGCAAAGGCCACTTCCTTGTCACTGACGCTGGTGACCACCACCGTGTGATGGGCGAGAACCAGGCCGTCGCCAACATCATCTACTCCACAAATGAGAATCCTGTTGACCTCAACGAGGACAAAGACATCAAGTTCTCCCAGGAGAACGAGGTAAGACTGATCCTTTCCAACACATGGTTTCCACACGACGTAATGCTAACCAGAAGAAAAGCCCGGTCTCCATATCACCAACGGCACTGTGGTGCGCATGATCGACTTCGGCCCTGGAGTAGAGTCACCCATGCACCGTGCCATGTCAATCGATTATGGTATTGTGCTGGAGGGTGAATTTGAGTTGACACTCGACTCTGGCGAGACACGCCTCATGAAGCGCGGTGATGTGAGTGTGCAGCGGGCGACGGCGCACAAGTGGAAGAATATTACTGCTGGAGAGACGGAGGCTGGACGGATGTTGTATGTCTTGCTTGATTGTAAGGAGGTTTTGGTCCAGGGACAAAAGATCGAAGGATTTTTGGGCGAGTTGGAGAAGGAGTATGAAGGAAGGAGTGCGTGATTTGGTTGTTAGTAGGATTTGATCCGAATATCTTATGGGAAATATTATCCAGTTGGCTGGAACTCTGAAACCACAAAGTTCGCGCGTAGTGCTACTATACCTAATCCGCACTGTCCACTTCCTCTCCCATAAGATAATGTGCGTTTTTTCTGCTTTTTGATAACCACATCGCCAACTGGCGACAGGTGGAAATAATTGGGCCCGACGTCCAGGGTTCAACTTTGATTATTTTTATTCTTTGGTACCTATTGGGCCTAGTTGGGTCCAGTGAAAGTCCAGTGGGCTCGAAGATAAGGCCCACAGCCCAGCCCATTAGTGGGTTTGATTGTGGGCTTTTATGGGCTTTGCAAGGTCTAATGAAAGGCATAAGCATTTGACTGTCAGGATATACCAACACAATACTATTTCAATATTTCACCTATCCTAAGATATAGAGTACAAATAATTCCTCTTGGCCCTTTTTATCAAGAAGGATACTAACTTCAGTGAAGCAAGCCATTGTTGTAGTTGAACAAGCCCTTGGGATCCCACTTCTTCTTTAGCTTCATCAACCGAGGCAACTTCTCGGGGCCATACATGGGATTCAATCCCTCGGTACCATGGGCATAGCTGACATAGATGCGCAAATCATCAAATCCACTGGTCGCATTGAAAGCCTCAACAGCCGAAATGGCAAAGTCGTCTACCTTATCGCCGATGGAGGTATCGGTAATGTTAAATGAAAACATTCTAGATAAGTGTTAGATGGGTACTTATGTTTGCATGGACACAATGAGGGAAATGCTTACTCATGAGCACTGATTTCACGATGGGGATAGGCAGTGGAGTCATCTGAGATAGCAGTGATAGCCTGGATGGGGAAGTACTCCACCTGCCAGGTACTTCCCGAAGCAGAGGGAAAGTCCTCCCAGAACTTGACAAGCTTGTTGAAGTAATCAATGTGTGTCGCTGCGTCGATGGAACGTACACCAACGGACCACATGTCGTGCTTTTCGCCATTGACGCAAAATGCTGTGGCTAGTCCAAAACCAGCAGCGTCGTCGACTGCATCCCAGTTGACCATGGAGATGTTGCGTTGAATAGAAGTCAGGTCGAGGAAGGGGGCAATTAGATCGAGTCCTTCTTCCTTGGGGCCGGGATAGACGGCATTCAGGAGGATAACGGGCTAAATGGAATGGGTCAGATTGGTGATCGTGGTTATTTGAGTCGAAAGAGAACTTACTCCCACGGAAGGATAATTCATCACCAAAGTATACAAGGACAGACCGGCAGGTAAGGTTTCATAACTAGCCAGAATGTTGAAAAAGGTTTCGTTAAGGCTGGCAGGAAACATGAAGTCGGCGTTGAGAACGTTGCCCTCGTTGGTCAGATCGTAAATGTTGTATGTGGCCGATGTGACGATGCCATAGTTGAACCCAGCGCCACGAAGGCCCCAGAAGAGGTCTTCGTGCTTCGTGGCAGAGACGGTGATGAGGTTACCAGTGGCGGTCACGAGTTGAACCGACTTCAAAGCATCGAGAATGAGACCATGAAGGCCTTGGTATCTACCAACACCCCCGCCAAGAGTAGCACCCACCATACCCACGCAAGGACAGGAGCCAGTTTCTATTACAAAAGCGTTAGAGAGAAGAAGTTCGGCGCACCGTATAAGATAGATACTTACGAATCTCTTTTCCGGCTTTGTAAAGAGGTGGCATGACATCAGAAAATTTGACAGAGCCTCCAATAGTCATGGTGTTCTTCTTTTTATCGATAGTGATGCTGTTGAAGAACCCGAGGTCAATCTTGAGACCATTTTGAAGAGCCCCGAAAGAGGTACTGTATCCATGGCCTCCTCCACTGGCCAAAAAGGGGACATCATTCTCGGAAGCGTATTTTACCTGCGATATTATATGGTTAGATGGGGGAGCAACATGTAGATAGTGGAAACGTACAATTGCCTGCAGATCAGCAACATTGGCAGGCTTAATACCAACAGAGAAGGTGGGTTCTTCCCACGCGGTCCATCGCTGGACAGTGTCGGTCCAATTGGCATCGGTAGGATAGTAAATTTCGGTGGATGCAGAAAGGTTGGAGGCAAGAGCCGCGAAGCTGGAGGCGGCTACTTGAGATGCAAAGGAGAGAACTCCAAGGAGAAAGAGGAGGGGAGATGCAGCCATGGTTCCTTGCATATGCATGTCGATCAACAAGTCTTGGCTTTGAATTCCTAAGACTGGATGTATTTCAATTCTTCTCTGATTTCTATATTCCGCAGTGTTCCAGTCTTGTATTTATAACTCGAGTATGACATTTCTAACTTTGACCCTAATGGGGGCCAAAAACGACAATAGAGCAGCATCGTGCCATAAAATTACGAGTGATGGCTCTTTCAATCCAGAGTTTGTCTACAGATCGCATTGAACAGGTGTTCTTGGTCGTGGGCTGATATCTGACCTGGTGGCTTTAGGCTAGGCGGCAACGATGCATGTCAGGTCAGAAAGGATGCAGTCATGTCAGATAGTCAGATCATAAGCCGAATTACTATTCATATATAGTAGACTGAGTTCATTAGAATTACAATCCACCATTTATCATTCACCATGGGCTCCATATTCAACAATTATGTCGAGAAATGTCACTCTGAGCCACAGCGGCTGAAAATTGTTCATGTTGGCGCCGGTGCAGCCGGTTTGATAACTGCCTACAAGGCAAAGAATATTCTATCGAATTATGAACTGACTGTTTATGAGAAGTGCGCGACCATCTTGTGTCCTTCATCTATTCAGTATTAACATATTTGTAGAAACATCGAAGTAGGAGGAACCTGGTTTGAAAACAGGTACGTTCTTTTTCTCTCTCTCTTTTTCTCTTTCTATATTCCCCCTGAAAGACTGTCCATTGGAAGAAACAAATATTAATATACTATTATTAATGGATCAGATATCCAGGAGTGGGTTGTGATGTTCCGTCTCATTCCTATGCCTTTACCTTCGAACCCAACCCGGAGTGGAGTGGATATTATGCCGGTGGACAGGAGATTCAGCGATATTTTGTCAACTTTGCGAAAAAGCATAATCTGTACGATTGTATTCAGTTTGAAACTGAGGTGATCCAGGCTACTTGGTGTGAAGATGATGGCGAATGTTCGTGCTCCTTATATCCACTTGGTCAACCATAACTCATTTATATAGGGGAATTGGAACTACAGCGAAAGGACGGTACTCGCTTCCTGGACAGATGCCATGTTCTCATCAATGGCTCGGGGCCATTAAATAAATGGAAATGTATGTGTCTCATCGTTGTCACTGCGTTCTATGCTGATCCGTACAGGGCCAAAAATTGACGGCATCCACGATTATCGTGGTATCCTCACTCATACAGCCAACTGGGACTCCTCTATTGACTGGAAAAACAAACGCGTAGCGGTCATTGGAACTGGTTCGTCTGGTATTCAAATCATTCCCCAGATTGTCAAAGGTATCTATCTTACATATGTCTCCATTATGACCTTCGTACTCACCTCGTCCCAACAGAAGTCGAATCCCTTTCAGTATTCGTTCGTTCCACGCAATGGATTGTCCCCCCAGCCGCATTTCAAGACCTACGCCTTTTTCCTGATGAGCCTGACAAGTCAGCCCCGCCCGCACCGGCCGGGAAGCATTTCTTCACTGAGCATGAGAAGAAAGTATTCCGCACCGATCCCGCACGCTTTTTGGAGTACCGCAAAGCCGTTGATGGAGTTATGCAGGAGCGATTCCCGATCTTCCTGCGTGATCATCCCATGCATGATATGACCACTGAATTGATCACCCAATTGATCAAGGCACGCGTGGGACCGGATCGAGATGATCTTGTCAAGTTATTCACGCCTAAATTTTCACCCGGCTGCCGTAGGCCTACTGTAAGTTTTCATGGGTCTTTTTGTATAGTGTGCATCAGCTGACATGACAGCCCGGTGATGGCTTCCTGGAAGCATTGACGGAAAATAGTAAGTTTGGTTCCTGGATATGCAATCTCATTTTGCTAACAATTCAGATGTTCGGGTCGTCACGAGCGGTATCACAAGGTTTACCGAGAAGGGCATCCAAACGGCAGAAGGTAAAGAGCATGAATTCGACTTGATCATCTGCGCCACTGGTTTCGACGTTGCTTTCGCACCACACTTGTGAGTCGTTTATTTCCATCCTAGGTTCGTATATAATTCTAACATATGTAGCACTGTGACTGGCTCAAACGGACGGACTATGCGCGAAGAATGGGCAAAGGTAACATTCACATCCAGATGCAGTGAATGAAGACTAACTGGAGAAGTCCCCAAACATCTATCTCAGCATGACCACACCAAACTTCCCCAACTTTTTCTTCATTGGCGGACCAACGGGGAACTGGGCTCAGGGTTCCGTTTTGATCACTGTATGAGAAGCCCGTTCGGATTTGACAAACCAAAACTGACCCTCGAATCCAACAGCACGAGGTCCAGGCCGAATACGCGCTTCAATGCGCCGCGAAGATCAGCAACGAGAATTTGCACTCTGTGACACCTAAGCAAAGCGTGACGACACAATGGCGACAACATGTGGACAGTTGGCATGAGGGGCATTCTGTCTGGGCCGAAACGTGCCAGTCATGGATGAAGTATAACGAACGAATCCAGCTGTGGTCAGGAAGTATGCTTCATATGATCAAGACGCTCAAGACCCCTCGTTTTGAAGATTATGACATCAAGTACCAGGAGGACAATATGTGGTCGTATCTTGGGGATGGCCGGACTGCGTCGGAGTTGAAGAGGGAACAGGGTCAACAGGTTGATATGGCGCCATTTATGAGAATTCGAGATGAGCCCTGGTCAGTAGAGTAGCTTATTTCAGTTACTTGAATACTATTCATTTTCATTGTTCCAATATTTATTGTCCTTGTCTGGATTGGGATAGTGTTCTGGTATCACCCTTACCGTGTGCTATGGCTGTTTCCTAGTCCAGACTTGAAACCTTTTGTTTACTAGTTCGCCGGGTCCTTTTCATATTCTTCGATATATCCTAGAAATCAGAACCATCTTTCATCATGTCTCTCTCTTTCTGTACGCTGAACGGATAGCTTGTTTACTCCAGTAATTGGCGTTTGATATTATTATACCCCTTTGGGCGTTGGGTTTATGAAAATTATGAATCCTCAATATTGAAAGGTGCATAATTTCTATGATCGATCTAGATTCTAAGATTGAAGTATGAGTTACTGCGTGTCAAAGACCCAAAACTGCAGATCTGACGGTCTGACCCTCTTTCTGACAGTCTGACATACTGTCCACTGTCAACCGATCTAACAATTCGAACAATTATAAAACTCCTCAAATTCTACTGTTTACTCAAAGAAAGAAAATTCTATCAATATTCTCACCAGCATGTCTCAACTATCCGGGTTTCCCACTCTCCGTCCCGCCTACATTCTCAAGGTATGTGTATATCAACAGATCTGTGCCGAAATACTCGACCTTACTAACAGAAAAATAGCTACAAGTAGGAGAGGGCCAGCCCGTTGGTACAGAAATGCCATTGCCCATATAACGATATCTCAGTCTAATCATTTTACTGTAGGGGAAACATCTTCAGGGTCGACTTTTGTCCACTATGTGTGTTTCCACTCTCAATCTCCGTGAACAGAAACCGATTCCTGACATTTGTTCTAGAGTACCCCAGGCGGATCCATCTCCACTGTGGATGGCTTTTCACCTAGCATCGATGCTGAGGTTGTCTTCGCCGGTGACTGGTTGTATTTTGATCCCGATCAGCAGCATAGTCGGATGAATGTCAAGGGTGTTGCGAAGTGAGTTGTGTATCTCACGTTTACATGTCCCTCGCTAATGAAACCTCTAGAACAACCGAAGGCGAAGTAAGTTTTACGAGAACATACAGCAAGATATACAATTAACCCACCACCAGGGCATCAACTTTACCTATTCGGGCGTCTCTAAAGTTTCGCCCGACTTGGCTGGCATTTTCCAAGGACAACCGAAGACCATCCCATTCGGCCTGTCAAGTTAGTCCTTGAATATAGACTATGTATGATATCATATGCTGACATCTTGCTTTTAGCCATGAATCCCACTTTTGAAGTCGGCAGTCCTCGTCTCAAGGAGCTTGAGAATAGCACTTGGGTTGGTAATGGTCGATTCCTACTGGAGGGAGACAAGCTATATGTGGAAGTGCGCATCTCGCAGGTTACTGCCAGTGAAGATATGGATTAGATAGACTATTTGTGTTGATGGCAGCCAATAATCAGCTCCAGGATTTGGTAGTTGACGTATACATTGATGATATTCTCTACTGACCTTGTTTAACTCACTTTCCATGGTACATGCTACTATACAGAAATTTATTCCAGGCGCACCGTAGACATGATCTCAAATAGCAGTAATGAAATACAGAAATGGGACGCGTCAACCATGTCAAATGTGTAAAAGCCCACAAAGCCCACAAGCCCAACCGAAGCCGCAATGGGCTGGGCTTTGGGCCCTATCCTCGGGCCCACTGGTGGGCTATGGTGTAAGCCCACTGGGCCAGCACAGGGGGCCCAATTAGCCCAATAAGAAACCAAACAATGCAAACATACAAAGTTGAACCCCTTCTTTAGGTTTTTTTGATTACCTTATGTTTAGCACAGTTTCTCACTATCATAATCAACGTAATATTAGATTCATTTAAAGTATCTGAAATCAAATACTAGTTATATTTCTATTTCACGTTGAGAAACGCGAAAAAAACGCGTTAATTCAGATAGTTCAAAAATTACAGAGGTTTACCTGGAAAGTAGTGGTAACTCCTATACAAATCCCGAATATATATATCTTCAACTTTTCCATTTCCCCGCAATATCTCGACTTCCGTCGATTAAATTTCGTTCAAGATTACACTATGTACTTATATGGCTGCCATAATTTAATATTCTAACTTTGAACTTTATACAATCAGTCGAAGATCGCAATACAGCAATTACAGAGGCCGCTGAGATGGGTTTTGGTGGGGGTCCATAGCCCAACATTGAACTAGCTGTGGGCCATGGGTTGGGTTGGGCTTTAGACACCGGGCCTATTTATAGGCTTGGTGAAGAACAACTTGATTTGGATATAGGAAAATATATTGTCCGAAGCTGAACTGACAAAGCACTGCCTTCCGTTACAGGTCAGGCATGTAAAATGTGCGAACTGGCCAGTCCAGTTCATTGTCAATGGTCATTTAGAGGTAGTATATCCCAATTTGACTTTCTAGACAGATTTGGATTTCATTGCGCTCTTCAACTTTCCCAGTCCAAAGACAGGCCATAGCACGTAGTCCTGTTACTGTCAAAGACCGGCATATATGCCTAGGACCGAAAAGGGGAAACCTACCCAAAAAGTGCGAAAACCAAAGATATCCATAAACCAGACAATGGTTGAGGTATTGCCTACCCAATGCCAGGCGGGTGGACAGGCTCGTAGTGACTGCTGCACCACTGATTTGGCATATACCATACGATCGGTTGTATCTGCCGGCCTGTTAGCCCTGCATGGACAATATTTGATAATTCTGCTTACTGGGTACCCGTTGAACGTGAGCTTCAAATTCCTTCTGGAGCGGAAGGTAGAATGAATCTATCAATATTGTTAGTTGAAGTTTAGGAGGCTAAACTGGAGAGGTGACGTGCTTGGAGGGAGAGTTCGCGATGCGTCACGGCTGAGGATGTTGGTTCCGATATTGCCGGATATAATCTATCTTTGTTAGGTGTTGCAATTATTATACGTTGGATGAGTGTGGCCGGTTACATTGATGACTCGGACGCTGTGCGGACAGTTAGTGAGGGACAAAGAGGAAGGATAGAGAATTAACAGACCCTAACGGACTCATTTCCACCCTCAGTGTATTTCCCCAGTGATGCAGTGCAGCCTTGCTGGCGTTGTATGAAGCTGCCTTGCAATTAGTTGACATTTGTACTTAGAGGAATCTTTCGATAAACATACAGCCATACATGTAGGGCACAATCCCCCCGACAGAGCCGATATTGACGATGCATCCTTTGGCTTGAATCAGTAATCCATGGAATATATTCACCATCCGAATTGGTCCAAAGAGATTGACATCAAACATCTGTTGCACTTGCTGAACATCGGTATCGATCGCGGTCATCGTATAGCCTATTTCTTAGTATGATCTCACCCACTGCATTCATAGAGGCTTACAGATTCCACTATGCATTGTTAGGTTGCATATAAAAGGTTTGATTATCACGATAACTCACGCATTGTTCACTAGGATATCGAGTCGATCTCCAATCTTCTCCTCGACTGCTTTGCGCAAGGCTGCTACGGACTCATCCTTTGTCACATCCAACTCCAAACAAGTGATACCGACCGAGGAAAGATGAGTTTTGGATTCCCATGGCAGAACGGTGGCCAGAACAGTGCAACCTGATCAATTTAATAATCTTATCAAAGAAATTTGATGGGAGTCGTACCTCGAGCCTGATACTGAAGAGCCAATGCCTCCCCGATCCCTCCCTTGCCGCAACTGAATTATCCGTCAATAATAGGAGGCGCATGATAGTGAATAACACTTACCCCGTAATTAGGACGGATTTCATTTTGATCGTGCTGGTGCGTGATTGCCATGATGGGGTTAGTTGTATAGCTTGATCTGACCGATCTGACCGCGTCTTAAGCCTGACGTCTGACAGACAGTGAGATCAGCCATGTCACTTTGTCACTACATAGCTGGTCAGATCTTAATTAATAAAGTATGTGTATAATGTTAAATATTGGCCTATGATTCTAGAATTGCACTCCAAAATATTCCGATCTATACCAACGAATTATACTCCACCGAAATGAGCTCTATCAATACCTCTTCCCTCGGGACTGCTCAGTCCAATGCGTCAACCGACGATCCCATTGTGATCGTCGGAATGGGTAATAATTCCTGTACCTTCTCTCCAGTGTATCTAGCTAACCAATTTAGCCTGCCGTCTCCCCGGTGGTGTTTCCTCCCCTAATGACTTCTGGGAGATGCTCATCAACGAACGGACCGGGCAATGCAATGTTCCCAAGAGTCGTTTCAACGCCGATGGATTTTTCCACCCGGAAGGCGACCGTGCCGGTGTGATGAATACCAAAGGCGGCTATTTCCTGCAGGAGGATGTGCGCCAATTTGAAAACTCCTTCTTTGGGATCAACAATCTCGAAGCCACCTACATGGATCCTCAGCAGCGCAAGCTGCTCGAGGTAGTTTACGAGTGCTTTGAAAGTGCTGGTGCATCTCTCAAGCAGGTTGCTGGCGCAGACATTGGTGTCTATGTTGGCAATTTCACCGTGGATTTCCAGACAATGCAGGCCAGAGATCCGGAGTCTCTGCACCGATACAGTGCGACTGGCTCTGGTACTGCGATTCTTTCCAACCGTTTGAGTTACATCTTTGATCTTCGTGGTCCCAGGTAAGTGATCATCCGTTGTTAAAGTATCTTTCAATCTTTCGGACTGACAAGATCAATAGTTTCACCCTCGATACGGCTTGTTCATCATCAATTTATTGTCTTCACAATGCTGTCAATGCCATCAAAGCTGGAGAATGCGAAGGCGCCGTGGTGGCTGGTGCCAATCTCATCATGGGCCCTGAGCAGCATCTTGGAACCATGAAGGGAGGTGTTCTCTCCCCAACCTCCACCTGCCACACTTTCGACGCCAGCGCAGATGGGTACGGTCGTGCTGAGGGTGTGAGCGCTTTGTATATTAAGCGCTTGTCTGCTGCTCTGCGAGATGGCGACCCCATCCGTGCGGTGATCCGGGGAAGTGCCGTGAATGCGTATGTTATCTCGTTCGTATACATCTAACTGGAACAAGACACTAACGGTTATAGTAATGGCAAAACATCCGGCATCACTCAACCCAGTATCTCGGGACAGGCAGAAGTCATCCGCAAAGCATACCGCGCGGCTGGACTGTCCGTGGAAGATACAGAATACGTTGAATGTCATGGTACTGGTACTGCCGTCGGTGATCCCATGGAGGTTGAAGGCTTGAGTCAAGTGTTCAAGCGCAAGGGAAGATCGCCTTTGCTGATTGGAGCGGTACGTACGTCAATTCGCGTATGAGTGCACATTTTGCTAATCGATACAACCTAGAACAAAACAAACGTCGGACATAGCGAAGCAGCCAGTGGCATCACGGCTGTGATCAAGGCAATCCTCACCTTTGAGCACCAGGCTATCCCTGCAACCGTTGGTGTGACCAAGTTGAACCCCAAGCGTAAGTTCTATATCCATGTTGGATGAGACTCAGGATGCTAACCAGACAGTCAAATTGGATGAATGGAACATGAAGATCGTGACTAGACTGACCGAATGGCCATCGGCCATGCGTCGTGTCAGTATCAACTCGTTCGGTTATGGCGGTGCAAATGCCCATGCAGTATGATATATTCCTCTGTGTTGAAAATTTCGTGCATACTAACCATAGTAGATTGTGGAAGACCCGTATCAATATCTGGCGTCGATTAACAAAGTCCCCAAGGCAATCACACACAATCAACCCGCAGATAAGACGTATCTTCTCCCCCTGTCTGCCTCTACTGTCGAAGGATTGGAGTCCCGGGTCACCGACCTGGGAAGTAGCATCCGCAATGGCGCACACTACGACTTTGTTGACTTGGCCCATACATTGGCAAACCGTCGATCAAAGCTTTCTCAGCGTGGTTATATCCTCGCTAGTCAGGCGACTGCAACAAACGACCTGGTTGTCGACAAGTTGGTCACCCAAACCCTGCCTGCCTTGGACCTCGCCTTCCTTTTCACTGGACAGGGTGCCCAGTGGGCCGAGATGGGCCGCGAGCTGTTTGACCAGAGCCCGATCTACCGGGACACCATTGACCGCCTCGACAATGTGCTGCAAAATCTACCCGAGCCCCCTGCATGGTCGATTAAGGCTGCGCTGCTGGAACCAGCTGCCAGCAGTCGCGTTGGTGATGCGAGATTCTCCCAGCCTCTGTGCACTGCAGTGCAAGTCGGACTTGTGAACGTGCTTAGCAGCTGGGGCGTTGCCCCTCAGATGGTGGCCGGACACTCCTCGGGTGAAATTGCTGCCGCATATGCCGCTGGATTGTTGAGTGAAGCCCAGGCCATCATGGTCGCCCATTATCGGGGACATGTTGTCGGGCAGCTCAAATCGCAAGGAGCCATGATGGCACTTGGCGGTAGCGCAGATGAGGCGCGACAGTCAATCGCGGACCTCTCGCTCCAGGAGGAACTGGTGGTTGCATGTGTCAACTCTCCTGAGAGTGTGACCATCTCTGGCAGTGTCTCCGGCGTTGAATCACTCTTGCAGACAGCGTCCCAGGCCGGAAAGTTCGCCCGGAAATTGCAGACAGGCGGCAAAGCATATCACTCCTATATGATGAAGGAGATTGGCGAGGAGTACGAGCGACTCATTGAGCAGGCATGGCCAACTCTTCCTGCCAATCCTATCGATAGAGAGACACAGTTCTTCTCGAGCGTGGGTATTGACGGACCCAATTGGTACAGTCGCAAGACTACCGCAGCGTTGCCACTCAGCTACTGGCGTCAGAATCTAGAGAACTCCGTCCAGTTCTCCGCAGCGGTGACCAGAATTCTGGAGAATGGCAAATGCCATCTCATCGAGATTGGACCGCATTCCGCCCTGCAGTTGCCCATCAAGCAGATCCGTACATTCTTGAAATTTTCCGTGGACGATGCGCCGTACAGCTCTACCCTGGTCCGCGGGAAAAACGCTGATATCTGCATGAAGAGTCTTGCTGGAGAGCTGTATATTCGTGGACAGGATGTCAACATCTTGGCGGTCAATGATACCGATTCTGCCACCGCCAAGGTCATTCCCGATCTGCCCCCATACCACTGGAGCTACAGCCAGCTGCTTTGGAGAGAATCCCGACTCAGCAGCGATCTTCGCAATCGCAGCTATCCTCGCCATGAATTGTTGGGGTCAGAAATGGCCGCCGGCAACGGCATTGACCGGGTATGGAAGAACATTGTGCGACTGAACGAGGTGCCCTGGTTGAATGACCACAAGCTTGAGAGCCAGGTTGTCTTCCCAGCTGCTGGCTACATCTCGATGGCCATTGAAGCCATATCCCAGATTAAAGACCTGTCGAGATCGGACTCGTCATTTGTCTTGCGCAATGTCAACATCGCCTCGGCGTTGATTGTACACACAGATGAACAGCAACAGGCTGAGATGTACACAACCGTCTCCCCCGCCCGGATTTCCAAGGCTACCACCTCCAGCACCTGGTATGACTTCTCCATATCCTCATGGCAGGATGGAGGCGCGGTCTCTCATTGCACAGGTCGCATCAGACTCGATCAAAAGGCCTTGCCGGCCATTACTGTTGATACCACTCAGTATGAGCAGTGGTCGATGGGTTCATGGTATACCAAGTTGGCCGAGGAAGGACTTGTCTTTGGTCCTAAGTTCCAATCGCTGGTCTCAATGAAGACGGACAAGAAGAGAGTCAACCCAGCTGCAGTCTCCGAGACAGTCATCACGCAACGAGTTGCTCGATCATCGTACCAAGGAGATTACTATACCGTGCATCCGTTGACTATTGACGCCTGCTTGCAGGCCGCCATTATGGGTGGCACGGCTGGCAATCTCAACCGACTTCGCGCCCACCTACCCGTCTTCCTTGACCTTTGTGAGATTAATACCCCCAGGGCAGAGAGCGTAAATTCAACTGGATCCATCCATACTCTGTCTCAGAGCACCGGATTCGGCACCAAGTCGATCGATGCGTCATTGCACGATGGCTCCGGCTCTGGTGTGATCAACATGCGCGGTGTCCGCCTATCTCTGTACACTGGCAAGGCTGAACAGGAAGAATCCGACACAGGTCGTCATCCATGCCTACGAGTTGTGTGGAAGCCAGACCTGGCCAGACTGACAGCAGATGATCAACCCCATCTCCAAGATATCATCAGCGATTTCCTTCTAACCCATCCCGATTTGGCAGACAATGGCAAGGTCGGCGTCGTTTCTGCCTTGTTGGATCTGGCTGCGCACAAGAACCCTCGCCTGCGAGTATTGGAGCTGGGCAAGGGGTGTGACTGCAAGAAGCAGGGATGGCAGGAACTACTGGATGAGAAGACCGAATTCCCTCGTATCCGAGAATGGAAGACTGTGGAGAACGAGGAGATCGATGGGAAATACGACATCGTTTTGCTTCCTCATGGCGCCGGCACCAAGCCGTTGAGAACGATGGACCAGTTGCTGAGTCTGCTTGACGTCAACGGCATCATCGTTGCCCGAACAGAGAGTGTCATGCCTACCACTCTGGCTGAGTCCGGATGCACTATGTTCGATTTGCCTTTTGGAATCACCATGGCTCTTCCTCCTCAGCCACAGCGCAAATGGAATGGTCGTGTGGTCTTGCTTCACGATCAAGCGTCCAAGATGGCCGACGCTCTGCGCCAATTCTTTGCCGCAGATGGTATCTCCTCTGCTCGTCTAGACGAAGTAACAACGGAGATGATCACGCAGTCTACTGTTATCTCCCTACTGGAGATGGAAACCCCCTTCATCCCAAATATGACACCGGAGGAAATGAAGCGTTTCAAAATCGTCACGGACAATGCTGCAGAACTAATTTGGTTGACGGGCGCCTCTACCATCACTGGCGATGCTCCGGATCTCTCCCTAGCCAGCGGTCTCTCAAGGGCTCTGATGTTGGAACAGCCAGCTCTGCGCTTTGTTACCTTGGACGTGGGCAAAGGTCCTGACCGTATCAGTCGGGATGCTATCTGCACCAAGGTCCAGCATATACTTACAGTCGACGACGTGGCCGATGACAAGGAATTTGTCTGGCACGATGGCCTCCTCCACGTGAGCCGATTCCTGCCTGACACCACCCTCAACGACCTTTTCAGCAAACGCGAGGCCAATGAGATTGATACCATGACTCTGGCCGAAGCGTCACCTGCTCAGCTGGCTATCAAGCGCGTCGGCATCACCGACTCGATCTATTTCCAACGTCTGGCTAATCCCTCTACCGAGATTCCGTCCGGCCAGGTTGAAATCGAGGTAAAGGCCGTCAGTCTCAATGCCAAAGATATCTACACACTGTCTGGCAAGATTGAAACTCGCAAAGGCACGGCGGCCATCGAGTTCAGTGGAATTGTGCGTGGTGTTGCATCGGACGTCTCGCATCTCGCTGCTGGCGATCGCGTGGTCGTCCTGGCCCCGAACAGCTTCAGCACGATCGAGAGAGTGCCAGCCTGGGCCTGTCTGAAGATGCTCCCGCACGAGAGCTTTGAAGTTATGCCAACCCTGCCCGTTATCTATGGAACGGCGCTGTATGCCCTTGACGATCGCGCCCATCTACGCGCCGGTGAAAGTATCCTCGTGCATTCCGGTGCCGGTGCCTTTGGAACAGCCACTATTGCGATTGCCCTGCAACGGGGAGCGACCGTGTATACCACCGTCAGCACAGAGGAAAAGAAGGATTACCTGGTGAACGAACTTGGAGTTCCTCGTGAGAATATCTTTGCCTCTCGCGATGACTCGTTTGTCGCTGGCGTTCTGGCCGCCACCAATGGCCGGGGTGTGGATGTCGTCGTCAATTCCTTGACGGGTGATCTGCTCCATGCCACCTGGCAATGTTGTGCCAACTTTGGTCGCTTTGTGGAGGTCGGCAAGCGCGACATTATTGATGCCGGACAGTTGGATATGCGCATGTTCTTGCGCAACGTCACATTCACTGCCTTTGATCTGACCGAACTCTTCTACCATGAAGATGAACACTACCGCAACATCTGGACCACGTAAGCTCTCCCGTCCCCAGGATCTTGACAACTTGAACTAATGTTTTCCAGTAAATTCGCCGAGGCTTTAGAGCTCTATCGAGCTGGGGCCGTCAAGCCAGTTCCCATTGCCACTTTCGATGTCAGTGAGATCGCCCAGGCATACCGCTTCTTCTCTACCAAGGGCCGAATTGGCAAGGTCGTCATCTCGTTGGAGAACCCCTCCAGTGTGATTAGAGTTGCTCATGCGCGCCATCTAACCACCTTTGATGCAAACAAATCCTATCTCCTCATCGGTTGTCTCGGTGGACTGGGTCGCAGCCTCAGCCGCTGGATGTTTGACCGCGGTGCTCGTCATTTCACCTTCCTCGGTCGAACTGGATGTGACAAGCCCGCAGCCCGTGAGCTGGTGGATAACCTCGAGGCCTCTGGAGCCACTGTCCAAGTCGTCCGTGGAGATGTCATCAATTCCAACGATGCTCAGGCCGCAGTCGACGCTTGTATTCGACCCATCGGTGGTGTGGTTCAAGCCGCAATGGGTCTTAGCGAAGCCCTCTTCTCCACCATGACACACAAAGCCTGGCACACGGGCATCCAGCCCAAGTGGCAAGGAACTTGGAATCTGCACCACGCGCTCGAGGCGGGTGATGACAGCCAACTGGACTTTTTCCTGCTCACCTCTTCCGTCTCAGGCAGTGTTGGTACAGCCACCGAGTCCAACTACTGCTCTGCCAACGGCTTCCTTGACGCTTTCGCACGGTACCGTCGCAGCCTCGGCAAGCCCATTGTCTCCATCGGTCTCGGCATGATATCCGAAGTAGGCTACCTGCACGAAAATCCCGAGATCGAGGCGCTTCTCCTCCGCAAGGGCATCCAGCCTTTGAACGAAGCCGAACTTATCCAGGTCGTTGACCTCGCCCTCGCTTACACCTCTGCCAACGGGCCGGAGTCACTGGCACCGGGTCTCGAGTACGATCGACTTTCTGCCTCGCATATCCTCACAGGATTGGAACCACACGGAATCCGCAAACTGCTCGACCGCGGATTTGACGTCAATAACGGCACGATGCAAGATCCTAGAGCGGTCCTCTTATCCGCCTCGCTCGATTCGCCCGCTTCTCAAGATTCATCTTCTGCCTCATCATCTGCCACCTCGCTCTCTGCCCTCCCCTGGGCCGCAGGTCTGTCCGCTGGTGTCCTCAAGTCTATGGTGGCGACCAACAAGGATATCGCATCCGCCTCCACTCTCAACGAAGCAGTTCTTCTCCTAGTTAGGAAGCGGTTCTCGAACCTTCTGCTTATGGGATTGGATAAGATTGACTCGGTTAAGCCGATCACCTCGTACGGAATGGATAGTATGATTGCGTCGGAGTTCCGATCCTGGTTCTACACGGTGTTCAAGGTTGATATTCCTTTCTTGGATGTTCTGAACCAGACCTCTACCCTACAGAGTTTGTCCGATGCTGTTGAGAGCAAATTGGCTCTTTAGTTTGTTGGTTTTGTCCTGTTTGCTATTAGACTCTATATATTGAACAAATTGTCCTTGCTGTAACCATCCTTTTCACGTGGTAAATTAAGCCAGTAGTATGAAAAGATATTAACCTAGAAATAACCGAATCTAACATTATGTAGAATTTCACTACCTCCGGGCATGAAATGTATGAAGAACATTGTAACTTATGTTGATGATCCTTACACAGAAGCAATTCTTAATACCTTGTAGAAGAATGAATCCAATTTTTCTCTTACTATATACATGAGGTCTAGAAGAACGGCGACACTTCTAAATATCTCTTTTTAGTCTTCCTATACGTTCTTTAAAGATCGGTCCTCCCCTCAGTCTGCTTTCGTATATTTTTTCTGTGCTTCATACCCTATTCCTATCTTCCTTACAATCGTAATGTACAGGGGAAAGAAGTTGCACATCCTAACAGAAATAAAATAGAGCTTCTATGTGAAGGCTGCTATCAAGGGTTAAAATCAACCCATAATCATTCAACTATGCTAATCTTCATGCTTATACCACATGTACTCAATAGATAGCTAGAATATGAGATGCAGTATTCAACTCACGCTAATAGCTCTGGTCATAAAGGGTCATATAGAATGATTATCAGTTCAACATGTAGGAAACATTTTTCTGAATTCGTCCAAGTATAGAAGGATCTAGTGCGTATCCAAATTGTAGACCTAGGCTAAATGTTCTCTGCTAGCAATCTTGATCCAGAAATCATGATGCACCAACAAAGCGAGATTTTCCTGCTTCCAGATCGGTCTCGTTCCATTGTTAATCTTGGGTCGGAATAAACGGAAGAACTAACAACTAGTTAGTGAAATTGAACAGTGATGGCCAAGAATAACAACCATACCTGAACCAACAGTTTATACGTCTCCAACAGCGCGATATTCTTGCCTAAGCAGATACGACTCCCGTATCCCCACGTCAGGATACACTTATCCATCAAGGCCGCCCGCTCTGGATCTTCCAACCAGCGCTCGGGGCGGAAGTCATGGGCATCATCGCCGAAGACTCGTCGATTCCGATGAACAACGTATGGATTCGCGCCAATCTCTGTCCCCGCTGGGATATATTGATTATGCAGCGTCATACCTCCCTCGGAGACGTAGCGGGGGATGATCATCGGGGTGGAGGGCTGATACCGCATTGTCTCCTTATAACAAGCGGAGAAGTAGGGCATATCTTTGACCTCGTCGTAGAGGGGGACGGGATGAGTGAGCAGTCCTCGACGATCATAATCGTCAATCTCAGCGACCAGCTTGTCATACACGCCTGGCGTTTGAAGCACGTATCGAATGAATCCGCAGAAGAACGCGGCCGTCGTATCGGATGCCGCTACCATGAGCACAAAACATTCGGTTTTGACTTCGTCCAGAGTAATGGTGGATCCGTCGGGGTTCTTTGCATTGAGGATATTGTCAAGGAAGTCGCCCTGCTGTCGTTGTTTGGGATTGTTCAATCGCTCTGCAAGGAGCCGATCGCGGAACTATCCACTTGTTAGCTTGAACCTATCTTTCACCAGCTCTAGTTTTCCGTAGTGATTTATACGTACGGCCATGATTTTTCCTGTTCCCGACCCATCGCCTGGCTTGGGCATGAAATACCGTCTCGTGATCGGATTCTCCAAAAAGGGTCGAGCTAGCCATGGCAAAGCCCCAACAATTGCAGCGAAAGGCGCCATCTGATGGAAGTTTTCAATCAGATTCTCAACATCCCGACCTTGGCTGATAAATCCAATGGGCTCGCCAAATGAAAGCTGGCAGATCATGTCGTAGGCAAACCACCTGTCCGAATAAGCTTCTTGATCATCCACGTCTCATATTACGGAAAATACTTACTGTGACCAAGCAGCAAAATCCATCTCTTCGCCAGTTTGAGCAAACCTCTCAGTTAACACTCCCGTCCATTGGATAATGCGATCATCGACCTGACCCTCAAGTGATTTCAAATTGGTCAAAGTAAAAGAAGCAGCCACTCTTTTCCGCTTCATGGCATGTTCATCATGTTTGAGTGTCTGGAACGGCGGGGCAATCTCACCCAGCACCCCCACTGTATACACATCAGTCTTGTCTACTCGTCGATGGTAAATCTGGGGCAAAAGCATGGGATCATCCACGGCCAATAGATTCGGTGCAGCGCGCACGATGGGTCCGTATTTCTCATGATACTCGATGCCTAAAGTGTGGGCTTGTTTGGTGTGTAGAATCCATAGTTTGAAGAAATCGGATATAGAGGCCCAGAAGGGACCGGGGATTCCGCGTAGGGGATGGAAGTAGCGGTTGTAGATGCCTCGATAGAGGATGTAGGATATGAACACGACGAGACTCAGACAGTATAGATGCATGTTGGTCGAATGAATACTCCATTGTTGGTTTCAAGAAATGGTAGGTGTTTTATGTGGTCATGTCTGACCTGACTTGCATATATTATGACAGGCTGATGGTCAGAAATCAGCCCACCTTTTATTGGTCAGTGGCATCCTGATGAATGCAGTAAGTTATGTGACATAGGTATATGTGTGTGGACATGAAGTCCTATTTTTTATCCCCATGGTCGTATGTGCTATAGCCCTTGGAAAGGATAAAGTGATGTTGACAAGGAAAAGGTGTCTGTTGGAAGAGGTCCGTGCGCAGGATATATCTCAACTGCTGGACTTCCCCTTTTCCTCAAGGCCATCACGGGATGTTTTTTACGGATATATTACTATGACGATAACCCGCGGAAGACGTGTATGAATTAAATGCCACAATATAAGAATAGATTTCTAACACAAGCCCCTTCAATTCCGGCAAAACCCTACGATTTCTCCTCAAGAGCCTCAACTGCATTTTTCAAGTCATCAACCTTCTGTCCAAACCGTTTTCTCACGTCCCCCATCACAGTAGCAGATATTCTTCTCGGATCGAAGTTCGTCCTAACGACTAGACCTGGCTCTCCCTCCTCCGACGCACCATCTCCCCCAGCAATTTCAGCACCTGTCTCGCCGGTCGTGTAAGCCTCGTAAACGGTGAGAAGCTGATTCAACGCATCGCGCGCAGACTCTTGATCATCCTCGGCATGGATTGATTCTTTATCGGTGGACTCAGACGCGGTTTCAAACAGGTCTTTGGCTATTCCGTAAACGTCCTGCAGGTCTTCGATCAAGTTATCGGCTGTCGGTTCCTTGGGCGAGGCGGAGTATGCGCGGAGTTGGAGTTGGGCCTGGGTAATTATAGCTGTTGGGCGAATGTAATTTATATTCGCGCTTGGTTGAAGTGGTAGACGGCTCTGACGGCTAATAGTTGATGCAATGTGCACGCTCTGTAGAGTTGCCAAATTGTAGGAGCTTCTTATGGGAAGGTGTTGGACACCTTGTCGCAAAGCTACGCCGGTGCGGAACGAGGATGTCATTTTCTTGTGTATGACAATTAAGAAAGCACAAAGGCTAAATGTAGATTAAAGCTATGGCTACTTTCAGGAAGTTGGCAGAAAAAGCAGCTCTGAGCTGATGACGTATGTCTTACATGCTGATTAACACCGGGAGTATATCGTGATGCGTAATGTTCGTGGAAGCTTTGGGCTATAAATTAAAGAAATTGCGAAGCAAATATAGATCTGACATGTTCCCTAGCGGCAATGATTTCCTCAGACTCGCGTTCCACCAACTTCGTTGATATAGTATGGTTGTCGGATGCTTCAACTGTTCGACTACTATTCGACCAGACGGTAACGGCAAAGTAGACCCTTTTATCAAATAAAAGAGGGTATATGCCGGGGGCCTTTAGTCCTATCATGGCATAAGGCTTATCATACAGATCCATTAACAGTAGAACCGCTATATCGGTAATAAGTCCATACGTTTATATATAAAGAACCAAGTTAATTAGAAGTTAAGAAATCAGCTTGGCTTAGTTTCTGGTTAAGAAGTGGGTTTAGAGCCCTTACACTATATTGTATATTTCATAGCCATCTAGTCCTGTCCTGTCGTTTCTGAAATACGAGGAAAAGACACCGAAAAGGGATGTTTGAATGAATGTATAGTGTTAAGCTATTTGCACAAATCACAGTATACCAGGCCAAGCTTTGTTGAAAAGTGTGGTAGAGAAATAGGCACTGCCCAAAGGGGTTCGCTCAACCGTTCAGCAGGGAGTCCGGCGGACGATGCCCCTCCATTTATCTCCATGGTTTTCTTCTCCCGAAACATAGCCTTCTGTTGGACCGCATTGATTGATGATGACCTGAGCACTATCGGCAATGTTGCCGAACCCGCCAAGGGTCTTCGGCGATGTGTTCTACCATTTTGATGACATGTGTTAGCTATGGGTATGCGAGTCCGACAGGTGAAAATACTTACATCATTGCACCACCAGATCGCAGAGTTATACGAGCAGCTCACTCTTCCGCAATTTCCAGGTCCAGGACCATTGGTGGGTTGGCCTCGGACGCTGCGTAGGTGACTGATACCTTCCTGGATCCTTGTTCGGAGTGCCTGGTCATAGTTGTTGCAAGTAACAGCAAGTCGCTTTTGTAGGTGAGGGGTGTCCTCCTTGGTAACATCATTCGGTTGCGCGAGAATGTCCGCGAAATCCAAATCATATTTTGGGTTGATGTCGAGCAATTCGGCATAGATTTCTTGCACGGTGCCGTTGAGAATAACTTTGTCACCTCCTGGCTTGGTCTCAACCTCCCAAGAGAATTCCTCGACACCATAACCCGGAATAGGGGCCTCAAGTGCTTGGATCTATCTTTGCATTAGAAACGTGCAACATAATGAATATGGTCATTTACGCACAAGATGGAATGCCGCGAAGGCAGGAAGAACAGTTGCCAGTCTCATGATTGTGCAGGAGTTGGTCAGGAGAAAGTCTCAGTGTGAAGATGCAGGGAAAGAAAGATTGTTTGATGAGCTTGCTTGAGAAAAGATCATACTCCGGGAGGAACATCGAGGCTTTTATACCTTTCTTTTGCTCGTCCGGCCGTATATCGGATGGAGCACAAGTACTGGATGGCCCAACCGAGGAACATCCCGAACCAACCGTATTCGATGTTACATTCATCCTGTTTAAGGTGACTAGGTCTGCATATAGTACAATGCCTAGATTGATTACTCTATCTTTTAGTTCAATGGCGCTGAGGGGGTTGTGGAGATCATCTAGCGGAAGCGGCGGAGCAAACAAAGCACCGGGTTAACAAAAGTATACTTTGAGGTATGTGTCATGAAAAGGCGTTTGGCCAGGGCATCCTTCTAATCTTAAGTCTACTTGACCGCGCCATGGTTGATTGTGCTATCCTCAGACTTGTCCCCTTTACAGAATCATGATAGCCCAGGCCGAGTTAAGGGTATATGATGCTCATCCTAGGTTCAGAGGCAAGTCATGGATTAAAACTCATATTATAATTTCCATTCAAAAGGACCGTTTGGGGAATCTATGTGAATATGCACCCCGGGGGCCGTAAGGATGATTACGGGCTTAACACTTCTGACTTGTGGACCAGAGAGAGGCTTAGACCCTTTTCAGGCTACTGCAACGAGAGCACATTAAGTAGGATATTATTCAATGGTTCACAGTGTCCAGATTCTGTTGGATATCAAGAGGGCCGTTGAACCGGTAGTAGATACTACGACTTCTCAGTTGTTGTAGTATAGAAGAGCAGTGACCATAGACTATTAATGTGACCCCATCAACAATATGATATGAGGTGGTAGCTTGCTACTATTCTTGCGCGAATCTTTCGTCGGATGATAGACGAGAACAGTACGAAATACCTACTTGGCTTTACTATATTTGAAATTTGGACCACTTAATATGGTATTACTGGAGGATGTAATACGGAAATACTGTTCTGTTAATAGTGCAACCATTTAGATTCGCTATAGGATCTAGCTACAGACTCTGGATAAGGGACGAAGGGTGATATGTGTGTGACGATTCCCTACGTATTTGTCTTGCGATAAATATGACCTGCACTGAGTCTACTTGCTCTCATTTGCAAATTTTCATATGATAACGTGCACATTAGAGGACTGGTTTTCTATTAGTGACGCTCCTCATTTCTCGAAAACATACACTTTTACGACACACAGATAGAAGGTATTACCCACTCTACTACTGCTCTTCTTGAGGCACGCTAAATGCGTGTCGGAATATGATCCATGTCATCATCTCCATAGTCTCTAGTCTCAATCTCCGGTCTTCGGGTCCTCACTAAGGTCCTAACAAAGTAAGTAGTAGGAGCATTCGGGGTTGAACGGATATGAAGCCAGATGCATGCAATGCGCAGACGGACCCCAGGATGGGTAAGCACTGGGGGCTTGCATTAGCGTATTATGATACATAGCCCCCGGGGCCAACACTAGGCATCCGTGCATCACTCATAACAGTTAGTTAACTACGTTAACTACTCAATCCGATGCGTTAACTTGTTGAATGCCAGAGGGTCTAGACAAGAATCAGGCACTCGTGGGACAGATGCCATTGACCGATAGGTGGTATTTAGATCTCTCTTTGTCTCATTTTCCTGTCCATCCATTTTACTCCATATGAATTCTTTTGATCATGTTGGACTTTTGCTCCAGGAAAGGGGGCGACGCGTGAATGAGACTAGTACCTCGAAGGATCGGGCCGGTGACTGGGTCCTGGTCAGCTTCTGCCAATCAGAAGGAATTGTGGAAGATCGATCTTTTTTCGTGATAGCAGAGATTTGATTGAACCTAAGCTGCAGCAGAGTATTATATTAAGCTTGTAGCTGTTGGCCAAACCCGTCGCGATGTAACCTCATTGCGTGATCTGAACTAGAAGCTTGTCTCAAACAAATGTTGAGAATTTGGGAAGGGCCTCCGGGATGTGCCTTAACCCTTACGAAGACCCATGAGAAAAATAGCAAAGTGAGGTCTCATAAGTCTATACTGCGTTATTGTTGTCACTCTCAAAACATCAGTTTTCCGGAACCTGAGGGTGAAAAGTTGAATGACAACGCTAATAAGCGACGTGGCCTAACGAGATTCTCTGTGGAGGAAGAAAGAATACATCGTATTTATACTAAACCACACAAAAACAAGCCTAGTAAGGTCATATCGACTGTTCGACATTCACCATTGGCTCCACGGCGCCTCCCGGAAGGAACGCACTCGATATTGCTATTCCTAGCCAGGTAGCTAGCTTAAAAATGCGAATCTACCCTATCATAAGCCACTTCTAGCGTAAATCGTGGGTCCTCGTAAGGGTTAAGGCGCATCCCGGACGCGCTCCACAAATTCTTACCACTTGTCTGAGACAACATCTTAATTCAGCGCACGCAATGAGGTCAGGGGCAATTCAGTGTGGAAGGTGCGCTCTACCTCGGCATTAATAGGCAATTTTATGATCATCTGTCCGATTTATCTCATAATGTGAAATGAACTTCCGCATCGCAGCCCTAGACGCATGCAGACCCAAGCGGATCCTTCCAGGAGTTATCTCCGACAGTACATATGTACGGAGTCCTGACCCACTAAGCATTTCTGAACATGCTAGTGGTATTAGCAGACTAGTCCTTGTCTTGTGACAATTGCAATTTTTGCGAAAGTCTGGCAGCGCCTTCCCATTTCAAAATCTATTGTACACAGCCTGATGTCTGAGAAGACTCCCAATGCCTCTTCCCTATCTCACTCATTATCTCCACCTCCGCGCGGTGAGGATATTTCTTTCAAGTTTGTTTGTATGGCTCTTATTATTTCAGTTTTGCCGAATCAAATTTTGGCGCGATCCACATTCTGCCTTCTTCAAGGAACACCATGTGTATGATATGGATTACAGTCTCTATCGAGAGCGTGAAGCATGGCATTTTGTATCGCGACACAATTCCGATCTCAACCCTCCTCCCTACGTCAAGTCAGATCTCACACCTGCTGTTTGTGTAGCGATTGTCACGGTTCGACGAGACTCGGATGGCTATTTCGAGGCATCCGTTGGGTCATTGCTTGAGGGACTTGACGAAAGAGAGAGAAGCAAATTATATCTCAGCGTACTCTTTGCTGATACAGAACCGAGGGTACACACTAGCTGGGGCCAGAAATGGGTAGAGAGGCTCACCGACTCCGCTACAACTTATAATGTATCGGATGATCAATTCAAGCATTTGCAAGACCTGGAAAGGGAAAAGAACTACTATGAAAAAGGGGTATTGTGGGTACCCAGATCATGACCAAGATCCAACCAGTGACACCAAAGCTAATGATAACAGTGACTATTTATATGCTCTACGAACCTGTCAGCAACTGAACGCTCCCTACACTATCATCTTCGAAGATGACATCATTATCTCTACCGCATGGCTCTCGAAAACGTTGAAGGCGTTGGCGGATATTTCCCGGCTCGAACAACAATCAGGGAAACCCTGGATCTATCTCCGACTCTTTTATACCGAGACGGCATTAAGTTGGACAAGCTCAGACTTTGCGTATAGGAATATGCCACTGGTCTTTGGGGTCCTGATACTGTCCGGATTGATATGCTTAATTTCCCTTCGCCGCTCTCGCTTCACGCAATTTCACCTAGATCCTACTAGCATAGTAGTCATCTCAATGATTTGCATTCCAGCATTCACTGCACTTGTCTACATGGTCGGGAAGTACAACTTGATGCCCCTTGACGGGGTTGTCGAGATGAACAAGTCTGGTTGTTGTACGCAGGGATTAGTGTTTCCCAGGGAGCGTGTCGATGGACTGATTGACTTTTTGAGCGAACGAGGACATGGCCAGACGGACTCTATGATTGAGGAATATGCCGATTCTCACAAACTGAATCGATACGCACTGGCACCGCCGCAGCTCCAACATGTGGGTTTGAAATCCAGCCGGGATAATCTCGACATCAATACACGCAGCACGTGGGCATTTTGGTTTGAAACCAATGATCCAATTAAACTGAAGGAAGACCACCGCAGACTACTAGAGGACCATGACGTGATGAAGATGCTGAACTCGTCAACAAAATATGATTGAAGTGATAAATTCGACGGAAATTCGGTTCCATCGGATCACTAAAAGGAGCCATAATCCGGATCTATATGAACTCGATTCAGGACATGTATAATCCAAGACACTCTGGGTACATGATGTACATCCATTGTCACCCTGAGCCACCTTCCTCGCTGAATCACCTTTATCTTTAAGGGAGCAGATGATTGATCAATCACACCTATAATCGACGACGCCAGACCTGGAATTCATGAGCAGAGCGACAATCAACCCATACAGGCCTTTGTCCCAAATGCGTTAGCCATATCTCAGATTCAATTGTGAATATAGATTCCTAATCTCACCTAACACTTCAGCAAAGATTAGGATGAGTATCATGCCAACATAAAGCCGAGGCTGCTGAGTCGTTCCTCGGACTCCAGCGTCACCAACAATTCCAATGGCAAACCTTCATCCTAATCAGCAAATTTACAAAATACCATAGAAGTTTCCAAAGTGTGTTCAACGTACCCGGCAGCTAGTCCACAAAGTCCAACTGACAGACCTGCACCCAGTTGAAGTAAGCTTGTATAAAGAGGGACGCTTTGAACGAGATTGTTCGCAATTAAAACCGAGACGACTAGCCCGTAAATCCCGAGAATACCAGCCATAACGACAGGAACAATGTCTAGGCTTTTATTAGCCCGTGTGTCATACTTCATTCTCTCGCATAGATGTACTTTTCACTATGAGATCAGGTCTCAGGACCCCCGAGGAACAAATCCCAACACCAGATTTGGCAGTTCCGTAGGCTGCGCCGAAGGTCGTAAAGATTATGGCACTCGCACAGCCTAAGGCTCCGAAGAATGGCTGTTCATGCATACTCAATATTCAGGAGACTCCTTCGTGCATCGACTGATGAACGGGAGACTTACTGCGTACGTAGGGCTGTAGGACATTAGCTAATGGTCTCATGAGGCTGCTATAAAATGGATAAGTAGACTTATCTTACCAAAATTCGGATATCATCTTGTCTATTATCGTATTAACTGGAACTTGAATAATAGGTGATCAGGTGTGAGAGTTCTTCGACAAGGCACAGAACAATAAATTGGGACGATGGAAGTCAGTAAATGTTAGGCAGCAGGTTAGCTCAATATAAAAGATATCCACCACATACAGACAGTTCACCACATGAGATCTCCCCGCAGCAAGGGCATCATGATTGGAGGCCATGTTGCTGGCAAGGACTGGGAGCCTGGAGCCTAGAGCCCGAGACGGACGTAATGTAACGCTACCGCGTGTAGGGGCCGGCCATCGCCAGGTAGTATATGCACAATCCCGGACAACTCAGATCACTAGTGCACTAAGTACGCACCGGTTTCATACGGAATAGATCGTATCTTTTGTAATCCATTGCTAGAACACGTCACGTGAGTTTTGGTGATATTTACATAGTACTGACTTGATGTAATATGTTTAACATACGTCAAAGTTCTGGACATCAAGTGTTTGAAATTTCTATCCAACGCCGTAGGATAATGAGAGATAATGTTGCGCCACACATCCTTGTATCCAGAAGCCCCAGAATCGGGGAGAATCGAATTGATGCTCAACGCTAATCCAGCAAAACGAGAAGAGGGGTATATAAAAGACATTAATCGACGAGGTCAAGAATGCTGACGCGTGAGATTCTTTTCTTCTTAGCAGTCTGATTTTGTCTGCGCGCGGTGCTCAGGTCATCAGCAGTTGGGCCTTCGCACGAATCTTGTTGAGGCGGGGATTGATCGATCGACCAAAAGCCGTCGTGCAATATGACGTTTTCCAAGTGCCCCGTGGTCTTGTGCTTCAAAATTGTAATCGTCTTTTCCTTTGAAGACTTTTTGGGGGACTTATTTGCGTCGTTGGTCTGTTTGCTTTCGCAATTCTTCGAGTGTAAAGGCAATGTATGGACTTCGGGCTTGGGGTTTCCTTCACTGCAAGATCGGGCTGGTTTGGGATCTTCGTCCTTAGAGGAACGAGTCCGAATTTTTGGCGCTTGCGGTGCCTTCTTTGTTGAGATTTGACACAACGAGCGAGCTGCGGTGTTTCCATGCTGGCCCTCGTCGCTTTTCGAGGATAGAGACAGGATCTCGATAGCTTTTTCGATGTGTTCAACCTGGGCCTTTTCCTCGCACTGAACCTTGGGAATTCTCTTTGACTTAGCTACAGTCTTCCTGGATGGAGAAGGCAAGGCTGTCAATGCTCTGGCTGGGAAGTCCTCCAGGAAAGTTTCAGGTTCACAAACGTCGGAGACCGAGTAGCTGATTTTGAGACCCATGTGCCGTGCCGGTTGAGGCGGAGAATAATCGTCGTTCATGCCCAGTGAGTCCGATTCTTCAATATCAACATGACCAGTCCCCAAAGCGGTGCGCCTTGATATAAGACGGGTACGTTCCGACATGGGGTGACGCTTGATATTGACAGAAGGAGACAAGGTACACATGGAAGAGAACGTATCCAGGAGGCCATCGACATCCCGAGAGTCGTAGTGCATAGTAAGTGGGGATCTTTGGTGAAGATACATGCTCGGAGAGGAGAAGTGGTCATCTTCCAGGTCCAATGTTATTGGTGAAGAAGACTCAGAACCGGCAACGAGCCGGGGAAGAGGATTGTGGGTTGATGTAGCAGCTTCCAACAAGTGCGCTTGTTTGGTTGTTGACAATTCGCTCTTTTCCTTCGTGAGAGTTCCATATTTCAAGATACTGCCTCGTTTCATTCCAGCGTCAATAGGCCCCTTTTTCTTGGGACCAGTACGTCGAATACTGGTATTCTTCTTCGCCGCGGCTGCTTCGGCTTTCGCGGCTTTTTCGGCCTGTTCTTTCTCCCAGTTTTTCACGACTCCAGGAATACCCAATTTTGCGACAGTCTCAAATACCCACACCTTTTCGAGGGAGAATGGGTCGAATCGTTTTGTAACCCGAGACTTCGATGGTGTCGGAGGTGGCGATCCAGTGGCTATTTCTTGGTCTTCCTCTTCCTCGCCTTCCTGTACACTACTTTGGGATGGGGCTGGTGGGTTTGGTTCTTCGGCAAGAAGGTCTAGTCCAACAACATCTGCGGGCAGCATATCTAGCTGGAGTTCTGGTACTGCATCGGTGCCAAAGCTTGACCGGCATCGATACACCTTTTGCAGACTAGGTGGGCAATCGGGCACAAATGAAAAACCAGGCGATACGCCCAGGACTGGTCTCTGGAGACGAAGTCTGTACGAGACAAGAGGCTCGGCCAGCAGTCTGATCAATTTTCTTGCTCCCGATCGATAGTTCCATTCAAAGTGGTCTGCAGCAAATGTTCGGATTGCTAGCGGGTCGATATCGTTATCCCACGCCTGTGCGAGTCGACTTCTCAGGATAGTCATTTCTTCATCGCTGGAAACTTTGGGCTGTGCATAGTACTCGAGAATTTTTCGGTCCGGAAAAGAGGCTGGAACTCGAACGGCTGGGTGTTTTCTCGTAAAATAGCCACTCTCATTCTCCTCAAGTTCATACTGGAGTCGTTCTCTCCACTCGTTCAATCCTACATCCACGTCTGCTTGTGACGCAAGCTCTTGCAGAAGATCCTCGCCGAATCCAGCCTTGGCAATCTCTGCAGCGAGCTTACTGCCACATTTCGGGACACCGGAGGGTAGATAGTCCCCTCCGCTGAGCATAGCGAACAGAATCATTCCCGGTCGGTCAAGAGGTATGTTTGATGAGTGCCCATCCTGCCCCATTGTGTAGCATGTCACATGAGTCGCAGAAGAGCTGCCACTTCCGCTCTCTTTTGAAAAATTCATAATGGTAAAAGATGATCCGAACATCAGCGCGTCGACATCGTTGCTCATGACAGCGTCTACAATGCCTGCTTGCTGTAGTCGGGCACATTCAGCTTCTGCCTCACCGGGTGCCTCATGCCATGGAAATCTGAATCGCTCGATGAGGTCCTTGGAGCGCTTGATGATCGGGGCATTGCCATAACTGCGGGTTGAGACTGCTTTGCCCCTCTTAAAAGCAGGCTTGTCTTGCCCGTCATAGACGAAAAGTGGGTGAACTGGCAATGCAAGTAATTTTAATAACCGATAAAATAGTGTGCGTAATTCTGGGTTTCTTCCGCCCCGCCCTGCTTGGACTTGAAAAAGCCAGATCGAAATGTCGACTGCAATGCGGATCGGCCTTGCTGTCCGCTCCAGGTGCGTCACTGCCAGTTTGGCCAGAGAGATACGCTCTCCTGGGCCAATTGCATTGATGAGCCTTCAGGGAGTCAGCATCTTTATCGAGAAATCTGGCAATATGCAGTTCTGCTTGTCATGTTATGGATAAACAAGGCATTTACCGACAGGTGGTACGAATATATATATTTCTAAACACACAAAAGGAAAAAAAAAAAGAACAGAGGTCTCACTTACCCAGGAATACCCATGCCGACTGTAAGCAATAGAAAAATCAAATAACAATGAAGGGGCCCATGTGGCGTTAAAGATGTACGAAATGTAGATTTTGCGGAGATGGGAGGTTGTCATGTAAATAAAGACGGCCCGATGTAGATCCGTTGCCTAACAACGAGCTTCAACCAACAGATTGGAAGGTCATACTTAGGTTGATCTCACTTTTCTCTTTTTGCCTTTGAAATTAATCCGATGGCGTTGAAATTACAACCCGTGCGCCGGTGAATCGAATATTTGTCTCCACGAACCCTGCGAAATTTTGTTGCTCTCAGAAAGGAGAGCCAGGCACCCGAGCTTAACAATGGCGAGTGATACCTCAATGGGTGCTAGTAAACGCACATCAGCAACTTCTGGCCTGCGAAATAGCCAAATAGCACGACCGGTCTCGCCACATACGCCCCAGCAACGTTCGGGAAACCCCTCGTTCACCAGCAGCACATCACCGAGCTCCTCCTTTCGAAGCGAAGACGATGCGATCATATTTGAGATAGGCGCACGATGGCTCCGCGCAGGCTTTGAAGGAAATAGCACACCGATGTGCGTGGTTGGATTTGGACCTGAAGATTCGAGGAGAGCGGGGGACTATCGAGGATGGATCCAGGGCAGTGCCGGTGGTGCACGGCTACCAGAACCCGTCGACGCGGAAGATTGGACACGGGCATATGAATTGTGGCGGCCAGATTCCCGAGAGGTTGATCTGGGCCTGGTTGAGGATAAGATCGAGCGTGCGTTTCGGGAGACATACAATCAGTTCCTGTTGACGGATGCAGGGACGTCTCGCTTGGTTCTTGTTCTCCCGTCTCTTATGCCACATCCATTGCTGTCATCACTGCTGTCGACACTCTTCAGTCGCTGGCGCTTTCCGAGTGTTACCCTTCTGTCTAGTGCGACCATGTCGGCCACGGCTGCGGGATTGCGGTCGGCTTTGGTGGTTGACATTGGCTGGGCCGAGACCACGGCAACGGCGATTTATGAGTACAGGGAGATGGCTACGAAGAGAACGACACGGTCTATGAAGCATTTGATGCAGGAGATGGGACTGCTTCTTACTGGGTTGGCTTCCGATGGAAATCCGGATACGGAGACTGCGAATAAGATCTCTGTTGGTTTCGCGTACTGTGAAGAGGTTGTCAGTCGGTTTGCCTGGTGCAAACTGCAAACACAAGACGATAAAAGCTCAGATGAACCCGACCGGCAATTATCGATTCCTTCGCCCGCAAACCCCGAGGAAGAATATATGGACGTGCCGTTTTCGCGTCTCGCTGAACCTGTCCAGAAGGTCTTATTCGCACCAGGTGTCGCAGAACATGAATTGGACGACGAAGAAAAATCATTGCCTTTGCTTGTCTACAACACGCTTCTGTCACTATTCCCCGATGCACGAGGAACATGCATGTCCCGCATTGTGTTTGTGGGCGGCGGTTCTCGAATTCCTGGGCTACGGCAGCGGGTCCTTAAAGAAGTCTCACTCTTGATTGATCGTCATGGATGGAGTCCAATTCGAGGCAAAGCACTTGAGCGACAGCGACAAAGATTGGAGCAGCTAAGAATTTCAGCCCGAAAAGCTTCCAACGAACCGGAAACCCCCAAGAGCAACGGGGAAGCACCATCTACCGATGAGACACCCGCAGACCCCTCCAAAGAAGTGCCTGAGATCGATTTCGTGGAACAGAAACTCCGCCGACAAAACAAGGATATCCCAGTTCCTGTCCAAGGAGTCTTACGCGAAGTTGAATCTCTTGGTCCATGGGCGGGTGCAAGCCTGACAACTAGTCTCAAGATCCGGGGAATGGTAGAGATCGAACGAGAGAAGTTCTTACAGCACGGACTCGCTGGAGCTACACGGGATATCGACCATCCTGTTCCTGATCGTCGATCAGGCTTAAAGTCTGGTGATCGATCCAGTTGGACACTTGCAGGCTGGGCATAAAAACTATGTACATTTTTCAAAAACAATAGATACCCCATTGGATTTTCAAGCCTTCCCCAATTTTTTTCTAATATTTTCGAAATATTTTCTAGTATTTCTCTGTTATTCTCTGTTATGGAGCTTCCCAAAAAGGATAGCCGACAGTTCGGCTATACCCCGGCTTTCGCGGGGAAGACACCGAGGCGATGCGGATTGTCTCCGACTTTTCTACTTGGCCTTCGAATGCACATTGACAGAGTAAAAATGAACGATTTCAGTCCTCCACCACTAAGAGCACCAACAGCCTGTGTTGCCTGCAATAAAAAGAAGGTACGTGAAGTGAAATAACCTAGAACAGGAGACCTACTGATTTTTTTAGGTCCGCTGTATCTTCGATGGAAATCCCGATGTATGTGTGAACTGCCAACGGCATCAGTGGCCCTGTTCGTAAGAAAACCGAGCTCAGACGTTGGAGCAAACATACTAACTGCCGTATAGTCGACGAGAGCGCAAGAGAAAACGAGCGCATAGTAATGAAGGTGACTCCATCAATGAAACCGAAACGGTTAGAAGGAGACGAGTGAACTGGAATGAACCGAACAGCTTTAGCCCTGTCGGCCCAGCTAGATCGCCGTGTACAAGTCCTGAGTATGACCAGGATCGGAATCAGTGCGACGCAGGCCAAGGTAGAGATGGCACTGGAGACATTATTACACCAGACTCCAACCCGTACTCGGCTGCTTCGACTCTAAGCTTCATGGCACGCTCCCGCTACTTTGATGATGCAGTAGCTATCAATGAAGAGCAGGCCAGATCATACCCAGAAGGAGATGCAGATGGTCCAACTGAAGATGACATCCAGCTGCTCAGACTGCAAGGTGCATTTGACCTCCCACCACGAGCTATCCGAGAAGGATTGATTAACACATTCATGGAACGATGTTCACCTTGGATGCCGATAATCGAGCGAAGCTGGCTAGAAGAGAGTGGTACTCAGAAGCCCTCAATTCTACTTCTCCAATCTATCTTTGTCGCTGCTAGCCGAGTCACATCTGCACCGGCTGTGACTGCATATGCATCTTTGCATCAGTTTTATCGTCGTGCGAAAGCCTTGTTCTGGTCTGGATATGAGAGAAATCCCGTGACTGTAGTCGCAGCAGTCTGCATTTTGCATTGGTATAATCCAGAAGGTCCTGAGCATGTTTCTACCAACACCAGTGGATTCTGGCGATATGTGGGAGTTGGGTTAGCTCATCAGATTGGACTGCATAAGGAGCCATCGAATAATAGAGATGCTGCTTTGAGGCGCAGGTTATGGTGGACTCTTTATGTAAGTCAGAAATGAATTTCTTCGCAAGGATAAAAGGCACTGACACTAGGCAGGCGAGAGATTGTTGTATTTCTGCAGGCCAGGGCCGGCCACTAGCAGTGGATCTGGAGGACTGTGAGGTGGCACCGCCATGCCCTGAGGATTTCCACGATTCAAGCTCAAATGCTACTCTGTTCATCGCATATGTTGAGATCAGTGCCATTCTGGGCCATCTCACAGAGTACTGTCGTCGCAAGACCCTCACACGTGAGGCCCGACAGAACCTTGAGAATCGTTTGTATCGATGGACACGGGAGCTTTCACCCTCGCTGCGCTTGTTTTGTAATCGGAGTACCTCAGAGGATGCAGCAACGAAAAGAACATTGGCCCAATACAACTTCGAAGCCCGCCAGCTTCACATCCCATATTTCACCTGCCTCGCAATCATGTGTCGACCCAACCCCGGAGAGTCTGCATCACCAGGAGTGCTTTTAGCGTCCTCGTTTATCGCAGGGATATTTGAAGACTTTCTTGCTCGAGATGAGATTCAATTCCTAAGCCCGGTATTCACATTCCACCTATTAGCTGCCGGAATCGGGCTTCTTTCGTGCAATAACGTACCATCCCACCGGGAGAAGGCAGCAGTTAGCTTGGAGTCCATCTACCTGGCCCTTGAGGAGCTCTCAAAGCGCTGGTCATCAGCTAAAGGCAGCCTAAGAGCATTGAAGAGCATTGCTGAAAAGCAGCGGACTACGTCGACCATAGAGGAAATGCCGTCCATCGCCCTCTCCAGAGAACATCAACCATTTTTTGAGGGATTTGGCCCAGAGTTGTCCTGGGCTTGGCCATATTTCATGGACCTTGGACAAGCTGTGGGGAACGATGGCACCACACATAGCTTTATGGCAGCCGGGATCCCAGAGGTGCTAGGAAATTGGGCCGAGTCCCGGGCTCCGGATGCTATATCTTCGGATGAGTACAGGCCACTCACTACTATCTTGGACCGCAACTCCGTCCTCAGTATGGGAGATTTGCCGCAAGATATTTCAGGTGACTTCTTTAATCAATACCAGGGAATGGGGGACTGGCTTTTTAAGGATTTGGAATGGAATGGCGAGATTCCCTAGGAATTTATTGTTCTTGACTACGAACTGTGTACCATATACGTATCCGTATACATTTGCATTCCATGACAGTGGTTCACAGAGAACGTGAAACTGGTGAATGCGAAGATTCTCATAGAAATATTCGGCACTCGGTGAATTTCGGCAACGCATGGGCAAGTCGAAATGCGGGGGATCTACCAACGCCCATCACTTGAATATAGTAAACAATTTAACACAACCTCGAAGACATCGGTATCTAGCTAAATCATTATACCATTGGCATCATGACAGATATCCCAACCTTCCGCAGTCTCTCCCTCGAGAGACATGGGAATGTATTCGTCCTAACCATGCAGAAACCCCCTGAGAACCGATTGAACTCATCATACTGCCAGGAGATGATCCGGGCCTATCGCACCGTAGAAAGAATCCTAGGATCCAACTCAGAAGGGGCCGTAATCACACGGGGAAATGATGCTAAATTCTGGTGCACTGTACATTGAAGTCCCCAAAACAGAACAACATCGGAAAACTAATAGAATACCACTAGGGACTGGAGCTGGACGAAATAGATAAGAACCCATTTGCCAATACAGACGGATTCTATCCAGTGAGAACAGCCCTTGCACCGGCTTTGACGACAGACGTTAGCACGTCGTGTATGGGACTTCACACTAACAACCAGTATCCAGCTCATCCATACAATCCTCGACTTCCCGTTTCCAACAATCGCTCTTTTAACCGGGCACACCTTCGGCGGCGCATGCCCACTCGCACTAGCACACGACTACCGAGTCATGAACTCCCGCCGCGGCTTTATCTCTATGCCTCCTGTGAACCTGGGGCTGCACTTCGACGGGATCGGCTCGCTCCCTCGACTAAAGCTACGTCCGAAGGTTGCCCGCAAGATGCTGCTTGAGGCGCACAAGTGGACTGGACCTGAAGCGCTCGAGGATGGGATTGTGGATGCTGTCGCCGAGCCAGAGGAGATGTTGAATGTCGCTTTGGAATTGGGGGCGAAATGGGCGCCTAAAGCGAAGATGGGGTAAGATTTCATATGCACAAGGCTTTGTGATAAGAGAATGTCTGCTAATACTGTGCAGGGTGTATGCTTTGCTTCGTCAGGAGCTCTGGGGAGATGCTATCAAGAATTTTCAGCGTATTAGTTATGTCCATAGTCGGGTGACTTCGGCGCCTGCGAAGGTCAAGATTTGATGCAGATCATGATATGCAAACACGTTTGTAAATATTTAACTATATTGAAAGAACCTTGGATATTCTCTCTTCCTATAACTTGGCCTTATTCTCCCTGCTCCAGACTTGTACCTCAGGCAGGTCTCGATAGTTGGGCGGAAAGAACTGCGGCCCCAATATCTTCTTCTGCACCTTCCCCGTACCCGACTTGGGCAACTCACCTTCGACCACACGAAGGATTGTCGGCATCTTATATCCAGCGATCTTACTCCGCAGATCCTCGCGGAGCTCGGCGAGCGTGAGACTCCTGCGTGTTGTCTTTTGGTCTTGTTTGAGACTGACAGTAGCAGCAACTCGTTGACCGAATTCCTCATCTTCAACGCCAACAATCATGACTTCTGAAACATAGTCCAGACCCAGTATTTCACGCTCGATATCCAACGCAGATATCTTATATCCGCCTGACTTGATGATGTCGATTGAGGCACGACCCAGGATGAAATAATATTTTCCTTCGCGGCGAGCAATATCTCCCGTTTTGAAGTACCCCTCGACATCATGTGCATCCGCGGTTGCTTTCTCGTCGAATAGATACCTGTTTAAACAATGTGTGAGGATAGGACGCCATAACCTTCATAGAAAATATTTGACTCACTTGGAAAACATATATGGACACTTCACTAATATCTGGCCTTCATCGGTGAGCTTGAGTGAAACCGCCTCAGCTACACAGCCAACACTGTTCTGCGGTGTCCCATCGGAATCAAGTTCAGTCTTGATGACTGCACCAAACTCCGTCGCACCATATCGAGTGAGAATTGGCTTGTTTCTGATTTGATGCCAGAACTCTTGTACAGGCCCCGGAAGCGCCGAAGTACCACACAGCATTGCTCTAATCTGACGCGCACCAGCAATATACTGGTCACGTATCTCAGAAGCTTGGTGTGCAATGTTCTCTTCATAGTACCGCATCATACGCATGTATATGGTTGGTACTCCAGAGAAAAAGGTAAGACCTCCTTGTCGCCAGCGCTCCCACGTCCATGATGCATCGAAACTGCCACTGCGGAACTCGATACATGCGCCGGCCACGAGGAACGGGAGGAAAGTCAATCCCACACCGGAGGCATGATGCACTGGAAGGATATGGAGGACTATATCCTTTTCTGTTATTCGGTAATAGTTTGCATCGGCTTCCCCATTGCCGGAGATATAACTTCGACGCTGTACAGCGCCCTTGGGGGGCCCTGTCGTGCCGGAAGTGAAGATCACCAACGCTGCCGCGTTCATGTCTGGAACCGGGCCGGAAGAGATGGTCACTTCATCTGATGGGAGAAGCGTGGGACGAAAATGAGATGCGATTGGGGATATACAGGGAATGTCCACTCCCTTACTTTCTCCCATATAGCGAACCACAGACTGTGCAGTCTTTTCGCTGGTTGTGCTGGCTACCAAAGCCACACATCGCGCCTTCGATAAGAAATACGAGGCTTCTTCTGCTGGTATTGTAGCAGCTGCCGCATATTAGCTATGCATCCTTTTTCGTAATATTGAAACTTACCCATGGGAACGACTGCCGCACCGATTGCAAGGATAGCGATGAAGCCAACAGTGTATTCATACCCTCCCGGTGCAAGTAACCCAATGTATACCTCTTTGTCCGCAATCAACTTGCTTCGAGCTTCATGGCTGAGTGACCTTTCCAACACCTTGCGGAAGGCCAACACATCCGAAATAAGATGTTGATATGTCTTTTCCACGCCGGCAACCAAGTCCCGGACCACAATTGGAGAAGGCGTACGTTGCGCATAACGCAGTAGTCTATGAAAGAAGGGAAGATTTGGCAACACATTTTCTCCTATATGCGGAGGTACGAACAAAGTGCGGTCTCCCATTTTGTTTGAGCTTGAAAGTCGTCGACCTGACTAATGAGCAAAAATAGGTGAATGTCTTTTATTCCAGCCTTTTCATTCAAGTATAACGCTATTTATCGCTCAGCGCCCGCTGGGTAGTGGCTGCGGGGAGTGGTAAACCCGAGGCAGCTTCCCCGCCGCGGCATTCGGCCCTTTGACTTACACAAGACACGTCCCGGCATTAAACTATCACTACGAGGACATAATTGGTGCGTAATACTTCTAATAGAATAACTCATCTTGCGAGCGTATAAACCTTCTTTTCAGCCATGTGAATTGGCATTGGGGAGGGTTAGTTTGGTTTTTCCGTTTAGTATCTTAATCGGGAAGTCTTGTATAACACCTAGTAACTTTCATTGGATAGTATTGAATCAATATCATAATGCAATATATTTATCGACCACTGCTATATCTACGGGGTCAGGGCGGCAGCAGGCTGAACCTCCCCCTTGACTGTAAGAGCCGCCCGTGTACCCTCTTCGATGGCACCATCAATGAAAGCACGCCAGCCAACAGCCCAATCAGAGTTTGCAAAGAGAACATTCCCATGTCGAGCCCGCATAGCATCCAAAGATGTTGACAACAGCCGAGGGGGCGAGAAGAACCAAGCGCCCTTCGCAAATTCATCTTTGCTCCAGTTGTGAAACACCAATCGCTGAATATCCATGTTCCCAGGAGCCATACTCTCAACGGCTTTCTTGGTTTCGTTGATATCCTCTTCAGGATGAATCTCGTTGCTAGAGCCACCGAAAGAAACGACGTGGGTATTTCCAGCGGGTGTAGTACCATCACCAATAGCATATACGAGCTTGTTGGAGGGATAGGATATTCCGGTCCACGAGCGCATATCCTTGTTCGAAATCTCGGCGTGCACCTTTACACATTGGTTGACATGACCGGTATTTATGGCCGATACACGCTGTGTATCCAGAGGAGGGTCAAAAGACACAGAGTTGAGAACGTTGAGGGGAATAGTAGAAATCAGACGCGCACTAGTATACTGACGACCATCACGAGTAGTTATAGCAACTTTATCAACTGAATCACTGATCGAGTTCACAGGGGTATTGAACGCATATGAGAGGTTCCCAGTAGCGAGCGCCTCTTTGAAAAATTTGATCGCGAAAGTCGACTGACCTCCCCTGAACTTGTACGAGATCAAGGCTTCCATACAACCACGATAGGAGTAGCCACATAGAGCCCACCAATGAAGGAATTCAAAGAAGCTGGTTGTTTCCAACGTTGCGCAGCTGGAAAGAAGGATGAAACCCTCAAGACATGCACGTTCATTGGGAGTAAGAGACAAAGCAATGGCGTCTATCCGGTCCTGGGCGGAGATTTCATCGTAACAACGAGCCTCAGGGACGTGGAACGCATTGTGTGGGAAAGGAATAACCTTTCTGCCCATATCACCATCGACGTTGACAAATTTACAGATGGCAGCGGAAAGGAGTGCATCCTGATATAGAAAGTCAGCCATGGCTTCCTATGCAGCTAATACTTAGAGTACGAACCTCGTCTTCGTGGCTCATTATTGAGGAACCCTGATGTGTGCGCAACTGGAAGTGGTTTACACCACTTGAGAAATCAATAGATCTCTCCAGCTCGGTTCGCATATTGTATCGTGAGATCTCTCGCCAGACATGAGGCTGAGTCCAGTGCACCCAAGTTCCACCCATCTCAAATGGATACTCGCCAATGTTGGAAGACCAAGAACGTCCACCAATACGATCACGAGCCTCGATTAGAAGGACATGTAGACCTGTTATATTTAGCAAGGCCGTCTACAAATCAGATCGACATGCTTGTATAATATACCGGCAAGGGTCAAGTCACGAGCGGCCGTAAGACCAGAATATCCGGCACCGACAACGATAACATCGTACTTTGCGGAAGACGACGAGATGTTTGTAGGAGGAGAAATGACACCAATTGAAGGGACACCTTGTGAAAGACCAGTTTCAGGTGTCCATTGGAAACCGTCGCGGGAGGTCATTGTGATGATAGTAGGATAATGACTTGTAGGATCGATATAGAAACAATGAATCAGAAACATGAGAAAAGCAACCCTCTTTAAAGGTATGGGATTGCGAGAAGAATCCTATTTGGTGATTACAACATCCATCGTAGCCCTCGGAATCTCGGAATCAGTCGAAGATCAGATAAGTAAAAAGCTAGAAAAAAAGAGAGAGTTTCCTGCTTGAGGGAAAACGGCAGTGACATTCCAAGCTGGTTCCGAAGATAGCGCCAGGTTGTGCATATGAGGTAGGTCAAACTAAGCCACTCTTATGCGGTTTGTCAAATTACCCCATTAGGATACTAGAGGGAGAAATTTCCGGGACCAACGAACCCCCCGGATAATTAGCCTGAAAGTAGCTTTACCTTAATTTCCAAGATACCTTCTACTTTATCTATTGGGTACTGATTATACTCACTCTAGAGACGATTTACTATCGCAAGAGGTTGTGGGTGCTCAGCAAGTGGGACGCGACTATTTTCTTTTTGGTATCTTGTATCGAATGTTATTTGATAGCTCCGCTCACTGTTGTATTTACCTTTTTTGGTTGTCTACTTTCCTCTCTGCATATATACCTAATTGGGGTTAGTTCTGGGTATCGCGACCTCGGCGTTGTTGCATGAGTTAAGACAAATCTCCAGTAAATGGATTGAAGGGTGTGAGCATCGAATCGATTGGTGATCACGGGGAGTGTTGGGGGCAAGTGGCAGGTAGAAGAAATTCCAACGCCTCTCCTGTATGTTCCACGGGCGGTTTCCACACGCTGCGATGATCCGATCAATGTCATGGACTCATATACACTTGGCCCGGAGCCATTGTTCTGCAAACAGCTTGTTCATTCTTGCTGAGATATTTCTCCCACAAAATGGATGAGGATGGATTCCAAATTCGCGGCTTTGCTGCTGATACGTTCATCCAGATGCTCTCAATGGACTCACTCTATCAAGGAGGTAGCGTGATTGTCTTTGGAATCATCCATAATCCAGTTAAATTGTTGCATTAACTATGCGGGGTAGAAGTGCCGGCATTCGGGACTCGGTGATTTCGATATCATGGATTAGCCAAGGCAATTCGGTACGGCTACTTTAATTTAGTACGGCTATTTGATCTATGAATAAAGTCGAGGGCATGGCACTGTAATTGAGATACAGAATCCCAAGAGTGAAAGGATCCAAAATGCCTGATTTCACGGATAACCTTCGCCCAAGCCAACCAGATGGGCCAACGACACTAGCTCGCGAGCGTCAACAATCTAATATCTCAACTCAGGAATTAGGCCAACATTTATTGGCTTCAGATGGATTTCTAGAACGACAAGCTCAGATCTTGCCCATCATACAACAAGACCCACTCTTCTCCAAAGACCAGCAACAAAACCTCTCTAGACCGGAAAGATTCAAGCTAGGAGTTGCGCGCGCAAAGCTATTACGCCGAATGAGAGACAAGCTCAAATGGAGCTACCTAGACTACCAAATGGCCGAGTACCTGGTCGACGACGTGTCGCCTTACTTCCTGCACATGGAGATGTTCATCACGACCATCCGCGAACAGGCCAGTGAGGAACAGCGCGCCTACTGGCTTCCCTTGACCGAGTCTTGGAAGATCATTGGTGCGTACGCACAGACAGAACTTGGACACGGGAGCAATGTCCGTGGCTTGGAGCTTGAAGCGCGTTGGGATAGCCGAACCAAGGAGTTCGTGCTGCATAGTCCAACTCTTACGGCGAGCAAATGGTGGAATGGCAGTTTGGGTCGTTTAGCCAACCACGCCATTGTAGTTGCGCAGTTATTACTCCCGGATCCTAGCTCTCCGGATAAATACATTTCTCACGGTCCTCACCCGTTCATTGTGCAGGTGCGGGATATGAAGACACATCAACCTTTGAATGGGATTATTGTTGGAGACATTGGGCCGAAATACGGCTATGCTACCATGGACAATGCGTACATGCTGTTTGACCAGTTCAGGTTTGTTCCTCGTCCATTTCCTACGACTTTATTCGCTAATGATGTAATAGAATCCCACACTCTGCTATGTTATCACGATACTCAAATGTCGACCCCAACACAGGAGCTTATACCAAGCCAGCACAACCAGCTTTAATCTATGGATCTCTGACCTATGTACGGGCGAACATGGTGCACCGCGCCCGACTCGTCCTCGCACGTGCAGTCACTGTAGCAGTGCGGTACAGCAGCGTGCGACGGCAGTTCCAAGACCGAGACGGCGATAAGAAGGGGCCTGAGATGTCTGTTTTGGACTATCCGACTGTCCAAATTCGCATCCTGCCTCTCCTTGCCACGACCTTTGCACTTCACTACACAGGCCTTGCCATGCAGGAAGTGTACAGAAACGCACGACAGGATATCGAGAAGGGGAATTTTAATTCTTTGGCTCATATGCACAGTATGTCATCTGGACTGAAGAGTCTGTGCACTATCCTGGCAGCGGATGGAATTGAGACATGTCGACGTGCCATGGGTGGGCATGGATTTGGTGGTGGGAGTGGCTTGATCCAGGTCAACAATGATTACCTCTCTAAGCCAACTGTCGAGGGTGATAACTGGATGATTACGCAGCAAGTTGCGGCGTATCTGATCAAGAAGATGACTGCTGCTGTGAAGTCGCCTGATACTCTCGGTGTTGATGAGACTGAGGCTCATTTCAAAGAGTTCATTCGCAACAAGCGCTCCCCCGGAGTAGAAAAGCGGACTTACGATGTTCTGAACAGCGATTTGGATATTGTTAAGAGCTTTGAGCTGAGGGCAACTGCTATGGTAAGTTCTACAAAACTCATAGCATCTAACAGGATAAGACTGATCGTAAACAGGCATACGACGCATACGAACAAAGAGTGATCAAAAAGCAGAACTGGAACAGCCTTCTGATCCAGCTTCACAAACTAAGTCGAGGTAAGCGAAATTTAGGAGACATCATTATACACTAAGCTAAGTCTACGCTAGCACAATCGGAATCAATCATCGTCGCGACCTTCTTCAATGCCCTATCCAATGATAAAACACTATCAGCACCCATCAAAACCGTGCTATGGGACTGTTACCGACTGTTCGCATTGTACAGCATGGAGAACGAAAGCTTCGAATGTAAGCCTGCATCAATACATTCACCATTAATTACCACAGACTAACAAATACGCTAGTTTTCCGCTCCAACGCTGTCTCCCAAGCAGATTTGAATAGCCTAGCTAGTCGAGTCCAAGACCTAATGGCGCGTATCCGACCCCATGCCGTGAAACTGGTTGACTCATGGATGATTCCTGATTATTTATTGGACAGGTGAGTGGCTATGGAGATTGTGTGAGATTGCAGGAATAAACGTGGCTGACTTGAGTATAGTGCGCTGGGCCGATATGATGGTCGTGTGTACGAGGATCTATTTAACCGCGCTCATCGGTTAAACCCACTGAACCGGATTACTTTCAACCCGAATTATTGGGAGGATGAGATTGTTAAGGGGAGTGGCGATAATGGGGGTAGCATCTTGTCGAAGTTGTAGATGTTTATTTTCTACTGTGCAGGTCGTGTTAATGACCGTTGAGCGAGATTGCATATATAGATAGTCCAATGTTTAATTATTTGTTCCCAGTATGCGTCTCTATAGACTATTGAATTAGCCACAAGTGGCTCTCAGCCATAGAGGTTGAGGTAATGAATTCCAAAGTAAATGCTGCGCGTAACAAGATGTCCACGCAGAGATGATTATTAATTCAATGCAAGTAATGTAGGTAGATAGCGCACTGTACGGTAGAATTATAAAATCTAAATAGTACCAAACTGGTATGTAGCCCAGTTAACGACTGGACCATCATCAGGACCAAAGACCTGGTAGGGAACACGACCCCACTCAGGGTTATTGATACCATCGATCCAGTCCTCGGTCTCGATAACGAAGCACCCGTACTTGTTGACGTGGGTAGCACCGCCGTCACCACCATCAGCCTTGTTGCGCTTCGCCTGTGACTTCTTGGTGGCGATGGAGCCATTCTGTCCGCTGCAGGTGTAGATCTGCACCGCGGCTTGGTTGGTAGCGACGTCGACGCTGATACCAGTGGTGCTCGATGAGGCGCTCAGGGCCGTGACCATGGAGTTTGCTGCGTATGTTGAGGGTCGATCGACGAGGAAGCATGTGTCATAGCCGGCGCAGCCAGCACCGCAGAGGTCGGTGGTCTTCTCGATGTCCTTGCCAATGAGTTTGGGGCTGGTGAAGTCCAGAGCTCCTTGGTAGGTGGTTTCAACGTCGTGGATGGTGCCGTTGGGGATTAGGATGCTGTCTCCACCAATGAACCGTTGTGAGAGGGGAAGGTGCAGGGAGGTGTCTTTCAGGACATTGGGTTCTTTGAAGGCGTTCAGGTTCCAGTAGATGTGGTTGGACAGCATGATGGGGGTCTTCTCTGTAAGAGAAAGAGCCACGAGCTTTGCGGTCAACTGGGGAAGTCCCTTAGGGTTGGCCTGAGTCTTCTCGGTAGCGACGCTGAAAGTAGCATGGGTAATGACATCTCCTGGGAACTTCTCAAAGCTTTGATCAAGCAAGGTGAAGGTAATGGAGGACTCGCTGTGCGAAGTGACTGTCCAGTTGCGCATATCGTATCCCACGAAGCCACCGTGAAGGGTGTCGGCGCCGCCGTTTTCATTCTCAGGAACGTGATATTCGCTATCATCGATGGAGAAGGTACCATTCTTGATACGGTTGGCATAACGACCGACAACGGCGCCGAAGAAGGTGCGATTTGTCTGACTATCATGCAGATATTCCTTGGGCTCATCATAGCCAACAACCACATCTTGGACTTTGCCGTCGCGATCTGGAACTAGCAAGGAGGTGAGACGCGCTCCATATGGAATCAGCGTGGCAGTGATATTCTCCGCCTTGATCGTATAGCTCTTGAAGTGATCGCCGTGATCGCCGTGCGAGCCAGTAGTAGAGACCGATGCAGCCTGTGACTGCGCTGGCGACGGGGCAGCATTGGTCAGGGCAGGTAGCCCATACAGGGCGGCTGCCACATAAGATTTGAGATGCATTTTGATTCCCAATAAAGTTGTAATTGAGAGAAACAAGATACAGAAGAAGAGAAGAAAACGAAGAGTGATCCGGGTTGGGCAAACTAATGAACGGAGCCGACCGAGGGGTACAGGCATTTTATGAGAAGCTCCGTTCGGATCGCAATAAACATTCCCTAATTTGCGCTAAACTACGTCCGCATGGCTTTGACGCTAGGGGGGCGGGGGCGTGGACGGAAACCGGGGTAAAAAGGCTGTTGCGACCAGGATTTTATCCGAATGCAGTGGTGTGATTGAGATGCAGGTCAACCATTGGACTGTTAGATCAAGCGGATGCTGGATAATGAGGGGAAAGATCCGAGCCCCTATTTGGACGATGTAACTTAGTGGACGTGGGTCCAGTCAAGCTCAAGAGGCGCTGACGGGACGGAACAAATGTGGCCTCCAGCGCCCATGCGAGTGGCAAAACTCCGGTGGAGTAAATTGCTTCTTTGTTGACGGAATTTGCCGGTAGATGCCGCCCTTATTAGTCAGCTATGTTTATCCTTCCTATTTGGGTTAGTACCTTCCTAGCTAACCGTGGAAGGTGCCTTCGAAGTTCCAAGGTTGACCCCCAAAAAAGGGTTAAGGTTATAAATAAAACATCTAATGGAGTAAATACAAAGGAAAAAAAGAAATCTACTCGATTAAACCCAAAGACCGCTTCATCCGATCGTAGACATAGAAACTTGTTGCTACCATGGGCGCCATTTTCACGTAGCCAATGGTAAGCCCAACATAGAAACCTCTCACTCCTCTCTCTATAAAGATACGTTGAGTTGTCTCCAAAATGCCCGATTGACCATTGCCCACATTCCCGACTTGCATCCGTCGCCGAATGATATCAATCGGGTAAGAAACCGTTTGAGCGACTATTCCAGCGACTGCTCCACAGGAAAGCTGCGCAACTGCGGTCAGTCGAGTGGATGACGGCGCTTCTAGGGTATAGGGTGCAAGTGCAGGCGAGCGAAGCCAGTCTCTAAGTACATCGTGGGTGAGGAATGACGTGCCCGCATACGGAAGTATCCCTAGCATAGTCGGGGTAATACCACGATAGAGATTGAAGAAGCTCCCGTTACCTACTCCTTCAAAATAAATTTTCTTAGAGATACCCACCCAGGATGAGGGATTCTTTTGTACTGTTTCGAACGCAAGACGTGTACGGATCAACTCAAGAGGATATGTGAGCAAAGTTGAGGTCGCACCGGCCATACTCCCACACAAGAATCGACGCCACGGTGCTTCTTGGTCGGGGGATGTGACAATTGCTGCTCGAAATTGTTCGTATGCGAGAAAGTTGATGCCGGCATAGGGGAAGACACGGACCAAGCTTGCCGAGTGGCCTTTGAAGAGCGCAAGTATACCATACGATGTTCGAATATCTCGAGCTGCCTTAATTAAACCACCCCAACGGGTCGAATATCGTACAAAATGCGAGTGGGAAGTCTGGAACAGGATCCTGATCCTCTCCAATGGCGCGACAATAGTTTTGGCCTACAGTACTTTAGCATCAGCAATCTACTGTTGGTAGCTTATATGGTACGGCTCACAGCACAGCCTGCGACACCGCCGGCTAGTCCATTTCGCAAAGCAAAGTCCAAATTTGAACTGTCTTCATTTGATTTTGGTGTGCGATAACCATAGTGACCGCCTTCTCTCTTCGTCAATGGGTCTGTCGCGATTGGGGGACTGATACCCGAGTCTCTCATCTCTCCCACAAGAATCAGCAGGGGCTCGGAATAAGGTGATCTAGAGAATCGAAGCAAAGTCAGGTTCAGGTTCAGGCTCAGTATATGGCGAGAATAGGATGAATAATTACACTGGAAAGACACCTTGGCTGGTATCCGACACATTCCCGAGCACACACACGGGGAAGATCGATGAGGAGAGAGTGAGGGAAGTGAGGAATTGAGGGAAGAGAGAAATGAAGTCTGGACAGTCAAGTGGTTGAATATGACAGCCTCCCAACGACTAAAAGGATTATCTGAGGAAGTCGTTTGTGAGAACACGACGTAACGTGAAGACGCGTTATCTCCTAACTCCGGCTGTTTCTGACCCCCTCCAATCACAACAATTTCGGTCATGAGGCTACGCTTTACCTCCTTATCTCAATCAGATGCCTCAGCAGAAGACATCCTCGCTCAAGACTTATTTTGACGAGATAGAAGAGACCAACGGCGATGACGAATGCAGGGCCTGGTTAAGTAGAGCTTTTGACTCCAAGGCTGAACTGGCAGTGTTTGTCGCTGAGCGGCGGGAAGGAGGGGGAACTGGAAAATATGTTGATTTTCTCAAGGGTTCCTTCAACCTTAGCTTCCGCTTCAGCTTCGACGATAGACGGCCGGATGTCATTATTCGGTTTCCGAAGCCCGGACACACGGCTACAGCGTATAGGGACGAAAAGGTTCTGAATGAGGTCCAGATCATGGAATACCTCCACCAAAACACTGATATCCCCATTCCTCGTCTTCACAGCTGGGGCTTAACTGCCGAGAGTCCGCAATACCTTGGTCCATTCATCATCATGGATTATGTCAATGGTACACTTTTATCGACTATCTTAAAAAAGCCTGTTCAAGTAACTATAGTTCTGAACCCGAGTATCGACAACGCAATATTAGATAAGATCTATTATCAAATCGCCTATTACATATTCCAACTGTCTCAACTCACGTTTGCTAGTATCGGGGCCATCTCGAAGGACCATACTTCAGGTGCATGGCACGTTGCCCGAAGACCCCTAACGTATAATATGAACGAGTTAGCCACTGTTTCCGGCTACCTTTATAATCAATTTCCAACCGCGCCATTTGACCGTGCAAGCGATTATTTAAGGTCGGTCGCGAACGAGCACTTGCTCCACCTTTGGACTCAGCGCAACCTTGCCGACGATGCGGAAATCGCTTAGGAGGGTTCGTTGCCCGTCATCGGTTTGCACAGTTGATTTCGAAGTACTATCCTAAGGCCTGCGGGCTATTTATACCCTTCTGCGATGACATGCGACCATCAAATATGCTCATTGACCCGGAAACACTCCGGATCACTGCCATTCTCGATTTGGAGTTCACCAATACGATGCCAGCTGAGTTCACATATGACCCGCCCTGGTGGCTGTTGCTCTCTGGTCCGGAAATGTGGCTTGAGCGCTGCGCGATGGAAGAGTTTGTGACTCTCTATGAGCCTAGAATAGAGCAATTCTTAGGAGCTTTAGAGCGAGTGGAAAATGAAATGGCATTGGAGGTCAAACAACCCGGTAGACAGTCTCTCTCTGCCCGGATGCGCGATTCATGGAGGACGGGTCGATTCTGGTTCGACTATGCGGCAAGAAAGAGCTTTGATGTAGACACCATTTATTGGGCTGCATTACATACCGGCGGTGAGGGTGTTGATTTGCTTGATGATAAGGCGCGTGCAGAGATGGAGCCATTTACGCAGATTAAGATGGAGCAGTTGAAGGCATATAAGGAGCAGTGTACTGCTCGTTTTTCCTCGGGGATATAGAAGATATGTGGCAATATTGTCTGATCTTCTATCGATGTCATTTTCCCCTTACATGCGTCAAAAATCATGTATGGTGATGTGATATATGTTGTGCTGTGTGGAATCGGATATTCAGATTCTCGTGAAACTGGACAAACTGTTTTCTAATTACTTCTCGAAACCTCAAGCATAGATACCCTTTTGGTTGCTCCGATTACGCCAGATCTCAACCTCACCACCACCACGAATCACCCCAACTCGCATCGAAGAAAGCAGGTTGTGAGCGGCATTGGAGTGAGTGTAGACACCACCGTTGAAGATTGCAGTAGCATCCTTTCCAATGGCCGATGAAATGAGGGTTTTACCACCAGGGTGTTCTGAGATAAATTTGCTCACATCGTGAACAACACCAGCAATGGCAACTAGAGCTTTGCCACTCTGAGATTCTGCAACGAAACCGTCCCAGTCGACAACAGGCAGCTGATCCAGAGGAACACCCCAATCAAGCTTCGCGCGCTTCTGGTCGAGTTTCTTCTGTAGTTGTTGCACACGACCCTTCTCGATTTCGTTCGCTCGGAACTGCTTCAGGTTGGAAGCGAGACCAAGCTGTTTCCACACCCAGATTGACCACTTCGTGGGGTCATATTGCCACCATTGGATAGCGTTACGGTAGTCGGAGGGGAACTAATCTCAATTAGTGGCCGCGAAGTGAATACCAGGGAAGAAGCTCCTTACCTCGTGGTGAAAGTTGTGATAGCCCTCGCCGAGGGTGATGAACGCAGTAATGACGTGATCGCGAGGCGAGTTCCTGTCATCGAATGGCTAACGTGTTGTCAGTTATGAAGGATAACACGACAATATGGGGAATGACTAACCTGCTCACCCAGCCAGTGGGCAAGAGAATTAACGCAGAATGTGGCTTGCTGGACGAACGAAAATCGAAGAATTCCAGCATACACAAGACCACCCTTCCAATCACCCCATCCCAACCCAGCAACGAGCATAGGGAACAACATCCCGAAAACCAAGATGACAGATCCATAGTTCTTGTGCTGCCAGACGACGACAGGGTCCTCGTTCAAGTCGGAGATATCGGTCCTGCCACGGTTTTTGGGGTTTTGATTCAGGACCATCCACATGAAATGCGAATACCAGAGACCCTTCATGACACTGTATGGATCCTTGACTGTATCGGTCCAGCGGTGGTGTGCCCTGTGTTTACTGCTCCACCAGCGGATTGAGCCCTGGACGGCACCGCCACCAACACATGCGAGGAATATTCTAATTGGAAGACGACTGGTGATATCGGATGTCAGTCAGTGCTGAATTGGGAGTGAACCGAGGGATGAGACAGTAGCAGACTTACGCTTCGTATGATCTGTGCGCCCACAATCGATGGTATCCAGCAGTAATACCCAGCCCAGTCCAGAAATAGTAGAGAATGGCCCAAGCGGCAGTTATTGCTCTCAGTTGTGTATAGAATGCAGCGATGAGACCACCGACAGGTACGATCAGGATGAGTGTTGTGTTCACCCAGTTGACATGTTGATACCAGTTCGCGAGCGTGATGGGCTTCTCGCTGATATGCTGTTTGCCATCACTTGGCTCACTTTTGGCCATTGTGGTGGTGGATTTGAAAATCGTAGGCCTTTCCAGATTACGAAATTCTGGGGAGTGGATTGATGTGAGGTAAAAAGGATTTCAAATCCCCTGAACTAAAAGACATTATTTAAGATAAACTAGATATTTAATACCAACAAGTCCAAATTGTCAGTTGATGTTGTTCCCATCAAGAAAGTGTTGAACCGTTGGGAATGTCAGCCCATCTCACAGATGCCCAGGGCGGACAGACGGATCTCCCCGAACCCCTAATAGCCCCAACCACATAACACATCTTGGCTGCACAGGGGTGAAAATTAAGAAACAATCATGTTCCACTGTCTATGTGCATTTATGTAGGTCTGGTAAATCAGGTACTGCATATGCAAGAGAGAGAACTATACAGAGGCAACTCGTTCAGCCCAGCGGAATATGACATAAAATAGTGGCTCAATATAATATTCAAGAATATCACATAGGACTAATGAATATCCCACCCCCACCAACTTGGTTCGATCGAATATTCATCCCAGGTACCCCTATCTGCATCTCCGAGTTTCTCGATCCCCGCCATCTTCACTGTCTGTCAATACACCACTTTCAACCAACACTATATACTGTTCAAACAGTCTCCGATCTCTTCGAAGGACAGCATCTCCGGAATCCGCCATCCCAAGACCCATTGCCCGTTAGGACATCCAATATCCCCGTCAAAAATCTACGACCGAATCATGAGCAGAAATTGGGTTACATCGCAAATTGGCCACGCATTCGGGGCCGATCGATTCATCTGGCCCCCCGGGGCCAAACCTCAAGTATGACGAAATGCCTACAATATAATGTCTGGGCATAATCTTACTCGGCACTTCCAACGTTGATATATTCAACGGTCTCGACAAGAGGGTTTGATATTGAACAGGTGGAGATTTTCCTATTGCTGTCCAGAGCTAGCTAGGTAGGTCATAAGCATCACCCCTATGTCACTATCTTGGTATTACGCACAAGTATTCTATGTAACAAACCATGGTCTACATAGTACCTTTTAAGAGAAGGAGAAAGTACCAGATTCAGTGCCACCACTTTACTTTCATTTCCGATGTTGATAATTGACTATCTCATGAAATCACAATTGCATTCGTCCACCATATTTCGCCATCCCTGAGGTATGTTCTTCATAGAATAATTCCCAACCATAGAGGCATGAAGAAGCCGCGGTGTGGAGAAAAGGGAGATCCGTTGCAGAGTGTACAAGACTCATTTAATAGTGCGTGACATACAAGTCACTTTATAGGCCACTTCACTGCTAAATGAAAAAGGTTCAGCCCCGTAAAGGATATCCCCTGCCTTCGGATCGAGGCTTCCTTGCACCTCTATGACAAGGAAGTACCATTGAAGGGATAGTGTTGGATCACTCGGGCCAGCAGAGACCGAGGGCAGCCATAACTCTTTCGCAGTCATGAGCATTCTTGTTGGAGTCGTAATAGACGGCACCAATTATGGCCTCTATGGCGGTAGCCATAACATTCTTCCCGGCCATAACGCCCCACTGACCGGGGTTCTTGACGATGAAACGGTCAAGACCTACAGCGATTCCCCGGTTGAACAGGTTTTCATTGGAGGCCACCCGGGTGATGACATTCTGGATCTCCTCTGTTGATAGTGATAGTTTTTAGCAGCCGTGGAAATTGGTAATTGATAAGGGGGTCACTACCTGGGGTCTTAGCTCTCTCCCGGCCTTGGTCGACGAGAATTTGGCGGAGAAGTGCGTCACCGGCCAATGCGAGGACCTTATTGCCTTGACGACTGTAAGGACCACAGACTTGAAGAGCCTCGCGAGTCATATCCCGGTTGGTAAAACGATAGGTTCGCTGGAGAACTGAATCCTCAAAGACTTCAATTTCCCTGTCCGGAGGGAGGGGTAGGTAGATAACCATGGCGAAGTATCGAAGATGACCAGTATATTGGTAATGATGATTTCGTGGGTTATTGTGATGAATGAGAAATGACAGAGAGATGTAGAGCGACAGACGAGATATAAGAACGAATTGAAATTGTACCCTTTGTACTTTTGTATCCATCGAGGAAGGAGCCCTAGAGTGAGCCTTGGAGTATTAACGTCCCCCCTCGGCTGAGGCGCAAGTCAGGCTAACTGCAAGATGACTGGGAATGGTAAACATGAATTGTGTTTAGCCCTACTCTTCTGCTGGCGGCTGAGACCAATCAATCAATCAAAGTTCAATTAACCTGTTGCAGTCCAACCCATGTCCAACCCATTGCGTATGACTAGTTGCGTATGCCCATGCAGGCGTCTCATTCAACTGAAGCAAGAACTCGAAGCCAAATGCCGAGCTGGATTTCTTCCGGGCCATACAGATACTGATGGTGAAGAGTGCGGAATCAGCCCATTCCTGTAGCCTATAAATCCATAATGTCCAGATCTATACATAAGAAATCACAACATAGCCATCGTCATGGAGTGCACCCTGTACCATCCATCTCTCACTTTAAGCTCACTTTTTTTTTCTCACTCTATTCTCAATTCTCTGCCTCAGTTTCAATTGATAGACACTAGCCCCGCATGACTGGCGGCTTAGACCAAACCGCAGGGTGCATATGCATACATGTTGCATGCATACCCAAAGCTCCAACTCGTGGCAGATTATTATTCGTTACGAGAAACATATCTATCTCAGTTTCCCATCGCAAGCTCACATATGTCTTCTTCGGATAGTCCCAGTCTGTTACGGATAAGAGTATACCACTGACGGTTACGAGCTCGTTGCATCTGAAGAGCCAACATCATCTTTGTCGTGAAATCATTACCTTAGCCCGGGTTGAGATCAAGTCCAAGGCACCCTCCATAACCCAGATCAGCAGCTTTGCATACCGCAGGATATCCCATGCCCATATGAGGCTCCATGTCCGGCCGCAGTATTCTGTGCCACAGCCAGCTTGCTATCTGGCATTCTACCTCCGCTACTAAATATGATGTCCGTTTCCATTAGCTTTGCATTAACAAAATTTGGGCCAACTTCAGGTTTAGGTATCCTATAAGATACCATTGGAGCCTGGAAAATCGTGAGTGGTGAGCCTAGTGAGCCTAGCCTTGGCGGTTCCCTAATTATTCTTATCCCCGCCTGTAGCATTTCCAAGGATTTTCAATTTATTGGTTCAAGAAGCTATCTCAATCTTTAAACTTGAGCCGTCCGGGAGTAATTATAGATGATAATATATAAGTAAAGCAAGCGTGGTACCAGAATGCTATTGACATAAATACGACCACTCATGTATACACACATCATAGGATCACCAAATAGCGACCGCAGCTCGGCATAAGGCACTTGTTCTGACCGAGAACATTCTATAGCAGTTTCGAAGTCCAACATATTCAAAGCTGCTGCCTCCCTTTGCTACAAAACTTCGTGCTCTCCAGTATCGGGCAGGCGGATTGACAGAGACCGAAGAATACGGATGGCCTTCTCACACTCCTCACGGATGTTGGTTCGCTCGCGGTTGCTAAGTTCATCCCAGAGATGGGCGAGGGTCTGTCCATCCTTGTAGGGGAGGACAAGCGCCCTTCCAGTAGGGAACAAACTCGAGTATAGTATATTCCCAGTAAGAATCATGTTCCCAGACACATCGTAGCCCCTAGGTCACGAGTCCAATAGAATATCTAATACAGCACGTTCTGTATTCGACCGAGACGAATACATATGGTGAGATAAGGACCAGGATAATAGCAATGGGAAACGTACTTACACCCAATCGTATCTAGGACTCCAGCACTTTATGATATGGCGTATTACTTGGTGTACGTAGTAGTATAGAAGCTAGGGATCCAAGCCTCATTTCTGGACAATATCGATGCATTGGTGCCTCATTTTCTAAAATAATACCAGAAGAATTAAGATACTTGTATCACTATCGCATAAGCCGCGTGAGGTTTTTCCAGTGTTCTGTTCAGTGGTATGTTTAGTGGTCTTCTCAGATATCATTCTATTTAGATACGACGTAGGTCGGTAGCAAAAAAAGGAAGAAGGCTTGATTTGTGCAAATATCCTTTCAACATTTGATATAGCGGTAAAAGAAGCGTTTGAGAACCAGGCCAAAATGAGACATCAAAGGAGAACAGTGGTGTATTTCACAGAATGGTTAACCGCAAGGATAACAAGATAGTTGCGGATAGACCGAAGGCTAGGAGATACCTGGCTGGGACCCAAACTTATTGTTCCGATCACGATAAAACCCGATGATGATATCGCGTGTATCGGGGCATTCGGCAGTTATGAGGCAGCAGACATTGGCAGTGTCAGTGTAGCCCAGGACACCTGCAATGGCGGGAGCAGAATCATCGATGGGCTGTATTGTGGCAAGCGTCCATTGCATCCAATGTTCTATATCACATGTGTAACCCTCTGCAAATAAACCAGTTTATGACTGAAGTTTGGAGCAACAGAAACCTCAGTCGAATTTGCACATAATAGTGAGGCAACTACTATAGTACAAGCCTTAGGCTGTGGTAATCTCATAACCTAGCAGAGGGAGCAGAAGGAGGAGATGGAGATGATGTAGTGGATGGCATGTCATGGCTGTGGATCTCTGGGCGGGGTCATAATGCTGTGCCTAAACCTCCTCAAAACTTGGCATCTCACACTCCCCCAAGAAAACACCCAAAATGCATGTCCCTCTTTTCTATGTTCTTGGCTTTTTCCTTAATATATGTACTGACACTATGAAGGCCCATTCCATTGACCGTTGATCGTCTGCGGCAGCTGAGCGGCTCGGTTGACCAGATCCGCAAAACGGAGGGCATTCCAGGCGTATCTATTGGGGTCATTGACCATGGGGAAAAATTGTGGTCCGAAAACTTTGGCTTTCGCGACAAGTCCAAAACAGCACGTCCAGACACACACACCCAGTACGGAGTCGGATATATCACCATGTCAATGGTGGCTGCTGGTGTTGGGAAACTTGTGGAAGATGGAAAGCTCCAGTGGACAACCCTCGTGAGAGAAATAATACCCGAGATCTATCATGATGACATCGACTGGACATACAGGGCAACAATAGCGGATATTCTGGCACATCGATGTGGCTTGGATGGAGAGATAGCAACTTTGCTAGCTGACGGGGGAAATGGCGACAAACAGCCTTCTCTAGAAGTGCTGCTCAAAATTATCGACCGCATCCCTCACCCACTTCCGCATCGTGAGAGCTGGCTGATGTCTCCATGGGCATACACTATTGCTGCGCACATAATTGAGCATATATCTGGGCAACCGCTTCACGAGTTTCTTGAGAGTCAAGTATTCCATCCACTTGGGATGACTTCTACCACTTTGCGGCCATCGTTTGAAGCGAATAACAATATTGCTGAACCGCATGCATCACTTAGCAATGGGGAGGCTTATTCATTGAAATTTCAACCCAATTTTGCAGATACTTTGTTTGAAGGCTATCGCGGAGCTTATTCGACAATGAATGATCTTCTCATATGGGCCAAGGAAACATTGACTGCGAGCCAGAATACCGAGCCATCCGCTAGCACAATCTTGAAACAAATCCCGCAAATCCTCAGCAATCATATTGCGATGGAGAATCCCTCACTGTTGGAAAGGTCGTATGGATTTGGCTGGGCGAGAGCCCAGCTTCCTGGGATCGTGGGCCTCCTCGGTGGAAACTCAGGTCTCTGGAAAATGTCTGAGCATCCTGTCTTCGGGGCTGGAAACCAGTCTAGGCTTATGATTTATCACCAAGGCGGAGGACCGGGATACTCTTCGTTCATTGCCATCTTTCCCGAGACACAGTCGGCCGTTGTGGTTCTCATGAACACCACTACGACAAGCGATGCTGCTGACTGGATCGCTCGACTCTTAATCGAGGGCCTCTTCGACTTTTCCACACGCACCGATTATGTGAGACTCGCAGCAGAGGGTAGAAGCCGCGCACTCGAACGGTTTGATACACTCCATAACAGATTGGCCGATGAGAAGATCCAAGGAACATCACCACTGCCCCTTGAATGCTACATCGGCAAGTACAACAATGAGGATTATAAGTACATGCTGGAAGTCACTCTGAATCCAGAGTCAGAGACCGACCTTATGATCTCCTTCCAAGGTCGAGACTCCCAGCGCTACCCTCTCCGTCACTATCACGACCACGTCTTCGAGTGGAGCATGAGCTTGGACGATGTGAAGAAGAGTGGGAGATATGATATCGCAGATCCTTCATACTATAAAATTCGCTTCGAAATCTATCCCGACAACCGAGCGTCTCGAATAATCTGGCATATACACGACCCATCCGTTCCAAATGGACTAACGTTTGAGTGGAAGGATGAACGTCTTGCGGAAGCATGGCATAAAGTACGTGCCGATATACGCAAGGGTATAAGTCTTAGGTCGGAAAAGGCCCTTTAAGTACAGCTTTGGTACAAGTTTTACATGTTCTACTATATGCAATATCATTTAATATGAAAAGTGTAGGAAAGGAGCATTCCCAACAGAAAGAATCTTGGATATCAACTGCTTCAAGTCAAAGCGCGCCTCTGCGAAGGGATCACCCACAGCAAGGACAGCAATTTGAGCACTCGCTGGGACATACAGTAGGTTCCATCATACGTGTGAATCTACAAGTGTGTTTTGTGGAGATTGGAAAGAGGATCAAGTTATCGGCAAGGCGTATCCTTAGGGTGTCTCTGAATTGCGCCCAATCGTAATTTTCGGCGTCGATGTGTAGACTCGTTCTATGACTGAGGACGGCTGGCAGCTTGTCTAGTGGCGGCACGATTTCTCCAAAGTGAAATCCGTTGTGTCTCAGAGCATCGCCACTGACTTTGTTCGTCACAAGCTAAGCTGGATTTGGACAGATAAAATTCATCTCAGTGAATGCTGGTCCATATCCCCTGTTCTGTCCAGTAATCAACTATTTCCTGTACTCGAAGGGCTATCAACTCTTCGACCAGGACTTCCATTCGTCGCTCCTGTCTCTGGAGCATCGACAGAATATTTGCATGGAAGCCGGAATCATTGGCAAAATGGAGATCTATCAACCCTGCACAATATGCGACGAGGACAGTTGCTCCCTCCCACAAGATCTCGCGACGGGCTTCATTACGCTGGTCTCCGCGAACTCGGAGTTGCGTGAGTAGCTCCAGTTGTCGGTCAGTAAGAGATGGTACTGGGTGATCCACTTTCCAATCAATGTTAGACAGTGTGCACAACAGATTTTGGAATGAGGCTTCAGGAGGAGGAGGGGCTTATTTCACTTGCTCTTTAATCTCTCCTTTGAAGTGAGATGGTGAGAAATTTCAGGCTGTTAACTATGTAGACACTCTTTCTTAACTCCCTGTTTCAAGTACTGTTGGGCTATGAAATCGAACTCTTGGCCACGTCTTGTGCGTCAAAGTGAGTAGTGAGAGTGAAGAAGGCAAGGTGATGATCGCAGATTACCATTTCTAGAGAAAACGCGTTTTCACGAGGAAGGAGCTATGGTCACTTGCAAAAGGGAAGAGCAACCTGTGCTCTACGGCGACCTGGTAAGAGCTATACAACTGGTCGTGATAGCCTTCCAAGATTGGAAGTAAGCTGTATTTAAAGAAAGGGTGAGACCACCCTGAAATTATTTGTGAGACTTTATATAGGAGCGGTAACCTAGCTTATTCGAATAGTCATATTCAAGATAGGGTTTAAATTCAGATGAACCTTGACTCTTATGTTCGTAATCTTAGCAGCCGCTCAGCCTTGGGGCTTTTTATCAGATAAAAATTAGTGTCGTCAGATCTTTGCAGTTCCCCAGAATATATATTGGACTTCTGGGGGACTAGGAAACTAATAACTAGGGGAGAATAAATAAGAGAAATATTCTGCATTCAATGTATCAAGAGACCTTTTATGCAGGTCTGAAAAGCAAACGGGCTATCAAACTATCCCACGAAAGTCCTTCATAAAAAGTCATTTTACCATACAAGCGAGACATGTGTTGCAGAGCCATCCTTCCCAAGAGTCTCCTCCCCATGACCTTCTCGACCTGCCACTCGCAACCTAAGCATAAGTGGACCGATTCCCCTAGTATTCAGCCACTGCTCATCATTCCTATCGCTCTCACCATGCAGCCAAATGCTACATTCACCTTTGTTCTCGACCGGCAGCCCAAGACCAAACATGCACCCGATCTGGCCTTCAACTGTACTCGGCGGCGATCCAATCATACTAGAGAGAAGCGTCGAATAATTCTTCATATGGGTAGACGGAACAACAACTTCGATCTCATGAATTCCAATTGCACCACACGGATGGGTTACTCTAGCCGGATCGTCGAACCGCAGCCTCGACAGTCTAGGGGACCCATCATAGCACACAAAAGGAGCGTCCAAGCGGCCTGTTGGAAAGAACTTCTGGTCTGGAGTTTCCGACGCAGTATGGAAATCCGGATTGGCTCTTGTCCAGTGGAGTTTCAAACCCTCTGGTGTCGTCCGACCTTGTCCAGTTGGCTCAGGGAACGAGACGCCGAGGTTACCGTCTCCACCAGGGGTTTCATTCAAGCGCTGGTTGACGCCTTGGAAGTGCTCAGTGGCGGTCTGTGTCGACATGGAAGAGATGCTCCAATCAATTAACCCGGGGCTCTTGGTTCCCCAGGTGTGGTCTTCTGGGGGTTGACCCCACCAGTTGAACAGCTCCAGGTACGTGCCATCCTCGAAGACAATGAGCTTCAGCTGGCTAGCCTGGCCTACAGCGGAGGGATTAGCGTCTATTTGTAGGAGCTGGAAGATTCATTCTGTACTCACCAGTGTGTTTGCCGCCTTCGATTATAGTAAAGTTGTCACTGAGCCATGAAGGGGGGCTTTTGAATTCTTCTTCCGAGAGTAGAATTGTAACATGGTCAATCCTTGAGACTGTACTGATGGACCCCATTTTGAGTGACAGGCTAGAAGTATTCAAACGGAGGAAATAATCAATGTTGATGTGGTATCCATCATCGTGTAGGGGAAGACTTCGAGTATTAATATGATCTCTCGGGCTACTTTGTCTTACCTATGCAGCCCATTTCCACGGGGGTGTTTTGTTGTCTATGCAGGCTTCGAAGATCATTGCCAAAAATGTGTTTCCACACCAGCTGTACGTTCTGATGTGTCTATACGGAGTACTCCGTACCTGCAGGGTACCTGTAAAACATTATTTTTACGTATTTCTGTAATCACAGGATTGTGCTGGGAATTACTCCAATGTGTGATATGGATTATTCTCCCAACGGGGCTCATAGACCACACGCTTATGTTCCTCTGTGCTGACCTTTACATACAACTGGCTATTTTCCGTCATTCAACGCTCAAAGAAACTCTCGTGAAAAGGCGCCAGTAGGATCCCATGTTCTCTTCAGTTGCTTGAGTCTCCCAATTCTCTCTGCACCCTTATATCTCCAATGGAGAGGATCGATGCGATTGGAATTCGTGTATGATATGAATTTATCCTCTGTTGTGCCGATCCGCCCGACATGTGCCCCTGCAGCGACAAACTGTAGAATTGGTTCCTGGGTAGAGGGCTCCCTATAGCAAGGAAGGACATTTCTGCGATCGAGAATGCGTCAGTTGAAGGCTCGCTAGATAATACATAGCATCTTTCAATTGCTGTGGGAAGAGTATACTCACAGCCACAATAGCTGGCCTGCATTTCCAAATGAGGTATCCGTGATTGGCAGTTGGCAAACCGGCGCACGCCATCCAAAGATTACCTGAGTGCCTTTTGCATCCGGGTAATCCGTGATAAGATCTTGATGCAATTTAGCCATTGCGAGGAACTTCCCGATTGTGAATTCGGCTAGGCCTATTAGATTGATGCTCCTATAGTCCCCGGGTGACGATTTTGCGAGTGGATAATCACTGTGATTTTCGAACAAAAGCATCCGAGTGGTTGTTTCGATTGGATTGAGGTTTTTAAGCCTTTGGAAAGCGAATTCGGCTTGAGCAGGGTCGCCGATGTAGTGGGCATTTATCACAATCACTTGGTGAAATTCTGGGGGCCGAGACACTATCATTAAATGACCAGATGTGGGCGTTGAGGGGTCGACCATGATATCCTTCATAATTGCTGCAACCTCCCTTGCCTGAGAAATGGGGTAGACAAGTTGACGAAAACAATGTCCCCCAACCATGCTTCCCAAGGTTGACAGGGGATAGGTGCGAATAGTCAGTTCCGTTACAACTCCAAAGAATTGCCCAGCGCCTCGAATAGCCCAAAAGAGGTCAGGATTTTTGGTGTCGCTTGCCTCAACCAAGGAGCCATCAGCTGTGACCACACGAGCAGAGAGGATGTTGTCAGAGCCAAAGCCGAATTGTCCAGAGTACAAGCTAATACCACCACCGAGAAAGAATGGGATCACGCCGATAGTGTTCGCATCTCCAATAGCTATTGGTGTTGTAAGCACACAGATTGAAATGACAGAACGGGAGAAGACGAACCTGTGCATTGTTCATGACGTGCTAGTTCCACCTGGAACTCTTTGTGTAAGACACCACCCCGTACTTGGACTGTTCCACAACAAGTGTCTACCTCGACACCTTTGAATTTTGACATATCAATCACAAAACCATTCTCTCCTATAGACGACCATGGGCTGTGTCCACCCGTGGCCGCAACAAATGGTGTCGATGTAGTAGCTGCGGCTTTCACCTTCAATCCCACTGAGTGGTAAGAAGCCGGGTACGACGAGATGAGGAAAAATGTCGACTCACCACTTGAACAACATCGTCTTCACAAGCAGGCCGTACAACAGCTCCTGGTATCTTCACTCCCACATTTGACCAGCGTTTTGGGGTTGTCCAGAACTGAGCGTCTGTCCTGTCAGTCAGAACCTCTGCGTCCACTGACAGACGGCCCTTGATATAAAGGACAAATTCGGCTAGTGGCATAATTTTGTCTGGGTCACGCAATGAACTGCACCGATGGCGAAATTTTGAGCGAATCGGCAGAAGGACGCATATTTATATCAAGCTGTAATCCAACGACGCGTAGACTAGATAAAACTCTATGTATCCATCTGTTTCCCTCTCAAATAGAAATAGCACTTACATACATGGCTGGCTGTGATTTCAGAATCCAATTTACAGAATATACCGATACATTAGTGTTTTAAAAAAAGGTGACGAATGATATATGCCTCGGTTGAATTGTTTACTCAAATCTATGTAACATACAGAAGAGCGGGTCAAGATCGACATAGAAGATGTTTGAAGCATTCGGTGACAGGCCCTCAAAATATGGTTCCTATACGGCACAATTGGCTCTCTCGCGGTCATCATCATAACAGTGAATGAGCTGTATTTCCTTTTCCTGATCATGGAATCCCAAACACAGTTTGCCTACTCACAAAGTTATAGATGAAGATTTCAGCTGATCCACACACTTCAGGGCTGAAATCTCGATTATGAACTCAGATCATCGTGCATGTGTATCCATATATACTACCCAGGTTGATGCATGCTATTAAGTAATTAGTTATTTAGACCCGGGAGAATATGCATGGATGTACCTACCCCGTATATCTATATCGAGGGCGGCTGCAGTTGTATCGAAACATACTAGGCTAGATATGCATACGGAGTACACCGACCAAGTACAAGCTACGTACGGAGCACATGCAGCAAGATGGTTGGTGGACCTCCGAGTGGATGTATCAAATAGAACACGCCTCGCTGCACCTTGGTGCATAATACTTCGTGATTGGACGGAGTTTCAAATGCAAGGCAATACCTGGAGGCCTCACCGACATGTCTAGTTGTGAATATTCAGCACTCCACCATGCTCTGACCACGTTCGGTGAAGCCGATATTGTACAGCCATCGGTCATGAACCCAACAGGTCTATACTAAACTTTTAGACGAAAGGGAGTACTAACAAGTATAATGACTACTGATTTTATGTCTACTATTCGTTCAATGGGGTGGCAGTTAATTTAAGAGCACACTGTACTCATTCAGGACCGCAATCAATCGGCTAAAGACTTGTCACCACGCATAGTCCCTTACCAATGGATTGCTTGTAGCTGTATTTCAAAGGAAATGTATAAAAGGGTAATCGATTGATAAGTTCTCTATATGTTGGGGATACAGAGTATCTGCAGGCAGCAACCATCGATATGCATGTTCAACACGAAGACAATCCCAGAAAGCGCTAACTATACGTTTTTGCTCTTCGACAAGAAGGTCAACGCGGCTGCAACCATGGCACTCCTACCAATCTCCAGGGTGGGTCGAATTGCTGGAGCGAAGGAGGCCGAGTGATTGACCGGAATATCTTCTGCGATTCTTTCCTTTTTCTCGGCATCATCCCAAGTCTTTCTACTGATGCATCCAAGGAACCAGAAGCAGCAGGGCTTTCCAACTGCTAAGCCAAGTTTCGTGAAGTCTTCACTAGCGTTGCTTCGGGGCCACTCAGGATCAAATTGATCCAGGAAGACTGTCTTGAAAGTACTCTGGAGTCTCTCGGTGGTCGTTTTATCGTTTTCCGTGATTGGGAAATTCGTGATTGTCTCAATCAGTGGCTCCTCCTCCGCACCACTTGCACTGCTTTCCGCCTTGGCAATGCGCTCAATTGATGCGAGGACCTTTTTTCGCGTCTCCGGATGAGCTGTCCTAATATTGACTTGCATTTCAGCTTTCTGCGGAATGATATTGGCAGCCTGTCCAGTATTCAGACTGCCAACTGTCACAATTGCGAATTCCTGGCTCGGACTGATCTGCCTGCTCACAATGGTCTGAAGTCGCATGACTGTGCCCGCGGCCATAACTACCGGATCGATGGCTCTGTCGGGCATAGACGCATGGCCACCCCTGCCACGAAATGTCAACTTGAGTGAATCCGATCCCGCCAGCATCACTCCAGAGCGCATTCCAATACGTCCGACTGGTTTCGCCACCACATGTTGTGCCATCAAAACATCGGGAATGGGTACCAAGTCGTACAGACCCCCGTCAACCATCCGTTGCGCACCTTCCCCGAGTTCCTCGGCAGGTTGGAACACAACAACTAGCGTGCCCGTCCAAGTTTGTTGGGTTGCCACAAGAGTATCAAGTGCAGCGAGCAGGCATACCATGTGCATGTCATGACCACAGGCGTGCATGACGGGCTTTATAACCCCATCAGACTCATCACGCATAGTCTTCTTGCTGGCGAAGGGAAGGTGAGTTTCCTCAAGTATAGGCAAGGCGTCCAATTCGGAGCGTAGGAGAACTGTCTTTCCGGGTCCATTTCGTAGGACTGCTGCAACGCCGGTGCCGCCAATATTCTCATGAACTTCTAAGCCAGGAAGTGTTCGCAACTTTCCAGCCACGATTTTTGCAGTGTCAAACTCTTGATGGGAAATTTCTGGGTGAGAATGGAGTTCTTTATACAGGATCTCATAGTCCTCAAGACCTGAGTCATTAAGCCCAATGAGATGAGAAATTTCAGACGGTTGAAATCCATCCATAATGCGTCATTCTTGGAGCTTGTGGTATGGCTCCCTGATGTTTTTATTTTACCAACAGAAGCCAGACGAAAACATTTGGTCAGGGATTGATCGTCGGGTCATAGTAATAAATAATAAGCACTACTCTAGACTTACATAGTACATAGATTGCAGCCAGTAGCAACGTTGACTATGGCAATAACATGTCACTCTAGCAACAGAGGAAAGCGCACGGCCTACCCCGAGCATATATCCACATATCTTGTGGAGCTGAACATTTTATAGACCCGCTTCCTACGCCACAAAGGTGATACATCGATGCATAGTGCAGGAACAGCGCGGGAATCGTATACGCCCTGTACGATTTATTGCTAGGTCAATGCGCGAGACGTGACTCTACCAAGAGCTCTTGGCATATCTCATGGTCCATTGTAAGACTACCTGCGGAGTACTCAGTGCATCGGTAAATGTACTGTGGACGACCGAGGATCTCCGGCCAAGTTTGTCTCGTATTTTCGCACAATCGCTCCGAGCTTGTACAGGTCACAGTCTGAACAGAGAGATAGAAACTAAAAATGGCACAGCTGTCTCAGCTCCAAATATTACCTATTCACCGCTTTTTCCGAGGCAACAGCTAGGTCTTCTTGGGCCTGGCTGAGATTACCTTACTGCATGTACAGAACTTTAATCAGTTCAATGTTCCTACATTACGGAGTACATTAGCAAAAAATACTCTACTTTTGATGGATTTTACAACTCTCTCTTCTTCATGTCTGTCTTTCTCGCTGCTCTTAACAGGAGATGATGCGGCCCTTCGTAGATGCGTGATCTATTCGCTTAATTCGTCCATCCGGAGATTATCTTGGACATCACCTATCAAATCAAGGGCATCTTCTGCAGTAATGCGAGTAGACGGTAAAAATCGCATCAATCCTTGGATCGCCTGGAGTAGAGGTTCGAGTGTTGGATTGGCCAAAGTAGCAAATTCTTTTTCAAGCTTCGTAGTTCCGTCATCTTCAAGCAAAATCAGCTGCAGTTCTGTATGTTAGTTCTGTATTTGGATCAGATGCATTACCTTCTTCTAGCTTCAGATCACGGCTAGAGCTCTTCACCATTGATTCCCACTTAGGCTGCCATTCAGCTGGCAATCTCTCCACAAAGCCAATCATTTGCAACATTAGCATTTCGTCCTCGCCAAAATACCAGAATGGCCAACTCGCGAATAAGAAGGAATAAATCTGTAGTTTAACTGTAAGTATATTTTCTCGAAAGTGATATGTTAACGTACCATACAACCTGTGCGCCATAAATCGACATGATAATCAAAGGAGTCGGTGAAAATCGTCTCTGGTACCCTTAATGAACCTGGCTGGGCTAGCTTAGCAGGCTCCTTTCCTTGATAGAAACTCTCCCCAAAATCAAGAAGTCGAATATCCTCTTCGTCCTCGTCTATCCACTCAGTCCAATCTGCAGCCTTGATTAGTTGGGCCGGCAATCCATCCTCCAGAGGCATGCCGTCAAGTCGTTTTAGCGGCTCAACTTCCGGGTATCCAAGAACTTTGAAAAGCTCCTCATCAGTTTGTTTAGATGTATGAGTGCAAGTAAATGCAATGTTCCGACCACTAATGTCTATGACGAAGTGAGTAAAATGGCGCTTACCATAGAAAGCAACTAGGAAGAAACCCTCACCTCCATGGCATATGCCGGCACCGTGGATAAACTTAACAGCCTTCAGCAGCTGGGTGGAAATTCTGAACACGATTTCCGGTTCGAGTTTATCTTGACTTTCACGGTAGTCTGATAGGACCTTATCGAATGAAGGACCAAGTAATTCGAATACAAGACATTGATGGACCCCGTTAGGACCTTCGTGGGTGAAGGCATCGAGCAGCTGAACGACATAGTTTGAAGAGAGCCCGTTTTCAGATTGCCTCTCTAAGAAGTTCAGAATTTCTAACTCTCGAGATATCGACGAATTTGCGGTCATGATTTTCAGGGCGACCCATTCATTTCGACTAGGGTGAGTTTAGCTAGGGATAAGCAAATTCAGTGTGGGAGAGACTGACTCTCTGTCTTTTGCAAGCCATACTGTGGAAAAGCCACCCCATCCTAACTTGTGATATATCTTGTAACGATCATTCGCAAATGTATCTCCGAGGCTGACTGGGTGGTATCCTCCAGGTCGATATCTTGACAATGACTCTTGTGTATGCAGGAGGTTGCTGTCGCAGTACAGGGATAGATCCATATTGAACCGCAAAGCGGATGGCGGCAATAGGGATATGTGGGAGAGCGAGCGTCGCGATCAAAAAGTCGCGATGCGTTGGGGTTAAACTCGCTAGGGCAGGTGCCAATTTGGATGACTCACCTGACTCGGTAGCCCTGGACATAGTTTCTTTATATACATGTAGTTATTTGCCTTGATATAAAAAAGAAATATATTTTTCATATTACCTACATTGTGAGGTTTATAGTTTATACCGGCAAGTCTACACCAGAGGTGACCGCGGGGTGAATATACGACAGGTTATGAAATATGGGTTTCTAGTATAAAACTAAGGCGACCTTGTCAGGACTAATAGAGAGATCAACGTTGTTGCCGTTCAGGGTTGGTACATAATTCACTTCAAATTCACATCAAATGTTCCGAGTGGCATTCAACCTTGATTCTGCTAAAACACGTAGAGGATCACGAAGTGGTCTTGCTCATTCTCGATGATGTTCCCAGGTATGGGATCACTACGATGCATACCTAGATTATGAATCTGTTGCATTAAAACATCCGCACGTTGCATCATCCTACGGCGATCAAGCGAGTTCAGTGGTGCAGATTCATTCAAGGACCTGAAATCCGTAGATTGCCACCGCATGGTCTCAGGCATGCGTCATCGAGTGTTTACACTGCTCTCTATAATCTCAGATATGAAACACTTCTTCATTTTGTGAGACGATACGGATGAAATACCCTTTGGCTGAAACTATGAGCATATCGAATGTCGACAAAGCAACAATAGAGCCACGTTGGTTTGAGCTCTTTGCAGCGATCGAAGCCAAATTCGAAGCCTCCAACATCGCCAATGAAAAATGGTATCTCACAACTCTAAGCGCGATTACCACGACACCAAAACCACACCTTTGTGGCCAGCTATACCAATACCTCATAAGTCAACATGCGTATTCGACCACCAGTACACGCCGGAAGCTGATTCAACGCATGCGCGAGGCACTGTTCAAGGATATTTCGGTTCTGGGGCTCCCCAAACCCGCGGAGGCACTCCTCGGCATCAATCAAGTCATGTCCGAAGAGGATGCGGAAGGCTCCTTCACACGAGAGGGCTGGCAGTGCGATGATGCAAATCATGCGCGCGGGATGGATTGGTTGAAATCGATATATGCCCATAACACCAGTACTCTGTTTGGATTATTCAAACAGCATCAAGACTTTTGCTTTTGGCTTGCTGATATCACTTATGGGTTGCTCTTATCCGATCGCCAGGTTTTGGATGACGTGGATACAGAGTTGGTAATCCTACCAGGGGTCATGGGACAGGACGTACCGCGGATGACCTATTGGCATATCCGAGGAACAAGGCGGTTGGGAATCTCCAAGGAAGATGTACAAATGGTCATGGACTGCGTGAACATGGTCGTTGAAGCTTGCGGTGTCACATTGAAGCAAGTGCCCAGTGTGGATGCCGTTGATGCAGAATTGTAGAGACTTGAGCCGATGGCAAGGCGAATAAATATTCTGATCACATCTCTTCGATGTTATGTTTCAAGATACAAAGGGGGAAGAAAGAGAAGTCCAATGTTTGTTTGGGATCTGCTTACCTAACCACCTCGAGGACCGCTGTTTCGTACCAAATCGGGAGACTTGTTTATGGCTGCCCCGCGTTTTCTCTCTCATTTCTGTATCATAAATTCTGTGAATAGTTAAGACGCCACACATTTGCATTGTCATTCAATTTCTTGGCACGTTTCTACCCCTTTGGTGGCACACGTGCCTCCCGAGATCACATCGCATGAGTCCGCCATGTCGGCCTCGTCGCGCAGCCAGAGCTCCTCCCCCGATATCCTAGGTCCTCCAGGCGATGCCCAATACTTGATCTCATCACCGATAAAACCCTTCGCGGGGCGCCAAAGCTGGATGTCTCCTATGATAGCGAAATCACGAACTCCGGCCAAGCGACCGCGAGGGCGACCGCGCGTCAGCCTCAGTCCTGCAAAAAGCGCGCATTCGATTCAATTCAACGATGTCATTCTCCCCGGGTCGCCAACAATGAAGTTTAATGGTGGTCGGCAGAGGTCAATCTCGCCGGAGAAGCTTCAGGAAGGAAATGTCAGCCCATGGCGCATCCGACTCACGCTCGAAGCGACACAAGACGAAGATGACGAGAACCGGGGTAGCCCGTCACGCAAACGATTTAAACCCTCGACCATGACAACAATGATACCGTTGAAGGATGAGAGGAGTCCACTGAAAGAGAGAACACCCCCAAAACGGCGAGGGCGTCCACGAAAGTCTGACTTGACTTTATCCCCGTTTCCTGGGGGTGCTGGACATACACCTGGGCCTGGACATACACCTGGGCCGGGACACACTCCTGGGCCGGGACACACTCCTGGGCCACTAGTTGATGACTCTGAGCCACGTAAAAGAGGTCGACCACGCGGCACGCCCAAACCCAAACTACAGGATTTCCAGCTGCTGGATGACCAACCAACGCCGACTGCCGAATACTATGACCACACCTTTAGTCCGATGGATATCGTTCCCAGCAGCGATGCCCACCAAGCCCAATCCAGCCCAATGGGTACGATGGCGAATGAAACTGGTCCAGGTCAACATGAATATAGTCCGATGGATACTACAGCTAGTGAAGCTAGTATACATCGCCAAAGATTTAGCCACACGGATCCTCTTACTAGTGACGCCGGCCTAGGCCAAGACCGATTCAGCCCGACAGATTCTTTCGCTGGGAGTAACGCGCACGCCAGCCCTCTGAATCTCGTGGGGGATGCGGATTCCGAAGACGACTCTTGGGGGAATTCAGACTTGTCAATTGCAGATATTCCTGAGCCAACACAACCTATCGCGGAAGATCTTGGCGATCTCCGCCGTGAGTATGGCCGAACGAGTTTAGAGACTCCTGTTATCGGAGCTACGGAACATCACTTTTTGGATGATGAAAACATCCACTCTACGCCTTCTAAAATGCCATCACCTACACGCGATAGAACAATCTTGTCATCGAGGCCTTCACACAACACGTCTAGCCCACAATCGCGCACATATCCTACTCCAACACCTACATCTTCGCTGGCCGATGAAGAAAATCAAACCCGACAAGCCGACGTAGAGCATCCCCCAACCACAGAGACCCATCATTCCGAACCTGAACCCGTCGAAGATCCCGGAGACGAATACGATGAATTCGACACTATCATGGAAAGTGAAGGATTCACTATGATTTCCCTTGATACACTCCCATCAGCCAAGCAGCATGGATTCGGCTCTAGCGCTATGACAAACGGCAATACCAAACCAAAGGAAGTTGGAGACCGGTTGAGACGCAAACTTCCCGGGACGATCGAAGACCTCCGAGGTGATTATCGTGCTCAAAAGTCATCCAGTCCAGTCACTACGGGCCCAGCTGCTGGGTCATACGAAAACCCCAGCACTCATATTCCGGAGAAGCACCCCGTGCATACGACTGAGCAGCAGTCAGTTAACTATGTGAACGAGATCGCGTACCCTGAACTCCCTGCCGGGTCGTCCCCCGCTAAACCAGCAATTATTCCCAAGAAGAGGACATTCACCAGTTTAGCCAAACTTGTTCGTCTTAGCTTGGCCCTGCAAGGTCCCTTCAGGCCCGAAGGAGACGAGTGGTCAGGTAAGAGTAATGCCCGTCACAAAAGACGTCGATTAGAGGGTGTTTTCAGCACATTCGACTCTGAAACGCAGCGGAAACTCCGAGCTGCTATGGGGCTAGGACAGGAGCTTGCAATGCGTCGGATGCTCGCCGAGGAAGATGAGGCTGCCGCTATAGCAGCAGAAAATGCGGCAGCTCGTCTCGAGGAGGAACGTCTCGAGAAGGGGCAGGAAGAACAGGAAGAATACCTCTATAACGACTTCAACGACGAAGAATTGGAAGAGCAAGACCATGATCAATCCTCTGGAGGTGAAATCGAAAAGCAAGAACCACACACCCAACTGTCACAATCTAAGATCACGAACTCCATGCAGCAAAGCCCAATGTCCTACCAAAAGGCACAACGGGAGGCACAACGGGAGGCACAACGGGAGGCACAATGGCAGCGTGAACGAGAAGCAGTCAGTCACCAGGCTGAGATGGCTTCAAACTCACGATCGGTCGTTTATATTGATAGCGATGAGAATGCGGCGGAAGATGATAGAAACATGGGACTTGGATACGAACAACGATTTGAGTCTGAGGCCGGAAATGGGTTTGACGAAGAGCCCAATTATTCTGCGTCTGGACTCGCACCAAGAGCAGCGCCATATGCGCCCCAAGACGTTGAACCCGAGCGCGAACCCACGCCCGAGGCCGCACCGGAGCCACTTGAAGATGAGGATGATGGATATGATGATATTTGGCAACTTGAAGCCAACGAGCACAGCCATGTTTCACACCGCTCTGAAGAGGATGCTCAGTCTCATGCACAGCCTGTTGCACGTCCTTTAGGCAGCCTTGCTCCAATTCCTGCAAGTCAAGACTACCCTAGCTCATCGCCTTCCGCTACTTCGGAACATAATTATGTAGCGCGCTTCGGGCCGTCCAAAATTCGCGAGCTCCGTGAGCAAAAGGTCGATTTATCTGCTTTACTTGCAGAAGAGGATACACCCAACCGTGCGCGGTATTACGATGGAACAAGTACGCCTCGGAGTGTACTAACCCGCCCATCAGAGGCACAGAATCCGCCAATCAATAAATCCGTCATGAAGGACGCGATATCGCGCACTCCAGCGCATATTCGTTTACAGCCTCTCTCCCAGTCCAGCCCTAATGTTCCCAGCCCACAGGTGGCCAGTCCGCAAGCCATACCTCTCGGGGGAATGAAATCTCCGAATGTTGCACAAAGAAGCTCGCCTATGCAAGAGGCTTTGGAACAAGACTATAACAACAGCAGCATTTCCAATGCCGCTCGTAGTCCATCGGAATCTGCCAACGTTGATTCTGCCTCTACCCCAAAGGCTCGTCAGCCCAGTCGGGAGGAGCCAGGTTCATCCTGGTTCAGTAAAATAACCAGTTTCACTCCGCAATGGCTAAAGGCACCTACCCGTGACCGAAGCTCAAGTGTTAGTACTATTCCGGAGGAAGCGTCTGACTTTGAGGATGAAGAGGAAATGGCCGGCATTGAATCTGCGAGGGAGCTTGACGGACATCTCCAGGATGAGCCGCTCTCAAAGCAGGCGAGTCAATCCCCCGCAAGCCATTGGAGACAGCCATCTCCATCTCAATCTCCCCATACACAGCAAGAGCCCGTTTCCGCGAGCCATTGGAGAGAGCCATCACCGTCTCAGTCTCACCAGGTAAAACAAGATCCTATTCCTACAATGGAAGAGGAGAACCCGATGTACGAGAGAAGTGTTTCTCGGGAGCCCTTGGAAGATGAGGTGGCGAATTCTGAGCGGAGTGTTTCGCAAGATCCCTTGGAGAACGAGGATCCAGAAGATCCAGAACCAATGAACCAACATAGGGCGTCTCCAGGGCCTCGACCACTTGCTGTCTTCGGATACTTCTCCGACGAACATTACGCCGCGCTTCGTCGTATCTACCGAGTTGCCAAGCGATATCCCGAGCGCTTTGAATACTACGATGCCCCGGGGCGGGCAGCCATTATCGGTGATTGGATATGGACCTCCGACGGCCATCACGGGGTGCCCATCACAGAGATCCAATTTGCCATCATTGATCGCTTTGCCCAGGAACTTTCTCGGGCTGACATCCAATATGGTGGCAGCGGACAGATCGATTGGACAGAAGCTGATCTGCATCGGAGACTCATTAGCATCATTATTGGTGAGCAGATCCGAGAAGAAAGAAGGGCCAAGGCCAATCGAGGTACTTCAGTGGATACCTGGCGATGAACGTCTATTTATTTTTTATCGTTTCCTTTTTTATCTGTACTTTATTTTGGATTATCCGATGAGCACTTGGCGTTATGGTTGAATTGTTATATGATTCCCACGGTTGGTTAGGCTTGCAGCATTTGGGCTGTTTTGGGAGAGTTATATCAGTTTAGGCCTCTAATCACCTTTAGACATGAATGAGGTATCTACTATAACTTCCAAGTTTTTGACCGAAGTACTAAATTCCGGAAGGGGATCCCTGACTTCTGCGAACACCTTGTCTATATTACATCTAGAACATATGTACCTGCCCAACTATGGAGGTCTCCTGCATCAAGATTCCTTATTTCCCCGACTATCTACGGATTGATTCAGTTGGATCAGGAATCAGTCCCGCTCATTGTACCAAGTCAATGTTAATGTCAACATCAACATCAACCTCAAGTCATATCCCATCCCATTCCAATAAAACAACTGTACAACTAAATAGTCAGAGCCCAAAGCAAACATAACATTGAAGTCCCGACCAAACCTGCAGTCCACCATCTAGACCAACCAACAACCCGCACCACCTGCATGATCATATCTTCTCGCGTGGTCAGCCAAGCAGAAGCCGGAGAGCCTCGCATTCCCCACCTCTGTGCGATTTACCTGCGCTGCACGCGTTTTCGTCCCTTGGGTGTCGGTCTGGATCATGAAGTACCACTTGGGGGCGAACCGGACATTTACTTATAAGGCCATGGTAGGTACGATGTATGATCATTCCAAGAAAACAAGTATAAGAAAACATCTTCTACCTTCTCTTCTATCCATTCCCATACATATTGCCAACCATGCCGGTCTTCACAATCGTCCATCGAGTCCTTCCACCACTACTCTGGAAACGACGAAGTCTAAAAGGCAAATCCCGTGAAATCATCAACGAAAAGAATCCCTCTTCCATCACTCCACATCATGAAACAATCAATGAAACAATCATGCACCGTGACGTCCACACCCACGTGCACATAGCGGTGAACACCAAAACCCTGGAAAATACAGCGGATTCAACATCCGAGAGCCGACGCTATTCCTCTCGGCCTACACAGGCCCAGCTCGCTCGCGCTGTGAGTTGGGCCAGTATCCGCAGTCGGGATCGATGGACAGAAGAGCAAGAGAAGGAACTTCTGCGCGCGCAGAGACAGTTAGGTAGATGTCAGAAAGCGTGGAGTTCCGAGCAGGAGGTTTGGTTATCCTATGTAAGTTCTTTTCTTTTTACTTTCTATTTTCTATACAATGTATTTATGTATTATTCCAGTTTATCCGAATTCCATCCCAACTAATTATCCCAGGTCCAGGCACTTAGCGAGGAAAAAGAAGCCCATGCAGGATTCTTGTCTATGCGACATAGACAAGAAACGGAGGAACAGCACCAGTTCCGTAAGGCGTGGAAACGACGACGATCTTCGTCTGATGAGGAGTCTGCAGGCGAGACAGTCAACCGAATAGGAAAATTGCGTCGGCTGCAGCGGTCTGTATCTTCATCCGGACGGTTGGGCATGGGATCGGCGGTTTTGGCAGTGGAGGCGTAGATTGAAATAGAGATTGGCTTAGATTTAATTAATTGTTACACTTCAATGATAGTACAAGGGTTTTATTTGATTCGATCATATCCTACTTCTTCTCCTTCCCATCAGGCCACTTCCGAAACAAATCCGCCAACATATCAATAGGCGCCATCAAAAGCCCAACAGCACTTTCGAAGAACGGCTCCGTCGGCGCAAGCGGATGCGCTCTAGATGGAACAAAGATCTTAACTCGGTCGAGGGACTTGGTCAACTCCACACTTTCATCTTTAGATAGCAATTCCTCCAACCTGGGTAAATCCACTTCTTCCTCGTGTCTAGCATGAATACCGAAATCGCGCATGAGACCTTTCAACGTCGGCACGAATCTGGTATCCGTAGATGATAGTTCCTGGAAGGTTTTCAACTGATGTTTCACACCGCGATGCTCGAGTCTGTTTTTATCTGCTATCCCCTGTCCGTCTGGGAGGGTGTTTATGATAGCTGGATAAACGACGAGTTCCTCGCCGATTAGATGACGGGCTAGTTCCCAGACGAATTGGTTTTGGAAGCGGGTTTGTTGGTCTGGGTTTGTTGAGGAGAGGATTTTGTGGCTGTGGGATTCTAGTTCGCGGTGGTCGTGTTTTACGGCGGGCAGGATGCGGCTGTGGACTGTTGGGGTGCCGATGTCTTCGGTGAAGGTTTGGATGGCTGGGACGTTGCCGCTGAAGAGGGGTTTAGGGGATTCGGATTTTGGGCGTGGTGGTGATGTTGTCATTGGGAGTTTGAGGATGGGAGGGGTGGCGAGGACGCGCCGGATCATGAGGATGGTGGTTTGCTTGGGATATTGATTTGATGTTGGGGATATAGTGAGGATGCTACTTGAGAGATGTAGTCGGTGGTGAGTTCCGTTTTTGTCATGATGATGATATGTTAGCCCTAAGTTGATATCAACTTGGATTTTACGAAGGTGGGAATATCAGAAGTGCAGGGCCGAATCAACCTGACATAAACAATAGTAGTGAGCTTTTGTTATGCATAGTCATCCGGTGATGCTTTGTAGATAGTTGGATAGTATATGACAGTACATACTGTACTTTATATTAGCTTCAAGAGGTTAACAAGTGCAGTAGTGAGCAATATAGCTCCGAGGGGGGTCTCCGAGCTAGCCATCGACACCGTTGTCAGCTAGGGAATAGTCTTAAAAACATTGTAGTATACTGTGGATACCCTGTTCTCCAATGCAAGACATCCCCGGGCCGACCTCGGAGCTTACAAGCTATAGTCTACAGATAGAAGCGATATTACAGATTAAGAACAAAGTATGCTTGTAAATTGTACTACCCAACATAGGGGCAAGCATGAAGCTTCGAAACAAAGTACTATGTGTGTTGAAAGTATCCCAAACGCCAGGACAAACAGTCCGAAAGAAAAAAAAAGAAAGTTCGAAATCCCAAACACCTCCGAGGTCCCTTCCTCACAAGCTAATACAATTGATAAAGGGTAATCCGTAACCGCGACCTGCGGTAAACACCATCCTATCCCATCTTAACGTACATCCGAAACTTCATGTGCATCAGTGATTGCGGGTCCGCTTTCGACTGCGCTCGCGCTCCATGGCTGCAGGCTGGAACATCTCGAACCCGGGGTGGTGGGCGGTAGGAGTCCAGTCGATACCCATTGCGGGAGAGAAGTCTGGGTGCAACTGGCTGAAGACGGCGGGATCGGCTGGGTGGCCATCGGCTGGCTCTGCGGGAACAGGGAGAGGTGCAGCCACGAGTTCGACTAGAGATGCGTCGATCCAGTTGGGTGGTTTGCTGGCGAGACGGCTGATACGAGCGCAGTCGTCATCGACTTCCTCGTTCATCAGGGAGGTCAATGGGGGCGCGTTGCCGTTTGGCCGCGCGTGATGGTTGGAGAGGACGTGGTATGGGAGGATCGGGCGGGTCGCGGGCTTATCGGCCAAGTCGGCTAGGGCGCTTAGAGCACTATGCGCGGCGGTGGTGCGGGTAGATCGGGTCGCGTGGAAATTGTGGCTGGCGGTGCGCATCATGTCGGCTGCACTTGGGGTCACGTTGTCTTCGTGACCTGTGCCCTCTGGTGTATCCTCAACGTCGGTATTGTTACCGTTTGTAACCGCACCTGATCCGTGGTCTGGGCGTCTTGAGGTAGAGAAGAAGTGGACAGTTGCCAGGTGTGCCTGGTTTGCATGTGCATTGAGCTCCTTATCTGTGAAGAGAGAGTGGATCGAGTATGTGGGTGCCACCTGCTCCTTTGTGACCTCGGCCTTGTTGCGCTTCGCGGGGGTAGCATCGCCCGTGTCCCGCGCAGGCGACCCAGTGTCCTCCTCCGGAGCCTTGCGCTTGCGCTTGTTCAAATCCGGAATAATGCCGTTGCCCAACTCGTCAAGGTCAACGCGATGACGCGTGTGCCGAGTCTTGCGATTGCTGTGGATACCACCAGGGCTGGCAGGGTTTGTGATGCTGAACTGGTTGGGGTGGAGGAGCAGGGCATTAGTGTCGGCGATATCGAGCTGCTCCTTTTCACGCATTAGACGGGCGCGCTTGCCGGAGATGTTCTGCATCAATCGCTCTCGAAGGGTAGAAGACAAATGACGGAATTCTTCTTGTGCGAAGTATGTGCGGAAATCACGGTCCCGCTGTTGTCTTTCCATAACGTTGTTGTAGTTGTTCTGTGTAAGAAAAAAGTCACTGATTAGGGAAAGCTCCTTATAGATGAGAAAAGTAGGAAACTCACCATCGTCGTGACCAACTCTGCATCCCTCTTCTCCTTAATCTCATTAACCTGCTGCACAAACTTGGAATACCATGATCCAGCGAGGCCAGCCATCTCTTTCGCAAACTTGCTGCCGCCACCAACAGTCTCCTCAATCAGCGCAGCAATGCTCTCCGCGGAGTCCGGGAGCGGTCCAGTCACGTAAGGATCAGCATTGTTGATCAGGGTCATGTCACACTGTAGTGCGTGCAACTGCTGACGAAACTGGATGTCCCGGTTATTGCTGAACTGACCCGTCAGTTCCTGGAGCCGCTCCTGGAGCGCAGTGCGTCGCTTGTCACGTTTTGAGGGTGCACCGCCAGCACCGCCGCCGGGGCTGAGGGGCGGAGGGTTTTGATACGACATTGTGTGCGGAGAGGGTGGTCGAGAAAGGGTAGATTGCATTTAGTGACCGAAAGGAAGATGAGATGGGAGAGGTGGGTCACGGTCGACTATAGACGGCAGAATGTTTGGCCGCCCCGAGAATAGAAGACGAGGTGAAGACTCCTAACAGATGACAATCTAATTCTAATTGAGAGATACTGATTGGAAGGATAGAAGGATAAACAATGAATTGAGATACTTTAGTTCTTCGGTCTTCTATTGATATTTGCTGCAAGTCAAGCCGCACCTATTCAGCTATCTTAAGCTATACTTCCGTATGGCCTTCACTTGTACAATATATATCATGTCCATTTAGAGCATTGATCTAGCAGAAAAAGTCCGAATGATTAATCTGCATAGACATATTCCAACATAAAACACTGCAGGTAAGTGCAGACACTATGACGCTGCACATCCCAGTGATGCCTAACAAGAGCCTGACGAAATACGAAGTGCTTACACCAGTGATATCCAAGTTTACAGAAGAAGCAAATATATTGTAAATAAGCAGATATATTCCCACCAAAATCGTGTATATCTATATGTGTCATCAAGACAGAAGAAATAAAATCATAAAACCCGTATCGCCAACAACCGGGGTATTCATAGTTCATTCAAATGTTCGTGGGGAATGGAACCCCCAAGAACGAGGTCATGCAAGGGTGCGAAATAATTTCGCGAAATCAATCCAACACCGGGGACACCTCCAGTCCCATGTCTTTTGTGAAGGCCGTTTGTTAAAATATGCTATTGCGGAAGAGGGTGGGAGAATGAAAAAAAGAGCGATCTAGCAATGGTAGATCTAATTCGTTCGACGAATCACAAAGACACCAAGCTCGATACCATCACGAGGCTCATTGTCCTCGCCATAGCGTCGCTTGCGGATGCCATCGCAGATCTCACTGAGAAGCCCGGAAGATGTGACTTCCTTGTTGCCCATCATGCCGGAGCATCCGGAGCTTGCGCTCTTGGATGAGCGCCGGCCGTTTTGCCAGTACAGACTGAGGACTTCCTTCATGCGGGGCTTCTCCTGGTGGATGAACCATTCGGCCCAGAGGCTGCGGTCAAGGTGGGTCACTCCACGGCCTGCATCGGCCACTTGGAATCGGGAGGAGGAATCGTTATCGCTCATTGATTCGCAGAGTGCCACGATGTTCGCCTTCATGGTGGCAAAATCATCCATTTGAGAGACAGACGAGAGCTTGCCGAGGTAGCGACCTACGTCTGCGGACAACTCATTCACTACAACGAGCTGACGGAGGAGGGGGTCGAGGATGGGGCCCAGATACTGGGACTTGAAGGTCGATGCACCTTTCTTGGTCGGGTACACGAAGAGGAGGGAGCCGCCATTCGGTGATAGCTCACTCAGACGGTCAACGAGGAAAGATGGACGGGTGCGACAAAACAAATCACGGTATTCCTGGGCGGAGGTTGGGGGAAGATATCGCTCGAGGACCGAGATGTGAACGCTGCGAGGGGGGACGATGGGCATCGGGGCGTGGGACATTTGCCGTTGGAGGGGCCCACGGTAATCATGGTAAGCACCCACAACTGCTGCACTGGAGAAAACTGTGGCGTTGAAGTAATCCTCGCTAGTGGCGGGAGAACGAGGAGTGCTGGGAGGAGAGTGGGGGAGATTGGAAAGGCTAAATTGTTCCGGCACTGCGTGGGTGACATTTATATAGGGTGATTGGCCAGGTTGCAAGTGATTGTGGACGGCCTGAACCATGGAGGAAAAAACACTGTCAGTTTTCGGTACTGATACCGCCTGATCGGATGTTCTGGGATATGGAAGAGTTTGAGAAACGATTTTGACAGCCTCGCTTTGTGTCTTGCAGAGGGCAAGTGATGATGCTGGAAGAAGTCAGTGATTGGTCTTGACGGTTGGGTATGTGGAAAGCTTACCAGTCAAGTTGATGCCATGATCCAGCCATGAGCCAATGTCCTGCTGGCAATCCATCTCATCGTGGGGCCCAGGGCTGCCTCCAGAGCTGGAGGACCTATGAGAAAGCCCATCAGATGGGCTGCTGAGTGTATCGGAAGCACCGGTTGCAGAGGAATTGTCCGCACTCGGGTTATCCATCATGGCCATGGATCCCGGGTGGGAGTGTGTATCAAACAACATCATCTCGGACTTTGGGTTCCACGCAACGTGGATATCCTCGTCTGGCGGCGTGGGGGGTAATGTAGCGGGGTATTCGGATTGATAATGTGAGTCCCAGGCCGTTGAAGCAGCCAAAGGCCTCGGCCCGCGAGACACAGTGGTTGAAAGACGAAGACGAGAGTCGACCGACCGGGTACGAGAATCCAGACGGTAAGGCGAACCAGGCGAACGAGGTGAACCGGCACGTTGATCCCAGGATGGGAAGTTCACGGCAACGCTACTCTTAGAGAGAAAGCGAGATACTGGTGAGGGTCTTGCTCGAAGAGACCCTTGTGAAGCTCGTCGACGAATCCTAGAAGGGTTGAGGGTTTCTTGTGAATCTAAGTTTTGGAGATGTGCTCTGTCGAGGTTCACTGTTGGTTGGATATGCATGGCGCGATCGTCAGGAGTGTGATTGACAGGCCAGTGTCCATTGCACGAGGAAGTCATTCAGAGTTCGGAAGGCATAAATCATCCGAAAGATAGTACGCTGAAAGGTGATCGGGTCCAAGCGGGAAGGGAGGGAATTTGAATAACTGTTTAAAAAAAAAGAAGATATGAATATATGGGAAAAGAAGAAGGGATGGGCAGAGAAGAAGAAGCAAAAGAGGGCGTGAATTATGGAAATTGACGGGATGGGAAGAGTGGGTATTAGGTACATGAAAATAATATGGGCTATATGGCACTAGACCATGTACTGGGTACTAACTGGGGCAAGGGTTGGGGCCAGACTCTTCAGGTCGGGCAAGTCTAGACCTTCCAAGTCATGGAGTCATCGGTTTCCACCTTTTTTTTTTTTTTTTCCTTTCCTTTCTTTTTTTTTCTTTTACTGTAAGGGATATATATAATATGATGTTTTTTTTTATTTAAATTAATCTATTCAAACTGAATATAGAAGATTCTGATATAAAATGTGTATAAAAAATTATGCAGTCTAGACTGGGCTTTGGGCTCCACGACGATCATCGTATGGAATATAGTCGAATATATATAGTCCTCATTACCTGAACCAGACTCAAGCATAGCACTAAGACCATATACATTTACTTCCCCCTAATGCGGTAGCCTTTTTTGGTTTCACAAGTTGCCAGTACCAGAAAATGGCTGTGGAGTATGGGCCTAGATGAGGTACTCAGTACTTTCCAGATATCCGTTTCCGGAAGAGGGGTCACTATACTATAATATGGTACAGATAATATATGTTATATATGTTATATATGTGATTTATGTGATTTATGTGATTTATGTTATTCATGTTATAATAATTCCTAATTTAATACTTAGTCCGCAAGTTCGCATTCTATAAAGTGTTAGAATCCTAGGCAACCCCATATTCAGATCCCATCTAAACGTTTACCGTTTTAATTTCCACTGGACGCCTCGATCTGGCTCACTTCCCTGTTCCCATCTCCGACTTGATCCACCGTCTCACATAGAGTATATTGCCACATTAATTTCAACATGTTAAATATATTAAGCATTTATATATGAATTTATATATGAAGCTACTTGGATGTTTTAATATATAAATCCATGGAAAGGTTCAAATTACATGTTTGAGATTACATTCACATTACTTGATTAATTAACCCTGATAGATTATGATTAAAATTATATATATCACTATAGCGTCCCCGTGAGAAAAAAATCACATCATTCTCGGCTATACAGCCCGATGCCTTCAATGTTTCAACTTTTGAAACCCTGGGATATTTCAACGGTACTAGGTCCGATTGCATCACAGCGGACTCCAAATCCGCGACCCTTGCATATCGAGAATCTGATCTCGGTCGCGTGGAGTGTTGAGGGGGCCATGTGTTCCGGAAATTGACATCCGCGAAATCCCCCGATAAGTTCTCTGTACAATGTAGATTCTCACAAGTTCCGAAGATACTTTTCTCGAACCCCGAGTTCACTCGGCAAAGAAGGGCTGATTCTAAGAAACAGTCCCGTAAAGGAAAGAGGAAAATGCATATGGTAGTCACCATAGCCTAACAGATCTCTCTCACGAAGTCAGCGACCGGCGCCGAGACTGAGTGGCAGTCGTACAACCGGCCAGCGGCTTCATCTCCGAGCAATTCCACAAAAAGGAGGAGCGATATCTCTGCTCTTCTCGGGTCAAGCGGACCTGTTTCCGCGCGAAACTAGAAGGTTTCAGGGGGATTGTACAGGAAGCGGAGCGACTACCGTAGACAGGGGGGTTCTTTGCGAGCGATGGGTTTACCCGAGCGGGATTGTCGAGAGTTGCACTGAGCTCGTAGCATTGTCGCACGAGCTGCTGTACGCCTTCCGTGAGACGGGATGCGCGCTCCTCGATATCTGGCCAGAAGGCATCGCCCCAAAAGGGGTCTTCACAGACTGCTGTCTCGAGGGCATTCAGCCAGCATTGGAAGCCGGAACGGGCGCCTGCAAGCTGCGCGGCGACTGTAACGAATCGGATGGTCGGCTCTGAGTGTAGCACGTGCTGGACGATGCAGGCTGGACAGCGGGCTGTGAGATACCAATCGTGTTCTTCGGTCAGAATGCAATTCAGCCAGGCGAAGGCGCTGCGGGCTTCGCCGCGGAATGCGCGTTCGGGCTCGGCGCCTTTCTGGCTCGGGAGGGTGCGGGCTGCGATTCGTTCGGCTTGGTGGTTGATAAGGAAAAGGGGGACGAGGAGAGTGTGGATGATATCGCGGTGGAGGCGGAAGGTTTCTTGTTCGCTGGCAGTACAAGAGTGTCGATGACTGGCGCAGAAGCTTGGTCGTTCCATGCCGCATTCCTGGCGACGGAGCTGTTCGCGCATTACTCGGAAGGCTTCATTGCGCTCTAGCTCGACCTGGTCATGTCGAGAGATGTGAAACGGGGATGCCATGATGATATATATAGTAATTCTGAATTGGAGATAGGGTTATAGAATCATGTCGAGACATAAAAACCAGGTACAAGGTAAAGTTGAAGTATTCCAAAAAAAAAAATATAATCGAGGACCGGATGCGGGCTAGATATTATATTTTTCCCCCCCTTTGCGGAAACGTCATCAATAGTGTCTCCCGTTTCGAGTGCCAAGTTAAAGGGACAGCCCAGTCGATCCTAATGGAGGGCTCCACTAGCTGACGAACACTATGCGTATAAAGATGATAATTGGTGGATATGTCGGAATGAAGTGGAGGAGTGGAGATTGGAGAGGAAGTCTGGACTGTTGCACCTTTGGATGTTTTATAGATCTGTTAACAGGTAACTCACACGCAATGTTATAGATACTTGACGTGACCCTACATTCTACTACCTACTTTTTACCCTCCTATCTTTATAGAAAAACCACAAAGAATCACAATAATAATTACTCTCCTTATCTCGGACCTCGTTCTAGCCCCTATAAAGACCGCCCAGTGGGGTAACGTGGCAGCAAATTTAACTTGGATCGTATAGCGCTGCTAGTGATAGGGTTATTAGATGCATTAGGGGTCATGCTTGATTTCTTCCTAACAGCTACCCAACGGGTCTCGTGAACAAAGAAAACCTTGAAAACAAAGGAAAAAAAAATTCCAATTTGCCGTGTGCCAGGTTTTAGAAAATGATTATCTTTCCCATGTCTAGTAAGTGTGGATATAACAGATAGTCTAGAAGAGCAGTGATTGACAGGGTTAAATATGGGGGAATACATGTCCGACATTGTGATAGTAATTGCATAGTTGTACAGTAACTAGTTATACTGTAGATAGTTTACTACAAATGATAACCTTGGAAACACTTAAACATGTCTCAAGCCTCTGATTATTTTTATATGTAGTATTTGTATTTATAGTATAGGGGGTTGTGGGACTCGGTTGATTCCGGGGGCAAAATATTCCGTTAGACGGAGTACTCCGTCTAGAGAACAGAGTACTGAGTACGTGTGTTTAATTTTAATTTGATATTTATTAGAAACTGCACATCTTCTAGTGTTTTATATTCTGTATGTAATCTACATAGTACCTACATAGGTATACAACATATGTCTAGATGGCGAGTTACAGTGTGATACAGAACTAGGGCTAGACCCCAACAGCCAGGAACAACTTGAAAGTCAATAAACATCAATATCTGTATGTTGTACTCCAGTTGTATACATTATGTATTCTGATATCTTATTACTTTTGTATACCTTCAAACTAAATGGAATGTAGAGGGGGCTAAGAATGAAGCTAAGAAAGACCCTGCAGATAATTTGGTTGCTACAGTCCCAAATCAAGGAACAACCATTTTGTGTTTCAGCTCTTTCCCTTTTGTTTGCACTTGCTCAAATTATTTTTCTAGACTTTCTTTTCTTCTTCAATTCATTGTTCAAAAGTTGCTATTGTATTCTATTTTCAATATGTTTTCATCCCTAGCATTTTCCGTGCCGTTGCTACTCGCCGGCTTACAGGCTACCGTAGTAGGCGCAGTCTCGCCCATTTCGGCTGTTGGCAACAAGTTCTTCTACGGGAATGGAACCCAGTTCTACATCAAGGGTACCAAGAAGCCTACATTGTAGGCATATCTTTTGCTGACTCGAATAGGCATCGCTTATCAGCTTACCCCAAGTGACCCGCTTATCGACACAGCCCAATGCAAGCGGGACATCGCCCGGATGTCCGAGCTGGGCACCAATGCGATCCGTGTGTACCACGTGGATCCCCATGGTGATCACAAGGGCTGTATGTCGGCACTAGCGGACGCTGGTATGGTTGATTCTAATACCCAGGGCACATATGCATACTGATGTGTTGTCTAGGAATCTACCTGTTTGTCGATTTGGACACTTTCAATACCCAGATCGAAGAGGTAGATCCACTTTCCCCTAATGTGGATCCATACACTAACGATCATAGACCAAGCCTCACTGGAACCAGACCCAGTTTGATCATTTCAAGGCCGTGCTCGATGAATTCCAAAAGTTTGATAACACTGCCGGTGTCTTCGTCGGAAATGAGGTACTCTCCAAGGCCAGTGGCACGGCCGCTGCTCCCTACGTCTTGGCGGCTGCTCGCGACATCAAGGCCTACCGCGATAAGAAGGGCTATCGTGAAATTCCCGTTGGCTACTCCGCAGCCGATATTGCCGATCTGAGACCCATGCTACAGAACTACATGGCCTGTGCCAAGAATGAATCCGATCGCTTGGACTTTTACTCGCTAAACGCCTATGAGTGGTGCGGTCAGTCCACCTATGAAACGTCCGGATACAACATTCTGCAGAAGAATGCGACTAATTACCCTATCCCTATCTTCTTCTCCGAGACCGGCTGCAACCAACCCTCACCTCGTACCTTTGACGACCAGGCTGCCATCTTTGGTAAACGCATGTCCGATACTTGGTCTGGATCCATCATCTACGAGTGGATTGAGGAGACCAATGACTATGGGTTGATTAGCTATGGTCCTTCTGTCGACGCAGCGACTGCTACTGCAAACTCCATTGAGGACGGCTTTACGCGCAAGGGCACCCCAACCCCCGTCTCGCCTGATTTCCAGAACCTCAAGTCTCAGTGGGCTACTCTGAACCCGACCGGAGTTGCCCTTTCCGCCTACCGAAAGAGCGCATCCAGCCTCACCGGTATCGAGTGCCCTGCCTCGACTTCTGGTGGATGGGATGTTGACCCAAGCTCACCGCTTCCTACCTTGGGACAAACCTATACAAAGGGTCCTCAGACTACCGGGACAGCCGGTAAGAACAAGGCTACTGAGGTTGATTCAAGCGGATCTCCGACTGCATCGGCAACTAAGGAAGGCGCTGCTCACGCTGTGACCGTCGGCTCGCCATCTACTGAGCGCCTGCTCGCTGGATCCTTGGTGCTGTCTGGTGTGCTGGGTGTTGTTGCTCTCTGGCTTTGATTCTAGTTCTCTTCCCCGACCGTTTTCGGAGGCATTGTATTGATATGCGTTACACATTTGAGATAGTCGAGTTCGGCTGAGCCACTGCATGATATGCTGGAGTTGGCCGGTTGCATACATATCTCAGGTCTGTCTTTTACGAAGCGAAGTGTACACAAATGAATTATTCTGATTATTGAACCATGACATTATCATACATCTACTAGTATTAATTTAACATCAACCTTGTATCACAGGTAAGGCCCGCTCCATGCGTATATCAGACTCTTCAAACTCAGAAACATCCTCAATATCAAGATCAAACAACTGTCCCTCAAGATTACTCTCACTCCCGCTCCCCCCAAACCCAAAATCAAAACCCGAAACAGATCCTAAAGCCACAGACCCATCCCCCATCTCCCGACTCTCCCCCAATGCCCCCTGACAATGCAAAACCCCCTCCGCCCTCTCAACAGCCTCCCCAAACCCCCTCCAAACCCTTCCCGCAACCAATCTCCTCCCAACCTCAACCTCGAGCATCCCCCTAATAACACCCAACATCCCCCCCACAGCCCGAAAAACAAGATCACCCCGTCGACCCCGTCGACACCGTTTCAACGCATCACCCTCTAACAACGCAATCCACGATTGAACCTGCACTCTATTCTTCGGTAGATGGAAGGATGCATCTGCTATTCCACCCCCGCGACCCGCGGATCTGTTTTTGGCGCTCCGATGTGCGTTGAATGAAGTAAGTGTTCTTTTATGGAGGGTTGTCAGGATGTCCAATGTTATTGCTGCGAGGGAGAATATATCTGCTGGGGCATTTGGATTCAAGGGGATTGGTATGGATTTCGGGGAGTTGTGGGGGTTGGATGTAGGAGGGATTGTGGATTGCGTTGATGAGGAAGATGTAGAGATTATCGATGGTGGTCTTGGGGGTTTCGTTCGCGACCAGAAAGATGTGAGACGGTGTTTTCTTGGTGTTGGTTCTGTATGGATTGAAGATGCTGAGGATGTTGCTGAGGATGAAGAGGATGAGAAAGCGAGAGAGAAATGCGATGGTGAATTTGGTAGACCTTTGGTTCGGGTTGAGGTTCTTTGGTCTGAAGTATGTTCGGTTAATGGGGATAGACGTCGTTGTCTGCGTTTTGTACGTCCACCCGATGGAAGAAGTGTCTGTGACTGTTGCTTCTGGATAACCGGCGCTGTGGATATCCAGCGCTCCGGCGCAGAGTAATTATATGTCTCGAGGTCGTTGACATGTGGTAGGGGTAGGAGGGAGTCTAGTGCTTGGAATTGACCGAGATAGATATGGAAGTTTGCATCGATGAAGATGTTAGATGGACGGATTGCGCCGTGGGAATGTCCGCGTGCGTGTAGCCAGCAGAGCGCCGATGCAAGACAGTGTGGCCATGTGATCAAGATCTGACGACGTTTATCTTTGTCTCGTTTGAAAGATACCGGCTCGTCTGTCAGGAAGCTGTGGAGGCTTCGATCTGCGGTGGCGCCTGTGAAAAGTACCGAGACGCTGTCGTCTTTCAGATACGAGGCGTAGACGGAGACGATATGTTCATGGGATAATGATTTTAGATTGCGGATTTCAGTGAGGACTTCGTCCGCCGAGAAGAAATACGGCGCGCCGCCGACTTGCACTTGGGTTCGCATGTAGACGCGACAGACTGAGCTGGCGAGGATAACCCTATCTACGGTGTCATCGCGTCCGTGTATTCCGCTGGTGTTTGTGCGAACGGCTTCGACTGGAACGCCTTCGTTCTCGGTATAGACGACATGGTCTCCCTCTGCTATACCACGGACTAGGAAGCGCCATTGGGCATGGAAGAAGCTCGTTTCGAGGGCGAGGTCTTCTCCGTCCGGGGATAGGTGGAGTAGATCGACACTATGTTGGGCGACGGGTAGATCGTCATCGTCGCATGATTCATCGACCAGGGCGAAGATTCGATCGGGAATGCCGATAGCGTCGAGGATCATAAAGACGCGGCTGGCTTTGGTGAGGATCCATTCTATGTATGTACCGCTTGTCAGTCCTTCGCCCCAGTCTGGTAATTCGAAGAGACGGGGGATATTTTCTGGTCGTAGACGACTGTGGATGTATTTTTCATTAAGGGTTGATTTGATGCGCTCCTCGGGCCACCATAGTGAGCTGTGTTCGTGAGCCATTGCATTTACAGTTGCATTTACAGAAGCATGACTTAGCCATGGAGGAGACATGACATTTAATATAACCATATCAGTCATGCGGCTGTCAATGTCCCTGTCTCCACCTTAACGGTTGAAAGGGTAAATGGTGGAAGATGACTGGTTGATGGCTTATCTTGCAAGGAGAGGATCAATAGAATTAAAAAAAAACAGTTGAGAGAATAAAGTGCTAACGGACTAAACAAAGTACTAAATCTGTTAGTAGAAATGTCATAAAACTCATTGTTCTCAGCCAATCTAGGGCTATAGGCTTATCTATGGAGATAACATCTCAACTGTCATATCCAATTTATTGAACTTTCAAAATAACTTCAATAATATGTATTCTTTTATGATCCATAAGTACATTAGTTTATATGTATCCATTGCATGGTGGAGAGCTTCGATCGACTTTGCTGCAGTAAAGCAAGGATCGGAGAAAGCTATGGGCACTATTAATAAAATCGCCGAGATAGCTCACTTTCCCAGAAAACAAAGCCCAGAATGCCAATCCCCTTTCTACCTTTAGCCTAAATCTTATTTTGTAGGAAATGATCAGTAATTGAGGGTTTTATTACTGGAAGGATGAGAATGTAAGGCTATCGCGGCTAGTGATGGGTATGGGCCGTGCGTAGTATATAATTTAGACTGAAGGATTGGAGTTGAACTCAAGATTGAGACAATTTTTGAGTACAATCAATGGCCTGACATGATTTGTTATGCCAATGAAATTGTTTATTGGTGATAGACTATACCTATATATATGTCAATACTGGAGATCGAACTTCAACTTACAATGGCCTATGTTCTAAGTACTCATTTTCACATTTATTCAATGTTATATCAAAGACGAGTTTAATGGTATCTGAGAAATATCTTATAAGCATGAGCTGCCAAAGAAAGAGTAATCTACCTTTCTTATTACTCCCATATGGTCTCGGTCCAAAGATGGTTGCTCCTTCCTTGAATATTTCCCTTTCCCCCTCTCAACTTGAACTTCACCTTTCCCCATATTTATCTCCATTAAATATCCAAAAATGATTATTGTCACCGGCGGTGGGGGCTTTGTCGGTTCAAACATCATCAAGGAGTTGAACAACCGGGGTGTGACCAATATCTTGGTTGTTGATGACATGACTGATGGATCCAAGTTCCGCAACTTGGTGAACTGCAAGGTGGCCGACTACATCGATGCGGCAGCTTTCTGTGAATCCATTCGGACCAAAACCTTTCTCCATCGCCCCCGCGTCATCTTCCATTATGGTGGAATCTCCTCTATCACCGAAACCAACGGCAAGAAAATGCTTGACGCCAACTTCACCTACTCCAAGGAACTCTTCCATTGGTGCAAGAACCAGGGTGTACGCTTTATCTACGCCTCGTCCGCCGCTGTTTACGGAAACAAAACCACCTTCACCGAGGGAGACGCCCAAGAAGCTCCTCTGAACGTTTACGGATACTCAAAGATGCTGTTTGATGAGTATATTGTCAAGAACACCGACGCCCGCTGCCCCCAAATCGCTGGTCTGCGCCTCTTCAACGTCTACGGACCCGGCGAACAGCACCGAGATGCAATCCCCAGCACTGTCTACCAGTTTTACCAAAAGCGCAAATCATTCAAAGCCATTGAACTGTTCGGTGAATACGCCGGGGTCGAAGCTGGACAACAGAAGCGCGACTTTGTCCACGTCGAGGACGTCGCCCGTCTGAACTGTTGGTTCCTCGATCACCCAGAGATCAGCGGTATCTACAATGTCGGCACTGGTATTGCCAGCAGTTTCCACGATGTTGCTATAGAAGTTGCTAGCCATTTCGGCAACCCTGAGGGTTACATCAAATTCATTCCTTTCCCACCGGAACTGAAAGGCAGATACCAAAGCTTCACCTGCGCCGATATCTCGAAGCTCCGTCGGGCGGGTTCTGTGCTGCGTTTCCGAGGCATCAAGGAAGGGATTAAGGATTACATGGAGTGGCTTGAGAGTCACGATGGCTTGGATCGCTGATCGTTATGCCGTATGGTCAACTTTCTATCCTGCGGCAGCCTCCAGCTTCCAGACGGCATGGGGCAGTCATTTTTTTCTCTTTGCAGAAATATCTTCATATTTGGGACTTCACTTCAAAGACGAAAAAAATGTGAAAAAAAATAAAACGTTGAAAAAAGTTGAAACCGACATGTGGTCATGTCTGGATTGAGATTTGTCCCCTGTTCAACAGGCTTCGATATCATCCACTAGGTAGCCATAATTATCATAATGAAGCAGATATTCATACAAATTCTTCTAGACAGCCATTGTGTAGTCCTAAAGTCTATGTACCTCGCCATCTCTGGAACTCTACTACTTCATTTGGGGATTTATCGTGCGTGGTGCCCTTTTTTTCCCCTTTCTTAAATGACATTGTAATTCTTCTATAAACTGGGCCCTATGTATAACATTTAATGAAGATTCTACTACAAAAACTACAACTAAACGCATATTCCAAGAAATAGGCGAAATCTATCGCATTCATTAGGGAGTGAATAATAAAATACAAAAAAGTCCCTATGGACGAGCGTCAATTCCCAGCCAAGTTTCGAACCATTCCAGGGCCAGGAAGACAAGCAAAACGAAATCAATTCGCACTGTGCATATTTGTAAAAGAAAAACGCATTTACATGATCAAGCTAAAGAAAGCAGCGAGAGAAACCAGCACCAGACTAGACGCGATCGACAAGGTCGAGGCCGAGTTGAAGACCGGCGATGCACTGGCCCAGGGTCTTCCACTGCTGTACGCGTACCCGCTTGAGGTAATCAAGGTCGATGATGCGCGCGCCGGAATCCAGCTGGTATGTACTGGGGTAGCGCCGGGACCAGCCGGGACGAGACCGACTGTTGGGCCTGCGGTGGAGCCGGTGTTTGTGACGAAGCTGACTTGCGGGACGGTGATTGTGTAGGTTGAGTAGGTGATTGTTGTGCGGGGGATGGTGGGGGCTGAGGTGATGGGGATGACGGCGCTGGGGGTGATGGTTCCGCCGGATGTTGGGACGGGAGGAACTGTTGGGATCAGGGTGATAGTTGAGGGGATTGCGGTGATGATTCCTGGGTTCTTGGGGATCCAGGTTGCGCAGATACCGGTGAAGTAGGAGAGAGCGGATTGGATCTCTTCCTTGGATGCACCCCAGGCTTGGATGCAGGAGATGACTTTGGTGGTGAAGTCGGTGTTAGGGCAGAAGCATGAGGCGTCGCTGTTGGATTTGCATTTAGGGGCGAGGGTGAGCCAGGTGTTTATGCACTGGGGCACGGTATTTGGGCACGGAGATGAGGGGGCTGGGCTTGGGATCGGGGAAACACCGCTTGGGATTGCTGGGGTGTTGCTGCCTGTAGATTGAGCATGAGTCTCGGTGGCAGTGGTGGCGGTAGCGATCGTAGTAGAGCACTGGGTACAGATAGTTGAGATGGTGGTGAGGGTCACTGTGGAAACTGTGTTGGATGTGGTCACGAAGGTGGAAGAACCCGATGTGACGGTGTTAGTCACGGGGCAGGTTGTCTCGGTCACGTAAGTCACAGCCGTAGTAGTGGCACCATCGGGAATAGTTGCTGTAGAGCTGACACCAACGCTAGACGACACGACACTGGTGGCACCAGGGACCGTGGGGGCAGTGGTGGTAGTAGCACCCGTTTCAGAGGGCGCGGGAGTGCTTCCAGGAGCAACAGAGCTGGGAAGGTAGAGAGTGGAGGTAGCGGAACACTCAGTGCAGATAGTCGAGGTCGTAGTCATAGTAACAGTTGAAATGGTGCTTGTAGTAGTCACAAAAGTAGAGGAACCAGAGGTAATAGTGGTAGTCACCGGGCAGGTAGTGACAGTTTCCCAAGTAACGACAGTGGTAGTAGCCTCGCTAGGGGCTGTGGGAGTGCCAGCAGTAGATGAAGGTGCAGGGGATGAGACCACCGAGGTCACGGCCGAAGTGGAAGCAGTCGGAGTGCCAGTGGGAGGAGGTGATTCAACCGTCGTAGAAGTAGCTGAAGTGGCACTGGGGGGAGTTGATCCGGCCGGGGAGCTACCTGGCAAGACGCCGCTTGGACTTGGGCCTGCGGGCGGAGATGTGGACGTGACATCAACTGTAGTCTCAGTGACGGGACACACGGTAGTCGAGACAGCGACGGTCGAAGTCACTATAACGGTCGAGTCCGCTGGGCAGCTCACAACCTCAGGGGCACACCTGGTGATAGTGATCAAACTAGTGGAGTACACAGTTGAGGTAGTCATCTGGACTGGAGTAGTGATCGCTGGGGTAGAAGGACCGGAAGTTCCGGCAGGGGTCTCGACAGTACTGGAGGAAACAGAAGGAACCACTGGGATCGACTCGGTGGTAGTCGTCGCAGTTTCAGCGGGAGACCCGTCAGTAGTGGAAACAGAGGTAGTCGCTGGGATCGACTCGGTGGTAGTCGCAGTTTCATCAGGGGTCTGGCCCGTAGTCGAGGAAACAGAAGAATCCGAAGTCGAGGATATCGGAACGGGTGTGCCACTAGGAGGGACACCGGCTGACGAACTGCCAGGGAGAACACCGCTGGGGCCCGGAGTAGCAGGTACAGATGGCGAGTCTGTAGCGGTAGCAGTAGTCTTAGTGACAGGACAGACCGTGGTAGAGACAGCGATAGTCGAAGTGACTACAACGGTCGAGTCCGCTGGACAGCTGATAACCTCGGGGGCACAGCTGGTGACAGTTACCAGACTGGTGGAGTATATAGTCGAGGTAGTCATCTGGACTGGAGAGGTAATCGCCGGGGTCGAAGGACCGGGGGTTCCAGCAGAGCTTCCATCCGTAGTAGAGGAGGCCGAAGGAATCACCGGGATAGAAGGACTAGAGGTTCCAGCTGGAGTCCCGCCCGTAGTGGATGATGCAGAAGGAATCACCGGGATCGACACGGTAGGAGTTCCAGTGCTACCGGGTGTCTCGCTTGCGGTCGATGGAATAGAAGATCCTGAAATCGAAGATGTGGTTTCGGAAGTGCCACTGGAAGGAGGGACAACGACTGACGAGCTACCAGGGAGGACACCACTAGGGCCCGGGGTAGCAGGCACAGATGGCGAGTCTGTAGCTGTAGTAGTAGTCTCAGTAACTGGACAGACCGTGGTCGATACAGCGATAGTCGAAGTCACAACAACAGTCGAATCCGCCGGACAGCTCACGACCTCAGGGGCACAGCTGGTGACAGTTACTAGACTGGTGGAGAATATAGTCGAGGTAGTCATCCGGACTGGAGTGCTAGTGATCGCTGGAGTCGAAGGGCCTGAGGTTCCAGCTGGAGTGCCGGACGTAGTAGAGGCAGAAGGAATCACAGGTATCGATACAATGGGAGTCCCAGTTCCAGCGGGTGTCTCGCTTGCGGTAATTGTAATAGAAGAAGACCCCGGAATCGAAGATGTGGTCTCTGATGTACCACTGGAAGGAGGAACACCAACCGAGGAGCTTCCAGGGAGGACACCGCTAGGGCCCGGGGTAGCAGGCGGCACAGATGACGATTCTGTAGCGGTAGCAGTAGTCTCGGTGACAGGACAGACCGTGGTCGAGACAGCAATAGTCGAAGTGACTACAACGGTCGAGTCCGCTGGACAGCTGGTAACCTCGGGGGCACAGCTGGTGACAGTAACCAGACTGGTGGAGTATATAGTCGAGGTAGTCATCCGGACTGGAGTGCTAGTGATCGCTGGAGTCGAAGGGCCTGAGGTTCCAGCTGGGGTGCCGGCCGTAGTGGAGGCAGAAGGAATCACAGGTATCGATACAATTGGCGTCCCAGTTCCAGCGGGTGTCTCGCTGGCAGTAGATGGAATAGAAGAAGATCCTGAAATCGAAGATGTCGTTTCGGATGTGCCACTGGAAGGAGGCACACCAGCCGAGGAGCTTTCAGGGAGAACACCGCTGGAGCCAGGGACAGCAGGTACAGATGGCGAGTTCGTAGCGACAGGTGTAGTCTCGGTGACGGGACAGACCGTAGTGGAAAGAGCGATGGTAGAAGTTATCACAGTGGTCGAGCCTGATCCAGCAGGGCAATCGGTGACAGTTGGAGCACAGCTAGTGATGGTGATCAAACTTGTGGTGTACACAGTCGATGTAGTCATCCGAAGGGGTGTGCTTGTCGCTGTGGTAGTGACTGGACCAGTAGAAGGGCCCGTTACAGAGCCTGAAGGGGCAATGATAGAGCTGGAGCTAACAGACTCAGTACTTCCCGGCGGAGTGGTAACTGGAGCAACAGAGGATCCTGGGACTGAGGATGAAGGCAAAATGATAGAGCTTGAATCAACAGCCACAGACGAACCTGGAACAGAGGTGGAAGGCACAGCGCTAGAGCTGGAATCAGCAGGCACAATCGAACCTGGAGCAGAGGTCGAAGGCGCAACAGCAGAGCTGGAATCAGATGAACCTGGGGCAGAGCTCGAAGGCACAGTGGCAGAGCTATAATCAGCGGGCACAGAGGATCCTGGGACTGAGGTCGAAGACACAATGATAGAGCTGGAATCAACAGGGACAGATGAACCTTCAACAGAGGTCGAAGATACCGCGGTGGAGCTGGGATCAGCAGGAACAGACGAATCTGCAACACCGGTCGAAGGCATATCGATAAATCTTCTAACAGGATTGATAGGGAGAGTGATGGAATGTGCAGGGGCAGTAGTTGTAGAGCCAGGAGTACAGTCAAAGGCAACGCTGTAAATGCCGAAACCACAGCTCTCAAGTTTACTATCCTCAGGCAATTCGAAGTGGACGGACTTAGCACCACCACACTGGTCATTGTTGACCACGGTACCAGCAGAGTTGCAAGAAGCGGTGTTCTTGCAGGTCGATCCATCCGGCATGGTGTAGATAATGTACAATTCGGTATCCTTCTCGGTGGCAAGGTGGAAGTTGGTCACAGAGAAGCCGGTCTCGTCCGTGCCGGCGAACGATGGAGCCGAAGAACCGGAGTCGGAGCCACTTTTGGATACGGTACCAGAGATACATTTCTGGGTCTATAGTCATAGTCAGTATGTGCAGATGAAAGATAGAAATGGATAACTTACGCCACGCTTGCCAAGGCTGGAACCAAAGCCATTTCCGCATGTGAAACCAGAGAAGGAGAAGCCGCCATAGTCGGAGAATGAACCAGGCGCAAGGTCAGTCCAGCTGAAACCTTTGTGCTGGTAGTCATTACACTTGTTAGGGGATCTACCCGGGCTGGAGTAGTATTTCTCGGAGCCCCAGTACTAAAGGAATTTGAGTTAGCATTTATCAAAGACGACAAGATATGAGTTTGGGCATACCACTCCGGTGGCTTGGCCAGAAGCCAGAAGAGAGAAAAACACAATAGCTGAAGTGATCTTCATTGTGGAAGGGTAGCAGCAACGAGTGACGGTGAAGTGGGACGCAAAACGAAGATAGAATGGAATGAAAAAAAAAGAAGAGAGAAGAAGTATGGATGAAAGAAACAAAGATGGAGTGATATAAAGGTCTGGGATAGATAGGCTGCGATGTCCAAGGCTAGGCCTCAATGGATATTGAGATATAAGCCACAATTGTAGGATTTAGGCAGCGAAGTAGGGAGTCTCTATATTAGTATTGTTGATGGGAAACAAGGAAAAAGGCCCCAATGAAACTGAACCAATATCAAACGAAAGAGGGTGGGACAAGGAAATAGGTATCCTTGAGCGAGCGTCTTTGGTTGGAGACGAACCAAGATGGCCAAAAAGCCAAAAGGAAATAAAACAATGACTAGAATGAAAGAAGGTCAAGGATCTGGGAAAAGTCGTGGTCTTTAAACAATCGCCCAACCCAGGCTATGGCATGAACTTCTGCAGACAAAGAGCTCGGCTGCAGCTAGCAAGCATTCCTCTGCTGACCCAAACAAAGTACCCTGGCGTCAAGTATAGGTAAGACATTTCGTCAGAAAAAGCGAACATTTCTCCAATCGGCAAGAATCTCAAGGTACAGATGAAACGGCAGTGGCTGAAAAGAGAGCGAGCTTAGGATACATCTAGAGTTCGGCGCCGATTAGTGCATGATGGACCTCAAGGGACTGGAGAGGAGCCAGTCAGAGCTTGCAGACTGGGGCCATTGACCAGGGCGCCTGTGGGGTGGTTCCAATCCCATTCAGCAACGGTTCATGAGATTTCTGACGATTATAAATTGGCCAGCCAATGAGCATGGTAGAGTAAAAATAGCATACTAGATATTAGGCGCTTGATCGGCACGGACACCTGCAGGCCGTCAAGAGGGAAGGTCTTCAGGGTCAGGATACAATGATCCACGTGAGTCTTCCCTATCATTTACTAGCTTGAAATCCTTTGACATGAACTACGAGTGTCACCTAATCAAAACAAAGAATCCAAAATAATCCAAAATAATGCGATCGGTCAAAGAAAAAAAAAACCCCCTTTAGCGTGTCGCCCATTTGGCGCCCACTTTCTCCATGCATATGTGCTTATTATTGTTGATCTTCTGTTGCATGCGTCTTCGAAGCGCCGGGGTCGACGAATCAGCGCGAGATTATGGCGTACTTTCAAGTACTTTAGGGCCAACGGTGCTTTTGGTCGCATGAAAGCGACTTTTTCTTTTTTCTTTTTTTCCTTTTCTTTTTTCTTTTTTCCCCAAGGAGTCACTCCCTGGAAGGTCGAACAATGCAGATAGTGGCACGGAGAGTGACGGGTACCTGAACCATTCGCTCCGTCTCACCTCTGAGTCTTGATTTAGGTGAACACTAAAAAAGCCCAGCGGCAACTAACCTGTCCCCTATGGAGTATAGCATATATTATTTGTCCACGGAGTATTCCGTATGGAGTAAACAACTCGAGATTCCTGTTTCGAAGCGTTTCAATTCTATCCTCTAGACATGCAATGGATGCCTTTTAAGTCCGTCTAATGCCTAGCTTAGCTCTTCTTCTGGGCTAACTAACTCCGCAACATTGGGCATAAGAGCCCCGATATCCCTTTAACCACACTCGCACTAATCTTATGTTTTTTTTTAGATTAGATTCTGGAAATAAAATAAATAATCTCCATGTCTCGGCGCGTCGACGGCTTCTGCAGAATTGAATAAAATAATGTGGGGTTAATGTGAAACGCTCAACTAAATATATCCACAAAATGAGATTTTTAGCGCCTGTGGAATACTACGCTATAACTTATTTTCCTTTGCTTGAATCTTTGATTCTAAGACTGTACAGGTGTCACGTCATGCACTATATATATCGGAGCCTGGAATATCTGAGCATAATGCTCAGATATAGTGGTCTTTTTGGCCTAGTGTGTAACTCGCCAGTCCAGGGGCAGGTTGTAACAACAGAGCCGTACTACAATACACACAGAAAGACAAATCAGAGACCACTCCCGCACAGTCCACGTACTTCAGGAGGCCTTATGTACAAACCCCTACTCTTAGTAAAGACTCAAAATTAGCGGCGAATAAGAGGAGAAAGGCTATATGATGCATAAATTGTAAGGCGTTTCGATGCAGATCCAATCGATTAATTAGGCACGCCCACAAGATCACTAGGGCGAAGATTAGTGCCAAAGCGGTGGTCGTCGGCACAGTCGATAGAGGTCTTTTTTTTTAAATAAACCCTGGCCGCTGATGCCGCACTTCCGCATCGGCTATCGTGTTTCTGGCTTGAGACAAAGGATCAATTCTGTTCCCACGTATGTCCAACGAGATTGTGCCAGACATGGCTCGAACGGCAGTAGTTATGTGGAAGTGAGTTGTCTGCGGTGACTATTATGTAAGGGAGAAGCGATGGCATGAGGCGCTCTATCGTTGTTTTGCGTCTTAATAACGATCCGTGCTCACTAACCTCGTGTCGGGGCGATGGTGCAGGGTTATCAGATGTTCGACTTTGGAACGGATGATAGTTTCTATTCGATGCAAATATTGAATACTCGACTGCAATTTTGCGATATGGCGGGCCGTGCCATGGCCTGTAAGTTCTTTCTGCGAGCCCTTCACGACTATATGAAAGTTGATACTATCAATGAGAAAATATAAACAGGTCATGAACAGCAGCGTCAGATAATTATTGGCTTTATGGAACAAGGAAAGTGCACAAAAACGCGGCATGGATTGCCCTTCGATATCTCTGAAATCGCTGGGACACTGACAGTCCCGTCTAGTTTAGCAACATAGTGGGCATCCGAATATTGAAATCTCGAACACCATGCAAGTGCGGCTGTTCCAGGTTCCACCACGTGTTTTCTTAACTCGACATGAACCAAGGGTGCTGAAGCGCCTGCCTTGCAGTGATCTTTTTCGTAGAGTCTAAGTTCGTCATTTTGCACACTAAATCCCAGAGATCTTGATCCACATACTCCCAACACCCGAAAGGTTGTCTTGGAGTATCCGAAGTAAAGTTCCTAGCAATAGAGATGAAACGCTCATGAAAAGGATTGTCTTCTACTATATGCTCCAGGAAACCATTGAGATCTTCTTCGTCGGCAAAATATGATACATGTCTTTGGAGAATGTAGCGCCAAGAGTCCGCCGCAGTAAGTTGGGAATCGCTTATGCGAAATACCATCTCATTGAGCATAACATATATTATCTAAAGACATTGTTAGGTATTCAGTAGGGACCAAGAGTAAGAAGGACAAGACGTACAACAATCCCGAAAGAAAATATATCCGAGGCTTGGTTCTGACGAGATCGGCACCAGCTTTCAGGGCTCCTCCACATAGCATTACCGCAGAGGGGACCTCTTAGCCATTTGCCTGGTGGGACAAAGACCGTATCCTCGAGATCTGATATTTGAACAGTTTTGACTATTAATTGACCCTCCGTACTCTCGTCATGGTCGACCAAGATATTGCTAGGTTTGATATCTATAAAAATAAGTTAGTATTGTGAGAGACTTGGTATTAAACGGTGTCTAGGCTTTCCATTGTGAAGAATCCCCCGGTCGTGCATATAAGTTAGTCCCTGTAAAGCTGATCGGAGGATGTGAATTCTTGATTCCCGATTCAGCGATCTCTGGCTTAGACGAAGTAAATCTCCCGCAAGAAAGGGGTAGATAAATAAATCAAGGTCCCGGATAGTGTCGACTACCGTTCGCACATTGTGGCAAGATGCCAGTTTTTTTTGCAAATTCAGTTGATACTCAAACTCCCCGGGTATCATGTTTTTTTGCAATAAAGTTGAGCTTATCTGCGCTTTCCGTCATCCATATTAGTTAGCAGTGATGCCGCAGGTGGCTAGATTTTAGCACTTACCTCGCACGATATACGCATAGAAGGGGCTTTCTGCGATCAACGAGTATTTCTTCGATCTTGAATATCTGTCCGGAATCACTCTTGAACACTGTCCCTAACGGAAATGGCTCTTCATGCAAAGTGGTAGCTATCTGAGAATACCGTTGTCGATAAAAAGAATGTCGACTTAGATACAGAACGTGAAACTTTGACGGTAGAACAGTGGTTGGAGATGAATGCTTTGTTGAAACAAACAACGGAGTTGTCCGAGTGAATACTCGAGAAGCTAGCATGATGCTAGGTTGGGAATGTGATCTGATTATGTGACGTTTATGTTGTGAATCTATACAGTTTGCAGAGTTTGCATCATGTTTCTACCTCAGGCATGATTGATAAAAGAGTCTTGTACCTGTGGAAAAGATGATCCATGGATGCTAGGATTATGTAATTATTTAACATTTTTACCACACCCGTGGACATGGCGATGGCAACGATCCACTTGGGCGTGGAGGCCCCGGGGGCCGCACGGCCCCACTTTGCGAACGTCCAATTGAGGGCAAGAGAACCATGACCAGTCGTGGTTTTCAAGCACATTATTGGTTCAGCAATAATAAAGAAATATCCTTAGTTGACAGATCAGTGTCTTTGCCCAATTTCCCTGGTACCTCCATTATGCAACACGGATTTATCGTGCTTCATCCAACTTAAGTCAACAATGTAGTTCAACATGGCGAGAGTAGGTCAAAAATCTATAAAGGCCATCTGACTGGTTCATCAATCGCTCGGTATTCAGCGAAACAATATACGAAAACCTAAGGTCTACCTTTCCAACAACATGGCATCCAATGCTAAAGTTATCTCAACTAAGGTGATCGGCATCCTTTCTTTGGGCGCACGAATGGCGAAGGTCGGATACGTGGATAGAACCGATGCATGGAACAGACCATATCTCAGCCTAGAATTTCAAGCGAAGTTCAAGGCAACTTCTGAGAAGAAACTGTCATCTCTAAAACCGGAGACTGATATGGTTTCTCTTCAGTAAGTTTAGAATTAATTCATCTTACAGTTCTAATATCTAATATTTGTCAATAGGGGGACTCCTCATGCGAGTGAATCTGACAACCGCAGGCATTTTACTGCAGTGGAGATGGATGGGAATGGTGTCGTCATAGCAAAAAAACATCTTGTTGTGGAATAACTTCACTCAAGAAGTGCAGGTTTCATTGGGGCGTGGGAAGTGATCGCGATACGCTCAGGAGTGGCCACTGAAGACCAAGTAACAATCAAGTTGGAATAGATGAAATGGCGAGGCATTGGAAGTCTCAAAGCATGAGAAGAACGGCTGTTCAACACAGCCAGCCTTAGCTAGGGTATAGAGAATTGGAATGCACTCTTTTTTATCATTTAGTGTTTAGCATTCCGCAATTCAATTCTATAAGCAGAGATTTGCATCTTTGACAATCGCGCCATGCATCCCTGGCCAATTTGGAAAAAGTTGATCCGCCCAGGAACTAATCAGCAGCGATTTGGATGCAGCTTATTACGTCCCTTTGCTGCGACGTCTTCAAGTCCGTGAAGTTGCTTAAACATCTTGTCTTTACGTGCATGACCTTGATCTGTGTTTGTTGCCAGAAATAAGCCTATTGGACTCTAGGTCAAGGGTGCATGTATAGTAAAGGCAATAGCACTCACAGTCCAAGTCTGTGACATGCTCGTCACGGACATATGCGAAAAACTAGCCGAGAATAATCAATGAATTTGTCTAATATTTGCCTTGCATATTGTCCCAATAACTGTATATGTTGATCGTCGCCTTCTTTTAGAGACCTTATGAAGGAGAATACCATAGTTCATTCACACCTGCTATCAAAAGCAACTGAAGGTGTCCTCAAAAAGGCATATTCTATATAGAGTGCAATTGCATCATAGGTGGGTGACATAGGAGCTTGCTAAATAGCCAGAGCCTGAAAAGTCTTCGGTTTAAACGTGCCAAAGATATAAAGCTCGACGCCTCGCTGTCTCGCCTCCCTACCATTCTCCACGGTTTTCAATTACGACTATTCTCGATCAAGCTAGACTTGTTTGAGCCCGGTACAGGAACGCAAAGATGACAACAGCGCAGATCATATCGCCTCGTTACAATGAGCAAGATCCATCGGAAATGGAAATCACTGGCTTTGTCGTGTTCTCAGCTTCCTCTGACGGAGCCGAAGTAAATCCAGAGGTAAAGCGGTCTCTACATTCAAGACCAAAAATAGAAAAAGGTCCTTTCGTCTATGGGAGAGGGGATCCAGATATATGTGGGCGGTTTTTGCGATGCGGGGCCGAGGAAAGCGACGCGGTGAGTTTGATAAAATATTTTAGTTATTGAACGAAGACTGACAAATACTAGTTTTCTAGAAAAATCAATGAGGCGATAGGCGAAGTTGACTTTCTCGTTCGTCAGGGTCCTGTGATCGTTCTCTCTCTCAAGGACCACTCAACGTGGGGCACTAGGCTTGCGCACCCAACTCGTCATGCGGTGTCTGCCTTTCGAGATCTTTCGAACGTCGACGAAACCAGAGTAACTTTCATGCTCTACCCTCAGGATTTACCGAAAGACGCCATGCTGGAGGCCCGACCCGTTATGCGGAAGCTGCAGCCAAACGAAATTCTTTTTGTGAAAGGACCAGTTAGAATGAGGATAGAGGTTCCTGCTAAGGGCTCTTTTGTCTGGCAAGGGAACAGTGGCAAACCAATGGGGCTTGATATGTTCGGGCCAGAGGTGTTTGAGTTCATGGTGGTTTGAGCGGTTCGCTGTTATAACCTGCCCCTGGGCTGGCGAGTTACAAACTAGGCCAAAAAGACCACCATATCTGAGCATTATGCTCAGATATTCTATGTTCCGATATATATAGTGCGTGACATGACATCTTTGGTCTTATTATTATCCTCGCATGTCAGTTGCCTTATAGTATCCAGGTCGATATAAAACCAATAGATATCTTTGCTTGGAAGAGTAAGATTTTTCCTCTCCAGACAACTGTGATAAGTATACGGAGTACGAAGTATTCTCCTTTGCTTGTGAAAAGCGCTATGGCGAGCTTGAGGTAAACGGACAGTCCAGATGGCGAACATCCAGAGCTGGTGCGAACTGCATCACCCCGCCTAAGGTCATGCCGTAGGGCCTTCCCATAGGTGTTGCAGAAGCCCAAGAGGTGAAGCTCTCCAAAGATGCCCCTTTATCCGAATGGCCAGGTGTGCGTGGTATCTCCGGTTATGACGAGGGAAACTACATCACTGTCTTGTTCTTGGCTTGGGCATACATCCTATCGGCGAAATGGGTAGAGTTGCTCGATCGCTCAGAAGCACATCAGTGTTCAACGGAGTACTCACCTAAAGCCCGCCAAGGGCCCAAAGAACCAGAAATAGAGGTTATTGAGGTTGACCTGCCTCCGGACGCAAGCGAAGCCGAGATCGTGTGGTGGAACGCTATACTCTCCGGAACACCAGCATGGGACATATCCATGGAATACGAGTCCGACAAATTCATCTCGCCATGGTCTGTTTCATTAGAAGGATCGATCTCAATGCGAACTAAACAAAAACTTCCCCTCGAGTCAACAACCTATAACCCCCCATCATCAAAAACAGCCTTCCAATACCTCACCCGCTTCTGCAACCACCACCACATCTACGCACAATGCACAGCAGCACTATCAGCATAATTTTTCACCCGCGACGTCTTCCTCCGCAAGACACCGACCCTCCTAATCCCAAACCCACCAAAAATGTCACCTACCACTCCCCAACAAGCTCGCAATCGATCTCATCTCTAATCTCCGAACACGAAAACCTTCTCCCATACTACATGACCCTAAGCAGCAAAATGTGCATGACAACAATTCCAGCAATGAAAAGCATCTTCTTCAACGCCGACATCCCCTGCAATTTAGTCAGTGCATGGACAAATGCGATCTTCGCAGTTATAAACCCAATCGTGAAACAAGGCGATATCCCCCGTCTTCTCAACGGTCTGTCAGCACGCGGGCCACGCGTAGCTAGCCTCTGGCTCGGCACTGCGATCATGGGTACGAGTAGCATATACCTGAAACACAGCGAGCAGGGGTTGATAGCGCCTGTTCTAGAAGCCGAGGCGTGGATGGGTGTTAGGACTACGTTTTTGACACAGCCGCCTCGTATCTATGATAAAGATGCGGAGTTTGTGCAGCGAGATGATGAGTGTCGGTTGCTTCTTCTTGCGACGCCCAGTGATGGGGAGTATAATCATGGATATGTTACTGTCTGGCCGTGGAAGCCGTTTGGGAGGGCCCGGGTCTGTGAGACGGATATATTGCTTCGGGAGCATTTGAGCTGTGGATGTCATGTTTTGGAATATGAGGGTTGGTCTTGGGAGCTTGGGGATGGGTCGAGGGTTGAGGATACGGGTGTGGGGGCGCGGTTTTCGCCGTTGCTTTCGACGTCCAATTATTCATCTAAGGCTGCGACTGTTTCTAGGTGTGTATCTTGTCAACCGGGGCTTACTTCTGCGGATCTTCCTGCCATACCGAAGGATTGTGAGTATGATGTGTACTCAGATCGTAGAATGAGTAATCCTACTCGGGAATATTTTGCTGGCTTCGGATGGATGGTATTCCGGCTAATAAAAAGGGGATATATCAGCATTCGTGGGTTGTGGTTGGGAGAGATAAGAACGAGGAGGTGGATGAACATGAGTCTGATGATTCTACTGCTGGTGCTCGAGCTGAAAGAGTTGAGCATTGGCTTGGTTGTGTTAGTGAAGCTGAGATAGTAGTTGAGGCCGGTACTGAAGACTGTTGTTAATACCACATAGATTGAGCTCTTAGATTCAAGAATCAAGGCAGGACTTTCATGACTCTCGGCTTTCCAAATGTGTTATAGCAGTAGTGAAGGTTATAGCTTCTTTGGTGATATCGAGGACAGGGGAACGGGATATAGATTAAGTAATTGCGGACCTTGGAAGATCACTTAATTAAGGTTTAAGTGGACCCCATGTGGGGGATGTACATCAATTTGAAGTCTGAGCTTCATTCCAAGGTTGAATATTAATGAGCGAGAGAATGTAATAAAATTTTCGAATGTTTTTGATATTGATGTGAAGGTAAATGTAAACAGCAACTTGGTCCATCACTCGTTAAAACGCAAACCCACAAATTTTCAACTCCACAAATCCAAAGGTATCGCCAACCCCGCGACAGACGAGGGAGAAAAATGACCAGTCAGTAGATATGACATGATAATCAAAATAAAATGAAAATGAAAAAGAATGACTAGCAAGCTTCAAATCTCATAAACGATCGGTTTTGGGTTCTGAGAACCAATGTCGATCTTTCACAAGCCAACTACACGCATGGCAGATCTACCTTAAATCACTAGAAGGTAGTCTAGTCTTCACGAGATTTTAGTGGCAAGATGCAATACGACGGGTGCAAAGAGCCTGTATGCTCCATGCAAGGTCGATATGGCCAAAGGCAAAAGACCCCAATAGTCGAGTCTGCCAGTGACTAGAAACAGATAGAATGAATTGCGGCCGTGGTTATCGTATGATCTTGGAAATCCAGATGTCGTGCAATCGTGAGACCTCAGAGAGGTGCTGTGATGTGGTGCTGGGAGCGACGTTGTTGGGCATCCATCAGCTTGCGGCGCACAGCCTCGCCACCTGCAATGCTGCTCGATTTGCGCTTGCGGGTGGGAGTTCGCTGGTCGTTGTTCTTGGCGTGCCTAAATACACTGGCAGGACGCGCGGGAGAATTGGCGGGCATAAACTCGCGATGCTGGGGGAGACGGAGGAGCGCCTGGTAGCGGTTGTGGTTGCGACGGAAGGCAGTGACGATACCCTTGTCCAGGTGATTGAGGAAGCGCTCTTCGTTGTTCTGCAACTCAGACTTGCGAGTGGGGGTAGGTGTGCCCATGGACTTGGCAAAGGGACCGGCCATCGGGGAGATCCGGGCATCATCAAACTGCTTCTCCATGTCCTCATCTTCATCGGAGGATCCATTGCCAAAGTCGATGAAGTCATCGACGTTGAGAGCAGCCTCTGGATCGTCTTCTTCGTCCTCTTCGAACGAACTGTCGATGGTGAAGTCCTGAGAAGGGTAGAATGCCTCAGGGGGACCCATGACCTGGCCTCCCGGAGTGAGATCGTTGCCAAGAGCGGTCATCATGAGGTTGGCACTCGAAGCCAGCATTGGGCTGAAATCAAGCTGATTCGGCGAGGCAAGTGCATCGGTGTCGCTCTCGTCAACCAAGTGAAGTGTAGTCTGGCGAGGGCTGGTGTTGGCAGTTCCGGGCATACTGTTGGCGGCGGAGTCCAGCCAGTCGTGACGAGAGGAGGCATATGCAGGAATGATGACGAGATGCTTGCCAGTGCAGTCGACCAAAGCTACTGGCTTGTGGGGGTCTGCTACGAAGGTTCCCATGATAGGCCCGCGGCGGCGGGGGACACAGTCACTCTTCTCGTCCACGGGGGCCAAAGAATCCGAAGAGTCCCGGCGGAGCAGGGACCGGGGGTGGGTGATAGTTGCTGGTGGGGGGAGATCCTCGTCTGTGGTGTCACCATCGTCGCCTGTTTAAAGGGGTTAGCAAAAGCCAGAACGAAGCACAAATGAGTAATTTCATACTTTCGTAACCACTCAAACTGCCCTCGGAAGATCCTTCGGACTCAACGTGGTAGATGCTTCCATGACCGTAGTCGGCATCGCCAAACATCTCTTCAGATTGCCGGCGGGTATTTCTCTGGTAGTTTTCGTTGTCGTTTTCGATCATACGACGCAATTGTGGGTCCAGGCTGTCTTGTTGTAGGAAGTCACCGGGAATATCGTCGTCACTGTGGGAATCACTATCAGAGGACGAATCGGATCGCTCCTCGAAATGAACTCGCCGGGCCACTGGTGTCTCAGCGGCCTCGCTGGTCACCTGAGGCTCTCCAAAGGTGTCCATAGCACTGTAAAGGTGTTCTTCGTCGAAGAAAGATGCTGCCGGTAAGAACATGTGATCGTCGAAGGAGTTGATAGCCCACTGATCATCGGCAAACCCATCACTAGGCAAGGGGCGGTGGGTTTTTTCAGACTCCACGATCATCATTTCTTCCAACTTCTCGACATCCTGGTCTTCATCTTCGGCATCTGTGATGTAGTCTACACCGGCATACACATCATCTGAGCTGTCATCCGAGTCATTGCCATCATTGTCATCACTGCTGTCACTGCTGTCATCGTTCAAGACACGTCTTCTCTTGTTGATTGTGGGTTGGCGCCCCGCCTTATTGTCTCGGCGACGACCATAAGACGGGGCCCGGACTGCTGGTTCTTGCTCATCATCTGCATCTTCTTCTGAATCATCTGCCTCGTCACTCAGATCCCCGAGGGATGAGACTGAAGAAACACTTGAGACTGATGATGATGAGGCTCTTCTTTTTCTATCGGATGACTGGGCATTGGCTGACTTTCTAGCCAGGTTGGCCTTCGATGACATATCGAGGCTCCGCATGATGTTGGACTCGGGGGTTGAGGGGCGAGGGTGAGCGTTCTTGGCGGAACTCTTGGGTGCCCGCTTGGAAGAGTATGCACTCTGTGGCATGTTGTATTAAAGATCGATAGATGAATAGGGGTTGTTTTTGTAGGTTCGGACTTCTTTGGTCCTTTGCTTTTGTCGTTCAAATGGTCCGGTCTGATCTAGGATGATCTAGTGATGGCAGGAAGGAAAAGGGATAGATAGTTCTTGAGAGAGAGGAGGGTCGTAGTTCGGTCCAAAAATAGGGACACGTTAAGGGATAAGTCGAAGGGAGGTGGGACGGAGTGGAGGTAATCGGAGAAGCGGAGTGGAGGGGAGGAGTCCAAGTTTTTTTTTTCGTAACCACGAAAGCACCCGCAGTCCGTTGCGGACGCTATAGTGCTCCTTCTGGGAGTTTGCTAGGGGGCAATTCCAACGCCTTCAGAGGGGGCGTCGAAAGAGAAATATCGTCAAGTAGAATTGAAGATCGGAGCTGCAGGACTGGGGAGCCAGGACAGGCTCCCCAGCGAGGCATTTACAGCTCAACGAAGGCCATTTGGCTGAATTCTTGACGATATGTAGTGTATGTGTAGTTACTTTATTGAGGGGTTCAATATAAGTTTAAAGAGAAAGCCGGGGAGTAGATCAGTTAGAGAATGCTATGAGAAAGGGAAGAAGAGAAGGAAGGATGATGGGTCGTTTTTTCTCCCGCAAGTGGGGGACACTTGTGATTGGCTGCAGAACACGACCGCCTATTCGTTGGCGCTGCTCACCGACTCTTTCAGACCAATCAGCGATCGCCGAAAGTCGCAAGAGGAAAGTCATGGATGGACTTTGATGTCCACTTGGGCCATAAACTCTTAAATTAGGTGTTGCATTGAGATTATAGTGGTATTGACTCTGATTTGCCTATGCAGTATTTTGCTCCCATTTGGTCTTCCATTCCTAGAGCTTTCGAATTTTATCCCGGGGCCGAGTCGAGTCCGAACAAAACAAAAACGTCATTGATACTCGGCATAATTCTCCCCATGCAAATTCCAAACAGGTCAACTTTTGACTTGCTGACACGGAATATCAGAAAATCAGCATTGGACGTTAAACTAGAATACCCGGTGCAGCGGCTGACCCGTGCGGGCTGCATGATGATGATTCATCCTCGGATCAAGAGTTTTTTTTTTCTTCATATTTATTTATGACACATCTTAGGATGAATCATATTCGTATTGGGACTTGACTTAACCCAAATTTTCGTTGAGATCTAATTGGTTCGAGCCATACATCCGGCCACTTTTTGTTTTTCGAGTGGCAAATCGCTCTACTCTATTCCGATCGGCTTGGCATTTTTTTCCGTGTGCCGGGAACGTGCTTTTTTTTTTGTTATTTTTGCCCCAATGGCTACGGAGTAAATGGCCTAAAAAAGGATCAGTGGCGGTAAAAAGGACAGCATGGCCAAGGCGTCTAATATGCATGAGATATATCCCTTCTCTTATCTTTTTCCTATCGGTGAGGGGACTTGGAACTCTATAGCCCTTACACTTTGGAATGTACTTATGTTCTACTGTATACAAACAACATTGCGGAGATTCATCGGAGTGAATGTATAACGGAAGATCTTTCCGATTCTCTCTTTCGAGTACATTCTTGCCCCTCTACGACGGTCACCTGATGGTCGGAAGCATGCAAGATCTTCTCTCTGCCCCGCAGTGGCTGCGATGGGAAATTTTCTACTCTCCCCCAACACCAATCAGACTACTCAGGGGGTACCAACAATATTCCCAGCGCTAACATCTTTTCAGTTGAGGCGGATCATTCACCGGGATATCAAACCTCCACCTGGCCACTTCGATGGTCATCCCGAGGTATCTATTTGCAGCCTCCCCCACTCCATTCTTTCTATACGTATAATTTACGTGATGTCGGTGTTGAGCTCGGATTCCGACACAAGTCGGGATAGATCAAAGCCATTGAGTAATGATATGTCAACATGGAGTTAGCAGTACATATAGAGTACAGAGCACCACCTCATAAATTGTTCCATATATCCAGATCTTTACGCCTCAAAAACCGGATTTTTCATCTTCGTTAGCCCCATAATATATCAAAGTAATATGACCATACAGCTACATATATGTACAACACCGTTTTCGATAAAACCGAAGTGATCTGCTAGATTATACTAAGCTAACCGAACCCCGCATCACTGATGACAGACAGCGTCATTTTGCGTAAGTACACCCATTCAAGAATCATCACAAGGCCAAAGAGAAACAAAATGGCTCGGAACAGCTCTGTGACTGCCGATAGAAGTAGCAAAGTATAGACCAATATCTGCACAACGTTTTTCCAACTCCCCCAGCTTGCGCATAGTCTCCAAGGAACTCTTCTCGACCTCTGAAGGTCCCCAACCTTCAAGCCCCAAGGAAGTAAGGCGTGGAAGACAATTGGAAGTCACCAAGCGTTCGAGTTGATCAACGGTCCAATCGAGCAGCTCATTGTGGCAGTGACACAGGAACAAAGTCTCAAGGGACGGCGGCAAAAGCGTTGTGAATTCCTGCGTGGGCTCAAAGTTTTCGTTAAGCTTAGCAAGCATTGCTACAGAAATATGTAGATATTTCAACGTATTGAAATCGGCAAACGATCCCATCCATCCATCGTCTTCATCGGGATCCTGATATGATTCGCCACAGATCCAAAACCCTTCTAGTGTTGATTTGTGAAGGGCTATAGATTCTCGAAGAGGAGCCGATACAATATCGGGTCCATCTGAGATCATTAAACCGCCAATATTCAGGCGGAATGTCTTGAGAGCCTTGCAAGATTCAAGCCAGACACCGAACCCACACTCAGTGTTGGTCATGTCGAGATCAATATCTGTAACTCCGGAGTAAGGTTTAATGCGGGGTGCTCCCGCTTTACGACCGGAGTCGAGCATGGACGATCCTCCGATCCTGCGCATGGATGGGAATCTGAAGAAGGGTTCCATACAGCTTGCACGGATGGAATTTTCCGAGTCGGACCATTCCGCGAAAGCGTCCTTGAGACGACGAAACGATTTGGTATCCTCTCTGGCGGCCTTCACAAACATCTTCTCAACATATTGTGACCCATACGGGTAGCATATGCTGATTTGTCTGAGGCCTTTCAACTGGGGGATGATCAAGGCTAACCAAGCGTCGGTGTTTCCACGTCGCAGCTGAGTATAAGGTTGGCTAGACCAACATGTACCAGTGACGACTTTGCGGATCAGTTGCGGATCATATTCAAATTGGCAGTCGATGTGCTCGGTGTCGGCCTCGGTGTCCCAAGCCTCCAAGCGTAAAGCTCGCACAGCTCTCGCTAATTCTGGCTTTCGCGCGATTGAAGTGAAGAATCGGCTGACTTGACCGACTGTATGAGTGCTAACATCACAAAGAACAACCCGGGAGTAGAGAGTTGGTAGCAGAACTGTGTACAGCCGACGACATGATCGAACTAGGGAACAACGATCTTCTTGGGGACCCAGCTGTTCCGCAATAAGGCGAAGAGTCTCTTCTGGGAGGTCAAGCAACATGGTGATGGAAGCTAGTAAGGTTTCTTGAGAGAGCAAAGAGATGGTTACTTGTATTTATGTTCGGCGAGGAAGGTGCCGTGTCTAGACGCTAGGATTCACGAGGTGGGGGCGATATTTATTTGCAGCATGATATAAGGCCCAACCACGGCCAGATATAATCGCTATTGAGGGAATATGAGTGTTGGTTGTTATCACTGGAACAGTGAGCACTAAGAAGCAAGAGAAAGTAACGCGGGATATTTGACGGGAGAGGGAACAAGTGGAGATCGCCAAGACCAACTGTGCAGAGGACCTATCAAAAAGAAAGCTAACGAAAGGAAAGCGGTTAACTGCATGAAAGCTGACATTGGTACTCCATAAGGCCGAGTCACATTAATTAGATTTAAAATAAAATAAATTCAGCTCTTTAGATGGGTGTGATCTCCAAAAGAGGTTTCATTTAACAATCCCTCAATTCTGGGTCAGATCGAAGGATCCTTGGTTTATTAGATCGACAACCATGGTTCCATCCATTGAAATAAGATTAAGCATTACTCGTGGACAAAACAGACAAAAAAAAGGGGGAATCAAGTGCCAGGATAAGGAGCAACATTACTAGGCACAGGCTCTGTCTTGGCTCGACCAAACATGGACAAACGAGATTTCGACCGGGTTGGAACTGCCGCTGGCCGGGTACTTTGTTGGTTTTCGCTCCCCACTTCTGCGGGGGCAGCAGGTTCGACAGAAGCCGCGCGGGCCTCCTCTACCTTTCTCACGCCTTCACGTATTTCATCCGACGAAGCGCCCGGTGGTGCGGTTGTGGTTAAAGTCTCAGTGGGGCGAATGAGACCCTCGGACGTATTTTCATTTAGCTTAGTGATCTCTTCTTCCGTCACCAGACGCTCATTCTCCAAACGGACTTCGCGTCCGCGCTTGTGGCAGTACCAGAGCACGAAGAGTAGGACTAATGGGATGATCAGTAAAAATACTCATGCACTAGTTGTAATGCTTCACTTACTGAATAGTGCCAGAGACCAGAGCACGTTCATGCCCATAACAGCAGGGAATCGAGCTCGCAGAAATGCCATGATGGATCGTAGCATTCCTACGAGAGCAGCTGGCTTCGACACAAGTTCCTTTAGACTTGGGAGATTGAGCCCCATCTTCTCTGCAGCTGCTGCAGCCTTACCCACGTTCTCCATGTTGACACCGCTCTTTCCAGCGCGGTCGGCAGCAACCGCCAGCATCTCTGGGGCTAAAGTCTCTGTCCAACGCTCGGGAAGTTTCTCGATCAACTTCTGCATGGGACCAGGCAGCTTTGTATAGGTTTCTTGTAGTTGGCGATTCCCGTTGGTCAACAGCATCTCCAAATCATGGTAGGCAGTTGGGACTCCGTTGATCAGGTCCTTGAAGATGAGCTTGAACTTGCGTAAAAGCTCTTGCGTTTCTTCACTGATCGAAAATACCCGGTTATTATCCGCTGCCAGGTTCAATCGCTCCAGGATATCTGTCATATCCTCGGCATCTTTATCTTTATCTGTGTCTTTCCCATCTGTTGATGTATCTGATGTGGTCGGAGGAGTTGCGGCTTCGTCCTGGGCGTCTTTGGCCTATTTGTGCGAATTATGTTAGTACAGACTCAAGCCAGATGCAAATATCCCAAAATAAACACAAATGAATCACCAACCTTCGCTGTGTTTTTCTTCCAAAACATGGTACTCCACCGTTTCTTCTTCTGCGAAGGTTTCGAGACTTCCGACTTTGGTGTCTCTGATCTTGCCAATGTTGGCTGAGAGCTCCTCCGTTCTTGCCTACCCTCCTCCCCAAGCTCCTTTCCTAACTCTTCTCCAGGAGAGGTGGGTAGAGGGATGTTTTCGGGCGGTTCGCTTATCGCAGGTTGTAGAGACGCCCCGGTAGCACTTCCTGTTAGGGTTTGTCCATTCTGCTCTGTTGGGATGGGCTCAGATCCCACCTGGGCGGTAACTTCGCGTAGGTAGGCTTCATCTTCCGGCGTCAGGACAGGCTTGGGAGCGCTGGTCATTTGCGACGAGCGCCGTAGGTTTTTTATTTGGTTGAGATACTGCATGGCCATACTGGAGACACTCAAAATAGTGAGGATAGCAAGGTGGACTTTAAACCTTTCGGTTTACTCGATGGGATGTAGACGATAGCGAAAAAGAAGGCTGAAACGAGGCGGGCGCGTGCTAGGCAAGGGGACGCGCGCGCTATGTATTTTGGTGATATATCACTTTTCCTAGCATTTATGTGATATGTCAGATGAAATGATTCGATGTCAGAAGATGTTGTAGTTAGCTGAGTAGCATGCCAACACCAAGCTTTTGTTTTGCCCACATGCGCGCTCTGTTCCTCGTGATGATATCACCGGTGGCTTGGCATCCCCCGCATCGTATCAGCACCGCCACACAGGCTCCATTTATGGACTTGGCTCGAACATCCTCGAACTCTTGAATTAAGAAGAAAGCTCGGTCTTCAAAATCATTAGATCTAATCAAATGCCTCCATTGTTTGTATATCTCATTTATTGAGCGATATGTTTTTAGTTTATCTATTCATTTGGACAACTCACAAAATATATATATCAGCAGTATGTAAATGAACCATATAAACACCACTCGTTTTGTACATTATGCTCATTAGTTCTTTTAGAAAAGCAATGTCTATGTAGATGGTTGGACTTAGGTGGTAAATGATGGATCTGCCGCCTCAAAGAATCGCATCACAGCCATTGTTATCACCGGGTACCCCATGATCACATCGTGCAATCCAGTTTTCAAAATTTCTTCGCGAATGATCCCGTTCCCCGTTTTCCATTCCACCACGGACCCAGCAGCTCCCATATCTGCTCTTGAGTCAAGCTTCTTCTGTTCAAGGTCGTCATAACTGATCCCCGCTGGCATCGAAGCATTAACCGCATGCCAAAACACAAGCTGAGAATGGTGCCATGGAATGTCAAAGTCATCCTCGGCGTGGATTATTGTTATCCGGTATTTCTCTCCGTTCATCTCGTTAGCTTGGATATATTGCGCAATGCCATCCTTGCTCAGCCATTTGTCTCGAATGAATCGCTGAAGATATTTGAAGAGGAAAGGGAACCTTGCAACCGGAGACAAAATTGGCACGGTTCCTGCAATTCGATAAGTCGAGACCAGTGTCGCGACGTCGACAAATGGTGCAACCAGCACCGTGCCTGCGAAGACTATTGGTGGATTCTGTACAGCAAGATGCTTGGATACAGCAATGCTCACAGCTGTGCCCATCGATTGACCAAATATAAAAATTCGAGATGGAGGGATGCCTGCAACATTCATTGCCCAATCCACAATGGCTAGTGCATCAACGATGAGCCCGGTTTCAGATGGTGACCCGGTACTCTTGCCAAATCCTCGGTAATCGAATGTCAGAACATGGATTTTCCCTGGATTGCCTGCTGACAGCGCACGATAATTTGGGACCCGGTAACCTGACGCGACGGTTCCGCCAGCGCCATGCATATGAAGAATCAAACGAGCGTCGGGGTCCTCCCGCAATAATTGAAATCCTAGTCGAGACTTGATATCTGTTGAAAATCCCACGGGCTCTTCGACAAGAGAACTTTGATGCTTGCGATATAATTCCACGGGAAGAATATGCCAAGCGTATAGACGTTCACCGTCCGGCGTCTTAATGGAGAACGGAGTGACCTGGTTCCTTAGGAACCTAAAGGTTTCAGGTACATTAAGGTCTTTGAACCATGTCATCTGAATGGCGTGCAGATAAACGACATGTGATTGGAATACCGACGTGGTGAGTAACCCTAAGAGGATCGCATATAACCCAACCACAACAGCGAGCGCTATTGATGCATATTTGAAGAAAGGACCGGCTGTATCGCTAGCTGTCATAATGGGCCAAAAATGGAATGGGAGAATCAGACATGAGTAAAGGAGAAGGGGGATCTTGAACGCTGACAGTTGACCTGGTGGCAGGCTGGTGCGGTGCAGCACACTAAAAGAGCGGGCTAACCCGTCTGATGTCCACAGAAGTACTTCCTAAGACCTTCACTATATGTTCCCTTTTAGCATGAAGCGATCCCCAGACCAATGATAAGGGTGAGTATTGTTTCAATAACTTATAGATGCGTGATTTTATTTCTTTTGTCTGTTCGGGCTTCTCGCTCTGGAATGAAATTGGCCTTGTGGAGTCGACCTACCGTAGCGCCTATTGTGGTGAATTGATTGGATAAGGAGGTGTGTGCACAAACATCCCTGCCTTTTGGACTCGGCGCCTACGGGAGACATCTCTCCCTGATGTGATCTGTCCTATCCCCGCTGCATAACTGATTCTAAAAAGAAATATAAAATAAAATAAAATAAAAACCCTAATATTAATTCTTAACGCCGAAACACAGTATAAACATTGTCATTTTCACAGAATTATCAAATATTCTGGGTAATATATGTAGCCTTCGACATCGTATGTAAGTTCTCATAAAAAAGGCAACCAATAGACCGAGTACTCATAGGTATCGTAAATACCGGGGTCCGCTCCTCTCAGGACTGTAAACACTTCTCTTATCATCACAACACGACTAAGAAGATAAAACACTGGAGATGAGAGGCTGAAAAGTGTCAAGAAACCGTCCCAACGGAGGATGACCTTCTCAAAGTGCATATGTAAATATAAGCATCGACACAATCGAAACAAATGCGGATACACGCCAAAGCCACAGCCCAACGATCGATGGGAATATGGTATTCCAAGATACGAGGTGAAGAGCGCCGAACGAAATTCCGAACAGACATGTCAAAGGCCAGATTCTGGACTTGTATAGGTCTGGATCCCAATGCGCCACGACGATATCCTTGCGGAACTGATAATGGCCTTCGACATCTCGGATCTCACTTTCGTTGATTGTGGCTTCGCATGATTGTTAGGTGGTTGGGTTTTGCTTTGGGCTCTTCAGAGATTTGATACGAGCCTCCTGCATGAGACTGTCCTCTTCAACCTTCTCAAATACCCGTGGCGTAAGATGCCATATATTCCAGTAAGACGTTTGCTGGTTCGTCCCTTCGTTGTCAAACTTATTACTGACAGCCATCGATTCGAAAACGTGTAACTGCTCCAGGCTCATTTCCGGAAGCATAACAAGAGATGACGATCTGATATCTTTGGGCTTGTTCCACCAGAAGAAGTATGTCACAATAAACAATGGGATATAGCCAAGGGTCATGGACTCCAACTGTGAGAGTGGTAGATGATAAGAGATACGCAGTATACATTGTACTGAGAACCAGGTCACTTGCATCAATGCCAGTAGTTTTGTAGCGTTATCTGATTTGCTCTTGTCGTAGATATCATCAACCCACCACCATAACCAACTCACATCACTGTAACTTCGCTATTTCTATCAACCTAAGAGAGAGAAAAAAAAGTCAGGATTGTGTTAAAGCAAAATAAGGTAATATCTTTCATTTAAGAGATAAAGAAAAAAAAGGAAGCCCCCCTTAGAAATGATCCACTCCTGGGGTTGAACCAGGCAATGTCCTTTCCAGAGACTTCCCTATTCTGACACAGTCAACCGCGGGCATCAGCGTTAATACTCCGGGACTGAAACCAAGGAGTTTAACCACTGAGCTGCAAGGGGGCTTCGGTGACAATCACACATTTTAAACTCACTATAACAGATCCCCACCAATACATGAGCCAGCTATCCATGGATAATACCTTTCTCTTACTAACTACTGTAGTCAAAACAACAAGAGAAAAAAAAAATCAGGATTGTGTTAAAGCAAAATAAGGTAATATCTTTCATTTAAGAGATAAATAAAAAAATGGAAGCCCCCCTTAGAAATGATCCACTCCTGGGGTCGAACCAGGCAATGTCCTTTCCAGAGACTTCCCTATTCTGACACAGTCAACCGCGGGCATCAGGGTTAGAGCTCCGGGACTAAACCAAGGAGTTAACCACTGAGCTGCAAGGGGGCTTCGTTGAAAACCACACATTTTCATCTAATTCAACACACCTTTCTCATATGCCTATACATTATATCACTTTTGATCCTATGTACTCTCTCCCACTTTTGCTACCTTTAAACAAATGACAGATTTAGTTATACTGATTTCAATACTTATCCCACCACAGTGTTTCAGAAAAATGCGGCTAATGAATCTCTGTGCTAGTGGATTTTGATTAGGCTTTCTCATACGATGACCTTTCACTTTGCCTTATCTTCCCTTCCAACCTTGTTTTCAGTCAAGCTGAATCAAACATGAGTGCTAACAAGATTTATTGCCTCTTTTGTCAAGAAGGGTAGGTACTCAGGTTGTCCAACTCAGCAGCAGCTTACTATGGACACTGCAATTAGCATAGCCAGAGCGATTGTTTTTCCTCGCCTATATTATATTACAATTGGGTGAGCTTCATTAACAAGCTGCGTACCATAGAGTAACGAAAGTGATTGTCCGAATCTCAAGAAAAAGGCCACATAGCCTTCGCCTCTTGCACAGATCTCTCACCAGCAACTCTTTCGATGCACATGGCCAGTAGCTCCTCGTTTTGCCTTCTCTTCTCATTTATATCCAATTGCGGAGCAATCCATCCTTCTGAATCGGTGTCGAGACACTCTTCAGCAAGTGCTCTAACATCATACCAAGCTTGGTATTCGGCGAAGTGACGTTCATGTTCGTCAATATCTTGTTGGCTGAATGTAAAGGGACATTCTCCATGAAAGCCAAGCTCCGACCAACTCTGAGAAATTTCTATCAGACACGCACGAAGAGGAACAATGCCCACCTCAGAGACTTCTCCACAGCGAGTGAAGAGCTCCTGAAATATACGAGGTACATTCATCGCATTAGACGCTGGTCTGTCTTCAAGGTAGGTGGAAACTTCATAAGCTTTTGCCAACTTCACTTGGGTCCAGTCACGTAAAGCAATAACTTTGCTTTCTTCGTCAAGTTCTTTAAAGTTTTCAGGGAGTTCAGGATGGAATATTCCCTTCACATAATCGTAGTTCTGCGGTGGCCTGAGAAACACGGGCCAACGGGCCTGGAGAAATGCGGGAAGTACGGACGTTGATTGGAAATCGATGAGGGAAACAATTCTTGAAGGCTCCTCGGGAGCAACGAAAATATTTCCCATATGAAGGTCGGTGTGCCACAGTGTAGGCTGAGAAACTTTCTTCAGTAGTTCGTTTGAGTCTAAGAGCTTCATAAGGCCCATTGTGATTTTCAAGAGTTGGCTTTGTTCATCAACGGTCCCTTTGTAAAAGCCATACTTATCTGGTTGGCCTGCATTAGATATTTGTAACAATTCTCGTTGTGCGATGGATGACCCAAAGCTCGAGAGTGTGTCCCCTGAGGAAGTATTAGCGTAGATAGCGTTGAGAATCAGAGGTGACGCACAAGGCCCTTGGTTACACTTTCGAGTCGTCTTACGATCGAATGCACGATCGCAGGAAGGACCAATTTCGAAAGACTGAGATGGATCAATATCATCGTCGAGGGTGCGAGTTGATCCTCTTATATCGGTCCGAAGGTACAATCCTCCGTAGGCAGGAAATTGTATAGACGACAGTTGAGCCTCAAGTTCGGTGAGGTTCTTGATCAGTTGCAGCTTTTCGAACTCATCCATATTGCCCCAGCGTTCAAATAGCGGAACACCGGCAGCTTTCTCCATGATTATATACTCGGCACCAACAGCATTCGACCCATCCGATGACCATGAAAGGACACGAGGGACGGGAATGCTTGTGTATCTCCTAACTAGAGTAATATTAGCCCTTTGAAACATCCATCATATCAACACACAAACCATATTCTAAAACTCCCACCTCGCTAGATGTTGTTAATGAAGGTGGCCCAGCAATCCGGCATGGGATTTTAGCTATCACGTCCGTTCCATCAGATTTGCGCATCAAGAAAGCTTTGCTAAAACCTCCTTCCATTTTCTCAATGGCGGTGATCTGACTAGTATTCCCACCGGCTGTAGAAGCAGTGTTGCAAAGCGCGTCCAGATCAAACCGGACATATCGTCGGCTATGCTGGTTTTCTTCGTCAACCAGGAAATGGCCATTTGTGTACGCGAATAGGTCCTCGTGAACGATAGGTACGCCTATTCGATCCTTAAGTGACTGTTTTCGAAAGGATATTGGTCACTTACCTCGACAGGTTATCGATAGAGGCGTTTCTGGCAGGCCAAAATATGACTTTGAGATGTTTCGAATGGTTGATAGCATACGCATGGCTAATTCACGAAGTCTTCAAAATGTATGAAGTGAAGATAGGCGAGTTTGTGTTGACAGGAAACTAGTGACTTGAATTGGAAGGGGCTGGTAGTTCGGTCGCGCCCCAACATCTTCAAAACGCCAACGAAAATGTCCCTCGATAGATTTCATAATTTGATCAGATTTGCAGTATCCATATCCATTGTATAGCGAGATATTCTAGTTGATTTTCTAGTAACCTCAAAACCTCAAACCCCACGCTTCATGATCGTGACCACATATACATCCATCCATGGACCCATACCCCAGTTGTTTGAACAGTTTGCAAGACACCTTTGTCCCTAGTTCTTTAATCCCAGCACATCTCCAGAATATTAAGGAGCATTGAAAATCACAGTCACCTTTTACTGTGTTCTGCGTCTGGTTCTACCTCCGACATTTAAAGTTCGTCTTCTGAATCGCGAGAAACCAGATGATGCTGAGTGCTGCAAAGGCCCTGCCAATGGGAAACAAACTCTAGGCAACGGCGGACGATCCATACTCAAGCAATGACAATCACGGAGTGCCCGACCGGTCCCGTACGAACATCTTCTTGGCGAAATCTTAGGCGGAAGCTCAGCTTCCCGTATCGTACACATGGCGCCAGGCGTGATCGTCAAATGTCCACGTTGCTCTTGGTGGCATTCTAAGACGGCGGTGGACAAGTGGTTCGTTCGATACATGAAGCGGAGTTTTGAGGTAGAAGAACGACTCCTGCAAATCCAGGACTGCATCCAAGGATAATAGAGTCCGTCACTCCTTAACTTCTTCTGACTACTCCGTACGGAGTACATGTATATTGATTAATTTGTTTAGGTTTAAAGGTGTCTCAGACGACCCATTCGGATTGTTATTCGCCAAATCAAGCGATGGAAATCTACACTATATTGATCAGCATCATACTAGTATCGATATGTCGCTAGGACTCAAATGGCGCACGCAAGCCGCGTAGGCGATCCGGTTCATTCATAAAAAAGGCGTGATACACTCTGATCTTCGACCGAATAACTTTGTATTACATACGGCCACCGGAAACGAGCTCGACCTTTTACCCTGTGACTTTGGTGGGTCAACAAATGGAGAAATAGATAGTCAACATTTACCGGATTCTGGATTTTTTTAATCCATGTAATTTAGAATCAACGGAAAACACCGACATTACTATACGATAATGACGGGCCATTGGCCCTACCGGTCTCCGGGTCGATTTAAGTCTATAGAAGAGATGGAGGAATACCCTAGAACTAGTTGACGGCCTGTTTACCTCCAAAAGGTACCCGGCGGTTGACAGAGTGGAAGCTGGGCTTGTGATATAACGATGCTGGGTAGGAGAGTACCCTGATTTGAGTTCACTTATTTCAGACCAGTGCTGGCAATTTAAGACTTTGCGGTGAGAAAGAATAGCACAGATTTTCAATGAAACCGTGAACTATACACTTGTACTGGACCAAATAGAATGTCATCTAAATTAGTATCATAATTAGTGCCCTTACAATGCCCCTTCTAGAAGAGCCCTCAGCCCACAACATATGCCTACTACGCACCGCCCCCTTTTCATAATTTCTCGAGCATCTCAAGCTTGAATTTTGATGCTCTAAAGAGAAAAAGAGCTCTGAATTCTGAACATCCGCCGGACTACCGAATTGCATTACCTCCGCCATTCCTAACAAGAGTGGGGTCGTATTCCACTGTGGCCACGAGGATGATCAACAAACTCTCGTTAATCAGACGATCTTGTTCATTTCTGACAGAGAGGGAAGAGAAGGTTTGATTCTCCACAAACAAGCATGAACCTAAATAAATAGCTAAGTGGGGCCTGATAAGCCCACCAAGCACGGCAAGCATGTGATAGCACAATGATTTGCTATGTCAACATTAGGATAGTATAGATTAATCACCTATACAAGGGAACCGAAGGCTTCACATACCTGCTCATCGCTCCATAGAAGAGAATGATACCACCTGAGCTATGGTTTTCTTCTATAATGGCGACAGTCAAAGAACATAACTGGGGCTTACCGTGGAGAAGGTCACATGAATATTTTATCGTCCCTGCAGCCCCCCTGCGGATCCAATGCAACTCTGAGAGTCTCTCTTGAAGATGAGTGTCTTGCGCAACAGCATGCCATGTGGTATGTCGATCGCAAATCATGTCCGTCAAGTCGACAGGTATCCACACCGTCGATGCCGATCGTGCCCTTTCGCATTTTGACAAGCACAAGAAACCTGAGCAGTAATGTCGATTTGCCAGCTCCACATCGACAGTAGATGGCAATGCTCCCCCCAATTGAATTTCGTAGGCAACAACGTGCAAGGTTTATATCGGAATTTTTGGCTCTGTCGTATAGCTAGGTAGATCACATGTCTTCAAACTTGACCGTTGCCAATCCAAATGCCACGAGGTCGGAAAATTTTCGGGGGAATTTATGACAAGTTCGAGTGGGGAGATCCTTTCGAAAGCTTCGATCCCTGCCAGTGCTCGTATAGAAACGCAGAGGGAGATCCAGAGATCGATGAGAAAGGTCAGAATGTCTCATAGCATGGTGGGGTTCAAGAAGGCAAGACAGATAGCTTCGAAAGTTGGTCTTGCTTCGGATCCTCACGGCTATTTCGTCCAGGCACCACTTGTTGCTGACGCGGTTGTTTAAAGTGGAGGATGGGGAAATGAATAATCGCGGCTGATACAATCGCCCCGTGGACCCGGCGGTGAGCGTATTCGTAACCCAATCGTATTCACCTCGGATGCGTGGAGAATTCTTTCTCCCCTTCTGCAGTGGTGGCTGCAGATTTTAATTAATTTGACATCCTGCACTTCCTAATCAGGAAAAACCCCGCAAAGCCAAACACCTCGGTCTCCAACTACCGAACGATGAACTGCCGGCTTCTGGTACTTTGGTGCCAAATACTCAAGTTCTGCCGGCATTTACTCTTATTAAATGAAACAATGCACTTATACATGATCGGGATCACACGGAAATCACTCGAAAGGTACAAGTTTCATGACTTCAAACCCTAGTAGTATATGGTGGTAGTAAATACGAGATATATCTATTGCTCTATTTGCAGAAATGGGTATCGAATTCCTAAATAATTGCAGGCGAAATTCGAGAAAGCTTTGGAATATAAGAGCTTAATTCAAGATCCCCATACCTATACTTCTAGAATATAGCGCCGATCTTCATGGATTTATGTGATTGTCAGGCACCAAAGTATGATAGATGCCGGCTTTTGAGAGGCCGAGGCTGTTTACCCTGAATCATTTTCGGTGTTCAACCCCACACTATTTCCCCGCAATTTCCTTTTTCTTCCCGAATAAAATCAAACTCGGCGATAACATTTTAGCCCTGCCAAGTCCACGGGTCCAAGCGTGGCTGATCAATTTCTTAGACTTTAGGGATCCATTTCTATAGTCTGAGACACTAATATGGTGGCTTGGATGCTAAATATTGACCATTCTAAATAGAATTTTGGTCACATATTCTTCCTCAGCGCTCTGGTTGCATATTATCCGAATAATGAGAGTATTTGGAGAATATAGGTAGTATTCGAACTCACTGGCCCTATTATCAACAGATTGTAAGATCCCGAGGAACCCTGAGGAACCCTGAGACGGAGATTTCCCCAAAGGTGGATCTATGCATTCACCATGCATGATGACTGCTTGACTCCACACTCTGCATTACCCCTTTGAGATATCCCCTCCGGTGCAAGCCCCTCTATGGCGGCATCTGATAGTCTCCTCGGCTTATAGTTCAATATAGTAAACATGCTCGTGAGAATAACTTTGAGGGGTATCAGAAGTATTTAAACAGCAAGCTCACCCGTAACGGTTTTCCTTTTTTTCATCCGAAGACCACACTCCAGCAGCCTCTCTAGGTATCTCAAAAGCCCTTTCCAAAATCTTGATATATTGTTCCAAGATGTTGTTCAACTACAAGTCTTTGCTCGTGGGGGTCTCCTTGATCTCTCAAGCCTTCTCTGCACCTGCTGCTGCACCTGCTGCTTTGGAGGCGAGGTCAAGCCTTGGTGTGTCAATTCATCAACCAATCTCTGTTTGGCTATGCATTTCTAACATTGTCTCAAGACCCCGGTGCTTTCGATGATCTGCAACGCGCAGCGAAGCTTTCTTCTGCTGCCTACAGCGGTTGCATCGGAAAAGCCTTCGATATCACTATTACCAAGACAATTCGTGATGTCCTGACCGACACCAATGTACGCATATTATGTGTTCTATATATGCTAGCAAACGACTAATTTGGATAGGGATTCGTTGGAGTATCCAATGAGCGGAAGACCATCGCGGTCATCATGAGGGGCTCGACTACCAGTATGTATAAACCAGCCCGTGATATTACCAACGCACTGTGCTAATTGACTTAGTCGCCGACATCTTGAATGACATTGATACCAGTCTTGTCACTCCCAAGCTCTCGGGCGTGAACTTCCCTGGCGATGTGAAGATCATGAGAGGTCTTAACCGACCTTGGTCCGCCGTACACGACGAGATCATTGCTGAGGTCAAGTCCCTCGTTGCCAAATATCCTGATTACACTTTGGAAGCAGCCGGACACTCCCTCGGCGGTGCCCTCACCTACATGTCCCACGTTGCACTGTCGCAAAACTTCCCCGGCAAGGCACTCCGAAGCAATGCACTTGCTGCCTTCCCCATCGGAAACGCAGCCTGGGCCAACTGGGCTGGTTCCCTTCCTGGAACTTTGATCCGTGGAAACAACGTTGCTGATGGTGTTCCTGTAAGTCATGGTTGAACTTGAGATTATGTCTATCGAGGTAGCTAACCATACAACACAGAACATGTACGTGAGCGGGCTTTTCAACTTCAAGCACTACGGAACCGTGAGTTATCCTATCAGGGACAGTTTATAACAATGTTCAATGGCTAATCGTCATCACAGGAATACTACAGCGCCGGCTTGAGCGCCACCTGCCGCAAGTGCGAAGGCCAGCGAGACCTGACTTGCTCTGCCGGCAACCTTATGTGGAGTGTCACTCCCGGTCACTTCCAGAGCTTCGGTGTTATCATGATGGCTGCTGGATGTGGCCTTCTCGGATGATTGATCTCTCGCTGGCGAGGAAAGTAGATCATCTGCTGTGTATTTAGTTATCTATAGTCATTTGTGTCGATTTGTTGGTCATTCAACATGGTCGGCATCATACAAATATATGTATCATTGGACGTCAATATCCTCCATCAAACATATAAGCCATATCGTAGCCGCATCGGCTAAAGTCATTTACATATATTTCCATTGGCTCAGGTTTAGCGCCTATCGAGGCCAGTGTGACGTGAGAATTTAGCGCCAACACAGCCCTCTTTCTCAAACACCCAATTGCGCCTGAGCCTCAATTAACAGGTGACTTTCTAGTCACATTTGATATCACCTGACCCCCGCATTAAAACCCCCCTCTTCCCGTTTTCCTTTCTTCTTTTTTCTTTCCTTCCACGCCTGCCGGAGTCGATAACTGTTCGCTTAGAGATTCATTTCAGATTCTCGAACGCAAAGTAATCCCAGAACTGCGTATTTCTCGTCTTTTAATTAAGAGGGGGAACTGTTTCTGCGGGGTGCTTCCAAGACTCACATGCTTCGTGTGCATGACCAGCAGCGTCAATTCGTCCTTCTTTCGACCAACTCGTATCATTCTTTCTGATAACTACCAATTTATATCGTCATTTTTGACCATCTTCTATGGGCACATCTCGGCAATAGGCTTCCTTTGCACCGTTATGTTCAAGCGCTCTTTCGTATCCAAGGACCGGGCGGGTAAAACTGTCAAGGTCGCCAAGAAGAAGTACGACGAGCTGGTCAAGGAGAAGATGAAGCAGAAAGCGGAAAGTCCCACAATGGGCAGGTGTGTTCTTTTATTATAGATGCGGGCCCGGGCGCTTTAAATATCGACATTAAATTCATATACTAACAATGTACCCTACAGTCCACTTACCAGCCCTATCATTACTATGATTGTTGGCCGGGATCAGCGTCTCTTCGCCGCCCATGAAGATGTGATATCTGTGTCGCCGTTCTTTAATGCTGCTCTGAAGGAGCAGTTTCTTGAAGACGATGCGAAACAACTGACTCTGTCTGACGAGTGAGACAATCCTGTCTATTTCGATGGAGCAAACACTTACCCTTGAGATAGAGAACCCGAGATTATGTCGTGTATTCTCGAGTTTTTGTACAAGGGTGACTACTTCCCACGCTTGTTGCATGGAAAGCAAAGGAACGCTTGGTCACTCGAGAATGCCCAGGATATAACTCAAACTGGTGGCCGTGGGTCGAGCGAGCCGACAATGTTCCACTCTGGAGTGGGAGATCTCATTCTCCGAGACACAGCAGTGTACTGTGCTGCCGAGAAGTACGGCTTGGAAGAACTCAAGCGCCTTGCTCTCCGAAAGCAGGGTCTCCAGAGTGGCATTCCAGCCGACGTGATCTTGCGATCCGCTCGATATGCATATGACGACACGCCGGAGTCCGATTCCCGACTGCGCGCTCATTATCTGGCCCTTATCATCCGCAGTCGCAAGACTTTTAAGAGCAGCGGAACCTTGCAGATGGAGATGGAGGAAGGGGGCAAGTTGTTCTTCGACCTGTTCGTGGCAATGTGCAACCATATGGATGACCTTTCGGAGATGCGGTACGATTCAATATCTCCTTCCCCCGAGTCCTGACATTCTGCGTATCCCCTTTTTACTGCTGACTGGTTTTCCGATCCCGAGCCCTGAGTGCTTACGCTCATGTCTACTAGCGCCAAGCGGTCGCCGAGGTTTTTCTAACCGGTTGTAACGTTGTCTGTGTACTGGATCGAGCGACTTGGATTTTGAAATTGAACAAGGGAGACCTGCATTTTTTGCACGGCACCTAACGCCGAACTTGCACTGGTCTGCGTTTTGCTTTCACAGCAACTTGACCTTCGCTTCTCTCGAGGTTGGCCGCCCTTTCGGTTCGAAGAACCTACCTTATTCGCTTTTAATCGGATCCACGGCGTACCTTGACTTGCGTTCAACCACTCTACACTCCTTGAGATTGAGCTTTTTTGACACAGTCTTTGATAATCTGCACTTAATTGCTGCTCTTGCTTGCGACAGTCATTATGCTTTTCTCCCTAACCAGGCGATGCTTTGTACATCGCTTAACCTGCTCTTGGGCTATGCGTCTATATGGTGATGAGATAACAGAAATGAAAAAAAATTCGGCCACCTCAAACAGGCAACCGTAAAAGGATTTATTAGTACATAGTGATATCGTATTCCCTCTTGACCTTCGGGTTATTGCAAGCGTTTGCCCACCCCTGCACCGAATCGCGGATACTAACCTGTCGTATAGTAATTTACCACGTCCTTTCCTTTCGCGAACGGAACTTGGAACTATGGAAAACCCCATTGTCAAAAATTCCCCATCGCGGCTGCCGTACGCTGAGACCGGAATATAGCGGTGGTAGGACGGAGGTCTTGAAACAACTTCCGGGCGGATGGTTCACCTTCCCGAGTCCCGTTGAATGGTTGCAAATCAATCTTGGCGTTCAGAATGAGATCAGGTCTATTGATGCACATAATTTGGGCCGTCTGAAAGTTATAAAAAAGGATCGACCGCACAACAATTTGACAATTGAAAACTTTACGTCTGATCTTGACCAAAGTCTGATTCCCACACTTTCGACGTCCACGTTACTTCCCTGTCGCATAAATGAAGAATACGGCTCTCTATGCTGACAAGGGGCTCTCTATGCTGACAAGGATGGCGAGATCGGTGTTTGCCGAGATTTGCCAACTCCACAGCCAAACAATGACGAAATCCTTGTCGAAGTCCTTTTCTCCGGTGTGAATCCTGCCGATATTAGCACGGTACAGCTGCTGGGCTGTCGATCTCGGGTCCTTGGTAATGATTTCTGTGGACGCGTTCTTGAAAGTCCAGGTCTGGCAGGCACTACTTTCAAAGCCGGTGATATTGTAGCCGGATACTAATTGCGAATGGTGATCGTCCTATTCGGTATGGGTCTCATCAATCCTACATCTCGATCCCGGCAGTCGGTATCTTCAAAGTGCCGGAGCACCTTCCTCATGCCGATGCCGCTGCACTCACTACTGTCGTACAAACTGCGAACGATGCCCTTTTCAATCGCTTACAGCTACCCCTTCCGTCAAGGGCACACGGTACGACAGATAAGACATTGGTAATCTAGGGTGGCGCCACAGCCGTCGGCAGGGCTGCTATTCAGCTTGCACGCAGCAGCGGCGTCAGGTCTATCATAGTCACGGCATCCCCAGAGCGACACGTGCTTTTAAATAGCCTAGGCGCAGCACATTGCTTTGACTACAGGAACGACAACGTGGTACAGGATGTCAAGGTGGCTGTACAAGAAGCTGGACTCCAGTCGGTTCTGGGATTCGATGCGGCTGGAACTCCTGACTCCCCAAATCTTCTCGCAAACGCCTTGGAAGGGCAGGACGATCTGCGCTTGGCATCTGTATGGGGTGATGACCGTTTCGAAGCGGTCCTGGGAGGCCGACATTACGACGTTGTGTTTCACCCTCCTGGGGCATCGTCGCCATTCGTCACCCCTGCTAGACCAATAGAAGCAGACAGAATGTGGGAGAGTCTTATGTGGGTAGTTGAGCACTACGGAAAGGAATTCAGAATGCCAGCTATCGAGGTCTTCCAAGGCACCGCGGAGGACGCTCTGGAAGAAGTAAAAAAGGTCGGGCGTCTAGGAAAGTTCGGAAAGCTTGTATTGAAACAACCCCTGGAATGAGGTCGGGAGACACAAGTGCTTGTTCAAACCACGGCTGTAATACACATAAATGCGATTCGATATCCAAGGAACATCTTCCGGCCTTGTGAGTTACTGTGAGAGAACACCGGTTGATTTTGCCCAAGAGGACACATAAGCTCGCGGGCTTCTTTTCGGTCAACATTACAGGAATGTGCGGAAGGATGAAAATTAATTGCCGCATATAGTAATTCGCTATAAAACCTCCTGGCACATTAAACTGTAAGCCATATCATCATTCCCCCTTATATCAATTGGGAATCCCATAGGTAGATCTTTCTTAGGTCCCTGATTCTGATAATTACTCGCCAGATTATAGTCCGGTTTCTCAGATAAAGCTCGAAATTCTGAGATCACGTAGGCGATGCCCAGGATTTGCGGATCTCGTTGTCGCAACGAGATGGTTCAGTTTAGTCTTATGTACAATCCCAGTCAAGTAAATCTCTTGTGCTTCACAAAGATGACAATATTCATTAATATTCTATCGCAGTTAGTAACAATGTACGTTTTCCACGACACAAACCTTCTAAGGCTTTATTCGCACTTATACAAGCGCACCATCAAGCCCTCGAGCTCGGCACTGTTCTCATCACTCACGGGAATTTCAGCAGCACTTCTTCGTTTCCAGTGTGCTAAGGAAAACAACACCAAGTGAATCCATTAGGCCTCATTGTTTGCTAGTTCCCCTCGCGGAACAGCACATCAGATGAACTATATCCACGAGTCTTACCAATCATTCATCTTTCTCCCAATGGCTCATTCACTCTTCATTCGAAACTAATTGACCCTACATGTCGCATCACTTGCAACTATCTCCAACAATTGCATAAAACTCCGGAACTTCGTGAGTGGTGGCTTTCTATCACTCTTCTCTCGGTTCCAACCTCAGTTACCCCAAGTTCATCTTTCGGATTGATTGCCTGCTGCAACTAAAAATAAAATCCTTCGCATCCGTTCTTCTTCTTTCATCTTACAGATCCTCTAATTGAGCGAAGTCTCTTTTCACTGACACTGCAGTCACCTCCAGCTTCCAGTGACCAACATCCAGTGTTCTCGTTCCCAAAGAGCAGTAAATTCTCAAACACTACAATGCACGAGAAACCAGCCAATATGCCTCCCAAGACGTACCTAACCACTGGCTTGAGGCATCTACCCAAGCCCCGCGCTCTGGAACCCGGTGAAGCCTTTATCGTTCGGTACAAAAATTCCCTGCGGCAGTACAAGGCCGATGTCTGGATTGGAATCGTGCTCCCAGACAGATTTGGGCCTAGCCGACACATTAATCGCCGCCCTGTTGGCGCACAGCCAGCTGATGGTGCTTGGGTGACGCACCTGAAAGATCGCGTTTACTCCATGTATCTTCCGGGCCGAAATATGTAGTAAGTTTGATCTCTTTTTTCATACCCAAAAAAGACCCTTGAAGTTGTATGTTTATGATGCATATATGTGCCTGTTGGCGTATTAGCATGCCGTCGACTCATGCGTCGATCTTTCTGACTATACAAGTGCACGTTGGTTTAAACAAATTGGAAACTAACATACGTGAAGCAAATGGGTCGGACTCCAGGATCTCTACGTATTGAACGAAAAGACCCCCAATGTTCTACAGCGCGCCCAGAGACAGCCAGATGCCAAGATATGGGACGATATTCTTGAGATCGTTCGAGGTGAGCCTGGTCTGGAGTTCTGGAAGAACATGGCCCTTCAGGAACTAGGTGCCAAGGGTAAACGAGGGAAGGAACTCCGTATCGTTCTACCAAGTGGTCATGAGGACCTTGTTTCCTGTGGAGAAAGCCATGATGACTCCGAGTCAGAGGAAGAAGAAGATGAGAAACCTGATGAGCTTCAAGAAGCCGCATCGAATCACGTGGAGCCTGTTACTGATGCCGGACCTGGCTCATATAATGAGCCAGCAGCTATCAGATCGTTTTCTGATGCACGTGCTTCACAGCGCGTTCCATTGAGACAGTCATTGGGTTCGTTCCAAGATGTCAAACCAGCTGCATCTGCATCTGAAATTCCTTTTGCAGACAGGGAGACCTCTATCGTAACAACGACTCAGCAATTCCAGCCCCGTGCCCCTCTGATGCCTCCCACCTCTTCTCTCCCAACGCCATCCGCACTTGTTACACCATCACCTACCACCATGACGCCAAACCCGGTGCCTAAGGTTGAAAATGAGACAAGGTTCGTTAGTTTCTTTCAATTCTCAAGATACATCAACTAATATATTTTACCCACAGTACTGGTGTCCCAGACGTGGCACCCCAGCAACCCGTTGCAGACTTCTCAATCTTCGACTTGACTCTCGGCCAAGCCCTGAAGCACGTCTTCCTAGATCAACACGAAGCCGCCAAAATCAAAGATGTATTCCTAGGCGCCGCAACTCTGGAAAGACAACCCGAATATCTCCAAATCCGCGAATACCTATCGGACGGAGAATTCAACCCTCGCCTAATAACCCTCAAAAACTCAGGCTTCTCCCATCCAACTCCATTCCCAGCCCTCGATGCAAGAATAAACACCACCATCTTCCGCCTAGTCGGCGACCAAATGGGAATAGGTCAAAACTTCAAACTGAACGGCGTGAGCAACAGTCTCGATCTTGAAAATGCCATACTCGTCCTCGGAAGAGTATACCTCCAAGCCCGTCGTTTTGGCCTCATGGATTTGGTTTATCGAATTGCATTCAAGCTGCAAGTCGCCTGGAACTGTTATCCAGAATTATACCAGTCCAAGCCACTGCTCGAAGTTGCTGCTCTTGCTTTCGCTGGTCGTACTGAGTTCGATGAGGCGGACTGCGATTACCTCCAGGCGTGGCTGATTCATTTCATTTCCGAGGCTTCTGATTTGCTCACTTACAATGCGAACGAGCAGTTCTGGTCGTTGTTGCGGACTTATCCGAAGCTGCAAGAGAAGGTTCTTAATCTGCGCACGCTGGCTCATGTCCATAACCCTGAGTTGTATGGAAATACCCGTGCGCTCCTCGAGAGTCGCGGTCTGGGAAACCTGTGATGGACACTCTGATTGAGTGCGAACAGCTCCCGGGGCTGTTTCCTACAGGGTCGTCTCGGCTGCATCCTAAGTGCAGAAGATTTGTGCCCTTTGCCAGCTTATTTCTTTTCATTTTTTACTGATTTCAATCTCGGCTTATTACATTCTTTATCGTTCTGTTTTTTGCCTGCTTTTCTATTCGCATTGCTCATTATGGTGTTCTCAATTTCATCTTGCGCAAGAGAAGGAGTTGCATTTCGGTGGTTTGACTTCTTTCGTTTCCGGCGTGCGGTGGAATGGGTTGGTCATGCGAGCTCATAGATATTATCAATGCAGGTATTCTTATTCAATAGACTTCATTCGTCTCTAACACTCGTGATATTCATTTAATTGTACTATGTAGTTCAAGGATTAGCAGCCTATTTCTTTCAAGCAGTCTCAAAAAGAGCATCTTGGTCCATATTTGAGAATACCTGCATGATATTCAGAGTTCAGATACTCATATCATAGTGGTACTCGACTGCACAAATCTCCATGTTGTTCCAAGACGTACGAATGAAAGTTATTTTTTTGAAATTTCGATTCATTATGTCAACTCGCAGGTTAATCGATGGTAACGACCCAGATATGCATAAAAAAGAACGGTACAAACCAGCCATCGCTAAAGGAAACCCGAATCCCACGCCTGGAGTGAAAAAAGACGAAAACAATTGGAAGAAAAAAAAGCAAATCGATTTCCAGATCCATTGGATATTAGCACAGACCGAAATGAGAGACAGAAGGATCGGAATGAAAAAAAACTAGTTGCAGCAGAAAGTAAAGACAAGAGTTGGTATCCCATGATTCACAATAGTGCAAGATTCGCCACAAGGTGCGACTGGCACAAAGGGGAGACGAGTTTACAAGTCATCGTCGGTGATCTCGGGCTTGATGGGCTTCAGAGGAGAGTCGAGGGGTTTCTCGATAGTTTCCTCGGCGGGCTCCTCGGTGGCGTCCCCGGCGGACTTATCGGAGATCTCAGGAGAAGCATTATCGGGCTCGTCCTCGGACTTCATGATGGTGCTCTCAACGGGTTTCTCGGCGGGGGCCTCAGAGGGCTCCTGGACAGCCTGCTCAACGGACTCATTGGTGACCTTCGCGGCGGCTGACTTGCGACCTTTGGTCTTGGGCTTCTCTTTGGCAGTCTCGACAGCCTCAGAAACCTCGGGGGTGGGTTTCTGGGTAGCCTTAGTGGCAGCGGGCTTGCGGGTGCGAGTCTGCTTAGTCTTGTTCTCAGAGATAGCATTGTTATCGTCGGTCTTGTTGTTAGCACCGCGAGTGCGCTTAGACTTCTCGGTCGATTCATTAGCGTTCGCATCCTTAGAAGCATCCAATCCGCTACCCTTGGCCTCCTTGGTAGCCTTCGCGCCCTTCTTAGTTGCGCCGGCTACACCGTTGGTGCCAGTTTTAGACTTCTTAGTCTGGCCGTTGCGAGGGCTAGTCTCGTTGTCACCAGAGGAGACATCCTTGTCGACAGGGGTAGCATCGTTGTTAACAACTTTCTTGTCTTGGTTAGCACGAGTTGCACGAGTTCCTCGCGCCTTGGTCTCGCCAGTGGCGGTCTTGTCTGAGTCCTTCTTTTTCTGGTCCTCATCGGCAGGCTCAATTTCGTCAGAGTTGTCGGCGACGGTAGCCCCAGAGGTAGCAGACTTCTTGGAACGAGTCACACGCTTGGCAGTCTCGCCATTGAGCTCATTGTTGGCAGAGGCACTTTCGTCCTGGGTGGCCTTCTTGCCACGAGTAGCACGCTTCTTCGGCTCGACAGTCATCTCAGTGTCACCGTCGGCACCTTCGTCCTCAGAAAGCTTCTTGGGAGGACGGCCACGACCGCGCTTCTTGATCTCGGTCTTGTCGGTCTCGAGAACAGGGCTCTCTTCATCCGAAACGTTCTTGGCACGGCGGCCACCCTTCTTGGGCTCGACCTTCTTAGCTTCAGCCTTGACGTCAGAATCGGGACTCTCTTCGTCCGAGACCTTCTTCGGGGGACGGCCAGGAGCACGCTTCTTGGCGGAGCCATTGGCAGCTGGCTCAGTAGCAGCCTTCTTGGCGGGACGGCCAGGCTTCTTGGCCACCTTGGTCTCAGCATCAACGATAGCAGCATCAGCGATGGCTTCATCGTTTTCGGTAGCTTTCTTAGTACGAGGCTTCTTCTTCTTCTTGGCAGGCTCCTCGTCCTGATCCTCGGCATCGGACATGGCATGCTTCTTGGCAGGAGAGAGCTCCTCGGGTTCCTCGGACTGCGGGTCAGATTAGTATCTCCTCTAACATGGGGATAGAATATGGAAACGCACCTCATCAGCCTTGGCCTTGCGGGCCCGAGCACGCATGCCAATAAATCCAGGGCGGTTGAAAGTAACATCCTAAGAAGGATTAGTCGGTTGCTCTGCGGCTGGACCCATTTTCAAGGAAATGTTCCAAATATGCATATTGGGGAAGGTGAACTTACGCCTTTCCACTCGTCGTCCTCGACATGACCCTCTTCAACGGCCTTGCGAATCTTGGCCTGGAGGTCCGCGTTCAGCTCATCGAAGCCATCAAGGCGAGAGAAATCAGGATCCTCGGAGTCTCCAGTGATGTCATTCTTGACATTTGCAATTTGCTTGGGGGTGAAGCAACCCCTGGATGAGATTAGTATTTGGAATCATTTGTTCAAGGATAGAAGCCAGGAATGATGTTTAGTAACATATGTCTTGGCAAGGCTAGACTCACCAGTGGCGCCAGGACCAGCTCTGGAAGCCTGCACCATCAATCCAGGTACCGACACGGAGTTCACCCTTGGTGATCTTGACCTTCGCTTTGGCACAGTCGGAGGCCTTGCAGCCAGCGCGGCCCTGGGCAGCAATTTCTGATCATGAAGTTAGCTGTGATGTCATGGACACTGCTGTCGTCTCTTGGGCTCAGGGGAGTTGATATTTTTCTCAGAAACATCAATATACACAAAGCAGATGCCTGTGAATTAGGGCATTGGGCCACATTTCAAGTTGCACCCGGTCGTTCTCGCTTGATGCAATGGACATACATCCATTGACCGTGAGAACACCAGTGAGGAGACATAAGAGCATAAAATATGAAGTTACTCACCGATGCGGTATGGCATTTTGACTGATGTAGTTAAAATGCAAGTAGGGGAGAAATTGAGGTGAGGTTCACGATGGTTGTGAAGTAAAGTAGGTTGGTAGTTACCGGCACACAAGATATGCGGGTGGACAAAGTAATGAGCAACAAAGAAAATAAAAACTGCAGAGTGATCTCGGTCTGATTCTCGACAGTAATTGGAAAGTGAAGTTGTAAAAGAAAGATGAAGGGAATGCTACAGAGTATTTAAAGGGGCTATAAGAAACTCATATGCCGTGGACTATTGAGTATTGATACTCTTCATTGTTCTCAATAAATAATGAAAAATGAGAACATTTTGAAGTTGGAAAAAACAATAAGAATGTGAAACAAAGAAACGGTGTCATATCCCCCCTTTTGAACGTTCATTTTCTAGCCAATCAGAATTCTTCAGAATTCTTTTGCATAATTCCTTGTTTTTTTCTTGTTTCTTTGTTCTCAATTGATTTTTATCAATGCATATAAACGGTTCATTTGATTGGCTGGAACAAAATGTACTAGACCTAAACGGGTCGTTTGGGTCTGACATTTTGGTTATGTACTTCCATTGTTTCTGGTTAAAAGACGAGTATTGTGGTTTGATCTTCAGTTTCAAGATATCGAAGGGTTCACTGTGCATCTTTAATTAGATCTCATTAGAGGTATTGAAAATCAGCACTGAGGATATGGTAAAACTTGCAATATATCCTTTCTTGGAATACCCCAATATATAGATTAGGGCAAAAGGTCCCTATGGGTAAAATCAAAGCCATGGGAAAGCAAGATAATTAGGATCTCACAATATCTCACAGCACAAGGAATTGTCCCCATACAAGGATGTAACAGGAGGTTATCCTCATAGTGCCCAAAGATGTGGATGAGGAGCCGATTGTATGCTGTCATTTTCACACCTGTTAGCATTCTGTATCCATAGATTCTATTGGAATCAGCAATAGGAATCTGACAAGCGGGAAATATCTATGAATGTATAGATATACAATATAGTATTCCAAGGATGGGCATATAAACAATCGGCATTGTACACCCAAATAGTTTTCAGCAGGGTCGGCTTTGAATATCAGTAATATAAGTATAATCTAGAACCATTGTGATCATCAGCAACCTAAATAGCACAGAAATATATATCCTAAGGTCGATAAGATGGAAGAACCTCTAGAAAGAGTGATCTGCCATGTGCGTATTCCGCTAACCGAAGGCGGTTAGCGTATTCCGATAATTGAAGGTTGCCCAAGTCTACATCTCGAGCTTGTTACAACAAACTCACCTTTTACGTTTCGAGTAATCAACAACCAAACAAAGATTAGACTTCCCAAGTAACAAAAGGGAAGTGTCTTTCCACTACAAATCCAAAGAAGAAAACACGAAACCCTCCACTCGCGCAATCCTATCAATTGCACGCGGTCGCATCACCACCCCTCAACACCAACACAATGTCCGAACCAGGCCCGGAATCGATCCCCACAAGCGCAGATCCACGCAGCAAGCGGCCAACAAAACGACGCATCATGACACCGCATTCAGAGGTCGCCAACGAGATCCAGACACTCTTCAAAGACCCCAGCAAAGACCTGCAACTACCCAATGCCTCGAAGCAGCGTACTGTAGCGTCGCTCTCGGCGCCGCCAGAGATCGTCACCAATGTGCAGGGTTCATCTGCCGGTGCGGGCTCTGGTGAATTCCACGTGTACAAGGCTAGTCGGCGGCGGGAGTATGAACGACTGCGATTGATGCAGTCTGAGGTGGAAAATGAGAAGAGTGATGAGGCTTGGGAGAAAGAACGGGAGGAGGCGAAGCGAAAGGATAATGAGAAGACCGAGAAGAATCGGAGGAGGAGGGAGAAGAAGAGAAATTTGCGTGCGAAGAAGGGTGGTGATCAGAATGATGTTGCTCCTGTGAATGGCCCGGCTCCGGGCTCGATGGTTACTATGGAAGATCACGATGGAGGTGCTGTGGAGGGCCAGGTTCCCCAGCAGGAAGTTCCTGGTGTCATTATTCATGATGAGGACTAGAGGAGGCAGGTTAATGCTGACTTTTTTTACTGTGTACGATACGAATATACCCATCTAGATTTGGTTTTTTTCTTTTTTTCTTTTTTTCTTTTTGAATCTAGGAATTCATACAGAAGGAAGACAGCCAAGAGGCAAATCGTGTAACATTATGTACGGACCTCGAGCCCAAGTATCATTTTTCTTTTTCATCTATCAATCATTCGTCGCCGCCACCGCCGCCGCCGCCGGCGATCTGTTGAGCGGACTTTCCACTGCAGATGTCGTCGACACGTAGGAGGAGACATGCGGACTAGAGAGAAATATGTTAGTGAAATGTAGTGTGCATGAATAAACAGTAGGGAGCTTACCTCGACCGCAGTCTTGATGCTCTGGAGCTTGACGGCTTCGGGCTCCCAAACACCGTACTCCTTCATATCAACCAAGTTTCCGGTCTCGCCATCCAGACCCCAGCTGTGGTGGCCCTCAACGTGCTTGGCACGCAGGCTAGTAAGCACACGGATAGGGCTGGAACCAGCGTTCTGGGCCAATGTGCGGGGGATGACCTCCATAGCGTCGGCAACAGCCTTGTATGGCCACTGCTGGACACCCTCGACGGAGCGGGCAAGCTGGCTGAGCTTCACGGAGACAGCCATCTCAGTAGCACCACCACCGGGGGACAGACGAGGATGGAAGATAACGTTGCGAGCAACGGACATGGCATCCTGCAAGTTGCGCTCAATCTCGTTAAGGATATCCTTGGAAGGGCCGCGCAGCAGAATTGTGCAGGCCTTCGGGGACTTGCACTTGCGCATGAATGTGAAGTACTCGTCACCAATCTTCTCAATCTCGAACAGTCCGCATCCGGTACCAATATCCGACTCTTGGATGTCATCGACACGATTGACAATGGTAGCACCACTTGCACGGGCAATACGGTTGTTGTCGGTCTTTCGCACACGACGGAGGGCTGTGACGTTGTTCTTCACCAGGAAGTGCTGTGCAAGATCTATGAAACTCGATGGTTAGAACATGCAATCAATCACCTTAATCGGACCGCTTGCTTACCGGAAACACCCTTCTCGGTGATAACAACGTCAGGCTTGAAAGCCAGAACGGCCTCACACATGTGCTTGACCTGCTCCTCCTCGATCTGGAGAATACGGTTCCAGTCATCCTCCTTGGAGATCTCAATGTTGGTTTGAGACTCGCCCTTCTTGTACTCCAGGGGGCAATCCAGGAGAAGAATACGGGGGTTCTCGATTCTGCGACGCATCTTGGGATGTGTGATATCCTTGTTGACCATCACACCATCGATCACCTCAGAATCCTCGATCTGACCACCGGGAACCTTCTCAATACGAGCGTAGCGCTTGATGTCGACTTCCTGCTTTCCACTACCAACGTCGAAGGAGACGGTTCGCACAGCCTTCAAGGCAAGGCTGCACATAAGCTCTGACCAACGGGACACGAATTTGGTTCCAATGGAGGACTGGATAAGGCTGTACATGGCCTTGTCATCATGAATGTCGACGGGTGTCGAGACATCCTCCACGATCTGAAGGGCATCGGCGAGGGCACGCTTGAAAGCCTGGATGATAACGACGGGGTGGATGTTGCGTTCGAGCTGGGGGATGGCCTGGGCGAGCATTTCACCGGCTACGGAATATCAGCATTTGCCATCAACCTTTCCGAAATGAATCTTGTCATACCAAGGATGATGACCGTTGTGGTACCATCTCCGACCTCCTCGTCCTGGGTACGGCTGAGCTCGATCATGCTCTTAGCCGCGGGGTGCGACACTTCGATCTCTCGCAGAATAGCGTGACCATCGTTGGTCAACACAATACCACCCATAGGGTCAAGCAGCATCTTCAACATCGCTTTGGGTCCGAGACATGACCGAATGATATCCGCAACACTGGTGTTTATTGAATTAGCATCGAGCAGGGAAGAACAACGGAGGATCGAGAAATAGCGTACGTCTTTGCGGCTGTGATGTTAGACATCTGTGCTTTCCGGCCGACCTGGCGCTCGCCGGAATTGGTGTCTGGATGGCTTGTTAGCACTTAAGGGGAGCAACTCGATGGGGGGTAACCAACTCATCACCACCACCGGAGCCTGCATATTGGCGGTGTTTTATTTTTGTTTGAGCGGGAAGTAGATATAAAACGGTCTGTATCACTTGCGAATATCAAAAAAAATATTGCACGAAGATGACAATCCAAGTGTTCCGACTTCAACGCTGTTCGCCCGCATTCCATCAAATTTCCAGGCGAAGTGGGAGCTCCCTCGGGCTAGTCCATATACGGTTAGTGTTGATCCCTAACAGATCAGGCAAACATCTCCAACATCTCGTTTTAGCAACTCTACAAATTTCCAGTTCAATATATAGGCTTTATATATATCGTATTGGGTGCTGCGTTAAATATTCAAATGGTCATACAGAGAAAACACATTGCAAGAACAAAACCGGGCTGGGAAACCCGCTTTCTCCGACTTCAGCATCAGAAGCCCAAGGAAACCTTGGAGGACTGATTGAGAGGTATCGGGTTTCGATCTCGATGGAATCAATACAGAGAATGAGTTGAATAATTACGAGAGTATAGTAGAGTTAAAGATCTCAATTACTACAAAGTGCATGAACATACAATGAGCCATCATCAACAATATATATATAAAGAACCTGGGTAAACATGAGCTAACTAAATGAGATGATCTCCTAGCCATAATAGCTAGCTTATTATCTATGGAATCAAATGCGAACAGAAAGGGCAATTTACTAGCCTTATATAAACAGCACGAATCAGATGTTACGTGAAAGGTAGGTAATTCACATTCAAATGTAATAACGTAAAGAAGTATCAAGGCCAAAGACAGGCAGGCCAATAATGCCATGAAAGTGTTGTACACGAAGTTGAATTCTGTTCAGAATTCGCGGCTCTCCCCAATATCGCACACATCAAAAACACCAGTCTCGGCGAGATCGTGTTTCTTCAAGGCCTCCTTGAGTTTCTTGGGAGGTTCAAGCACATCCTCCTCAGTAAGTACCCAAGTGCCCCAGTGCATGCCTAAGGCCTTCTTGCATTTAGTATCTTTGAAAATGCGAACAGCATCATGGGGGTCAGCATGTGCTGGACTGAAGATATGACGGGGCGCATATGCTCCAATGGGGATCAATCCAAGATCAAACGGTCCTCGGAATTCACCTACCTGCTCGAAGGCAGGACAAATAGGGAAATTGTACTTGGGATCCCAATCATCCTCACCTTCTGGGAGTTCGTCCACTGACCTGTATCCGGAATCACTGGATGGGAAGTTAGCAATGCAACATTCTGACAGCGTAGAAGGGCTGGGGGAGAGTATCATACCCAGCAAAATACACCTTGCTACCTCCAGACTCGATGGCCCAAGAAGCCCATAGGGTTTTGTACTTGTCGAAAGGACCGCGCGCAGTAATATGCTGACAAGGCAGGCAACTGATGCGCGCCTTGATCTCTGCTGTGACGGAAGCTTCGCCTGCTGGTTCAATCTGTGGGCCGTTGTCATCCTTGGGTGACAATTCAATACCACGCTCATCCCACCAATCCATCTCGGTTACATTTTGGATGCCCGAGCTGTGGAACCAAGCCTTGTTGCCTAGTGGCGCAAAGAAATGGCAATTCGGGTGTCTTTTCGCGATCTCCGAGACAGTTGGGTAGGACAGATGATCATAGTGATTGTGGGAGATGACCACGGCGTCGATGACAGGGATATCCTTGATCTGACATGGAGGTTCAGTAAAGCGCTTCGGACCGAGTAGATACGGTCCACAGCGGGGCCCACAACGCGCCTCGAACACTGGGTCAAATAGCACTCGCAGACCGCTTGGGAACTCCACATAATAGCATGCATGTCCAAGCCATGTTGCGCGCAGCTTGGGGGTATCTCGGGTAGGAAGAAATTCGGGCTTGCGAACGGTGACGGTTGGCGGCGTGGTGTCTGGTGTATTCGCTTTTCCGTTCAGTCGACGAGAGCTGTATGCATGCATTAGAGACTGGTTTGATTCAATGTTCGACAATTATACTCACATCATCATTTGCATGATATCTTTCGACTGCAGATCGCGAAAAGACCTAAGATCGACGTGGTTAGTTTACTCGACAAAGGATCGAGAATCCAGCAAGTCATAGAGTATCACTTACTCCCACGGGTTTCTGAATCCATTCTGTGCATGATGACTTTTTTCCAAGACATCTTCTGGGCTGGGTCTAGCCGGGGAGTTAGCCACAGTCAGTGCATATAGCACTTCAGAAGTGGGTGGGATGCTCAAGTTGCGCATTGCTGGGTTAACAACGCGCCGCGGGTACTGTGTTCGCCGAGTAAGCGGCGAACGCAAAAGGAGACGCATGGGAGGTCAATACTTTAAAGAAAACAGCCCCCTCGCTCTGACTCAGAAGAAGAATGCAGCTTGGGGAAAGGAATGCAAGAAGCAAAAAGTTACTTTATTTCCGATATCTCCGACATTCGGGGGCCGCATGTGAAATCTGGGACCACACCGAAGTGTCAACTCATACATCTGCTCCCATATAGAATAATTGTAGATCAAACAAAGTGTATATTTCTCATCCTTCAATCCCGCCTATGTAGAAGGTTGTAGTTATCCTGAATGTTCTTGTTGATACTCCCATGGATTGTCCCGTGGCACCACCCGTGGATACGTCAAATTCTCGGCCCGTCGTAACTCCGATATCTGGTCTTATCGATCTTCTACGACATTCGCGACCTTCACGACACTGTTGATTTGGTATGGAGCCAAATGCGGTCCCTAGTGCTGCGCCGTCTGCGGGCGACCTGATTCTGCAGCAGAAAACACAGGCGCTACAGTCGGCGCAGAAAGGCGACGGAAGTCTCTTCTCGCAGCTAACGGGCAATCCCTTGTTCACAGCGGTATGAGATCTCCCAGTGTTTCGACCCGAAATGATATGCTAATATTGTTTTCTTACTAGGGATTCGGTCTTGCAGGTCTCGGAGCTGGATTGACTCTGGCACAGAAAGGCGTTCGACATGGCGCCGCTCTTCTCCGCCGGCGGATGCTTGTGGATGTCGAGATCAGCATTAAAGATGACTCCTATCCGTGGTTCCTACACTGGATGACTCTCTACCAACAATCGCAGCTGAACGCAGGCAAAGCTGCCGCGAATACCTCTACCTACATGGACCGATTCCTCCAAAAACTCACACCTGGCATGCGCCACCTCTCCATCCAAACGCAGAAGGTCGAACATTCGAACGGAGCAATCCATACACACTTTTCGCTGATTCCAGGGCCCGGGAAGCACGTTCTACGATACAAAAATGCGTTTGTCTTTGTCAACCGTATGCGCGAGTCGAAGTCCCGCGATATTCAGACCGGAAAACCGTGGGAGACAATCACCCTCACCACCCTCTACTCTCAACGCCACATTTTTGAGGAGCTCTTCACCGAAGCTCACGCATACGCCGCAAAGGGCCACGAAGGAAAGACGACAATCTATAACAGCTGGGGTACTGAGTGGAAACCATTTGGAAATCCGCGCCGGAAGCGACCATTGGAGTCGGTTGTTCTCCACGAGGGAGTGAAGGAACGGGTTGTGGCAGATGTGGAAGACTTCATTTCAAGTTCATCGTGGTACCACGACCGTGGAATTCCATACCGACGAGGATATCTCTTGTACGGTCCTCCGGGTACCGGCAAGAGCTCTTTCATCCAGGCACTAGCGGGCGAGTTGGATTACGACATTGCCATTCTGAACCTGAGTGAGCGTGGCTTGACCGATGACCGGTTAAATCACCTACTCACAATTGTTCCAAACCGAACACTGGTTCTGTTAGAAGATGTGGATGCCGCGTTCTCGAACCGACGTGAGCAAAGCGATGCAGATGGTTATCGTGGGGCCAATGTGACTTTCTCGGGACTGCTTAATGCACTTGACGGAGTCGCTAGTGCAGAGGAGCGCATCATCTTCCTTACTACCAACCACGTTGAACGACTTGATGAGGCATTGGTCCGTCCTGGACGTGTGGATATGACTGTCCGTTTGGGCGAAGTGACTCGTTACCAGGTCGGCTGCCTATGGGATCGATTTTATGCCGATCTCGATACCGATGGGGTTTATCGGAAACTTTTCTTGAATCGACTTCAGGAGCTTGGCTTGATTGAAGATGAATCGGGCAACAAGCCTGATCAGTCTCCTCAAACTAGCGCAGCTGCTCTTCAAGGCCTATTCTTGTATAACAAGGGTGACATGGAGGGTGCGATATCTATGGCTGAGGGTTTGACCCACAGTGTTCACACTGAGACTTTGGGTCAGGACCAAGGGAAGAACGAGTAATTGTACACTATCATGTAAATAAGACTAAAATATATAGACATCCATCTGGATTGCAAAAATGAGGAAATAAGCTTATCGAAGATCAACGGAATCACTAGGGGCAAATCTCGGGGATTTTACGCTCCACATTATTTCTCTCACCGAGTGACTAAATATGCAACATTTAATTGAACTGTCCGAGCTCATTACCCCTCAATTTCAATCTATTTCTTCATCCTAAAACATCCACATCATGGTTTATACAATCGTCGTTCGTATGTGATACCCCTTCTCATTGTTTACTTCCCATACTCACAGTAGTAGACCTCCGCGCCAAGTCGGATGAGGAGTCCATCTCCAAGCTCAAGGCCAAGCTTGTCGAAGCCTCTAATGTTTACTCGAAAGACAAGGAAACCCTCTCTTGGTTTGTGATGCAGTCTGTTTTCGACAAGCAGGACTTTACAATCGTCGAGCGTTACGTCCAGGAATCGTCGCAGGAGTACCATCTCAACAACCCTTACTGGAAGACTTTCGACCCTTATGTGATTCCTTTGTTGGAGAAGCCTATGGATATGCACCGGCTGGAGGAGTTGGAGGGCTCTACCATGTAAATTACCCCGTTTGTATGGGAGAAAAGAATTTAAAATAGAACTGGATTCCCTATTGCATTTCATCCTATTAGAATTCCTCGCAAGGTCGCTTTGAAATCTAAAATATCAGAGGATTGTAATGGAGACCGCTTTTTGGACGGACGGCATGGATACGACATTCGATGCTGTACCATATAGCAACCTCAGTTAACCGCTTCTGAAGAGTTAAATTCTCTTATGTGAGCCTTTAATTTCTTTCATACATCAATTTTAATAAAATCCGGAGCCGAAAGACTAACAGGGTCAAACGAGCTTACTCTCCGACTTCTTCAGTGCAAAAATAACCAACCAATATAATCCCCGGATTGTGATAAATATAGATTCCCTTATCCAAACACCAATCATCAAACTGCATGGAAGCGCCGCTACTGCAGTTGAATGTGCCCATCCCAGGATGGGGGCCAATCACATCCCTAATTGGTTAAGCGCCCACCGTATAAGCAGGGTTGTCACACATCTACTTGGCTTGGATATGGTGAGAATGGGGGTATATCTCAAGAACCCCCCCTGTTTTCGCGTTCTGCTTTGTTTTTCTTCGTAGTATACTCTATTTATCAAGATGAATCAATTTCAATTATTTCCACCTCCATCGCCAGAGGTAAAGAGATCTAACAATCCATTTCGCAAAGCCGGGAAAAAGCCAGCTACATCTGAGTCAGGATCAATCCCTCTTGAGGAGATTAAGAATCCTGGCAAGACTGAATCTGTGCTGCTTCAGATTATCGAAGATACTCAGGGTACTCCATCTCCAGATGCTTCAAGATCTAAATCCCCGCTATCTACGGCGGGAGGATCGCGTGATGATTCAAAATCTCCACAGTCCATGCACAGTCAGAACCGTCAAGCCAAGAGAGAGAATCATCAGGCGCAGCCTTCACACGGCAGTCAATACAGCAGCAGTAGCAGCCACCACACTACGGCAACAACCGTCTCCCCGCAATCATCGCAATCGTCTGCTTCTTCAGTCCCGATGAGATCAATGTTTCCTCAGTTCGATCCAAAACTACCTTTCAATCAACAAGTATATCAACCACAGCTTCCAGAGCCTCCACGGCCTGTCAAGTCTTCCCGGAAACCTCCAAAGCTCACGCTGTCGACCAATGCTGAGATTGACCATGTCCTCGGACCAAAGACTGTCCCTGCGAGTGTGCTCAACTTCCCAACTGGTGCTTTGGAATCCGAGGAGATTACATACTCATCCATGGAGGAACTGAAGATGTTATGGGAGACGGCCAATGGCCAGAGAACGCGAGATCTTGTTGGAACATTGAACCTACGCATGACAAAGTAAGATGACACGCCTCTCACATATGCGCAGATACTAACAGCTCATAGAACGGGACCAGCTACATTTACCCTCGGGAACTCTCAGAACCCGTTCTACACACTACAAACATATTCAACCAACGAACTCGCCCTAAGCAGATGCGATCCTTCCCGACCAAACCACGACGTACCAATCATGATGATGAGCCTCGAAGACCGCATACGCCGCGAGCACCCCAACGACGGACTGGTCACCCTCCTTTTCTCCAGACTAGCAGCCATGCTAGCCATAGACCAAGCCGAAGAGATCAGCAAACAACACCACCTAACTCCAGCCGAGTCAGCAGAAGTCGAAACAGACGCACTCAAACGAGCCGCAGCCCAAGAGTCCTGCCGCCTCTCCTGGAACCGCCATCAACGACTATACGAGCTACGACACCCCTACCTCTCAAGACACAACCCACCCGCTCTTGTCGGCGCCGCCGGAATCCCACTCTCCCCCGTGCGCTCCGAATCATCAGGAATGGTACACATCACGGTCTCCAAACCGTCCAGCGATGCCTCTCCCCGCCAGCCACCAACAATAATTGTGACTGGTCCGGTCTCATCCACAGCAATGGAAGCCGCTCAACAAGCTGCTAACCTACGGACGTCCGTTCTGCCCGTCACGGACTTCGACGAACCGCTCGCATCGTTGGATTTCGCTACAAAGACATTTTCAATTTCACCCGCTGCTGTTATTGCTACGATTCCTTCTCTATACGCTATCGACTCCCTCATTGCTGCAATGCTGGCAGTTGCTGTCTCAGATGAAGCTACGAACCCTATCCTCGCGGACATGGTGCTTGGATCGCCCAAGTCATCTCGACCACCCACCTCCCATAATCCCGGGCCTTATTCCATGCCTGTGTTCCAGGGTAAACTTGTTACGACGGTTGCTGAGCGCGAAGACGCGGCAGAGAGCATGGAGTTGGCTGCGAAGATTAAATCTGCGCAGAAGAAGTCCGCCTCTGGAAAGCAAAGTGTTTTCAAATTCTGGAAGAGATCCTCTTCCAAGCCTGAAGAGAATTCCCGGGACTCTAAGAAGAATAAAACCCGACAGGTCGTGGTTGAGGAGTTCGATTTGGAAAAGTATGGTCGATATGGGAAGAGCTCGTCGCGAGAAGGAGAGAAGTTGCCTGGGGTTACTCGTAGTATCCTGCGTATACTGTTCTTTGGCTTGGATCTGATTGTGAAGGGATTGACGCTTATTGTGAAGATCCTGGCTTGGTTATTGGTTAAATCGACACGTTGTGTGACCAGTGAGAAGTTCTGAGCTGGGCTTGGACTCACTCTCTGAATGTTTGGTCACTTTGGTTTTTTTTTCTTTCTATGGAACGGTTGGAAGCGAGTGAGTTAGTCTTGGATCTATAGTTATACCCAATTTGAAAGTTCTTTGCGATAATGATACTGAAGGGATATGTAAATGAGGTGTAGGTTGTTGATTTCAGCGGCGCGTAAAGAGTTGCATTTTTTGGGATGTGGGAGTTGTCGGGGTTGTGAATAGCTTCACTGTGTTGATGAGGACGAGAAGGGGCTAGTCTAAAGGCTACATGTGGAAGGAAGCAAAGGGAGGAGGGTTTTGGGGTATTACTCTATAGGTAGGGCGAGGTGACACAAGTTGGACACACTTCCTAGGTTCTATCTAAAGAGCCTTCCGTCTCCAAACACCTGGACAAGCCAAATACTTGATGAGAGAAGAGTCGCGTCGACCGGGGGTAGTGTGAGCCCAGTGACACTGTGCAACGAGGCGTGTGCAAGCACAGAGGCCAAGTCGCGAGGTCCAAATATTAGAATAATCAGTGATCCTACCGGGGAGGTAGGAGTATCAGCAATTAAACTGACAAGAACAGATACTACACTTGATCTAAGCCAAAAGGCAAAGAGAATGTGGGGAAAAAAGAAGAAGAAGAGGTTCAGGCCTCAGAGATGGCTTTATATACTTGACAGGCGTTAAAGCGGCCCCCCCATTTATGGTAAAGCAGCGGGCGGTCCTGCCCGAAGCGGGCTTAAGGCGGCACCGATATTTTAGAAGCGGCACCGAGGCTGCCTAGGCGGGGAATTCACATGCGGGTTGGACCTCGTGGTTTGTGGGAATTACGTCACAATCTACAAGGCAATTTCTTTGTCTTGTTATGTTCCCTAGAGTTATGTAACTCACACACTCTCTCTACTCTTCCTTCATAGCCTCCGTAAGCCTGCCACTGGAGAGACATAGTCGTAGTTTGACACTGAAGACGAAGAGGGATTCTCAAGGAATCGCACTACATGTGGCCATTGCCTCTCCGAGTTCTAAGCTGGATCCATCCAACGCCTGATGGAGTGCATAGGCACAGACCTGCAAAATACGTTGTTCAAAATTGTGATTAATTCACGCTATTAGCAAACCTTGGACTGTTTCATCTGTTAGGCATTCGCATAGGAGAAAATATCTTGTAACATGTCACACTTCGGCTCTGAAAGTTATATATCCATTTCATATTTTGGATAATTATTGTTTTGGCAACAAGGTTGTATATAAATATCAAAGCAGATAGCAAGCGACATCTGTTCTATACAGAGTATGAAAGGACGTCTTGAATTTGGGCACCGTTGTTTAGGGGCACTTGATTGGTGGCTGGTATTTACTAGGGCTAGGTACAAAATAGATCTATCAACTGGCATGCTGTCGGGCGCTAAGTGTATATATTTAAAGGCTGTCTTGGTAACCCCTTAATGTCATTCCATCTCCAACATCATTTTCAAAAAGTCAAACAACTCTCCAGCTGATTATGCTTTTATTCATATGACTTAATAACAATGAAACCACGTATGCCCTTTGATGATGTTGCCTGGGAAAAAAGGCACGGACATTTATGATTCCTGGTCATATATTCTGTATGGAGAGGATGCCTACAATGACATTGGAGTCTTTCTTTCCAAGCACTATCGACCTCGTGAACATCAAGATTTCGTCCCTTTCAAAACGGGGGGTTTCAACACCAGCCTTCGGATGACATTCACGGATAATTTTGGTGTGATTATCCGGTTCCCCTTACCTGGAGCTATCATGTTTCCCGAAGAAAAGATCCGTAATGAAGTCTCTACCATGCGATTTCTTTTGGACAAAACCAAGGATTCTGATAAAATCCCAATTCCAGTGCCGAACGTCTCTCACTGGGGGCCGAAAAAGGAGAGTCCCTCAAAAGGTAGCTCCTTTCATCATTATGGCCTATATCGACCACACAGGAAATATGAGAGACCTTCTTGAGATTCCAGGAAGCCGTCTGATAGGAGTACGTCCAGTACTTAATCCTGATCTCAGCATGGTTAGACTGGAATCTCTCTATGGAAATCTAGCCAACATCGTCCTTGCGTTATATACACTTTCTTTGAGCCGAATAGGGTCCCCGACCTTGACCAGGGTGATGACTTAATGTGGAAAGCGTTGCACCGTCCTTTATCCTATTCGATGAACGAAATTGTGCAACTGGGGACGGTACCCCAGTCAAAGTTACCAACCAGCACGTACGATACAGCGTCGTCGTACTTTGAAGCTCTGGCAGAGCTACACATTTCGCACCTTATAAGCCAGAGGAATGATTCTATTGACTCGGAGGATGACTGCCAACGTAAATTTGTGGCAAGATATCTCTTCCGAAAGCCTGTTCAGGATAAGAAGCTCAGAAACAAATGGGGATCCGTATCCTATGAGACTGGGCCATTCCCACTTTGGTGTGACGATTTCCGACCAGAAAATGTTTTGGTCAATGATGAAACTATCGCCGGGGTGGTAGACTGGGAGTTTACATATACCGCCCCCGTCGAATTCACCCATGCACCGCCTTGGTGGCTTCTTCTCGAAAAGCCGGAATACTGGCCTAAGGGTCTTGATGACTGGTGTACCGAGTACGAAAAAGCGCTGCAGACATTTCTCAAGGCGATGATCAATTGCGAAGAGGAGGCTATTCGGACTGGTCGGATAGTAGAGAGTCAGCGCCTTTCTGGTCCGATGCGAAAGAGTTGGGAGAGAGGGGACTTTTGGATTGTGTATGCTGCAAGGAATAATTTCGCTTTCGATGCGATATATTGGCAGAAGATTGACCAGCGATTTTTCGGGACTACATGTCTTGACCTCGACGAGATTTGGAAGCAGAGACTTGATATGTTGGAACCTGGAGAAAAGCAAGATCTGGAGAAATATGTGAGTCTGAAGCTTGAACAGATGGAAACAAGGGTTCTTGCTTGGGATCCAGATGACTATGTATACCTTGGAATATATGGAGAAAATGGATGATTGATCCCTCTGGCATCTCTCGTGTGTCTCTGATACCAGCTCATAGATAGGCGAGAAAATCTAACACCTGCTTTCGATTTAGTTCAGTCGGGCACCTTGTCAATTAAGAAGTATGTGATTCAGGTTCAAAGTAGTTTCAGCCTCATTCAAAGTTATAGTACATGGTTTGATATGTTGGAACAGTAACCAATCATCATGTCAGTATGGCCGAGTGGTTAAGGCGCAGCACTGTGAGTAACCCCGTAACACAATCTATTCATCAATCAGTAACTAATAATCCCCGCAGCGAATCAATACATTCCCGATATGCTGTTCATTCGTGAACCTAGGTTCGAGTCCTAGTGCTGACGATATCTTTTTTGTGGGTTTCTTGTTTTTTTCCTCACTTGAGAATCCCGTTTATATTTATTTTTAAAGCTCGTCGATGAAAATTTTATCAAAATTTTGAATTTTAATATTGCAGATAATATCCAAAACATTGTGACCACTTCCTAATTGGGGATGGTTGAAAATGACAAAGATCTGGTACGCCATGGATCCGTCCACGGGTGGATGGTTCCATCCCAATCGGGGATGTCGATTTCTCTTCTCCCATAAAGGAACTCGATCCAAAACATTCTTTGTTTTTGCACATCGACGAATAACATTGGCTTGGGTTTGGTGATTTGGTGATACGTCAGCAATGCAAACAGGCGGATACTCCGTAATGAAGATCAGAGCCCCTGCAAGTTCATATCCAATCGGACCTTCTGAGCTGGCGAATGAGACAACAGAGCTGAACGCTTCATGCAAATTCACCATGCATCCATACCTATATTCTTGGCAGCAGGGTGATAGTTCAGCTCCACGGCCGTGAAAAACTTGCCCAACAGAACCCTGGTGCAAAGGACGATATTGCCGGTGCAACTCTGCCCACAACCCAGACAGGCATTGACGAACAACGCTCACATATACATTATTCACGATCTTCGTTGCTCTGCCAGTGGCCCACGCAGGCGGCTGGGATGACTTTTCGAACAATCTCGCGACCGACCTCGCGCCATTTCTCTCTCTCTTTGGTGAGCAGATCACGAAACAGTACCTTAGTGAGAGTACCAATGTAGTTGATTACTTTATCTTTGCCATGGCCCCCATGGGCATCTTGACAGGGGTGGTCTCTGCAATTCGAGTGTGCGGACACCCGTCACTACGCGCCTTTATCGGCAGAGCTCAAGAAGGAGCAGGCAACGCGGAGGCAGAGCTATGCACCTCGACAAGCCGGGATGTATGTGAGCTCTATAATAGTGGTGGTATTGCGCGCGTCTTTGGCCGTCCAAAAATTCTCGAGGTTGTCCACGACCCGGATCATGATTTCAGCGATCCACAAGACGACACAGCCGGTATATACACGTTTCAGCAATACCTTGAACGAGATAAAGGCAAGGCACTATGGCGAAAAGAAACACCCAATAACAGCATCGCACTATGGAAAAACAAAGTCATGGCGCTGTGGGGAGCGAAAAAAACAGTGGAGAAGAAGCCTGACCCTGAGTCTGCCCCCAAATCGCATTCGCATACATCTTTTACGACATTTGCTCCGAACCTCTCCCTTAACATTGGAATCAAGAAACAATCGAAGCATGTCTTCTACGCAATAGCTCTTCTTGGTCTTGTTCTGCAAGTTGGAGTTTTGGTTTTCGCTGGCTTTGCGACGTATTACCTGAGATGGGGCAACGATCACAAGCCCCCAGAATCTTATGCATGCCCCCTTGTTATCATCGGGACTGTTCTAGTCTGTGGTGGAATGTTTCATTGCGCATTTCTCATTGGCCAGAGCACTGACGAGGATGTCTGGTGCCGGCAAGAAAATATCCCCGACAAATCATCTATGTATTGGATACAGCCCGGCGGTCAAATCATTGGCGATCAAACATTTGATGCTTTTTCGCACACGGTCTCTGGCGATAAACTCAAGAAATACATAACCTCGAAGAGGAAGAACGTGTCCAATGAATCGAAGCTTGGAGTTTGGGTAGCCATTGGGACCACGATCTCTGGCTTTGTCTTACAATTTACCGGCCTCAGAGGTATACATTCATCGGTCTCTGTCGCTCAGTTAGGCGTGATCATGGTTATGAGTATAGCTCGGGCTATGCTCCGTATGCAGCGACTGGAGCCCAAGGACGATTGTTTCGCCACATTTCCGGACGAGGTCATTGGCCACGAACTCGACTGGCTCGCCTTGCGCATTGGCCTTGATCTCCTTGAAAAGCCCATCAGAAACCGGGATCCAACCTTGCGGATCCTATCATCTACTCCGACAAGCCCCGGTGATCAATATCGGTCCTTCTGGAGACTCCGTGGTGCATCTGACAAGAACAGACTAAGCACCGAGAAACCGTCTTCTATCGATCGTTGGAATGTTGCTGCTATATTGTTGGCATATCGAACCCGGCTTGCGGCGCTCACGGATCAATCTACGTCATCCACCGCCCCCGCGAGGGAATTCAAGAGTGAAATGGTGCAGGTCCGAAGCGAGAGTCGACAGATAGCTGCGCTGATTGAGGCTACCATCAAAACAGTTCTTTCGAAGGCCAAGATCAAGAAGGAGTGGGAGACAGCCTCATCTATCTTCTGGGGCATCGATTGCGCTCTTGGCAACCAAACCAATGAACGCCTGATACTCAAGTCGCCCACAATTTACAAGGAATCCGCCCGCCAGACGCACACAATTTACTTGGAATTCGCCCAAGATTTCGCCGCCCCATGAAACCCCTGGGTATTCAAAAACAAACGAGAGCTAGAAGGTATCCTCGGCCTATGGGTCTGGTCGTTGAAGTCTGACGTGAGGATAGAGACCAAGGACTCATGGACTGATCACACAAGATCCACATCAAATGATATCGGGGCACGACGTATCATTCCGACCGACCAGATCATGAAACCGGAGTTAGAGATATGGCTTGGCGATGACATTCAAAGCATCACGAAATCCGATATTCGCTCTCCGTTCACTGACCTGCATGGTGCGAGTGCTGTGTGGACAATATCGACGAATTCGGGTGTGACGGATATGTATCTCTACAGCAATCATGTACAAGGTCTACAGCCTACTCAACCACGTATTCGCTTCTTTGGTTGGAAAACCGCGAATCTGCCGCAGAGTCAAAACTCGGAGCGATTGAACATTTGGTCCGCCCCAATGGCAGGTTCGCTTGTGAGATCCTGTGCTCAGGAAATTTTTGCATCATTTCTCACAAGTATTCTTGACATTGTAGACAGTTGTGGAGATGTTTATGTCGAGGAAGGTGAATCGATTAGGCTTGAGAACGGCCTGGTGTCTGAGATTGTTGCACTTTTCACGGAGATGCAATTGGGCTCAAAATTGGAAGCTCAACTTTGTGTGATCCCATTATTGTTACCTCGGCTCGGGGTGCCATCTGCAGCGAGTGCCTTAGCAGCAGCAAAGGACAGCGCAAATCATCATCGAAAACGCAAGAATTGGGTGAAGGCAGAAAAGGTGCTACAATGGGCATGGAATATCTGCAGGCGATCCCAGAATTCTTATACACACGTGATTGACGAAGGTGAAGACAATAGACCGGGCTCGGAAGATAAACTCGTGAAGCAAGCAACAATTGATCTGTGTGAGCTATACCGGTGGGCCTTGATAGAAAAGACCTCGAGGACATTTGGCATTTATGGAATCTGTTGGCTCCACGAGAAGTGTGGCCAATCGGTATCGGAGCGCGAAGTTATTGATCGCTATTTCCTTGTTGCGAATGAGTTTTCGGAGCATCAAGCTAGCGATGCTGACCTTGACAATATGGAAACGGGCTCCTTGAAAACTGCGCTACTGTTTGTCACCCATCCTGCATCCGAGACAACAAGAGTGCAAAAAGGGATAGCCCTTTGCTTAGCGGCGGAATATAAATGGGCGGAGGTGGCACTTGCGTTGCTCGAATTAGGTGGCGAACCGGAGTTTCGAGACGCAATAGGCAGAGTACCTCTATCGCATGCGGCAGAAAGTGGAAGTATCACTATCGTGGAAGACTTGATGAAATGGGGAAGTTTCCCAGACTCCGAGGATTATGCTCGAAGGACACCATTATCATACGCCTCAGAATTAGGTCGCCACGAAGTAGTTGAGCTGTTGCTAAGAGATGTTCGCGTCTCACCAGACCCAACGGATAATTACCATGAAACGCCGTTATCATGGGCGGCACAGAATGGTCATGATACTGTTGTTAAACTGCTTCTCGAGACTGGTAAAGTCGAACCAGATAGAAGGGACCAGTATGAACGGACACCGCTATCACATGCAGCAGAGAACGGCCATGACAGTGTTGTCAAATTGCTTCTCGAGAGTGGAAAAGTTAAGCAAGATATAAACGACCACGATAAACGGACACCACTTTATATGTAGCATAGGACGGCCATGACACTGTCGTTAAACGGCTGCTCGACACCAGTCAGGTCAACCCAGACGCGATAGATGATATTGGAAAGATGCCACATGTGGTACGCAATGGAACGTGGGTACACTAGCATTGTGGATCTGATCACGGAGTCAAAGAAGAAAGGTCTGGAGTGCTAGATGGCTACAATCATTGGCGTATAATATGGCTAGGCCGAACAAGTGTCTAAACTATCCTCACATAGCAGGGCCAAGGGAGCGATAGTGACGGAAAGATGTGGGGACGGCTTGAGCGCAGCTAGAAACATGAACTTGTTGCCCAGCAGAATCCTCTCAATTCAGCTTCGAATGCGTCCTTCTGGGGCGATTGTGATCAGCTACAATGTTCATTTACTTCTCCCACCACTACTGCGTGCCTTTTTTCGGGTAGTGTAAACTGAAGCTCGTAAATATCAAGTAGATCCACTAGGTCCTACTAATCTATGAGACTGCGTAAAGGCGCCTCACCGGGCAAATATTCACTGCATTAAAACAACGGGCTATCATAGCTTCAGGTTGGTATAGACAATAAATAATGGGAATAGGTCCGTCTACGCATGAACAGTGAACTTGCTCTTCTTCCTCAACTTGTCCCCATACATGAATAAATACCAAAAGCCTATCACCAGGGGTATGCTTAATCCCCCAAGCAATGTACAACCCTTTCCCACCCCCAAGTTCAAATATAGAGGCCGCCCAAAAAGCACCGCACCCGCTGCAAACGCGCTTCTCAATGCATCATTGGCCGCAAACAGGCTCGCCGCGTACTCCGGATAGCTCAAGGGGAGATGTATAAAGATGCCCAGTCCAACAACAAATGAACACCCGCAAAACAAGACGACACCGAGTGTCGGCACAGGCCAGGGAACCGACGCACGCGCCGCCCATCCGAAGAGAAACATGCCGAGTGGAACGCCCAGCACACCAACAAGGCCGGGGCGCAGAAAGGTCTCCTGGACGTCAAAAGTGCCGAGACGCTGGAAGCGGCGCTGGACGAAGACACGGTACCAGATGCAATACCAAACTGCGCCGATGATGCATGCGATGAGGACGGAGACGAACACAGCGCTTGTCTCGCCAAGGTTGAAACCGTATTCTTTAGGATATACCATGGGGATGACTTCGAAGAAAGAGTAGTAGATTCCGTATGTGAGAGAGGTCTAAGTATCCCATCAGTAAATCGTGATCTCCAAGAATCGCAATACTTAGGATAGCCCAAGCAGTGAGGTGAAACAAGTGTAACCTACATAAAGATCCGTAAACGCAATGGCAGGGTCTTTGAGGGTGATCTCGAACGGCTTGATAAGAGCAAGCTTTACCAGTTGGCTGCGCGAGGTCCCCTTAGACCGCATAGAATCCATGGTGACAAATCGGTCGGAACCAGTCTCTTGTCGGAGACGTTTGGCCTTGTAGAATAGCAGTGTCGGCGTCGATGTCTCGGGGAGAAACAATACAAGCAGAACGAAGACAAAGCCTGCGAGCCAGACTATCTCCCACATTGACCAGCGCCAACTAGCAACCTCCCTATTAGTATCTTCCGGCAGCTAGATATACGAGAGTCTTACCCTTTGACAGATACCGAGAATCCGGACAGCAACGGCCCAAGCGCAGGGCCGCAGTACATGGCACCGGACCAACCTACCAGTGTGTACGGCATGTATATGACAGAAAACTGTAGTTTTCGGTTAGCCGTGGTATGGTTATGGGTGCCGTCGATCATACCATGTCACTTAGGGACGCTGCCCCAGTCGCCAAACAGGGGCTGCCGAAGAAGCCCTGTAAAAAGCGAACGACGAGAAACCCTGCGAAGTTTCTGCATACCCCGGCTATGGCCGACAGGATGATGAAGATGGCAAATGTGCTGATGTAGACCGGGTTCCGGCCGATATGCGGGATCTCACTCAGTGGGGAGAAGAGGAGGGGTCCCATGCCATCTAAAATCTCAAATTAGTAATTTACCATTTAAAGATAGATTAAGAATACCCACAGCCGAGGACGTAGAGAGCCAGGCCCAGGGAGGCGACGACCTCAGAAACGCCAAATTCTTCCATTACCTGTCTGTGTAGAGTCAACAACACAACTTCTTTGTCCACATCATTATGTTAACGTACTCTTCGCTTGGGACGTATATTGATGACCCGCAGTACACCGTGAACGTGTAGATGCTGCCAACACATCGATTAGCATTCTGCTAGCGGAATGAGCTGTATATCTCACCAAATAAGTGTTGTCACTGCCACCTTTCTTGTTGCCGACCAGTTATAAGGATTCTCTGAATCCTCATCAGAGACCCTATTTGCGATGTAAGTATGCATGTCGCGGCGCCAATAAATAAGACGAAGGGTTCCTTACCATGTCACTGGAATCAAAGATTGCTCATTTGCCTCCTTGTTCTCAGTCAAGCTGGGGTTCTCGCTGGTGCAGTACATATGCTTTTCACTTGAAAATGCTAGGATCTTGTTCCTAGTAACTAGTCGTGCAAATGCACCGAGCGCTGTTGTCCGAAAGAGATGCGCCATGTCGTTTCTCTCTGTATCGACTTCACGAACGTGATAATTGAATTGACACAACCCTGCAGGTTACGCTGTTAAATAAGAGAAATTTGATTCTCTCCTTCATTTTCCCCAGAGGTAATCTCCGGTTAGGCAATTCGGGGTTAGTTCAACATCGGAGTTGGAATGACCCACTCTTAGGATATTCGGGATTATCACGCCCACCTAGGACATAATAATGCTAGAGCACCGAACTTAGCGAAGCTCCATTATTCGTGCACAGGAATAGAGCCGCCAGCATTATCTGTGACATTATTCCACATCGGCATTAATTTCCAAGTTTGCGTGGGTTAGGCGGGAGCTGACCTACGAGTGGCTTAGGGCACATTTCTAAAGTGCGACACCTTGAAACATAACGTACGTGGACTTGCACCACTGAATATCATAATTTATCATAGTTCCTACTTTTATGTGGCTATGGGTGTCCCGAAATAACCTTTATCAAATATAGTCAAAGTAATTGCCTCAGGTCATGCTTCCTAGTGCATGAAACCACTCTCCGTCGAATATATTGGCAACCATGGTATCCTGTTCTTCGAGCAGATCAAACCCGGTACTTGGAGCCCGAGGGACGTCATCCTCTCGCATAAGAGCATTGGCTATAACTCGCAGCTCATGCAAGATGTTCTTGGCTCTAGGCCAGATATTTTCGTAGTGCTTAAGCGTACCCAGGCAGACTCGTATACGCGACCGTGCCACCTCGACCTCATCCGGTGTGAATCTCGACTTGCAGGCGACCAGGTAGGCAATAGTGCAGCATGATATCATGCAAATGAGAAAGGGTGAAAGCTGGGCGGCACCTAGCGGCAGCAGGATCAAGCACTGATTTTGATTGCGGACGGCTTGGAATAGCTTCTCCGAGTGAGTTCTATGATTGAACGCACCGGTAGTTATCGTGCTGGGGATTAGAGGTCGTGGAGGTGAGCCACAGCTTGAGAAGTCTTCCGCGGGATCGTATTGAAGGTTCGACAATGGCCGATGGATATACGCCATAGCTCTATTTTGTTAGTATAAGCATCGATTCTAGCATTGGCCCTTGGAGGAATGCATACGTGTACATCATCATGTGAGCTTGGAACATGAGCTGATCTAGGAGATCAGGCTGTACGGAAAGCTCCCATTTATCGGGCGGAAGCATGACGAACCAGCCGACGATAGAAGCCTCCAAGTCGCTACAGAGAAGTTCCGCCTTCGATGGGGTTTCATATTGAGTTGCTACTCTCAATGAGCAGACAAAAATGCGCGTTGCATCGATAAGATATGCAAATGATGAGAAGCGCGTGGTCTCCAGCGCGTACTCTTGGTTTCGGTAATCGGCGGAGGAGGCTGTGGTTCGTGAGATATCCTAGGGCTCTACTGATCAGTAATAAAAAAATATATCACACGGAAAAAGTATTACCGTAGCGCAGTAGTCGAGGTCATCACAAGGTAGGTCGACATCGTGATTGGTATCATGGATCGATGTAATGAAGTCGTAGCGGATTACGGAAAAGTTCAGGTCGGCTAAGTAAAGCATCCACCATGTCCGCCTCCAGCTCTCGGCGAGCACAGGGTCGTTTGCGGCGGCGACATCGGCAAAATCCTTGGTGTGCATGCCGATCAGCCTGGCTTGCTCGATGGCCCTTGCCAGAAGCACTTCGGAGGCAGCCCGCTCAGCGCACATGCTCTTGGCTAATGCTAATAACAGCGTCGTTTGAACTACGAACCCGTCCACCACGTCAACATTTTCCTCGTCCGGCATGCACTCTCTTCTCAGGGACGACTCCCCGGAGGCGTAAGATGAACCGATATATTGCATGACCGCGAGCAGCGCCCGTAGGCTGGGCCATTCCGACGCTAGCTTCGCTTGAAGATTGGACCTCGGTAGTACAAATGGATGGCTGCAATGAAAGTATTCGTAGTACAAGTCCAACAGGATGTTGTTTGCGCCCATACTGTTCTCGACTTCGATGGCCACGTCTCGTGGTATTTGGGAGGTGGGGGATGACGAGTGATCATGATCTTCTCCAAGCACGGAGGGATGTGTATCGGACGGCGTCAGCACATGAGAGGCAAGGCATGATATTGTATGCTGCTTTCTTCTGGAATTTGCGGCCTTGTATCTACCGCTACGTCGTGATTCGGGGTATGAGCATGCTTTCGCTAGGGTTTGACATCGTGCACATATAGGGAGTGCCGCGTCGCATTTGAGATGCTGAGTCCGGCATGGCCAACATGCTAGAGAGGCTCGGGATGCTGATTGGCGATTCATCGTACATGCGATCTCGAAGTTAACAGCTTCAATCTCTCGCCTATGCTAGTAAATACCTCGGAGCTAGTCCGATGCATCCAAGGTTACGAGTGAGTCAGCCGCCAGGTCTCGTCCTGGGCTTTGTCATGGGCCCGGCTAGGCCCAATTAGAATATGCAGGCTCCCGAGGTCCAACCCCTTACTTATAGCCCTACTGCCCTGCCTTGTTTATTATATCAAGATGTAAAGCAACTTCACCCTCCCAGGCCTTTCAAAGCCAGCAATAAAACTCCCTAGACCCTCATTTCTCAGCAAAAAAAAAAAAAAAAAAAAAAAAAAAAAAACCCTGAGCGCCCCTCTTTAACATCTGTTTTTCTAAAAAATTTTATTCCACACTTTTTAATTTTTTTTCAAAAAAAAAAAACCCCCTAAACCCCCTTTTCCAAACAAAAAAAAAAAAAAAAAAAAAAAAAAACAAACCCTGAGTGGCCATCTTTAACAGCTGGTTTTCCATAAGATCTCGATCCACACCGGTTAAATTTTTTTGAAGATTAAACTGTATACTTGTGGGATTTTACCGCAACACCTTAGAAACCTCGGACCCCAGGAGACACACACCCGAGTCAGCCCTCTTGAATTATGTGATGCATCACGTGTACCGGTCTTCTATCAGGGGACTTAATTTCTATCTCTCATTCATTTTTGCTTCGTCAACATTACTACTTAGCATGCTGCATGCTGAACATACTGAAACAGTTTATATGGCTATGGATTCGGCAGCTCAATTCTGGTCTCGTGTCTAGTGTTAGAAGACTATACGGTAGGAATGAAATGAGATTCAACTATCGTAAGAAGATAGAGAAAAGTAAGTATGGAGAAAAGACACGTAAGAGCAAAGCTGTAGCAGGAAAGCTCTGATAGGGAAGATGATGATATTATCATGCTAGATTAAGACTAGACTAAAGGGCACATCAACCGCGTGACTTGACAGGTCACGGGGGCCGAAAGGTCACAAAAGCAAAAGCGAAACAGAGCAAAGTGCAAATGGAGCCAGGCGAGGCGAAAGAGAAATATCAGAAAGAAGATTTATCTTCCTTCAGAGACAGGTTTTCAAGGAGGATATTCTCCTGAGAGGTTGGGATAGGGGGAATCGCTGCGCGGGCGATTAGAGTAGGGCCTAGAGTTACACCAACGAAATCTAAGTGTGTAACGCTGGTCCACAGAACCCACCCTTCCCATGACATATGCAGGATGAATAAAACGGAGGCATCTGTTTCGAATGCATCGCGGATCTCAACTTTCATATTCGGCGGTAGTGATTCAATAGCTTTTGAAAAGCCAGCCACAATGTCTCGTGGCTCTCGTTGCCCCTCAAGCGTCAACTTCACCAGCACGTGCTTTTGGCTCACTCCAGATATTGGCCGAGGGAGGCGGGATGGACTAGCATCACTAAATACAAGGCTAACTGTTCCGGTGCCGCTTAACATTTCGAACATAGCGTGGGGGCAATTCTTAGGCTTCTCCAGTTGTACTTGCTGGTACCACTCAGCTGTTGTGAACTTTTCCTGGCCCTTGAAGTTTTGCATAGCGCGGAACAGCCTTTGGGTAAACGAAGCGCGATTCGAGCGATCGGACGCAATTTCATGAGCTCCACACGCTGCCATGATATGAATATTCGTTGTCCAGTCAGGCAGCCTTGTTTCAGCGGCCGCATAGCAGCAATCCAGTATAACCAAAGAATCAACTGACTGTGCACATTCCAGATTACCACTGACAGACCTCCATATAATCTTTTTTTGGCGTGAGGTGAAGTATAGAGCACCATCATACAGGCCAGAATGACCAGCATAATAGAAAACGAATAGAGAGGGTAGTGACGACCGGACGCATTGTGAAAGGAGTTTGTTCGTCTTCTCTTTAAGACTCCAGGCGGGTTTTGTGTCCGAATTTGAGATCACAAATCTATTGCATTGAACCCCAACCGGTTTCAGAATTGATTCCATTGTCACCAGGTCATTCTCTGCACCAGTGTCATCGTTTTCCCACCGGACCAATATGGCAATCTTTTGCACATGAAACCTACCCCGTGCGGAAGCTACTTTCTGAAGCGCTGCTTGAAGCCCGGGAAGCTTTATCGTCGAGATTGGTTTGGCTGGGAATGATGTGGGGATGCTGCTTGAAATTTCGGCCGCAGGTTGCTTTGCGGCTGACTTCAACTTCGGAGATTGCACCATCTTGCTAAGAAAACAAAAGCTTTATGCTGTGGGGAAAGTGAGGGAACTGAACTTGGTCTAAGTTATCGGTTGAACGAAACTAGTAGTAGTGTAGAAATCAGAACGATGATTGTTGTTGTTTGGGGAAAAAGGACAGGAGAGTTGGGGAAAGGGAGGGTCCTGGTTTTAATGTCTGCGATTTTGGTGCCTTCCTAAATGGGCGACGGCGACCATCTATGGATTCCGTTGATTACCTCCAGGGCTGTATATTGTTGTCTTACTCATTTCAATCTTCCGTTTCCTATTGTTGACCTATAAATTATCTTCTTATTATGGTTCTATTCTTCAATATCTCTCACTCTGACCTTCAATATCTCTCACTCTCACCTTCAATATTTTTCACCTTGCATTGTTAAGATGGACCATATGATTAGAAACCGAGTCAAGTCGCGCGGCCTGCACACTGGCCTCTTCAGTTGCAGGTTAGCGGAAGAGTGGCCTAAATTGATTCGCCACAGCTTCAGTGGTCCTCAGATATTATGCTGTTTATATATATCAGGTTTATAGGCCAACTGATCAGAAGTTTCCTGTGAGTTGGGTCTTGTTCAAGATACGATACCAAGCTGTAAGACGATTTCGCCCTCACCGGTAGGCCTCTCAAAGCCAGCAAGAAAACTCTCTAGAATCTCGTTTGTCACAAAAAAGGCCGAGTCGCCATCTTTGATAGCAAACTGATTCCGAGCCCTGACCCGCCGCCGTAACTCATCACCACCGACATCAAGATACGTAAGCACCCACCGGCCCCCAGACTCTTCGATCAGCCTCTTCCATTCATCTCTAGTCTCCTGAAATGCGAAGGAGAAATCTAGGATTGCATCCTGCGAGCCTTGGCGAAGTAGCTGCACCAATTCATGTCGGAGAGCGCTCTCGGCCTCATCTTGATATCCGCTGTATTTATCTTCTGGATAATCAACACCATATAACCCATATTTGATGTATATATGGGAGTCGATTGAGAACCGTTTGAAAGAGGGATGGTTTGATAATATCCTTTTAGAAAGTGATGACTTTCCAGAGCCTGTAATAGCATTAATAACTATCCATTCAAACTTTGTCGCTAGATTTTGCGTTACTTACCTGCCATTCCACAGGTCATTAGAACAACAGGTCGAGGATCACTATCGGTGCGGCGTAAAAAGGGGCTGAGCGCCTCGGGTGTATCGAAGGTTGGTGTAGGTCCTGCCATTTCCCCAAGCTGGATGAACAACTTATCTTCTCGTTATCGATGATGAGAACTCAAATATGGAATCAGTTGGTTGAATGTTTAGCGGGCTCGAGGGGGTGGGAGGTTAAACCCCGCATGACACGCCTTGGAGGCTCATGGCATGACTCATTGAATTATCCCGACAGCCATTCAGCCACAGGTCTGCTATATCCCACATTAATCGTCAAGGTTGGCACGGCTAACATCGGCCTTTAGTGATTAATAACATCCTTCACCTATGCCATGTCACTGATAAAGAACATCATCCAAGACTTTGTCTTACCAATAGGGTGATGGACCAGGAAGAGTTTGCCTCTCACTATGCAATGCTAAGAAACTCTCTCCACCAACCTCCTAGGCTAGTATTTTACCTGAAATCACTTTTTAAGACAGACCGATCTTGCAACCTGGTATGTATTTATTGTCCTCGGGAGTTCTTATAATAACCCAAATCATTCATTGAATATTGTAACTTAAATTCGGGTGATGCTCAGTTTAACTTCAATCTTTCTTCAACATATCCGTCATGGCTCAATCAAGCATCATCCGCCTTAAAGGAACTATAGCTATGGCTTGCATATTTCACTAGAAAGAAAGAATTTAAGATGTACCGGAAATCCGATGGAGTGTTATAAACCTCCGTGAGGAATTATGACTGAAATTGTTTTCCGTGGCTAGTAACTACTAAGTCGGAAATGCGGCCTGTAATGTTGTAAGTGACTATTCTAACAATGTGACGCTTAGCTAGCTATTTCAATGAATGTTGGTTATATCACGTCAAGCATGTTTGTTGGTGTTAAATCTGCTCAGATTATACACACTATCGAAGATACACCACGATGGCATTTCCTCAAGTATTAAAAAAAAGTAGAAACCTAGATAGCGCAACTGAATACCTTGAAGTGGCTGTACTCCTCTTGATATCACGTGCAACCGTCATAGCCCTAACCAATCCATTTCAATTCTAGCAATAGATTTAGACACCCTCGAATGAACTTGTAACCTGATTTTATCCAATAAAGACCCATGAAACAGAAAAATGAGACTGTCCCTTGATCTGTGACACCAACATTCCCCGGAATATAACCGACCCAGTGAGAAACCAGGAGGGGTATGGTACCTGGCACATTCTTCCATCATTCCAGCACAATGAACAGATAACCAAGCCTACGCGGGGCTGGGATTCGAATCAACAATACCAGAAGCTTATCTCCAAGAGCACTATCTATCCTACAGTCAGATTCCTAGACGTCATAATTCCAGCGCCCCCATTAAGGGGCGAAGGGATTAAATATCTCACCAGAGCCCTAGATAAAGCACCGCATCCTCATCCCATCTCCATCCACAGACCAAGTCTACCATCCTATCCAAGTCCAAAATGCGCTACTTTATCACAGCCCCAATCCTCATCGCCAGCGCCCTGGCCCAATCAACTGCAGACTACCTCAAGTGCGCCGTAAGCCAACCAACCCCGCCCCAGACCCCAAGTTAAATATTAACATAACAAATAGAGCGCCGCAATAGGCACAATAAACAAATCCTCCTTCACACCCTGCACTGAAAAAACCTCCCAAGAATGCTTCTGCGCCAATAAATCCGCCATCAAATCCCTAACAACAACCTCCACCCCAGCCTGCGCAGGTCTCGACATCTCAACACTAGCATCAGCCCTATGTCCCAGCAGTCACGAAGCAAAGCCCGCCTTCAGACATGCTGGAAAACCTATGCAGCCTGTTAAGCGGGATCCAAAATATACTATCTATGTGACTGAGACACGCACAGATTGTGGCTGTACGAGTACGGGTGTGGCTGGACATGTCTCGCAGGTGCCGGTTAGTGTGCCGACGCCGTCGTCTAGTGTGGCAAGGGCTTCGTCGAGTTCTGTGAGGGGACATGGGCCGGCGTCGTCGGTTAGACGGGTTGGGATGGCGCCTTCCGCTGGCGTTACGCCTTCGGTTGGGGTGACTGTTTCGACTGGGGCGACGGCTTCGGCTTCGGCTGGGGCTGGGGTTGATGCGACTAGGTTCTCGCCTTTCCAGGGAGCTGCTGTCGGGGTTTCTGTGAATGGGGGTGTTGTGATGGCTGGGGTTGCGGCTGTTGTGGCTGTTATGGTTGCGTTATAAGTGCGTTAGGGGGTTCGAGGACTGAGTTGGGTTATGATGTATGGGTTTATGAGTGCTTGTTTTGGAACTTGATATCTCGGATAGTTTTGAGCTTAAGTGATATGATACATGAAACATTTATCTGCTATTGATCGTGCATTATCTTCCATTAATTAACGTGCACGAATTTGTGCTGAACATTCATAAACATGGCGAGAATGCGGATATAGATTCCGCCACAGACATAAGATTGAACCTTTGCAATCCAACTTCAACCCCCTTGTCTTGCACTGTCTGGAAACTCAAGCATGGACTGCCTGCTGAACCTTAGGGTAAAGTTGCACAAGCTTGTAGTAGATATCCGGGTGGTCATTGATCATGACTTGAGGATCCCAAGCCATAGCCACAAAGATAGTCTCAACGCCACTACCAATGGGAGTCATGAAGACCTGACAGACCTGGAGACCAATCAAGAAAGCGAAAGCCATGATGACGGCGGTGAAGTTACCATCCCTGTTGTACTCGGGGTTTGTGAACTGCAGATAGAGATAGGATAGCAGAGCACAGACGTAAGCGACGAAAGTCGAGCCCATAGTCAAAACCGGACCAATCAGGCAGTCTTGTACGAGCGCGTCGATTCCTCGGTCGCGCATCATAGTCCAGGTATCCTTTGCAGCAGGGATATACGCCTTTCCGTACAAGGCGATGTGACAGAACGCGTAGCGGTTGAACAGAGTAACGAGCCAGTCCAGCAACGAGATGAAACATCCCAAAATCCAAATGAAGATACTGCCGACTAGGTTACCCTGTCCGGCCTCCTGTCGCTGTGCGATCGAGCATGCCTGTCGCAACATGTTGATGAACGCGATGATTAGACTTCCCAGACTTATACTGCCGAAGGAGTATGTAGTCGCGCGACGGAATGCGCCACGGGTCGAGCCCTTGGGCATACCGCCGGCGGACTTGCTGAAGAAATACCACGAGCCGTAGACACCAGCGACGGTAGTGTGCACGGTGTTCTTGATCCACTCACTGAACCAGTACATAGCGAAGGTGACATAGACAGCGAGCCCGATGACCTTCGCTCTGCTGCAGCCGCCGTTCGCGCAGGCCGGGTTGATACCGCCAGAGGAATCCGGTTCGTAGGCGACGTAGATGGAGACCAGAGTGACGGAGAACCAGGCTGCGAAGGCGACTGTGACTATTCCGCCTACCGCGCTGACTAGGAAGATGTGTCCGTAGCCGCGGGCTACGTCCATGGCGGTCTGCAGCATAAAGGCCGTGAAGGGGATACGCGGGATCCAGCTAATGAAACAGATGATTGCGAAAACACCGAAGAGTAGGAATGCGATGCCACCTCCATATTGCTTGCGTGCGATGTAGTAGATGCCGGTTGCGAGAGCGAAGACAATGTTGAGAATACCGGTCGCCCAGATGAAGGTCTTGGTGAAGTACCTTGCGCCCATGAAATAGAGCCAGGATAGAACTAGAGCGACGCAGAGGACGAAGATAAATAGTACGAGGGTGTTGGTGTCGAGCGAGAAATCATTGGCCGAGTCGTAGATACCTCCTCCATTAAAACCTTTGTTGGTGGCATACTTGTGGATGGTAAGTCCGGACACAGCGGCATACCCGAGGAAGACGGCGATCAACTGTGTAACCAGTCAGTTTTGAAGCAGATTTTCAGTGCGGGTTCACTCACCAAGAGACCTGCCCATAGGTCATTCCACTTGGGCTTTTCGACCTTGAATGCCTGGTCAAAGGTGTATCCAGACTCTGGGACATTTTGCTGATACTGTTGTTTGGGCTCAGGTCCAGGTTGTTGATAGGCTGGTTGCTGATAGGTTGGTTGCTGATAGGCGGGTTGTTGGTAATTTGGCTGCGGGTATGGTGCGGGTTGAACATTTGGTTGATAGTTATTGGGATCATATGCGTAGGGTTGAGGCTGACCCTGAGGGCCACCCTCGTTATAATAGCTAGCAGCCTGTCCACTCATATCTGTGAAGCTCAGAGAAGAGGGAAAATTCTCCAAAGGAGGAAAAAAAAGGGGAAAAAGGGATACCACCTTGACTGGTGACGACATGAACCAACAACAAGCCGGAAATCTCGATCGCCAATGAACTTCTCCACTTAAAGAGATCCATCCCTACAAGGATCGTCGATCTAATACGCTAAATAGAAACACTAAAAAAAAACTAGTAAAATTGAAATCATTTATTACAGCCCTATTACCTATTGAAAAATTCTTCATTAAGCAGACTATAGCTAAAATCAAATGAAAATGTACCTGTGTATCCTGAACTCTCGGAAATTGGCCGGGGGACACTCCCACATTTCAGGGAAAAGAACAACCTTTAATTGGACACTCCTCTAACTAAATCCACAACTTCTCCATAACAAACTATGCATAAGAAACTCAGCATGATACGGCTGAAGAATCCGCACTACATAATCCATCCAATCACTCTGCCACCCCCAAATAAGCAAAGCTTTTGCAAAGTCCCAGTATTCAGGATACCATCCACTAAGCTCCCAGTCAATAATAGCAGCCACATTACCATTTTTAACAATGATATTCTGAAGCCGAAGATCACCATGCGCGAAGAGAACCCGATGGGAAGCAGGAAGCATTCCATTAAGGAAACTCCCAATATGGCGCTTTGGTGCTGCTTTTCGATACGTATCAAGAAGTGCTGTATTGAAATCCTCCTCGGATTTCAAGGGTCCTTTCCTAGCGTTAGTTGGAACAACGTAGTCTGATGAATATGGAGAATACCTTTATCAAGAGAAGTCGATAGACAGTGATCAGAAACAGGTCCATGGTCAAGAGAGCCTATATAGCCCTCGCTGGGTAGGTCACGCATCTCCTGGATATACCCCGCAAGCTGTGTGGAGATACGGGTTTTAGTAGTGACATCGTAGGTATCCCATGCTGTGTGGAGGGTGTCGCCTTCAATAAAATCCATGAAGATGTAAGTATCGTAAAGACCCCCGTAGTCGCCGGGATCACGGTCAATAGGACCGTGTGTATAACAGGCGTACACTTTAGGCACTGGAACTTTTGTATGTTGTGCCATGAAGATCATGTTTTTGGCTTCGATAGAGTGGACGTGAGCTCCAAACTTGACGACCACTGAAGGGGAGATTTTCACAATAGTAACTCCATGGCAGAAGATCAAGTTGTTTTTATCTCGACAGAACTCATTGACGGCTTCAGGGGGAATATCCAGGTGCCAAGTAGTGCATATTCAACTGAGGATTCGAAGTTGGAGATTCAGGAGTGAGTGACATTGTAGCGAATATTCTTCAATGTAAAGGCTTGATGGTTAAGGACAGAGAGAATCTGCAATAAGAATATGTAAACAAAACATGTCATTGTCAGATTACAGCCCTACAGGGAATTGGATCCAATGAGAATTGCCAAGCGCCAAGGTTGTCTTGGCAAACATATGGATCTTCCCCTTTCCAGTTTAGTGCTGGCCACTTTTTGATATCAGAGTAAAATTGAGCACGCCACTGAGCGCACTTGCGGAGTAGAGCACCCGTAAAATGGCAGAAGAAGGTCAGAGAGGTAAAAAAGTGTATGTTGTGTAATATTGCAGTCTAGTATATAAATCATATCACGTATGAGCATAGAACGTAACCTAGCAAGATGAACGTCTGTCCCCAAGATCTCCGCAATGGGCCGGGTTGGGCCCGGATCTCAAGCCCATAGCCTTTTCTACCAATTATTAAATTCAGAATATCAAACCATAGTATCTATATTAGTATATATTTCAATTTTAAATAAGATTAGATAAGTAGAGAAAGACATATCGCAGAAAGCATTAATTTTAATACTTTGATATTAGATATATATTTTAGATCTCGACGGGAGTACCACTACTTTCTAGTAAAGCTCTGTAATTTTTCGAATTTCTTTGTAAACGCGCTTTTTGGCGTTTTAAAACGTGATATTAAGAAATTACTAATATTTAGCTCTAAATCATTCAACTAAATAGAATATTACCTTAGGAATAAGGCCTAGAAAGGTAGGTAAAACGAAGCGTAATTAAAAAGATAGAAAAGGGGGGTTCAACTTTACTTCGCACCTAAATTCTTAGCATGTTTGTACTGTTTAGGGCCCATTGGGCCCCTACTAAAGCCCAGCCCATTTGCGGGTTGGGTTGGGTTGGGTTGGGCCCTGGGCTTTATGGGCTGGTGCGGAGGTCTACTGTCCCCACTATAATGCGTACATCTTGATGCTCGAATAATTCCCCGTAATTCAAGCTCTGTTCATCTTAGGTAAAGTTGGTGCTTAGGGAAACTTCCTCCTGCAAACTCAAATCGTTGCTAAATCTTTCGCAGCTCTTCTGCATCCTCGCGTACGCATCACTCCCTAGAACCAGTCGAGAGATCTTGCCTGCTAGGGGACCGGCCATCCCAGTGCCGGTGACGACCTCGAATATACGCTCGACTCCCTTCTGGGGATCGCCAGGCTGCTTTCCGTGGACAGTGAGGAACTTACGCATAACTATGCCCACGGGGTCGTCATAGTGGGGAGCGACCGAGGCCGGGTCGGGACTTGCGTCAGCCAACTATAACGCTAGTTAGCACTGACGGCTTATATAGATACATTGTAAATAGATTCAAAAACTCACCGCGCCGACAAAGTTGGTACGGAAATTTCCAGGCTCGACAATCAGTACACGGATGTTATGAGGCGCAACCTCCTTAGCAAGTGCCTCGGATGCAGCCTCCAATGCGGCCTTCGAAGCACTGTACAAAGAGCAAGCCGGTAGGGGGTCCTGGGCGGCTCCACTAGAGATATTGACAATAGTACCAGAGCGCTGGGCGCGCATAACAGGGAGGACAGCTTGTAGGGTGTATAGGGGGCCAAAGAAGTTGGTAGTCATTTGGAGGGTTGCCTCTTTGTCACTATAACAAGTCAGAGAATCGTCCTTACCTTGTTTAACTAACTAACTAGTTAACTAACTAACTATCCATGTTGGTCGCAACTTACGTAATATCCTCGCAGGGGGCCAGGATAGAATAGCCAGCAACATTGATCAGATAGTCAATACGACCAAGGGCGTGTATCTTACTTGCAATACTGGCCTGCGACTCTGTCATGTCCAACTCAATCACCGAGCCTCCGGCCTGCTTGATTTGCTCAACCGCAGTGGTGGCCTTGGCCTTGCTGCGGACCGAGCCGATAACACGGTGCCCATGCCCCGCACGCAGAACGTGGAGGCACATTCCAAGACCAAAACCATTGGAAGCACCGGTAATAAGCCACACGGGAGACGACATGTTCTGCAAAGTGGATTTCAGATGTGGAACGGAAGAACAATCTATTTAGGCATGAGGAGGAAGGAGGAAGGGTTTGACTGTAATCGCTCGCAGGAAGGCAAGTGGGCTGCTGAGGGGTACTTGTGCCCTGCTTAATGCAATGTGGACCTTTTTCAATATGTTTGCCATATGTATCGGATAATGCCTACTCGGGACCTTTCCTTTCCGTTTCAGTGCTCACCTCCTGTCGCTTTGTGATCTCAGAGTAAAATTGAGCACGCCCCTGCAGGTGAAGCCGCTCACAGATCATGACATAAGCTGATTAAGCGTCTGACTAGTTATCACATGATCTGATCCACTCACTCATCATCATATAAGCGATCTGACAGGGGTCTTTCCAGTATGTTGTAGGTGATCGCACAAAGCGTCGAGTATAACTAGAGTGATACCACGAGTTCGTCCGCCTTTATTAGGCGGTGTTGTGACTACAATGTAATTATTTTTTTCTTTCCTTCTTACAATGGCTATTGGTTCTAAATGGCCGAGGCTAGCCTGGCATGTGAATCAGATTTTGTGCTGTGTTTACTTACTCCACGGAGTAACTCGCAGAAATTTCACTATGTTCAGCCCTCCAATCAACTGCGACAAACCCGCTTCCAAAGTGAGTTTAGCGTGTCCTCCAGGGGTCTCGCTGAACGACTAAACGCTGTGGGTCAATCTGAAAGGCACCACATTTTCTATTGCATTTTCAAAAATAATGATTTCTATCTCGTATTGAACGGGTATAAAATCACTGTCTGCCTATTTATCAAATCTAACATTCCGCAAATTCCATACCCCTCTCCACAGACATAAATATCCTTTCCCACAGATCTCTCCAATGATCCCCCACAGCTGCATCCACCCAGGCGAAGGAATGAAGGAACGCCAAAAGCGTCGGCACTGAGTCAATCGCTTCCTCCCGAGCCATCGGGACCATATATGAGACCAGACCCTCGAATTCAGGGGCATTATCACCCAACACACTAATCAATATAGCCAGACACCAAATAAGCACAGGCTGTGAGACATTCCGCATACGAAGCCATTCGATTCGCGGTCCGAGGGCACTGAGGATAAATAGCGCCGGCTCCCGGAACCGTGGGATCGGGAATGTAACGTGCAATGCGTATAGGAGGGCGCTGAGACGGCAGGTGTGGTATATCTGGTGCGAGAGCAAAAGCGATAGCTTACTTTGCTCCGATTCTGTATCCGTCTGAGAATCGGGCATTTCAAAGATGAGCTCGTAGGGGTCGGTCTCGTCTGGAAGGGAGAGTAGGCGATTGTGGATGAGGTTCCTACTATCACCTAACAGATCCAGAACCACGTTGGATTTAGTGTTTATGCAGTGCTGGGCGACGGCGGAGTATTCGCCTAGATGGATGAAGGCCTCGGTTATATCCTGCTTCACTGGCGGGCACATGAAAGAGAGTTCCTGGAATCCGAAGCCCGGCGTACTCAAGCCTGGCGAGAGGTTTGTACTCGTATGGTATCCGTATGGTTGGAACAGCACTGCGGGACGCTGCAGAACTAACCGCCTCCCTGCAACAGTCATCATCGGATAGGTTGGCTTACGGATAACCTGGAAAGCGCCGAAAAGGTCCGACAGACTGAGCAGCCAAGTCAGGCGACCAGTTGCGATTTTTTCAATTCCACCCGATCGTTGGACAAGCTCCTGCATGGTGTTCCAATGTAACGGATGATATGTGCGACCGCCATAAACATCCAATGCTTGCATGCTGATGAAAGGAGGGGTGAATAGGCTACAATCGCGAGCCATTTTCCCCTTATGAAGTTCATTTACTGCCAGGTACAGGATACACATTATGACTCCATCAAGGCGGGTTGTTGGAGATGCGAATTCCGATAGTTTAGCAACCTCCATGCGTAAGGTCTGAAGGGCCAGCCCTCTGATCTCCAACTGTTCCTTGGAGTCTAAGATGGGATCTTCCGCACCATAAGTGATGCGGAGCGCATCCCGGTGGTAAGATGCTGCGTATAAGACAGCGTATAATTGTACTTTGTCCTCCATCGGGAAAGCCCATGACCGATACCCATTTCCGGTGTAGTCCACGGGCCGAAACTGGGGCCAGATTGTGGTCGCGGCAAAGTCCAGCAGCTCAGTCACGTTTAGCTTAGCGTCGGTCGCGTCTATAGGTAGAAAAGGATTCGAGCGATATGCGCCGAGGAGTGTAGGGTTGGGGTAACTCTGGGGTCCAACTGGAGACGGTTGGGGCCGCCCGCACAGGCGACAATTCAATTGGGCAGGAAGGAGTTGAGGTTGTTGATTGGTGTTCCTGGGACTATTGATCCATGGTTTCTCGACGGATGCTCCCGGGCTGCATGTACATTGGTCTGTGCTCTTGTCTTCCTTAGAAGCAAGCATTGAATCCAACTTGTTCGACGCATCCAGCCATCTTTGCGATCTTTTCTGGGCGAGGGCTCGTTTCACGAGAGATGATCGCAGATTGCTGGCTTCCTTCTTGAGGACGGGCCCCCCGACGAATGCGAACTGTTGGGAGACTGTTGACTGTTGCGTCATTCCTATAGGATGTAGTATTGGGTACTGGCTTCACGCAGATCTTGGCGGGCTGAGGTAAGGCTGATATCAAACGCAAAAAAATGCGGATCGTATCAGTAGGATTGTGGCGAAATCCAGGGTTTTTTAGTGGTCTACTGTTGTGCGAAGTGAGTAGAGTGTAATAAATAGACAGAGTAAGCCACTTCCGCTGCTTACGCGACGTGCTCCTTGGGCTAGCCCGCTCACCTACTAGTTATGGGATGCTTAAAATCCATCTAATAGTTGCAGGTCCACAAGTCCGTTACTCTTGAGTTCGACCTAGCAATGTTAGAGGCTCTGAAAAGATCAGGTGCAGCGGGGTTCATCAGGTAATATTTTTTCTAAGGATAAAATGAGTCCACCTGTAAAACAAAAGAGTTGAAGAGTTTAGGGACGTGCACCCCAAAGTTAAAGTTTTGCTTGATTTGAGGGTAGAAGGTTTCTTGTTAGGGTACAGATTCATAAGCAGACAAAATGAATAAATACTGGTCAAAAGGAATTGTGCACGACTCCAGAGTGGTCAGAAATAGCGTTTCTAGCCACAGATGACGCCCTCTTTCCTGTGCCGAATACCCCTCAACTGGCTATATGGACCGGATAAATCCTTCACAAAACCCGGCACGGCTCGGGTTCTACAAAACCTTTACGCTGGCTTTGGCGCAATATACGAATCTACCAAATTGTGAGTGACCCAAAACACCCGACCATCTTCTAGTGACAACTTACAAGTTTCCTTCAAAAGCACCTCATTCCAAAGATCCTCCTCGGCCCTCTTCTCGCTAGTCTGGTCGGTGTAGAAGTAACCGCCTAGAACTGACCTCGCCTCCTTCCATTCGCTCAACCCCAACCGCTTCGTCATCTCAATCAGCTTGTTGAGGTACCACCGGTGGCACTTGTACCCCTGCGACGCAAGACTACCGAGGACAAGAATCCAGAATAACAGCTCCGGTGTTTCGGTCTGGAGATGTAAGTATGGAACCTCAAGGCTCCGTCGGAGTGATTCAACGACATATTCCATGAACGGGAAAGACTGGAAGTGCCACACTCGCAGGTTTAGGTAGATGACTAAGGTGAGGCGAAGTGTCTCATTGATATCGGTTGGATCTGTTGTCGTGTAGCACAACGAGAGGACTTGGTGCTCGGCGACAAGAAAAAGATCGTTATCTGTGGGCATTACAGAAGCCGGATTACGCTGCACATGTTCGTAGTAAATGATCAGGCGCCGGATAACCTGGAGGGAGGTTTTCATAGTGCGGTCAAGCATCGTATACCAGGCGGAAGAGAAGATGGTGGCACCAAGGGAAGCAAGATCTTTGGGCGTGTCGAGCTCGTCCCGCGTGAGGAAAAGTCGAAAGTCTTGGATGATTTCACTGCGCCAGCGCGCGGAGATGGGAAAGACTGGCCGGGTATTGTAGAGGGCAGCGCTCTTGACGTCGCTCCTGAGAATTGTTAGCAACCTGCATCGTGCATAGGGATGCATGTAAAGACCATACTGGTAGATTTTGGACAAAGTCATGTGGTCCAAATTATCTAATCCGCCCATCAACTGGACAAGCCTCTTGAGTCCTTTCATATGCGCGTCATGAGCCTCCATATTTGCATCGACAGCCTGCGATGATGAGATTAGCAAGTTTTGAGTCTTACAGTCCCTCTCACCATGGAGATCGAGTATTAATTTGACGCAAAGCATACCTCAATCGCAACAAGCGAAGCAACAACCAGTGTCGTAGACTCAGCTACTGCTTTGAGAGGATCTTGCATGATATTATTCAACGTCTTAAGTGTATCACCGCGGAGATGAAGTGAATCTCGCGTTGACTTCTTGATGACCACAGACGAGACGCCGTTGCTCGACTCTAATGTCGCCTGGTGGCCTGCTGTTAAGAACAGGAGCGCCTGGAGGAGAGCTGGCTGTGTGATGGCCTTCTGCCACCACCACATACTCATCCTCGTAGCGTCGACTGGATAGCATGCTGCTATGGTGTGGAGTCTGACTATTTTGAGTCAGCTTTCTGTTTTTGATATTCGGACTTTTCTTAGTGTGCATACAATGATGAAAGTACATATTCATCGAACCTGTCATCTTAACCGCTGATGCCCCAAACGGATCGGCATAGCCCTGACTGAGATAGGCTTTGAGGGACCACATCTCAGACCGCAGTTCCGCTTGCCCTGGGGCTCTTCTCGGACCCTGGCCTTCGTCAACCCATCCATCCTGCTCTCCGGTGAAGTCTGCATTATCTGAGGTCAATTGCGCGCTCGTTGAGTGATCGACTAGAATATGGTTGGATGGGGCCGTATTCGCAGTTTTCAAGCGCAGGATGGACGCTTGCTTTTTTCTCCTGTGGTAATTTTTGAGAAGAAACTTTTGTTTCTCGTTGCGCACTTTCTTGTCCTGTGATTTTTCTGCTTGGTAGTCTACGAAGAGGAATGATGACTGTGGTTTCACGGGCTCTATTGTTCTGTGTGGCAGATTCCAGGACTGGCGTCCCTCCTCGAAAGGGACCGAACACGACGAAACAGTTGATGGCGGTGAGATGGAAGACGACGAAGAGTACCTCGACTCGGGGGTCGGCAGAATCGATGACTTCAACATACTCGACGCAAATGCGCTCTTTAGTCCATGAAAGTGCGATTATTGCGATATTATTTATCTACATGCGAAAGTCGCGGCTGTCTTAAGGACCAAAGCCCGAAAGAATACCGTCGGCAAAAGTAGCCATTAGCTGTCGCGCGGGAAAGCGTTCTCTGTTTCATTCTGCACGCCTCCAGTCCACCGTTCAGAAGCTAAGCAGTGAATAGCCAATAACAACCAGGCAATCCATGATCAAAAACAAGGAAGCACGTTTGAAGTCTGCTTATCACAAGTCGAAGGGGAACCTAGCGTTGGTAGTGCCAGTTGGCCAGTTGCAAATTACAAGACAGGTTTCGTCCCCACCTAGGAAGCTAGGCAGTGTACAACCAATAACAGCGAGGTAACCCGATGTCAAAAGCAGAAAGGCGCGTTCAGAGCCCACTCGTCACGAGTCGGAAGGTGAAACTTGCGAATTGCAAAACGAAGGTGTTGGCCGGCCCAACGGTTTCCCTACCGTGTCGACGTGCAGGTCAAACAGCGAAATTGTGACGTGTTTTGAAGCTCAACACGAGTGTAGAATGTTGGAGGCGCTCTGCAATAATTGTGAACCTTTTTGAGCTGATTTTCGTCGCTCGAATTAGTCGAGAAGAGGTTTTTTCCGGCACGCTGTGAGTTAATATGAAGAGTGTCTTAGAGTCTGGGCGACGTGAAGCCCAGCGAAACCGGAGGAAAAAGCGGGACATGGGGGCCAAATCGTGTCCCGATTGATTTGTGGCGCCATTTTATCACCAATCGAGTCGGAAATGTGGCAAAGTTCTATAGTATGTACCATAGTCAAGTTGCATCGGATGTTATCCGTGAGGAGAGAAGGTCTTATCTATCTTGAAGCCTGAAAAGTTAGCAGTCAATCGTTGCAAGGGGTTCCATAGTTCACCTGTGAGTTCTTGATCAGTAGGAGAGGCCTGGGAGGATCGAATTGGGTTTAGAGGTCGTGTAAATAAAAGGAAATGATAAGAACCTTCCTATAGCGATAACAATCAAGTTCGAGTGAGAATAGAATCTAGGTACTTGACTCACAGGGGGGGATCGGTGAACTTATGAAATAGTCTCATCTCAAGCTCATAGTTAGCAATTTTAAGAAAGAACAACATGGGGACAATGCCCATTAGATAGCTGGTTGTTCGTTCTGCTGTGATGTGAAGTTTTACTCCTGACCAATGATAGCAGCTATAGAGGAACCCATATTTGGCTTAGATCGAACGTTAAATGACTTACTTCGGTTGCACCACTTTGAGACCTCCAGGTCCACTACATACTCTGAGCGGCCAATGCACTTGTTATGTGGGCACCATTTTCTCCAGTGTTCGATGCAGATCCACAATGAGCTTAGACCAAATCCGATGGACGTGCTGAGATCTCACAGTGATAGGAGTAGGTGAAGAAGATCACCCGTACTATCTAGATGTTTACCAGCATTGGCTCTGGAAGGAACTGAATTCTTGCACTCTTAATTTTACTCACTTGGCCTAAATTACACCTATCTCTTCCCAAAACTTTTAGCGCACCAGAGCTGCAGGCTGCAACAATACCATTTTCAAACATCATTACTCCAAGAGTAGATGGGGACGAGCGAGTCTATTCGTGGGGGTTTTAGCCGACTACCGAGTTTCAATGTCTTGACGACTATTCCTAATGAGGATTGCTCTAAGCGTCCAAGGTTCATCTTACGTAGCTGACATTCGATTTCTAACAGACTGACGGGCCGCAGTGGAACACGCCCTTTAAAATGTCTTATCTGACGGCTGCTCTGTCAAATCAGACCCGGGAATATTCTCTACGCCCCACATGCAAATCAAAGCCCCATCAGGAAATTTCACCCCTGTTTTTTATTTGTCCCGGACAGTGGCCTTAAAACGATTTTCATCAATTGACCGTGCATGGGTGCTAAAATAGACAAAGGCGCTATACCTCTTAAGGTGTGGCCTATAGCAGCTCTGATTGGCCCAAAATTAAATAACGTCCAGTTCAATTGTCCCTACAAGCAATGGGCAAGATCAATAGGCAAGCCCAACCTGTATATATAAAGCACCTGCTCCCTTCGTTGTCAGATTCATTCCCTCACAACTCAAATCGCACTGCTCAGCATAAAGCTACTATAGCACACAGATACTCATACATACAATGGAAAACTATTGGAACTCTCAAAGCCCCAGCCTTCTTGGCATGCAATACAAGAGCGGGGAGATGCCAATGCTAGGTTCTAGAATGGTGAGTTCTTCCTCGAATTTTACAGAAACACGTCGCTCACTAGCGAAGAACCATATGTCAGGATACCAGGGATTCGAGCTCCTCCCCACCTTCGACACCTTTATTCCTCGCTCAGTGACACCATCTGAAGTGGACTGCATACAGTCACCCGAGGTCTATCGAATTGTCGACCTCGACTCCACAGTCTCTCCTGATAACACTGTTTCGCCTTCGCCATCCTCAGATTCACAGGAAGGCCAGAGCTCAGTCACATGCGCAATAGATGCGGAAAGCAAGAAACATAAATTACAGACTGTAAGCTTCGCCCTGTGATCTTTCTCCGAGCTGAACTAATTACTCGCAGGTCAAGCGACGCATGCAAAACCGCAACGCGCAGCGCCGATTCCGCGAACGCAAAGAAGAGCACCATCAAACACTCCAGCAACGGGCTACTGAACTCGAAGCAAAGTGCCAAGAGCTCTCGGAGGGATTGAACCAAAAATCTGAAGAAATATCTAAGATCCTTAAGGAAAAAGAGGCCCTTACTGGTGAAGTACAAGATCTGCGCAAGCGGTGGCGCCTCATGGTAATGCTGCTGCGACTGCCAAACAGGCTGCAGTCGCTGTCTGGCTTACTGGGGAGTGATTTGTCTTCCTCTTGCTCTTCATCCTCTGAAATAAAGGCCGAGCCGTTGGATGTGCCGCTGGAAGACTTGTTCGGGTGTCTGCAGGAGTTGCTATTACCAAACGAGGCGTCCGACGGCTCCCCTCTTTGCCCTTCCTAGTTGTTTAATCTTTTTGTTCAGGCACGGATTTACGATAGCTCCATGTCTTTGCGGTTTTTCTTGTAGTACTTTGTGATAACTTTAGCAACGTGGATGATAAGGATAATTCGGATAATTTTGCTCTGTATTACGCCCAAAAACGCGAAAAATGTGTCATTCGGGTAATTTAAAGAGTATAGAGGTTTATCTGAAAAGTAGCACTCCTATATAAATCCCAAGAATATATCGATATCAAAACATCAACCTTTACATTTTCTATAATATCTCAACTTCCGCGGAATAAATTTCGTTTAAAATTATAATATATACTTATACAACTACAGTGATTTGATATTCCGAGTGTGAACTTCATACAATCAGTTGAATATCGTAGTACAGCAATTAAAGAGGCCCGATTGTGAGGGCCGAGGTGGGCTGGGTTGTGCTTTGGATATCAGGCCCATTTATGGGCTTTGCGGAGGCCTCATGTGACAGCTTCTGGGATATATTCCAGATGATAGCTGCGACACTCTTTGAATGATAAAAACGCCTTGCTTGGAAGTTTCATTCTGGGGTTCGATTCTCATACTCCCATGGTTCAAACGGACTTAACCCTAATTATTACCGTGAATCTTCTACGTAAACTCAAAATGACTAGACCTGCCTTACCATTGACCTAATACGGCGTAGTAATTGACTAAATAACCTATTACTGAGATTGCCCAATGGCGTCTGTTACGGGGTCCGCAGAAAGATATTGTATGGCTAGGCCTCACCTTCTCCACGCTAGAAAGTTATTACATGATTATTGTCTTACCTTTCATTTAATTAGGGTTATATAGTGACACGGCAATCTTGGAAACCATGTGGAGATTAGTAAGAATGAACTAATTCATAGTCCATAGATTATATCCGGACTTATGTACATATTTAAAGTTTTATACCAGATGAAACTATTTGTCACGTCTGCTCATTTGATGAACCATCCAGACTAAGGTCTTATTAGGGCTCAAAATTAAGTAATGTACATTAGTCAACCCGATTTCGAGAATACAGTCAATATCGATCTCCATCGCACGGTGACAGTCCGCCAATAACTAGCCTAGGATCAGTCTCCAAAAATGTAAGCCACTTACAAGTAAGATTGCTGATGATTATACAACTCTTATATACGAGTGTGTAAGATATGAGAAATTTGTCCATTGTTAGAAACCTGGTCCTCATGTTCTACGCCCCGAGCACTATAAATACCCTCTTCTGCCGCAAGAGCTATATCTGCAAGACACTTATTCACTTCGGCCATATCTATACCTCACTAGCTAGCTCTAGCCTTCATCGATCAGAATGATCTTTTCGTCACAAATCCTTCTCCACGGCTTATTGGCTCTCTCTCTCATCACCTCAAGTGTGTGCCACCCACACAATCCCATATCTACCTTGTATCAGTTTGAACACGGCTCATGGCTCGAGAATTTGGCAATTGGGCCCTCCAACAGCATCCTCGCCACGAGACTTGATATCCCTGCTCTGTACCAGATCGCCCTGCCCCCAGCCGTACCGAAACCATCCGCGAAACTCATCCAAACATTTCCTGGAGCGACAGGTGCTCTAGGAATAACAGAATACAAGAAAAACCAATTTCTAGTTATCCTCGGCAATTACAGCATACCAGATGCACAAGATTTCCCGGGGACTTATTCAATCTGGGAAGTGAGCTTCTCCGGCCACGATCTTAACCACATCTCCTCGAAAAAAGTCACCGACATCCCCGAAGCAATGTTCCCAAACGGGATGACGAACTTGCCTCACACAGGAACTGTCCTTATTGCAGACAGCATGGCGGGGGTCGTATACCGACTCTGTCCCGAGACTGGGGAACGCGAAGTTGTCCATGACGATCTCAGTATGCATCCACCGGCCGGAACCACCTTGGGTGTGAACGGTATTCACGTTATCACTATTTGCGAAGAGACGTTCCTGTACTATACCAGCAGTCTGAAGGAAACTCTCGGCCGAGTCAGGATTGACCCTATCAGTGGACGGGCTGTTGGTCCGTATGAGACTTTGACAACGGGTGTCTGGGGCGACGACTTTGCGTATGATTCAAAGACGGGGGATATTTATATTTCTGGGAATTTCGCAAATATTATTACGAGGGTCAGCCGGGATGGTGTCAAGGAGGATGTCATTGGTTCTCCATACCAGCTGACTGTGGCTGGGACGACAAGTATGGTGTTTGGAGGAAAGGGGAAGAGGACTCTATATGCAGTAACATCGGGGGCACTGGCGTCACCTGTCAACGGGACCGTTACTGAAGGTGCGAAGCTGGTCGCAATTGAAGTCGACAAGATTTAGAGTGATGGGATTAGGGATTCGACAACGATACGCCCAATCCCGGCATTTCTTGGTGACAGTGCCCTGAAAATCCTTGATTGTTTTTGATTCTTCCTGTCTATGTGTTGTAAAACCCGGAGTGGTTTTCATTTGTGTTATTTCTTCGTTTGGAAGGGGTTCTCGAGAATCTGGGATTCTCAACCTCTTTTACCTCCTTTAGCAAGGACCCCGTAAAGGGTCCTCGCATCCGCTCTTTTCATCCCTTCAATTCAATTCAATTCAACCCACCTTTTGGATTCTGTTGGTAGATTAGCCCCATTTTTGCAATGCCATACTGTATTAGCTTGCTGTGACACTTCCCAATAATAATCCGTTGAAAAGTGGAGTTGAGTTGAGGATGGTACTTCAGGAGAAGGACTTGTCTATTCCAAGATCTTGCTCTGGTGAAAAGGCCGAGAAGACTGACGCGCATAGCGTTATCTTTTATGTAAATTCTATGTACAAATGGAAAATGCTGTAAATGCTCGATTCCCCCCTTTCGCCTTTCGAATCCAAGACGCCTATAATGCAGAGAGCCGCCCTCGCTAAACCCCGTCAAATTCACAATTATGATTACAGACATTAAGATGACATGGGCCGTCTGAAAAGGATGTCCAACAGATATGAACATAAGGGTGGTCATTTAACGAAATGCATGTTGTTTCAAGTGACGCCAGGAACCAACCACCCGATGCTCGAGGCCCGGGATTGGTGTACGGGATCGGCCCGTGAAATCATCCGTCCCAGAGTGAAGCTGGCCTTTACTGAAGGCTACTGATCGTCGCAACTTTTCTTCGCGGACAGCCTTCCGACGTTGAGCTCGGAGTTCTTCAATACGACCTTGTCCGACGCGGTGCCGACGTACGAAACATTCATCCATCAACATGTTGGCATCCAACAGCTTTTTAGGGACGGTTTGCACAATCTGGAATGCTTCCATGGGGTCTGTCACACCGAGGATGTCTTTTTCACATGCTTTGAAAATTGCCAAAGACACGCGGAAGAAAGTTTTGGAACCCTCGTAGAAGAAAACATCCCAAACTCGCAGCGTGGTTTCTAGAGGCAAACTTCCGATGAAAACTGACATAAGCCAGTTGGTCAGACCGAGGGTGATGTCTGGCAGTCGAGAGGTCACTGTCAAAGGAGGCATTTTGCCTCGTCCCGACGGGGTCCCTCCCATAGCAGCGATCTTGGAATATATGGCTGGCATGGTGTCCCGGAGCAGAACCATGAGGATCCAGAGGTCAATGTTGGCACCCTCTAAACTGATCTCATGGGTTCCAGGCAAGTAGTCTGCAGCAATTATATGCAACATCCAGAATGCTTTTTCCTCGGGGAGGAAAAGAAGCAGCATTCCCGTGATGAAATTCAGAGACTGGGTATATCCGACTTTGGGGTTATGCAGCGCGTAAGCATACAGAACCCGACGTAGAGACTGAATCATCTGCGTCTCCGTAGTGACATTAGAATAATTCGGATTGCTGCTCCCGGAATGCTCTGCTTGCTCAGCGGTAGGTTCCGGTTTGAAATGAAGGTTGTCAGGGAATGTGCGGTGGAGATCACGCTCGATGTGCTCCTTATCGTCGTTACTTGGTGAGCTCATGGCACTCGCAACAAGTTTATCATACTTGCCAAAATTCTGGTTCAAAAGCTCGTACCCGCCGGCATAAAAGAACCAAGCCGCACCTCGAAACTCTGGAGGAATTCCTTTGCGAACAAATCGCTTGACCTTGGAAGACTGCGGCGGGAATGTTGTGGGCTGTGATGTGGGCAGCCCATTTTCCTTCAGCAATTCACACCATTTGGCTCTCCGTTGGGTCACATGGTGGGAGTAGGAAGCTTTCCAGGCCTCGTATTCATCCAAAGTTACATATTGGGTAGCTTTGCGGAATCCATAATCGTCTCGAGGGCCATCCCCAGAGCGGAGTTGCGGTGGGACTAGTCCAGGAATGAACACTTTTTTCGAGGGTTGTCGTTGGTGTGTAGGATTCACCTCATGTTCTTCAGGTACCGGCGATACGGAGGGAGTGAGATCGGGCGGAGAGTCAGGTATAATAGGGTCTGACGGGTCGGTTTCTTGTGGATATTCTGGTAGTGCGGCTTCCAATGGTGTGGACTCTGGCGCAGATTGTGGGAGTATGGGCGGTACGGGGGTGGGTTCGGAGTAAGTCAAGTTTGGCAAAAACAATGAATCTGGCCTCGTGATTTGCGAAATGGTATATTCTGGTATCGGGGGTATCGGAGGAGCGTCGCTCAGCGACGGAAATTCTAGTGGCTGTACTTCATCGAGGTGTGAATCGCGTGATGGCGGAGGCGTTACTGATGGCGCTTTACTCCCTGCGTAGGATTTCGGCGAGCCAGGCTCTTCAGTCACGTCGCTAAAGCCGTCAAGATACATGGAAATGGCGTCTTCGACACTCATCCCATTGTCCATCCCATACGGCGCGTCGGGAGTATCCGGCGAAAGATCGGTGATTGAGCTGCTCTTGGTCAGAACACTGCTGCGCTCTGTTCCACTAGCTTGTTCAATACTCGAGCGCCAGGTTTCGGACGAATTGACGCTTGGGCGGGGAGGATTTTCATCGGTTCCATTTGTTGGGAAGCGTGACAATGGCAGTCCCTGGGGGCTCAAGTCCTGTGGGCGGCGCTCCATAGAATCCCGCGTCCTCGGCCGCCGACTGTTCAACCTGGAAGTTGACATGGATATACGGAGACCCCCTCGCGTAGGCACAGGTTTCCGATGCATCGATCGTTCGAAGTCGTCTCGCGCAGACCAGTTCGGGGGATGGGTGTCAGGTGGTGTGGCGTATATTTGAGGGCGACCGGTAGGTCTAGGGGTTTTCCATTCACCCCTCGTACCCTGCGAGGGGCCATGGTGAGGCGGAGTGGGCGGCCACGGGTTTTGATGAGGATTCTGAGTCCGCGGCAGAGGCGAACGCGATCTTTGGCGTGGTGAGCGGGGAGAGCGAGGCGCAGATCTCGGAGCGGAATTTGCGGTTCGGGTGCGTGGATCGGTCAATGACTCCAATCGCGGTGGGTGGGGAATTCTTCGCCGGCCGGGGAGGTCGAAATCAGCCGAGGGAGGCGGATATCGAGGGTTTACGTTTTCTGTGACCATGGCCACGATGTCGCACCCAGTTCCCGCTGGACATTTGTTATCAACTATCGATAACCATAGATCGGAAGTTCAACAAAAGGGCTAAATGTTAAGAGAATGACTTTGGAGAAACGAAAGACAAAAGTTGAGAGACCAAAGGAGACAGCCTGCCAGAGGACTGTGGAAAAAGAAAAGAGAGAAGAGAAAAGGTGCAGTTGAAACAAAATCAACAAAGCCCTGATCGGGTTTAGTGTCAGGTGACGTAATATGGACAAAGGGGTATATTCCAAGTATTCAACTACATAGATTAAATCCTGTTTTGTTGAGAATTTTAATATATGAAGTAGAAGTAGATTAACCGTTAGATGTCTATATCTTTCGTTGTTTGTAACAGTCGAATTGTTCTGGTCTTTGTCTAAAATCGATAGATCAGAATATCTGCCGATCTGGAACTCTCAACATTTATAGTCACAGAGTATATGCATTTCTTCACGATATCATATCTTCTATTCTCCTAGTTCAAGATTCCTATCTGTCTATCTATAGCATTTATAAGGGGTACTAATATCTATCAAAACAAGAACATCTAAAACGAATAGCTCCAAGACTACATACTCCGTACGGAGTAACGGAGTAAAGAGAATGCACAACATGGGCCCATACCCAACTATTCTCGTTTTTAACCACATTTTTCTATATCAACCCTGAATTCTAGACCAATTGAACATTTAAAATCACTATCTAACTTCCCACTTTCCTACAACCCCCAATTCATGCACATGTGGAATGTGGTTAGCCCGCTCGAACCCTTCCGTCTTCGGAATCTGATATCAACTGTCAACTATTTCAATACGATCTCACATCTCCGTTTCCGTATTTCGTATTCATCTCTTCTCAATCAATCCCCGGAACTAGACATGATTTACCAACGGGATGTATGTATATGTTCCAGGGGAGCTGCAGCAAATCTGCATTATACTATTGACCAGTACCGAAGTACAATGAACCCGTTTGTCCAATATGACTGTCGACCCGGCGACCAAGCAATCCGCAGTTCACCTCCGTCCGAGTAGCTGGGCAGATGTAAGTATTATTTCCAATTCCCCGCATACTGTCACTCACTAGTTTAGGGACTTCGTGGAATTGCCGCTCTTTTTGTGGTCGCTAGCCATACCTGTCTCTCTTTTGCGACATATCTGATCCCGCCGTCTTTCGCGGAAACGGGAAAGTCTATTTTATTTCAGCGACCGTTTTTTAGACTCGTCATACAGGGCCAGGCCTGGGTTGCCATCTTCTTAGTGTTACTTGGGTTTGTCAATGCCCTAAAACCACTCCAATTAGCCCGACGAGGGGCTACGACCGATGCGCTCGTTGCGCTTTCGACAGGCGCGTTCCGGCGAAAGTGGAGACTTGTCTTCCCCGCTGCCCTAATGACAATTTTAGCTTGGCTTGCATGTCAATTTGGCGTCTTCCAATTGGGTAGAAGGGTGGATGCATATTGGCTAAGAGCGACAAGCCCTCAACGGAGCGCATCTTTGAGCGCTGCCGTCGTGGATCTGATGAAAGAGTTATTGGGGACTTGGATGTACGGAGAAAATGCCTACGACCAACCGCAATGGGCACTATTACCCCTTTTCCGTGGCTCCCTTTATGTATTCATGACCCTGCTGGCATTGGTACATACCACTCCACTTTTCCGCCTCTGTGCGCAAATGGTCCTATACGCCTATAGTTGGGCAACCCTGGATGGTATGTTTGCGATAATATCGAAATACTACATATAGTGCTAATAATTTCTTACAGGTACTGTCGGTACAAACATTTTCGCTGGCATGATACTAGCAGAACTATCATTCTACAACCTAACAGCCCTCCAGCCACGCACGATCTTTAGAGTTCTCCCCTACGGTCTCGTCACGTTGGGCCTCTACATCTGCTCATATCCCGATCAGTACGCCGACCAAACCGCATGGTCTTCGCAACTTGCATCGCTTGCCGAAAACATCTTCCCAAAAGACGCCAACGTCAGCCGCTACTATGCCAGCCTTGGGGCGCAGATGGTTTGTCTTGGAGTGATGCTTTCTCCATTCATGCGACGCCTGCTCTCTCACCCCATGTTGCTATGGCTGGGATCGATCAGCTTCCCGCTGTACCTTGTCCACGGACCACTGATGCGATCTGTTCTTGTTTACCTTGTCTATCTACCCATGACATTTGGCTTTGAGCCTACTTTGAAAGCAGATGGAACACCTGACCCGGAGTCTTATATTCCAACGCCGAACATATTCCGACTCGGGGTTGTTCTAGTGATATTTTTCGTATTCTTACTATATGTTGTCCAGCAGTGGACAAAGCATATAGAACCGAAGATGGGTGCACTTACAGCGGCGTTAGAGAAATTCTCTCGTTCATGGGGTAAGAATGCGGCGTGGACTTCAAAAGAGAAGGGCGAGATGCTGCCCATTGCATCTGTCCGAGAGTTAAATATGTAAATTCTTCATTGACGTGGCTATTGTGTTTTGGCATCTGGGGCTTTTGCATTTAGACTAGATAGACCTATGTATTAATATGAATAGAACTTCTTGATTATCTATTGATATCGCTCCACCCGGTAAGAACGAAGAAGAGTGTCTTATAGCAGAAGAACTAGATGTCATGAATGGGATGCATTATTGTGGGTATTGTTATGTGTGCAAATATAGAACAGGCTGGTTGAGGGTAATATGTTAAGATGGACATTCGGATGACTTCGGCATGAAGATTGGTCATAAATGGATGCTGTTCTACATCCCAAAGCACAAAATGTACCACGTTGATTGGGCTAAAATCATCGCTTCCTACTCTTGCCACAGTGCATGGGTTCGGGGCAATACGCCTTTGACTATTGGCACAAGACTCCTCAGCCGTATAGGTTTGGTGAGGAATAAATCCATACCAGACCCAGTCGCGTCGCGTTCCATGTCGGCTTGCGCAACGCCAGTTAAGGCGGCAATCATGACCCGGGATTTGGTTCCCAGTGTTTTCTCAAACTCGCGGATACGCCTAGTTGATTCCAAGCCGTCCATTATTGGCATGGAAATATCTGTCGATGATGTTAGATTGTCAAAGAATGTTGTGAAATGTTCGAGAAACTTACCCATGAAGATCATTGCAATGACAGAGAAATTTGCCTTGAAAACCTCGAGCGCTTTTTCTCCGTTTTGCGCTATAAGATAATCGCACTTCAACTTCTTCATAAAAGCAATGAGAATTTTGAGGTTGATGTCATTGTCATCCACAAGAAGAACTGTGCTTGGAAGGCTGGAATTTGGGCCATTTTCCTTTTCGATAGGTGTATCGTGGCTTGCGGAGGCGACCTCTTCAGGTAGAGAAAGCGGGTCATTAACATCCCCTTGGGAGTTTCTCAATGACGTAAGCGAAGATTGACTGCACGTTTCTGAATATTGTACTACTTTGATCGTGGGTTGTTCGGTTACCTCCCCATTTGATGACGGGGTAGTCGAGTCCAATCCAGGTCCATCGGTGCTAAGATCTATTGGCAAGCTCGCTGAGCTATCCGATGTGTATTCCTTGCCCTGGGAGGAATCAAACCGCAGCTGTTGACGTTTAATACATGCTTCCAATGCTTTTGCCAACTTGCGCGGTCCGCATGGCTGGCTAATGAATTCGAGAACACGTGCATCCCCGCGATTTTGCACTCCGGCGGACATCGAGTGCGCAGTCCTTGGTGATGGGCATATTATGATGGCAGGCGAAGAAAACCGCGCACCTGGCCTGGGCGCAACAGCTGTTTCCAGGTTCCCTGTATCCAGACACTCCTGAGAAGAGATGTACAAGTCGCAATGGACGAATTGTGATTCTGCAGATTCCACAAAGAGGACTTCCATGGAGAACCAGTCCCCACACAACTTCTTCAATGATGACCGTAGAGCTCTGTGTAATTCAGAAGTTCCGAGGCCTAAGATCCCAACGGTCTTTGCGCGTGTAAGTCTTTGCGCCATGGTGATGGGAGAGTGGCTATTCAACCTGTCTAGGTTGTCCGCAGCCGGCACATGATTGAGGGTCACGGTTGTTATGACTTCAGTGCCGACCTCCTTCTCGGAGTTGACGTGGATATCGCCGCCAAGTGATAATATCATTCTTTGTGTGATGTTCAACCCAATACCATTGCCGATTGTCATACTATCTTCCTGTGAGAAAGCAGTGAACAATCCATTGTTCAGGAAATCTGAGTCCATCCCAGATCCAGTGTCCTTTACAGTGACAGTGACTGTTGAGCTTATAACCTCGCCGTCTGCTTTGTATTTGGCCGGAGTGGCTTTCATAGAGATGTAGATATACCCATCTTGGGTGAATTTCAAGGCGTTGCCAAGGATATTCGTGAGGATGACATGCCACGCCCCAGCCTGAGTTGAAAATTTCCAACTGTGGGTGCGATCAATGTCCAAAATCACCTTGACTCCACCCTGTGTATCGGGATATTTGCTACTCAAACTAGAAGCTCCAGCAGCGGCATGAAGAGGGGAACGTGAATAGTTCAAGAATGAATACCCAGCGAAGACTGTTTCCACTGCATCTTCTAAGGCAGCATCAAGTTCGACACAAGTGTCGTTATCAACCTTTCCAGTCTGCTCCAAACGGCGGGTTGGGGGCGATTTCCGGTTGACGGGAATTTCATGGATACCGGGGGTTGCAGCGATAGATTTCGGCCGAATATCATTAATACTAGCATACTCGAGGAGCTGGTTGATCGAGCCTAGTAGTGTGAATGCACAAGAAGAGATTGTATGGATAAATTCTCGTTGTAGCGCGTCCATAACAGTATCATTCAAGAGTTCCGTGCTTCCAAAGATGCCATGCAGAGGGGATCGAAGTTCATGGCTGAGTCCTGAGAGCAAGTCTGCTTTTGCTCGATCGGCGAAATGAGCACCGAGTCGGTGCACTTCCGCCATGACGCTAGTCCCGAATGTCAAGAGGAATGCTAACTCATCATTCGAAGTAAAGACACGGTGAGGTGCTTTTGTCCATGTCAGTGCTCCCGAATACCATCTACCTTTGTGCGAATCCCATAAAGGTGAGAAGATAATGCTTCGAGAGTCCGGGGCGAGTTGAAGCAAGATTTGGGCATCCTGGCGCAGAAGCGACTTCCGTGTTATTTTGTACTTTTTCCCCCTAGGAGGTCGCAAAAATCGTTTGAAAACACCATCGCTGGTATCATCGGATGAGATTGTTCCATCTTCACCGAAATTGAAAATCTTCCCTCGAGGGTATCGGTGTAAAAGGCCTGCAAGAAATGACTCTGATAAGGCGATTTTGTTATCGTCTTTCAACTGGTCGTTGATGCTGGAGGCATTCGAAGTGGAAAATCCGAGTATTTCGCACGGGTTTAACGTAGCTTTGCCTGAGCTATCGGGGTCAAAAGAATCTTGATCTTCGAAGGAACTTTGCTGGGAGCCTCGGGATTTGGCCTCATCCCCGGAAGAACAACTTTCGAACCCACTGCCTTCCGTGTCAGATTTCACATTGTTCACTAAAGCTCCCTGGGAGCCGAAATTGGCGTTGAAAAAGACGACTGCTTCAACTTCGATACTCTCGCGGATGAGATTGGCTGCACGTCCAAATGTTTCGTTCACTTTGGCAGTATAATCATCCTTCGGTGAATTCTGCCTTGAGTGATCATTTCCAATTGCCATGGCCGCTTGCGATGCTTCTTTGAGTCTTGACGAGGCCTTATCGTCTCTCCTTCTAGTGGTTGAGTCGGAAACTGACTGATATTGCTCCCTATTCCCTTTCAGAGACTTCTTTCTAGGGATATGAAGGCTGTATGGCCGGAAAGGCAGATGGTTTGGTGTGCCATTCTGACCCATGTCATGCGAAGCCTGCTTTTCTTGCTGTTCTCGATTAACATGCCCCTCTAACTGATCCATTTCGTCAAACTTGGTTTGAGGGACGTCCGTGTCGACAACCCATGAGTTGCGCAGACTACCTTTTCCTTCCAGGAAACTTCCAAGGCCAACCATCATGCGCTCACTGCGGAAATGCTGAGCTTTTGAGTGACTAGTACCCAGGTAATCCATGACTGTAACTGCAATATCAACCAGAAATTGGAGGGACTCGGCGGGCAGAGGCTCATGGGGTTTGTCGTCGAGGATCGTATAGGCTCCAATCACTACGCCCTTCGGGCTGATGATAGGACTTGATGCTAGAAAGCGGATGTTTGGGAATGTAGTCACATCTGGATGGTCCGAGAATGCGTTATCCTTGGCAACATCGGGCACAACAAAGACTCCATCCCTGGGGTTTGACATATTTGGCGTAGAGTTCATGACCGATCGACACATGCTGCGTTCATATGACATTGTACAGCTCCCGATCCAAAGTCCGTCTCGCGCATCATGGTCGCCATCATCCTGCAAACTCAGGGTTCGAGTGGCTTCGGTGAGAACGTGTTGCTCATTTCGACCGAAGAGCGAAATCAACGCACGTTGTGCATTCAGTCGCAAGGTTCCCAATTGGGCGAACGCCGTCAAGACGGGGTCCGCCGAGGATCGAGCGACATATTGTTTTGATTGGGTAGTAGGCCCGATGTGTTGTAGAGCATGTGGGTTGAGATGGTACGACGGTAGATACCTAGGGAAGTACGTGCACAGTTAGCCTACGGGCCCTTCGGTTGAGTGATGATTCGCAAGGTTGGGCGAGTACAAAGTTTACAAACGAAGGTGGTAAAATTACTTATAGAATTCTCGCTCTCTGGATGTGCCAAAGTTGGCGTGATACTTCTGAGCGCGTGGTGTGAGTGGACATGACATTGCGTCGGTAGCAGGTCCAAGATATTAAACTAAACACCATACATCTGTGGAATAAAACATACCATCAAGAAGGTGGAGGTTGAGAAAAGGAGCGAAAGAAGCGGGGCAGAGAGTTTCCCGTAACCTTCCAATAGAACGTTGGAATATCCAACGGCCCGCCCGGCAATGGATTAGGTAAGCATCGAGATGTGCCCAGGTGCCCAGCCCTGGAGGTGAACTATCCTGGACAATATTGGATTTGGAAATTATCACTTTCACCTGTCCAGAAGGGTTGAAGATTTTCTTTTTGGCTGGTATGAGACATTTATCTTTGATATATATACATATTGTTGTGCAGTGTGATGCCTGGGTGCCTCAGACATCAACGGTGACCAACCCTGTGTCAAGTAGATTAGTCCGAAAGTTCTAGACTTGCCTAATACAATTGTCTCCCTTCTAAACTTCTGAGCCTAACCCTTGTAGTCTCAGCACATGCATTTATTATATGACTAGTGTCAAATCTAGGGTACTTTCTTGCAATATATAATCGGACTATAGAGCTTGAAACCATAGTTTAGTTATGCTACCCGCCATCAAAGTCTAGTGTTTACGCGTAGCATGCACGATTACTAGAATTCCATGTCCAAATTTCAGAATTCCTTAGATTCAGGTACTAGGTACGAGATAGCAGTGAAAACCAAGACAAACCCATCCCCTTCGACATCAAACAGTGAATATAGAGCCAAACAAAACCCCCAATTGCCACCAATTTCCCAGCATCCCACCATGGCCCTCATATCCTTCAGAGTCAAAGTAAGAGCTTAGTCCTTAGGGCAGCCGGAAACGCGGAAGCTACCCATGCTCTTGCTCAACTTGTGGTCATTCCAGTCATCGGAAGCAATTCCGATCTGCTTGGTGCAGGAGTCGTCGCTGTAGAGGCGAAGGGTGCAGTCGGAGAACCACTGGTTCTCCCAGTCGATCTTGGTGCCGGCCTTGCAGGCAGCCTTGGCGCAACCCTTGTTGTATTCACCGTCCCACTGTCGGCTGCAGCTGGTGAAGATCCAGGCGTTGGTCACAGGGAGGACGGCAACGACGGCAGCGATGGTGGCAGCGGTGAACTTCATTTTGTTGGAAGTTGGAGGTTTGGTTTGAAAAGTTGGAAAGTGGATGTGATTGGTATTGCTGAGATTGTGATTGAGATCTGACTGTGTTTGAGAGGATGGTTAGGAATGTAGAGGCGAGGACAAGTGGTCGTTTATATAGCTTTTCAAATGACATTGAGCATGCCCAAACGAAGTGAAAGATGTAACTTCATCGATGCCAATCCTCGTATCGTGCCGAGTAAAGCCAGAATAGAACTCATCACGAGAGATCAACATTGTCAATAGAACGATGATATCAATTGCCAAGATCGAATACGATGAATATTATTAACAACTTGGTGGATTGGCAGATGTAGATGATTCCCTGTCGACAAGGTGGAGGAGCTGAGGTGGTGAAGAACGACAAAGGAATACGGAGTAGACGATCTTGAGATTCTCGTATTTTCGACCCATGTAAGATATTGCATTCCAAGCAAAAAAGGATTATTTTATGACCTTTACACCATGCTATCCGACCAATATAGTTGCTCTGAACACAAGGACAACTCTATTAATAGTGTACTCTACCTTGGAAAATACCATATATGGTATTATGCCTAAAGAACTTGATCTTCTTCAGTATGATCCTGAATCTATTTTTGGACTTAGACTTAATCCCCGCATTAATGATCGGCATATGTTTACTTGGGGGCTGAACTGTTGAATGGCCCCAATGCAGTAATATGCCCGGACGATCGAGCTCGTACATTTTTTAGCCAAGGCTCGGGTTGAGCCCCTGCTTCTCTGGGCATCTCGTGTTCGCGGGAGAAGTACGAAGTACAATGTAATTTGAAAACCCTACGACGGGCTGTGCCTCTGTAGGTACGAGTTACCATGTAGAGAAAGCGACAACCCACTGGAGATAATTATAGGATTGGGATTCAGCCTCCAAATTAACTTTGCTAAATGGAACTATGGGGAAATGGCAATTTTCAACTTGAGCTAGGAGCCAATTACTAAGTACCAAAAACAGAGAGATATTTTCTTACTTCACGACAAGACAATGCATCAAGGAGGTTTCAAGATACTCGCCTAGATGGCAAAATAAGTCCACTGTCGCATTTTATGCTTTGATAAAAGTTGAAACAGCACGGTATCGTGGACGTTGGATATGTGAGGTTATGTCGTGTTTGATGTTGACGCTGAAATCAATTTCTTGTTTTTCAGTTACTAGATATCAACAATGCAAGCGCTATTTATGTATAATGTATAATGCCAAGACTTGACTGCCCAAGAAACGCTCCACAGTGTAGCAAAACCCTTTCATTTCGACGAGGTTCGAAGAAGGAAACCAAAGCAGAAACTATCATTAGAGACAAGCTTAACAGTCACAACGTCCTTACACGCTTACAATCACGAACGTATATCCCACTTCTCCTTGAGTCGTTGGAGCCACTCGGTAACGGGCATGATTTCCTCGCCAACCAGCACGTTGCCCCGACCAATTCTCTTGTGCTGGATGGGATCGAATGGTGGGACACGCAGCATGTCGTGATCCTTCTCACAGACAATTGCCTCGAGGGTCCCTTCGCGTATCTTGGTGTAACAGGACTCATCAAACGCCACATTTTCGCACTCTCTGCATATATAAAAGTTATCCGGGGGCTGGCGAAAACGGCAGCCATAGCAGAACTCCAAATAGCCCACGGGCTCTAATTCCACGGAGAGTTGGGATGCTGTCTCAGAACCCGGGAAGTTTGGATTGGCATTCGAGGAATCTGGATCTATCTCTGGGTCTACACCAGCAACGACCAAGGACCAAGCAGCAAGGCAGTCCACGTCCTGGCCTGCGAACATGAGGTAATTCGCCAAACCCCGATGACCCTGCCAGTCATTCAAAGGATCATCATCAGAGAGAATGTCAATATTGCGTTTGATGTGTACGCGCACAGCATCTTTGGCCTTCTTTTCGTCGCCTTGGAGAGTGTAGTATCGTGCGAGAAGTTCTGTCGGATACGGTTTAGGGCGCTCGTCATATGTGAACTTGAAGCTGGCCAGCTGTTCTAACTGCTCTAGATATGTAGCTGCCGTGTCTGCATCCCGAAGTGCCTCATGGAAAAACACGTTTGCGAGCTTTGTCCGGACAGATGCTTTCGTAGTTGAAAGGGATTTCTCTTCGGAAGATTCATCGATCCGTAAGATGTGTACCCACTGTTCGATGGCGAATTCCCTCCGCTCGATGTTCTCGGAGCCATTGTCGTAGCAAATGTATGCAAGCGTATCCATCAGGACCGCTTGGCAATAATTATGAAGTATTTCATCGTCGATGTTGCCCTCACTGGTCGCCTTGGCGAGCTGCTGTCTAGCGGCAATAATGGCTTCTTGATAGCTTTCAACGACAAAATCGAAAGCTTTGCTATCGGATGCAAGAGCGAGCATTGCCGTGTAAAGCCCCATGTTGGAGTAGACCTCATGGAACATCCGAGTTCGCCTGTTCAAACCGGTTGAATCGTCTATGGAGGCCTTGCGTGAATCAAGGAATTTGAGCAGGCCGTCGTAGTTCTTGTCTTTGTTAAAGTGTACTACCATCTGCAATGCCGCAAAGTAGTCATCTGGGTCATTCCGCAGCATTTCCTCGTATATCGCAAACGATTTGTGGTTATCACCCAACATCTCGCTGTACCTAGCCAGGTCTCGGTCCATTTCTATCAACTGATGATCATGATCGCGTATTTCGCTACACTTGATAACATTTTTCGCAGCCTCTATTGTCTCAATCGCAAGTGCAAATTCTCCTATGTCGGCATATGAGGTTGCAAGACCCCATTGCGAGAGCCAGTTGTACTCCTGGAGCGAGCACGAGAGTTTGAGATATTCAATGGCCTCGGCGTGTTTCATGTACGCTGTGAATGTGGCCGCTAGGTTGCGCGTTTCGCGGTATCCTAGACTATCCAGTCCAAGCTTCTGTCGGGCCCATTCAGCCGCATCAAGAATTTGGGAGACCTCGATATTTTCCGGTTCCGGGTCCATGGTGGATCTTTGAATCTGTGGATTTTTGCGGTTTTCAATCTGATAAATCAATTAGCTTCGAGTCATTGCTAGAGTCTGCGCTGCATTATCAAGCTCATACCTTGGTAATATATCCATGCACCGCAGCGAAGCAACCGGCAATCTTGTCTCCTCTATAACCCACTTCCAACCAGAGACGGGCAGTAAATTTTGCAATGTGCTCCATAATATCTGCATCAGGCTCAGACTTCGAACTCAAGCTTTTCACCCATCTGTATTGATCATCAGGGAGGTTTCTAGTGACCGCAGAGTCTTGAAGCCACTTTAACGCAATCTCAGGAAATTCGTCCTCGTAGATCCAATAACATCGTATGAAACTCTCCAATGGTTTCCACCACCTTGCAATTGTGTCTTCGTCTGTAAAGAGGTTGACTAACTGCGGACCAAGAGACATCTTTTGCTCTGGCTGCATCAGTGAAGGGTCTGCTCGTTCAAGATGCCTATGGAAACAGGAAGACGTGTATGAGAGTAGAGAGGCTAATGTTGGGGATTCCTGGTGATTAATAACCTCCAAGCACGTTGAAAGCATACTTGAATTGACGCTATAGAAGTCAACTCCGACAACCGCGGTTTTTCCTTTGAGTTTTCTCTGAAAGAACTCTTCGAACCCAAATTTGGAGAACAGCTTGGGGTCGCAGACAGACTCCAAGAATCGACGGACAATCCTGACTTCGACTTCGCTGATATTTCCAGTACGATCTAGGTCTGGGGCGTCTTCAGGGTTGTCAGACTCATCATTGTTGAGTATGAACTCCACTATTGAGTCGGAGACAAGCTCCACCTCCGAATCGGCTGGTATAACCTTAGTTATGGGATGCGGTTCTCCCATAATCCGGACGAGTGAGGAATATTGGTCAGTTATCTTTTCTGCCAGAGGCCGAAGAGAAGACTCCCCAGCCTTTAGGAAGAGGACTCCTTCTAGTGTTGCTAGACTTGGTGGCCACCAAGCATAGATAACCCATGTAAGGATGGTATTCAGGTCCGAGATGTCCTCTTCGTTGAGTGTCTCGTTGAGGCGTTCAATCTTTCTTGCGATAGTGTCGGATCGCTTGCCCCCCGAGCGGGATAAAATATCCCTGATCTCACCAGGACGCTGCTTCCCGCTGATCTCATGCAGTAGGAGGCCGATATTGACGAAATCGCCATGGGTATGGGCCTTCAAATTCTCCAAGATCTCGCGTTGAAGAGAAAGTACCTGGTCTGACGAGCCACTTAGAATCTCCATCTTTTTCATGCGGTCAATAATGAACTTCTCCACGTCATCGTTATTTTCGGATGCCGCGTCTATTGCCAACATTCCTCCTCCGAGCTGGTTTTTGACCTTGCTTATTGTGTCATCTCGCCCAGTGATAAAAATGCGAAGCCTGAAGCCTGCCCAGGTTTCGGAGGTAGCCTGTAATTCCTCTAAAACTTGGACAAACTCCTTGAGCTCGCTCTTGTCTATCTGGTCAATGCCATCCAGGAGAAGAAAGAAAATTGAGTCGCTCTTGTACGATTTGGAAAAGAGAATGTTCCAAAGATCCCCTATCTGGTTGATACCGGTCGCTTTCACAGAGCTTATATCTTTGCGGTAAACAATATCTTGGTCGGCGATCTGCCATGCAAGGACCTTGAGGGCCTGGACCAAAGATGTTTGTTTATTATCACGGTCAAAGATATGGTAGGCAGTGGAAATGCACCTCATGTCACTTTCAGACTGAGGTTTTTCGTCTTGTAGATATTTGGCAACGCTCGCAAAGAGGAACGATTTACCATAACCCTCGCCTCCGGAGATACCAAAGACTGAAAATGGAGATTTTTCGTGGGACGCCCACTCGGAATACAGTGAATCACTCTGAAGCCAATCTCCACTCCCTTGAACTCGCTCACTCAACAGGCGTCGGAAGGTGGTTTGAACGACTTTGAAAGCCTCGCTTGGATTGCCCAAACTGGAATCGATAGTCTCCAGGAGCTTCTTTGAGGAAGTGTCTGCTTCTCTCTTGTTCTCAAGGCTGAGTAGCTTGTCGACTGTCAAGTTGATTTTTCTCGTGCCGTCCCTATTCTCAATGATGTTTCTCTCGGTCATCTTCTGCGACTCGAACCCTAGTGTTGCTCGCATCTGAGACTCACGCTCGACTAGCGTGGCGAGGCGAGCTAGCTGGCCGCTCACGCCCTCGTCCCCATCGAAGGCAAATACCTTGAGCGCAATGAAGACTTTATGGCCCTTGAGAACCTTGATCGACAACGCGCAAATGTCGACAAAACACACCAGCTCCTCATTGATAATCTTGCGAAGAGCTACGTCAACCGCGTCCGCGGGCAAGCGCATGTAGATTTTGCAGCGCTCGAGCACATCCGAGATGCGGCGGAACAGCTCTGCCAGGCTACTAAAGATGCGCTTGAATTTCGCTCCAGTGTCAATTAGATATGAAATTGCATTGAAGCACAGGCCAGCGGGCGCAAATACCTTAACCATAACTATTAGCAACGTCGCCCTTGGAGGTAATAGTTACTTACCATGCTCGCACCCTGGGCAGCGATCCCACCCAGAAGCGTGACAAATTTCAATGTCTTGCCAATCGCATCTTTTGCAGCGATATACTTGTTGTTTTTCTCATCATCATCGTCCTGCTTCATGCGAATTTGATCAAGGACTTCATCTACAGAGAACTTCGGTGCTGTAGTGAGGTCGATTTTGGCTGTCTGCGCAAAGGACGTGCACGCCTTGTCCCATGCCTCCTGCAAATTATATTCGCCATCATCTTGAACTGTAGCCATTTGGTAAAATATTGGTTTTGGCCTGGTCTAAGGCAAGCATGGAATGTGTGCCTATTTCTATGTATGTTGCCGGCTCTCCCCGTTGTCAATGAAAACTGGGGAAAGGTGAGATTCCCAATGGCCTAACTTTAAATTTTAGAATGGTGTGGCTGAAAGCTCGACCCAAGCGAAAAGCGCCCAGAGTATGTGCGGCCCGGGATTCCAAGCCAACGGTGGTATTATAGCGGCTTTATCCAGTCTCACTCAGCAAGCCACGCATAGAGTGGGGTAATTAGCAACAAGGCGACGAGGTACGGAATGTTTCGTGCGATAGGTAGACCAGTCTACCACCAGACATCATTCTAACATTCGCATGCAGGGGTTCTATAATGAGAACCCACAGCGATTAGAACCCAATGATCGCACTAAAATGTGTGCGTCGCGATGCCGACCGCAGGAGAACAACATTGAAAAGTAAGTCCCTGATAGGTGGCCCAGGGCTGTTGAAGTTTCCACGCTACCCCTGATTCGGCTTCATGCAGAAGCTATACGAGGCATCCACCAACCATTGTAAGCTACTGGCTCCATGGACCCAGTGCTTGCGGGAACCGACTCGCTCATCAAGAACAGCGGATGCGAAGAACATTTTCAGGTATATTTAAGGCAATCCACTGCCACAATTAATTCGTAGCTGAACACGAATGTGGTCAAACCGTTCGCAGCAGAGGAGGGAGTGGTTGGAGGGAGAGAGAGGGGCATGGTTCAGAACATGTGTGTCGCGGGATGAGTGGCTGTCCCGAACCAATCACCTAGCTAGTATTGGACCCACTCTATTGGAATCGGAGCCAGTTTTGTCAGACAAACATCTGACTATAACAGGTAACTAGTTATAGAATGGGGAGAACTATCTCTTGCTTTTAATTAGATATTTCTTACTTCTTACTCGGATATCTTTTATTTTTCTATTCACTCATTCTACTCAACCCTTCTAGGGCAAAGGGAGATTTATCCAGTGTTATAAGCTACTCCGCAGCTGGATATATTGAATTGAGGATCAAGTATCATTTCTGAGGAATTCTTATGTAAACGCGACGTTCATTTTAGTCCAGCTGTGGAGAGATATTTGTCAACCGATAGTAATGAGGTATGTAAAGGGGATACTTATACCAGCCTATACTTTTCAAATTCAACATCGAGTCATCATCATTCAGTCTTTGGGCCTTTCTCTTGACTATGGCAACCGCCAATATTGTCCCGTTGGAAAGATGGTAAATTGAGGGTTGTTGTGAATTGAGAGATGTGGAGGAATGAAGTAGGAGTCCTATTGGAAGATTTTGTTAGCAATATGGATGGGTGAGCATAAGTCTGGGTATCTGAGATAAACCTTACTTTCAATTGTCAGCACCTCGACTAATTCTGGCGATTGTTTCTGGTACTTGCTCGGGAGAAGTCCAGTCAATTGGGGAGAGCTCTCTATATGTCTCCATCGCAAACTTGTGGATGCAGACAATTTCCTCAATCTCCTAGGGGTCAAAGAGCGACCGGAGTAACTCCCAGACATTCGCTCCCTCGTATTCAGGGGCGCGTTTGAATATTGGTCCGTTGTAACCATGGCCGAACAGGTTGCAGCAAAGTTTGAATCGGTAAAGAGCACGCACGAGGCGTGTCTCCTCAGTCTCGCTTGGTTGCTCCCTGTTTTGGTCATACGGAATCTACAATACGCCTACAAGATTTCGTAATACCCAACTAGTGTATCGCCGCTTCACAGGCTCGATGACTGAGAAGTAAAACTTCACCATGCAGATAGTTGCACCCAGCGCGAGCTCTGTGTTGCGTATCATCGACTCGCTGGACTGGGAGTTGTGGGAGGAAGAGCGGCCAACCTGATACGCTTGGACAAACTGGGTGACAGCGTTTTATATGGGCAGGGTTAAGAAAACTTCGAATAAGATGGAAGAGATGGCGAGAGTGGAAGGGGCAAGAGGGTGAGAATGGTTTCTTGTGTCGAAGAAGCAAAGGCTGGAGAGCTCAGGTATTTGAGACAGGAACCAAAATATCAATGCCACAGACTTGAGGAATGAGATCAGTTGCTAGCACTTGTGGTCCATGGAGAGTACATAGGTACGTTACCCCTAGTGATCACATAAAGTCTATGTAATGTCCAACGCCTGTACATCCTGATGGCCTATACCTTTACTCACCGATAGAAATTGACCTCCAAAGCCTGGGTTGTACCAACCTAAGCCTTGCTATCCGTACAAATATATAACTCTTGTTACCTCGGGAAACTTCATGATCAATAATATCACCACTAAAATGTGGCAATTAGTCTCTTTCTGGGATATTATGGAATCATTGTGAGTAAAGTGCTCCGTATTCTTGATCCCTATAAGGCAGCAGTATATATGTACATTTCAAAATACTACCTAAATTAATTGAGTGCCGATGTTCGAATCTTTCAGGAAAATTCGCAACTCAACTGGCAAACAATTTCTATAGGCCATGTTCGAACTGGAAAGTGACTTGGGAGACTACAGCCCTGTTGGGAGCCGCCGATGCTCAGATGGCCCGGCCAGTCGGGTTGAATATCATCCGCGGGGTATTTTCATGCGTCAGCTTGCAGATCATTGGGCGCGTAATAAGTTCGCATCAACCTTATATTGTCGCCTAGATCCTCGTTGGCAGTAGCACCACCTTGGGACTCGCGCCACTTGTCGAAAGCTTTATATCTTTGAATTATTTTACTCATGGAGGCTGGGCAATCAACTATCGGCATTCCCCCTGAGGGTGAGGCTTCGTTTAAAGCATTCACTCAATCAGCCCGGGACAAGGGGCTTTTGACTCGGCCAGATAGTCTAGAAAGCCGGGACCTGTGTGACGGGCTATCAGATCCGCCCACCCTTGTGTACGTTATGTAGACCGAGACTACTATTGGTGCTGACCCCACTAGACGATTTCTGGTCGCCCGTCGATTTGACCCGGATGGTGCTCTCAAACAGTTCCAGGAAGCATCTGAATTCCGAGAAGAGAAGCATATTCTCAGGCTGTATGATTTAGTTGACATTGCAGATTTCGAGCAAGCGCGTCAAATTGTGAGTACGAGTTTGGTTAAGAGTATGACTTGGTTTTCAGTATCAGTACACACTGACATATATAGTACCCTCACTGGATTGGCCGCAGGGACAAAAAAGGGTTACCCATTTGCATGCTCGACCTGGCTCGCCTTGACAAAGATGCCCTGGCACGCTGGGAAACGACGCGCAAGAATAGTCGCTGGATGTATTCCCAATCAGGAAAAGTTGAGCCACCAATTCCCGACATGCTGCAATTGGCCTCTGTGTACCATGACAATCTGATTCGGTTTATCCTTCCGCTTTGCTCGATGATGACAGACAGGCCGAACCCTGCAATCCCAGTCACCAATTCAATCTATGTTGTGGATGCATCGAACCTGGGGTTAAAGCAAGCATGGGGCTTGCGATTCTTCGCCCAAGAGATCAGTTGGTTGTTATCAACATGTTACCCAGAGACTATTCAACGTGTCTTTGTGAGTTTCTGGTTTAAGCCTGACGACATTGTACCCGTGGACACCTACTGATGATTATCAACAGGTATGCAATGCGCCCTCATATTACAGCACTGTCTGGAAGTACCTCAAGGGCTGGGTTGACCCTTATACTGCAGAAAAGATTGTAGTGCTCTTGGAGTCGGAGGTCCTTCCTACCCTCAGGGAGTACATGGATGATGCCAATATCCCAACCAAGTTTGGCGGTAAATTCCAATTTACCCATGGAATGTTGCCAGATCTCGACGGTAATATCCAGCAGCTTTTGAAGTCGGATTCATCGAGATTTCTGCCTCCTGGCCCCCTGAAATGGGTCCAAGATTCAGATGGTAGACGAACTGCATTGGCTGTTGGCAGTAAGGCTGGCTCTGAGAGAAGCGATAAGATCGCAACCGTTGATTGGCTTGGACAATAACTTCAATATTCCAATTCTATAACCATGTACCTAGGTTTAGATACGACGTTGGCTTAGGCATAATCAGGCACGCGAGTACATGCCTAAGGCAGAAGGGTCTTCATGGGTCCAACCTTGAACTTTTATAACTCTCCACACGTGAAAATAAAGGGGAAATCGAATGAACTAGCGAGGGAAAAAAATCGGAGAAAAAAATTGAAAAACCGGAAAGTAACTGTTCATGTTACCTCCCCTCCGATGATGAGGTCATATAATCGTCGGCCCGAGCATGCTTGGCATGTTAAATTAATCCAATAGATCTGGGATATTAATTAACTAGTTGACTAGTAGATAGTTGTACATTAATTTCTTATCATTTCACGCATGTTTCACCCTATACAGACAGTACTTTTGTGAGATAAAAGATAAAATAAGTGTTGGAGGGAACGTGGTCCCCACCACACACGGGCAGGCTGGTCGATCTCTATCTCAAAAGTGACATGCACCATACAACATCGACCATAGAATCCCAAATTGACCCCACATAAGTCCTCATGGATCATTTCCTATTGTAGTTAGTTTGTTAACCCGTCTGTTGAATCTGCTTTTCTCTCCATCTGGCTCTTCCTTCTTCCAAAGACCACTTTAAACATGAATGAGTGAACACTTTATACCTTCTATTCGTCATACCTTGGACCTTGGCCCTGGCCATCACGAGGCTTGTATCCCCGGAAAATTAATCCCAGGCATGATCGCACTGAGCTGCTAGCTTGCGGTCAAGGAAATCATACAAACTCAAGCCAAAGCTGCCGACAAAATGCCCGTGTTCAAGATGCCATCTATGATGACGACATTCAACTCGCGCGCAGGCCGAGTCGCAGTGGTCGCAGTCTTCTTTATCCTGAGCCTTATCTGGATGTTGCCCAGCCATGAGGACTTCTCGTCACCGACCTTCTACGCAGGCAATGGCTACAATACTAGTCACCCCATCGACGCTCTTATACATACCGCACAGACCGATTTAGAAGAACTCCTGGGAACACAAGCGCATGACCTTCGAACCGCTGGGGAACAATACCGGGCCCGCCGTGGAAGACATCCTCCTCCTGGATTTGGAGAATGGTACGAGTTCGCAAAGTCGAAAGATTCATTGATCATTGAAGAATTCTTCGATCAGATCTATAATGACCTGACTCCATTCTGGGCTCTGGAACCGAAGCAGCTGCGTCGACAAGCTAAAAGCATCCCGACCCGTATCACCATTCGAAATAACACCGCGATATTGAAAACCGACGAGCCAAGAAATTGGATGGATTCATGGTACGATTTGGTCGCGAAATTGGAGGATCGACTTCCCGATCTTGATATGCCAATCAATGTCATGGATGAGACCCGGCTTGTTGTCCCCTGGGAGACAATCAACGAGTACGTACAGAAGGAGCAAACAGATCGTGTGATGACGGAGCCGAGCCGCGTTATCCCCGACTACATGTCTTTGGCCGACTCGGACCACGACTCGGAACCTTATGATCCTCAGTTTGCAGGTCCCGGCAAAGGAGGTTATTGGGAGATGGCTCGGGTTGGCTGCCCACCGGGAAGTCCTGCGCGCAACAGCACCCTTCCCATGGTGGACTTCAGTAACCCTCCTTGGGAATATGACAATTTTGAAAGAATGTCATACCACGGCTATGTATCAAATTTCACCCTAGCCAAGGACCCGTGTGTGCGTCCAGAGATGCAAGTTCTGCATGGAAGCTTCCTTGAGCCAATTTCTATATCAACCTCACACAATCTGATGCCACTATTTGGTGGATCCAAACTTCCCATGAACAATGAGATTCTCCTTCCCCCAGCGATGTACTGGGCACAGAATGACCATTATTCCGGCGGGGAGAACGAGCACGGTGGTCGCTGGGAATCGAAAAAGAACAAGGCTGTATGGCGAGGTGCTGCTACAGGAGGTCGGGCTCGAGAGCCTAACTGGACAGGCTTCCAAAGACACCGATTCATGTCGATGATGAACGCGACATCAGTGGCTCAGGCTGAAAAGAGCAATAGCCACGGTATCAACTTTAGACTTCCGAACTACGCCGATTACAAGTTGAACAACGATGGTACTATCCCGCGGCTTCTCTCCGAACATACCGAGACGGGCTTCAACCACCTGGTTTGCACGCCTTATATTGAAGCGGACCCAACATGTCCGTATCTCGATCCATACTTCGAGGTCACACCTGGTATGCCAATGAAGGAAATGTACGACTATAAGTATCTTCCCGATCTTGACGGAAACTCCTTCAGTGGCCGATACCGCGGATTCATGTTATCTACTTCTCTCCCCATCAAAGCCACTATCTACAATGAGTGGCACGACTCGCGACTGATCCCTTGGATCCACTTCGTCCCTATGGACACCACCTATCTCGATGTTTATGGAATCATGGCTTATTTCCTCGGCGGCCATGACAAGGCCGCCCGTAAGATTGCCCTCGCCGGGAAAGCCTGGGGCGAGAAGGTGCTCCGACGTGAGGACATGGAGATTTACACATATCGACTTCTCTTAGAGTATGCCCGCATTTGTGATGATCGGAGAGAATTCCTCGGTTATGTTGATGACTTCACAATGCCCTAGTTGCGGTCAATTGAGGAATTGGTCACCTTCCACATGCGTCCAAATCGCCGGTTGCGGTCAACCTTTCAGGAACAATACCCAACGGGGTTAGTTCAGCGGGCATCGCCATCAACACTTTTTTTTTCTTGATGAAAAATAAGTGGTCTCCCCTGTCCTCACTTGGTACCTCAGTATAGGAACCTCTTGCTTGGGCTTTGCCGGCTTCGCCCTCTTGGCACTGGTTCGATGTCTCCACCCCGGCGTCATCGGCTTCAGACTTCGGTCTTTCCCTTTCTACCTTCTGTTTCTCTAATATATTAATGATCATATTTTCATGTCGTGTTCGTTTTTACCTGATGATTACCGATACCATGCGAAGTGTCTTCCTTGGCTAACGCATGATGTACATAAATAGATGATTTTGCCATTATGATTGCTGTTTATCTTCTTACATCCTTCTTTACACGCGCAAAATTCCTACGTTAAACGAAGCACTGTACCCCAAATCTGACACTTTAACACGCCTTACTCCTTCCACTCATCCCTGCCAAGCCTAACAATATCAGCTTGCTCCAGCACCCAATAGTTCGACGGGGCTTTGCCCTCCTCAGCCATACGAGCAGCTGCTACAGCTGCTCTACCAATAGTCGTTTGATTCTGACCTGCGCCCACCGAGTTAGCTCTGAATCTGTCAAGAAGTCCAAGTATTAACCAGCACAGCCATACCAATTTTATCCTGGACACCCTGTCCCAGCATCTGAAGTCCCTCCACAAACTTTTCTAACAGAAAAGCCTTGGATTCCTCCCTTCCAATAATCATCCCCGGTCGCAGAATGATAGCATTATCAAAACCAAGCTCCTTGATGGCATCCTCGACACCAACCTTCATCTTCGAATATGGAACCCATCCCCAGAGAAAGCTTCTGGTTCCTCCACTGGAAATATAAATGTATGTCTTCACACCGGCCTGCTTAGCAGCGCGCGCGTTCTCGACACATAAATCATGATCGATCTTCCACTGGTTCTTGATGCTGCCCGCTGTCGCTTTTGTGGTGCCAACCGCATTGAAAACTATCGATGGCTTAGGGGACAGAGATGAAATCATGCCACCCCATTTTGAAGTGTCGCTTTCCTCGAGCGCTTGCAGCTTAGCTGATTCTGCTTGAGGCAGTCTCCTGGAGATGGTCTTCACTGTTGAAACTGTGTCTGTCGCGAGGAGTGTATCTAGGATCTGAGAGCCAACTGCTCCTGTGCAGCCGAATACCGCTGCGGTCGTCATGGTAGAGGTTGATATGTCGGTGCTGTGAGGAAAGGAGATGCGGAAACAAGCGGATTGTGGTCCGAGCGTCTGCATGTTCCTGGAGGTGTCGATGGATGACGTCATTTATATATCCTGGGCACTGTTCTCAGGCTGCAACGCATTCTTGTAAATTGATGTAGACACAGTTATATGATTATACCGCGTGTTCTATCAATACTAATGTGTTTTCTAACCCAGCGTCTTTGCAGAATCTGGAACCCCAATAGAACGCGGGACTTAGTCGGGCTCAGGCGTTTCCCATCAAGTCAACCTCCGACCATGCGCTACTGACACGAGTTTGACACGAGTTTAGTTATTTTTATACTGAATTTTCACGATTTCAACAATCTAGAAGTGTCTTATTTTCGCTGTTCACTCTTTGGAAGCAAAGCGCAACGTCTCGTAATCTTGCGCCCTGTGCGGGATTTTCTGCGCGCCCTTCCTACTACAACATGGCTTGATTCCAGATAAACCAACAACCACATTGCAGCTTACGCATGGGATATTTAGTTAGCGGAAATCCCCCAGCAAGAATTTATAGGCCACAAAATCGTCCCAAAACCCCAGCCAAAATGAACGAGCTCAATTTCCGCGTCGCGACCGAAGAGCACGCCGCTCAAATTCACCACTTGGTAGAAACTGCGTTCCGCACCATGGACAGCAGAAAGGACTGGACGGACAACCTAGGTCTCGTGTCGAGCTTTCGACCACATATCCAAGAAGTTATCGACGTTATCAACAAACCCGACAGCGTCATGCTGATGGCAACCAACCATCAAAACAAGCTTGTCGGCGCAATCGGGACCTCCAAGCGCGATGCAAACTACGCTCGTCTTTTCAGGCTTGCCGTTGACACGAGCCTACAGCGCGGCGGCATTGGGCGTCAACTCTTGGAATACGCTGAAGACTATTGTCAGCGGACTTGGAGTGTTACGACGGTGGGATTAGATGCCCTTTCTTGTCGCCATGCACTTATCTCGTGGTATTTGCGTTGTGGATACAAAAAGACGGGTGAAACGACACCCTTCCCTCGCGATGAGGTCGACCTAGCATTGCCGGATGATCTTTGTTTCATCGAATTCGAGAAAGCTGTTGGAATAGCGCCTACTGCTGAACAAGCCAACTAAATTGGTCACCTGAGCACATGGCTATATGACAACTTCCAGCGTTGGAAATCGATTTCCTTTCTCGGCTATACGGCAACCACGAAGGATACCGGTCGAACCTTCTTATCTGTACCAAACGTACGCTCTTTCCTCCTGAGGTTGGGTGCAGGGCGAGTTTATGGCTCACAAATAAAGGAGATAGGTGGACTAAGGATGGGGAACAACGAACGTCTCTGTCCAGGTACATATACAGGATGGATTGGATTTAAGCTATCGAGCCTTGTACTACAGTCATCAGTCAATCCATATTTTCTGTCCTTGAATATCCTCATTTCATTCCCTTGGATACGCTCCAAGACGGGAAAGCCTCAAGCAGAGATTAATCCAGTTCAGTTGTGTGAAAAATCTCCCTTACGACCACGATTATACCTAGTTAGCAACGCGGCATAAGATAATACTACTAATAATCTAGGCCTACTATGTACTCGCGTCAAGCTTAACCGGAAAATTGATCTTTCTGGATCTGGTTCACCGGGAGACACTCGTCTTTTGTAAGCTCAGCCGTGCTACCCTATATTTGTGTCACTCAGATCTCTTATCTTAAGCCCATGATGTGTCTTGTATGACTTCGGATAACGGATAAAGCGTACTGCACACACCCGTGGATATCCACCCACACACACAGAGAGAGACACACACAGGCATACACACATAACTGCATTAACCATCGTATACCTCGAGCACGCAACTCGGGATTATCCGAGTGTAACCATAAGTGTAAGCAAGCTTCAAAGCTTGGCATCATCACGGATATCACGCCATAATAGTAGTGTCTCACGTTGCGAGAGCATGATTGAAGATAGCTCGCTGCGAGGGCAGTGTAGAATAAAACAATAAAAGCAACATGTTGACCACAACAACCCATATACATGTTCATTATATCTGGTGCTGTTTGGCGCTTTTCTATTCAACTAGCTAAAATGTCAAGTTCAATTCTCCTAGATAAGGCAAGTTCGTTTGGTGTCGGAATCTATTCGTTGCTTTTTACTGGCTATTTCGCAGCTACACTGCATAATGCATGCATACCAAGACGTATAGAAGCCAGCTGCCAACCCCCGATTTAGGCTTAGTGCTGTTTTCTTCTTGCCTAATTCCGGTATGGCTCTTGACAGGTTGATACACCGACCTATACCGTGTGATATAAATGAGGTACGTAGTTCAAATGTGTTGATGTATGAAGTTAGAGTTATATGGCGAAAGGCTTCATGTTGAACATCTGAGAAGGCTGTGATGCCTCAGCTTGTATACCTAGGTACGATAAAGGACTTCATTATGCCACAGTTGACTTCCCGATCTAGCCCTCCATGGCTCAGTACCTTGCTTATCAAGGCAGCTGTAATTGTAACTCACGCATTTAATTCATCTACCAGGCTTCCAGGCCATGATCAGGGGTTGAAGCATTAGTATTCACACTAACTAACTGACTAGTTGACTAAATGGGAGTTTAGCAGCGGGCGCCTATGCGTCTTCGTAGCATGTGCTCATGTTGTGCAACCCAGTGGCAGCCGCGTCTTATCTCATACTCATCGATGGAGCCCCGAGCATATACACATATAAGATGAGATGGTTACTCACATGTTGAAAGGTCCAGAAACTACCAGAAAAACCCATTCTATCAGGTCCCATTCATCAACATGGCTGTGGACGATCAATACCAATCAACCATGCCGTCACGTCCAAAGATTCTGATGCTGCATGGTAACATGCCTCTGATTCTTATACATGTTGGAAATATGATCTAACGCGTAACCTTTATTCCGTAGACAACGGCCAGTCCGGACAAATGCTGCAATGCAAGACCGAGTACTTAATACCTCAAGTAAGAGATACTGTGCTCCAGGCTATGCCGCAAGATCCAAACTTGGGGTCCGCTGAAATGGTCGAGTTTCACTACCCTTCATCAAAGCGGCCTGCAAGAATGGATCAATCCCCCGAAGAAAGCAATCACCTGTGGTCTTGGGCACATGGCGATTCTACAGATTGCACTTGGCATGGCCTTGAACAATCCGTTGATGATATCTTCCGCTATCTTGATGAAAATGGTCCTTTCATCGGGATCATGGGCTTCTCGATGGGTGCTGCTACGGCTGCTATAGTTGCTTCTCTTTTAGAGAAACGACACTCGGTTGGAAATTTCCAATTCAACGTAAGTTGGAATATATACCTTTGATATTTAAGATAACTAGGTGACATCACGGTAGTTGACCTTTCTTTCCTCACAGACGGACCACCCCCCTTTGAAGTTCGTTATTGCGGTTTGCGGGTTTACGTTGTCAAACCCTCGTTATCGTGATCTATATAGTCCTAAGATTGAGACACCGATATTACTTGCTATTGCGAGTATTGATATAATGGTAGCTGAATGTGAATCACTGAAACTGCGTGATTCAAGCACAAATACTGCTTTGTACTTTTTTGAAGGGGCACACTATGTCCCGCGAGATAACGTCTTCTTACAATCTGTGACACAGTTCATTGAAGATGTTTTGAGTATTGAAGCGGAAACTCGTGAGGAGGACTGGGAGAATTATGGAGATTATTAATGGTATTTTGTGCTGCTAATAAACTTCCGGGTTACTTGAACAACTTGCTGGGAAAATGCAATACGTACATATGTAGTTATTCAATGTGGTACCTATAGTAAGGATGACTCATTCTGTATCACGCCTGGGCAGACTTTTATCTATTTAGATGCGCTATGTAATTGCACGAGAGTCTGAACTGGGGCAGTGGTCGTCGTGTATTTATGTTTGACAACAGTCGACGGATCCATATTCTCCACTCTGTCAAACCGCTGAAGCATCCGCACAACGACGTAACCAGCCTCAGTCAGGGCAAACTGCTGTCCCAGGCAAATTCTCGGTCCGCCATTGAATGGTATAAATTCCCATCCCGGTCTGCGGGTGGTCCACCTCTCAGGCCGAAATTCGTTGGCATCATCACCCCAGAGGTCCTGACGGCGGTGCATGATATGCACATTGTAGGTCACTTCCTCTCCGGCGCGGATGTAGATTGGCGATGTACCATCTGCACCACCTCCTCGAGGGAGAGTGGTGTTTCGCACCGCGCGGCGACTATTCTCCGGTACGACTGGATGCAGTCGTAGAACTTCGGATAGAACGTGTTGCAGATAGGAACATGATTTTAGAGACTCAAAAGTGATGGCAGTAGTACTAGGGAATTCCCCAAATGTTTCAATGACGATAGTACGCAGCTTTGCGTAAACCTCCGGATGACGAGATAGTAGATAGAAAGTCCATCCCAGAAGGCCTGCTGTTGTGTCTCTCCCTGCTAACAGTATATTGAGAAGCTGACTCCGAAGCTCTTCGGGATCCTTTGTCTCCTTCACAAGTTCCCGAAGAAATACATAACCAGATTCAGTGGGGCCGCCTGGGGCGCTTTTGTTCGTCTTTGACTGTTGGTCCTCCGCGAGAGCGCGGTCGACATAATACCGAGCAAAATCCTGAATGTCTGCACAATCTTTTCGAAATTCTGCAGTGGAGTAGAGAAAGTACAGATCCATCAAATAAGCTCGTAATACGACCACCGTGTTGGCTCGGTCAAAGGACTTGCCAAAGGCCAACCCGTTGGGTGGGGAATTCGCTATAGTTGTGCCATGCTCAAGACCCTTGTTTCCTTTCAATGAAAGAATCTGGGAATTGACACTGTGTCCAAAGAGGAATTCGGTGGCAGAGTCGAGAGTGAGGTTGAAAAACAAGGGCGATAAATCGATAGTTTCTGTCCAACAATTGTCCTGAACTGGGAGCCTATTCAAAAGGTGTTGGACATGACGTTCCTCGAGTTTCAAATCGGCGATTTGACCGCGAGCGAATTGTGGACGAAGTAGGGCGCGAGAATGTTGCCTATCATCAATATTAATGTCTAGCAACATCGACATTATGAATTTGCAACGTACCACTCCTTTCCATCCGTGGTGAAAATACCCTTTCCAATAACCGGACCGAACAAGTTATGCCGTGAAGGGCCAAGTTCAAAATCCTTGAACTGTGTTGCAAGCATAGCTTGTATATTCTTCGGGTCCGCAGTGATGTGATGCCAATAACCCAGGATATTCTCATTCCACGTTGGGCGTAGACCCAGCTCTTGATACAGTACCAACTCATCATTCTGGAGGATCTGCTCCCGCGTCGCATCAATATAACGCTTGAAAATATCAATACCGAACGGGAGCCTGCTCGGTCGGATGAAAGCGGGCTTACAACCCATTCGCCGAGCTCGTTGGCCATGCAATATAGATGTCGAAACCCAATAGAAAGTGTAAATGACGAGGATAGCTAGGAGAGCAGTCCACAAGGTCAGCTGTTGAAGTACAATCATAGTTGCAAATATTTCAACCAGGGTGATATTTGATGGGTGTTCTTTTTTTTGCTGAATTTGTCCACGATATTTATAAGTGAAACGAACTTAATTACAGGGTGTACTTAGTCTCTGGACTCGACTATTACCTCATGGGATAGGCTGGCATTCGATTAGAAATAGCGTGCATAAAATCGGTGCCCGCGGGATCCGGAAGCAAAAGGGTCTCTAAGTCGTGATACATGTCAGTCTGTTGCCTAAAGGCCAGGTGGTATTGGCCCCGCATTTCCTTGGAGAAAAGATTTGATGAGCAAAGACAGAGGCAATGACTACGATACGATGTCATTTAGTTTCACGGCCTTAACCCTTAAGAGACAGAGAAATGAAATTACTTGTTAAGTTTTACACAAATTGAATAGAGAGCGCCACAAACGGACCGCTGAGCTTTGACATATTTCACAATTAGTTGGTCTTGTAGCCAACTACTTGTTTGCCTTCTCTAGGTCAGCAGCCCAAAGAGCCGCGCCAACGGTGTTTGTGAACGAGAATGGAATCGAGGCAAATGGGATCATTTCCAAGACAAAGGCTGCAATTCCCAGCCTGAGGGGATAGTTAGCATTTGACTAGAGAAGAAAGAGGGGATAATATAGAGTTTACACACCCAGTGTATGCGCCTTCGTGGTTCTTCACCCACTCGTCTCGTGTCCGATCGTCCCAGCCCTTAAGTTGGAAATATCTGGAATGCAGAACTGGTCCTGTTTTTTTCCCTTGCATGTAGATATACAACACCGTTCCGACCACAGGAATGAGGTTCAGGGGCAGATAGAGCACCGATCGCAGCACGGACCTCGGGTTCAGTTTCTCTAAAGGCCGAATAAGAATTCTACCCAGTCTAGCAATCGAATCTTTCCCACCCGATCGGGGCTTGACCTGGCGCGAGTGTGCCACAAGTGACTCCTGGTTGCGCGCGACCAGGGTGCCATCAAAGGTATCTATCATGGCGTCTTCGACGAGGAGTGCGCGTGAGAGGACATGTGTAATGGCGGAGCTTTCGCCAAGAACGAGAATTGCTGCAGAAATAGCAGCCAATGGGCCATTGGTGAAGGCCATGATGGCCACCTGTGGCATGTACGTGAAGAAGAACATGACGCTCGTGATTCCTAGTCCCAATGTCATAGTTCGGCCGGCGCGAGAGATGAAAGGACGCCAGAGTTCTTTGTGGGTTGCGAAGTAGACAATTCCCTGGGAAGAGCCATTTGTTTCCAGTTAGAAATGGTCGGAAAGTGTGCTCTTTGAGGGGCATAGCTACTTACCTTGAATGGGTACAAGTATGCACCAGACGTGATCACATCTTGAGCAATTGCCTGAGTGCTTTTGGCCTCAGCCAGCACTGCACCTTTTATCTTCTCGGACATGGTGTAGAATGCAAGCTTAGCAGTACGAGATGGAGAAGAATGAGTTTGGAAATCGTGGGGAGTTGAAGATCGGGAAGACCGATAAGAGAACAGCTGGTGACGTCATTGATAAGAGCTTGAACATCTGCCAAGGAAGAAATACATCTACATTTATATTTAGGATAATACCCTGGAAATCTACATGAAATCCGTGTTCTTATTTGCTTGCAGCGAATGTACTTTTCATAGATTGATGGTCTACACAAGTTCAGGGGTCCGAAGTCGACGGCGCTTTCTCTTTCCCGGAGGGAATGGATCAACAATGCCTTCATCGAGTAACTGTTGCTGGTGTTGCGCTTCAGCGTATGAAAGAAAGATATAGAGTTCCTTCAATGAGATAGAGATGTAGTGATCGACGTCGGTATTCTCCTGTGAGATGCTCGTGGGAGCAAAGTCCCTAAGCGACAGCCGGAATGCTGGTCCCTTAGCTGGTTCCTCGACTGGTAGTCCAGATTCTGTTCGGAAAGGCTATAACTGTTAGTATCCAATTGTAATATGGCGGGATGAAGAGGATGTACTAGCGCTTCGACCTTAGCTATCGGCTGGAGTTCCTCCACCCCATTAAGAGTTACATACTCTGGTCGCCAAATGGATATAGTCGCTTTTTTAGACTCGATGTTGAGAGCAATCACCGCTTTCACGTTACCATCGGTATCCAAGATATAATCATCCGCCAGGTCCGTAGCGGCTTGAACTTTTTGCGCATAGCACACTTCGATAATAACACCGGGGTATTTTGCCTGCTCGTGTTTAAATGATGCATCCGGGCTCCGTTCGGAACGAACCCGCTCTCCGTGTTTTGTATCGTTCGGCAGCCAGATTCGGGTAGTGGATTGATGGTCCACCTTCCTCGCAAAATCAGCGAAGGGTTTATCGCTCTCTCGAAAGTTCTTTCTGTTTCTTAGGCGCCGGCGTGAAGGAGGGATCCAAGGAACCCCCAGGTGGAGTAATTTCATTCATGAGCGGTGAATCAGACAGCATGGTTGGGATACGAGTTTTTTATGCTCCAGCAAAGAGGCCAAGCGCAGGATGAGCTTAGTTGCCGTTTGATAAGGTGGTTAGCTGTCTAGGCGTTAGGTACGAGTATCGAGCTTGAGCTGGTGGCTGGGGTTTCCGAAGCAGATATTCGGACGATGATGGATGGCGAAGTGCAGATGCCAAGGCTTGATTTTTGGGAGATGGAATAATCTTGCCCAATGATTCGGGGAACATTCAGCTGCGGTGTCCGTCCAGTGGCGCTCAATTGAGAAAGCTAATTCTTGCTAGACTCGCTATTTCCCTATCTATCTACATCTATGTTGTAGTTCACATGCATAGTGTGTATGAGAGAGGCAACCATTGGATCAGACCTCAAGAGCACGCAGGGGCTACATAGTTCCCGGGCGGTTAAATGTAACATTAGGACTTTGACAAGTGTTCAACAAATGGGTAAGGACGGAGTATGAGGGTGGTTATACTGTAGAATTCCTGCGGCGAGAAAGGCTTATATACAGTACTCTGTACTTAGGTTAACAAGTGAAAGGATAAAACACATTTAATAGGAACATGATTGAGATTAGACCTCAGCAAACGGATTCCATCCTCCAGCCACCATATCGACCGCCCTCTTAGTCGCTTCATCCAAGTCTTCTTTAGGCAGTCCTAGTACATCATTTGCCAATTCCATTATTCCAGCAAAATCGCCCATTTCGTTGGTTGACGAGAACATAGTCCCATAAAGCACCTTAGCAAATCCCCTAAAATCACCCTTAGCCAATTCCTCCGCACCGTCTGCAAGACGCTTAGCAACACTCTCGTGAGTGATCTCCCAATCAGAGTCTGTGGTTCCCAAGACACGATGCAGACTGTCGAGCATATCGCGTTGCGAGAGGCGGAAGCTATTGATCGGGACATCTTTATTCTTGAAGTCGGCAAGCGCGGGGGTAGATCCCGACTCCGGCAGGCTGAGGAGAGCGGCCAGCGCGCGACCACATTGGTCCCAAGTGCTGATGCTAACGATACGAGCGCCATCATCGAAAAACGTCACCTTCCGGTCTTTAATCGTGAAGCCAAACCATTGCTCGCCGCATGCCAGGCTCCATTCGTACCAGAAACCGCACGGCAGTGTCACCGAGGAGGAGACACCATTTTGAGCCTCGCTTACTCGGCTGAGCGTCATCTTTCCGTATGAATCTCCTTCTTTCACATCACCGGAGCCGATAGGGTACCCATACGCATTTGGCATGATATAGTGAACACCGGCTTTTCCGGCAGCTGCGGTAATTCTAGCATGGAGATCTTCTGGGGCTCGCACCCCAAGGGTAATAACAAGGAATTGCTGGCCATTCAGAGCCTTGATGAGCGAGTCCTCATCGTCGTAATTAACTCGGGCGACTTGGACCCCATCGGGAAGTTTTCCTTTGCTATCTTCGCGGGTAAGAGCTGTGACTGTGTGCTGGCCAGTTTGTAGAAGCGACTGGGCGAATGCTCCGCCTATGCGGCCAGTAGCCTGTTAATGGTTAGCTGTTGTTCCTCGACGGCGTCCAAGCAAAATACAGGGCATGAGCCTGTAGACCTACCCCAACAATGGCAACTCTTGTAATGGGTTTCGTAGACATGTTAAAAGAAATAATTGATAGGAATGGATCTGGAATTTTGTATGACGTGCTTCACCGACGCGAACTTATATACATCCATGACATCCGGAGTCAAGCCGTTATGTCCGGGAGAACGGACGTAAGCATCGGGGTTACAACAAGTAAGCCCGAGCCGAATCACTAATTGTTGATCGGGCTTTGAGAGTCTCCGAGTCCATTTCACGTCGGTCAAGAAAAAGCCGAGACTCCATCTAGATATTTCTAAGGCACGTTGGAGATGGATATCATGAGGGTATGCGTGATGAGATCCGCAGTGATACAAATCACGATCTGCGACGTTTGCTTAGTGTTTCGCCATCAACCCTAAAGCCGCCTCGATGGAGGTAGGCAATTGGACGGGGTTTAGATCTAGCTAGAGGACTCGTTGATCGAAGGTTAGTTGGTTTCCAACAATGTAGAGGCTGGGCTCTCTTGAAGACGCTGGACTCGGTATATGTATGTTGCTAAAAATGGATGGGGCGTTTTCCGTGTCTCTGGTATTAAGGTGAACGAATGGAATACCGAACAGAAAATGTTAAGAGAATGGGCTCCTCATATTCTTATGTGATGTGAATGTCAAGTTAAAGTTGGAGCCCGATACCCAAGGCAGTCTGCAGGCATCCGTAGGCAGACTGCCATGAAAGAACATCCCTAGCGATTTTTAACCATCGTCTTTCATCGAATAAAATAAATCAAATCAAATACTCCCCAATCTTCGTTGTTACTTCGCCTTTCTGTTCGTCATGAATACTTCCGCATCTCCCCATTCAAAGCCGGCGGTGTCGCAGACAGGCCCCACTGGGGCTTTCATGGTCGAGTTGCTGATCACCAATGGGTCACCCTTTAAAGATCACTGGGCGTACTTTGTTCGGTCGCATAACGACCCTGATATCGGCGTAAAGATACACGCGACCGGCAATGTGAGAATTGGCTTTGAATTCGAAATTAAGCGGAGTGAAAACCTACAAACAACCGACGATATTCCGTCAACAAGGGTCCCGCTGCAATGGGTCGATGAAATGTACTTTGATGAGAGCCCTATGCTCAACAACGGGAAATACAAAGTCGACAATTCGCCTGTCTGTCGCTTTGAGGAGAGTGTTTACAAAATCGAAGCTCCAGGAAAAAGTCTCAACACAGTCAGTGACGGGGTGAGTCTCTAATGCAACTGCATTGCTAGTCCAGCCCAATGTTATGCCATGGGCTTGTCTGTCCTGAAAGGCACACTTACGGAAAGCTATACATGGGACTTTATTGCCCCATATGAATATGTAGGCTAATCCGGATATTCTAGTCCAAACCACGTCGAAAGGTTATTCAGAGGGATTGCCAGACATGGATTGTCGAATCTGCCGAGCAACTTCGCCATGACAACATCTTTAGCGAGGAGGTTGTTGCTTATCTTCATGCCATTAAACAGTAAGTAACCATGGATTGATTTATGTCATATGGATGCGAATCAATCCTGTCATCAGGATACTTTGTACCTGCTCGTGGGCGACGGGCATAAAGATACTCGCTCCATGCGAGCACTTTCTATTATATTGCTTTAAACATAGAGGGTTCACCGAATCTTGTGCAGAAGCGCTGAGGTCAATTCCAAGGGGATGTAGGTGCATAATCGTAGAATCCTGATAGGTACGATGCGCTGCATCTCTTAGGTTCCCGCATCTTGAGCAGAAGCAATACAAGTCCCACCTAAGTACGGAGAACATACGGAGTTCAAGGTAGAGATGACTGGTTGGTTTGTGGTGGGACCTCGGTAAAGGGGGTTATGCATGTGTCGATCATAATTTCCGTCCTTCATGATGAACTTGCAGTAGCGCTGTTTAGTGCAATAAACATGCAGAAAATGCTCATGAAAAATTAATAAAGCACTTCTGAGGCAATACTATGCGACCTTGTCAAATTGTCGATTGGGCCACAAATATGTAGGAGCACGAGAGTAGCTTTTGTAGTGATTTTCGACGCAAAAGTTGTCAAGAGAGAGGAAACGATAAGCGAGGCGGGATTCTTCATGATCTCCGTCTCCTTTCCCCACGGAATACAACAGTACAAGCCCCTATAGTGGAACCTCCCAGACTGGGCTATGGAAATATTCAGACGTGAACTTCAAAATTCATTGAAACAGGTTTCAATAAAGCACTTCCATAGCCATGTGCATTGCTTATAAGCTGCATATGCCACCAAACGATGTGAAGTGTTAAGAGCGCCCAGGATTCTGTCGTGTGACTCCACTTCACCTCGAAATTGCTCGGCGATCATGCGAATCCCGATATGGAGTCATCCCGCGACAGCCGTTTTATGACATCTATTGACATGCACTATTGCTTTGAAATAGCTCAACCCAGTGTGATCATCGTCGCGGGGATGCTCTACGCCTGAGCACAGACCCCCCGTGGGGTTCTTAGCATGGGGTCAGCCAGCCACTGCCAATAAGACACGCGATGCTTGAGATCAGCGATCGTCAGGAACTCAATCTCGCTTGACTATTGATTCCGCATGGCATTGAGCCAAGAAATTCCTCGCCCCAACGAGGGGGAGTTATAAAGACAATGAGAGCACCCTGGTCAAATTTATTCCGCTCATTTGACTCGGTCTCATAGTGCTATATTCGTCATGCTTTTCGGTCGCCTTCTCGGCGTGGCCGCGTTCTCCGCCATCGTCAAGGCGGTTGAGTTATCAGGCTATGAATACATCGTGGTTGGCTCTGGGGCAGGAGGTGGTCCTTTAGCAGCGCGACTCGCATTGGCAGGTCATAGCACACTTCTTATCGAAGCTGGAGATGACCAGGGAGCGAATTTGAACTATACCGTCCCAGCTTTCTCTGCCAAGGCTTCCGAGGATGAAGCTCTGGCATGGAACTTCTACGTGAAGCACTACGCCGACGAGGCTCGTCAAAAGCTCGACTTCAAAACAACATACGAAACCCCCGATGGCAAAGAGTACACGGGGTTGAACCCGCCCGCAGGTTCTACAATGAAGGGCACGCTTTATCCCCGTACCGGAACGCTTGGTGGTTGCACGGCACACAACGCTCTCGTTACCGTCTACCCACACGACTCTGACTTCGACTACCTCGCCACTCTCACCGGAGATGCTTCATGGTCACCCGATAATATGCGCAAGTATTTCGAGCGCATGGAGAACAACCGTTACCTGCTCCCATTGCTCAAGGGTCACGGCTATGATGGTTGGTTAAGCACCGAGACCGCACCACTAAGCATCGTTTTGAAAGATCCGCAACTCCTAAGCATGCTGCTTGGCGGAGCATTTTCCCTAGGCAATACGACCAAGTCAATTTTCAATATTGGCACACTCCTCGCAGGAGACGGAAACTCGCCCGCAAAGAACCGTGATACCAAACCCGGATACTATCAAGTTCCCATTGCCTCTGATGAGAGCTCTCGTAACGGTCCTCGCGAGTTCTTGACCGCTGTTAGGGATGCGAAGAACGAAGACGGGTCTAAGAAGTTCCCACTTGACATCCGTATGAACTGCCATGTGACTAAGGTCACCTTTGACGAGACTGTCACCCCTCCCCGTGCGACCGGCGTCGAGTTCCTCGACGGCAAGTATCTATATAGCGCTAGTCCCCGTTCTAAAACGGCTGGCAAGGGAACACCAGGCTCAGCAGTAGCTTCGCGTGAGGTTATCGTCGCCGGTGGCGTATACAACTCGCCCCAGATTCTGAAGCTTAGCGGTGTTGGACCAGGAGAGGAGCTGCAGAAGTTCGGAATCAAGGTTATTTCTAACCTTCCCGGTGTCGGTACAAATCTACAGGATCACTACGAGACCGCGGTGCAAGGTCAACTTCCTAAGGACTTCGCCGCCCTTAAGGGATGTACATTCAATGAGGGTGATAGCGATCCGTGCCTGGACCGTTGGAATAAGCCAGTCCTTGGTGACCACGGTATCTACTCGTCTAACGGATTCGGAGCTGCGATGTACTACAAGAGTTCCGTTACTGCGGATGATAGTTTTGATGTGTTTGTGTTCGGTGGACCCATTAACTTCCGGGGATATTTCCCTGGATACGGTGTCAATATCACCGAGCACAAGGACTGGTTTACTTGGGCCGTTCTGAAGGCTCACCCTCGTAACACTGCTGGATCTGTGATGCTCCGCTCTGCGAATCCGCTCGATATGCCTGAAATCGTTTTCAACTACTTCGATACTGGCTCCGGTGACTATGGAAAGGATTTGCAAGCTATCACTGAGGCTATTCGCCTTGCACGTGGCGCCTTCGATCGTCAGTTGATTGATGTGTCTGAAATCCTCCCTGGTGATGATGTTCAGACTGATGAGCAAATTCATGATTACATCAAGAATACTGCTTGGGGTCACCACGCTTCTTGCACTTGTCCCATTGGAACTGATGATGATCCCATGGCTGTTTTGGACACTAATTTCCAAGTTCGTGGCGTCTCAGGTCTTCGTGTTGTGGACGCCTCTGTGTATCCCCGTATTCCTGGAACCTTCACTGCTCTTTCTACCTTCTTGGTGGGTGAAAAGGCAGCTGATGTCATTCTCGAGGCCGCGAAAGCGAGCCAGTGAGCTTAATTATTTACTATACGTATATACTCCTGAGAGCGGGATTCAATTGTTGGATACGCCGTTCGTACATATTTGACCGACGTCTGCTACATACTTTAGAAAGCAGCAATTAATTTTCAACCAAATTCTTTCATTCACAAATATCCCTGGGAACAGACATATCTCTCCTCAGTAGGCTCAATGCGTTCTAGCACACAGTAATATGTTTAATTCAGGGCCTCTCTAAAGCAAAAATAAAAAGGTCATGTCCCTCCTCTTGGAAATCACCCACGATCTTGAAACCACACTTTTCCAGTACACGGCGGCTGGCAGCATTCCTCTTTTCGCAAAGAGCAAAGGCCTTCTCAGCCTCTCCAGCAGCATCTTCACTGTCAACTGTTCGACGCTCCAGATCCCACCACATCTTCAGCATCAATTGCAAAGCCTCCGTAGCATACCCTTTCCCCCAAGAAGATGGATGCACTGCATATCCAATCTCAGGATACGGATCTACCTGGTTGATACTAAGAGATCCAATGACTCGCTCCTCCGTTTCCGGGATCGACTTGTCCACAATAGCATAATTAAACGAACGCCCGATAATATCGGACGGTCCACTTGAGAACACTTTAGTTGCCATCCATTCACGTGTTTCTTCGATTGATTTGAAAGGTGTTTTGGGATGGCTGGTACAGTCAATATGATTAACATTCCTCATTACTAGGTAAGAACATTTGTACTAACTTCATTTCTGCTACTTCGGGCCGGGAACGAACGACAAAAAGTGCACCGGCATCGTCGTCGGTAATTGGTCGAAGAAGGAGTCGGTCGCTTTCAATTGAGGGCCCTGACAATGGGACAATCGCGTAAACAGGTTGTTGAGGTAGGATCATCTTGAAGGTCTTTTGTTTCTGGATATTGGAGAAATAGGAATGTGAAGATAATATAAGGGAAAATTGGACGGTAGCGCTAAACTAGTCCCGGAGCCCGATTGACTCATTTTTATATCGGCATCCCGGATACTAAAGTCACTTTCTATTGCTTTTTTGTCCTCTATAAAAAATCTTTTACTCTCGTGTCTTTTCTATTTCCCACCAACATTCTCAATGATAACAATGGGAATAATGCGACAGACAATTGTTATTTTGGTTTGAAATTTTGCCCCACAGCGGCTGGCGGCTACAGCCCTATAATCGGATATGGCAGTGTCCGCTTAGGCACTCTTGTCGGGCTGTTGGTTCGAGGTCATGTTCATGGTGAAACGTAACAGTTCATATATAGTGATGCTCAATTTGCCAATGGTGCAAATTATGACCACAAAATATTGAGTTTCCTGAGGCCGCGCTTCGCCCTAGGCTCTGGCTCTGGATTATTGTGCCAGCTTTCGATGAAAGGTCGAATGGGAATTGCCGCCAGTGGGATGATCTTCGTTTTTGCCCAGAACTTGTATGCGAAATACACAATGACGATGAACGGGAGGTTGAAATATGTCGAGACAAAGGTTTCAGTATCCCAATGACCACGCATGAATGTCGTAAACCCTCCAGTGAAGAAAAGAACAATATACACGAACAAGGAGATCCAAGTTGTGTATGGTTGAAAAGGTGCTGCCCACGGGAGCTCCTTGTGGCGATCAATTCCTTGCTTCTTGCATCCATAGTAGAATCTAAGATAGACAATACATATGCAGATCAAGTTCACTAAGGTTGAGATAGAGACAAGATTTTGTAGCCATGTGAATGCCGTACTGGCTGAGCTGGAAATACTCATGTATCCAAGAGTCATGAAAGCCCCATACAGAGCGACAGCGACATAAGGGATGCCGAAGCGGTTGATACGTTTGAAGATGGCAGGTGCGTGGCCCTGGGTTGCCATACCGTACAGGATTCTGGAGCCGCCCAAGATATTGCTGTTCCCGGAGGACCATGCCGAGGTGAGAACAACGGCGTTTATAATTGAGGGGACAACCTTAATGCCAGCATGACGGGCTGCGATGACGAAAGGGGATTGCGAAGCTGTTCCTGACGAACCCAGAAGATTTGGATCGGCAGACGATACGATCAGACCGACCATGAATATTGTTATCACATAGAAAAGCAAGATGCGGACGAAGATCCGTCTGGCAGCCATGGGGATAGAGTGACGAGGGTTTCGAGTCTCGGCTGCAGCGAGAGTGAAGTTCTCAATTCCGGAGTAAGCAAAGAGAGCGTTGTCGAAAGTTTTCCAAAATCCCAGAAACCGGCCAAGGGACCCGCCCACTCCCAAGTATTGAACGAATGGTCCATAGGGTGCTTTCCAGTAGGCAAAACCGATGGACTCGTTATTCGGGGCTCCGCCACAGGTAATCACCTATGGAGATAAATTAGCAAAGAAGAGATGCTGCTAAAGAACGCAATTACCAGAGCCATTATATTTATGCCTATAATGAGCATGATCTTGAGGATCGAAAAGCCGAACTCGAGCTCTCCATACACACGAACAAAGACAAATGCGGTGCAAAGCATGAGAAATCCAAGTACGGTGATCCATATTGCGTTATTGACCGTAACCCAAAATTCAATAATAACAGCCGCAGCGACAATTTCCGACGGAATCGACACAATGTAGGAATATACTTGGTTCCACCCATTGGCGAACGCTAGCGCGGGGTCACAGAAGATCTCTGCATATCGAATAACACCACCATTGAGAGGTACCAAGGCTCCCATCTCACCTACTCCGAAGACGACACTTGAAACAGTTGCACCAATGATTGTATATGCCAAGAACGCACCGAGTGGTCCGGCTTCCACAATGGCTCGGCCCGAACTGAGAAAAATACCGGTCCCCACAGTGCCGGCGAGGGCAATCATTTGAATATGTCGCTGATGGAGACCTTGTTTGAACTCGTGAATCTCCTTGAGCTGGCCTGCGGCATTCTCTGTATCGCTGCTTATCCTCATTTCCCTGTAGTGGGGTAGTTTCGGCTCGGACACAATGGGAGTATCAATGCCATTGCCGTCCTTGGAAATATGGTTCGTCAGAAAATGTGGCATTGAAAACTCTGTGCATGAAATCTTTGAAACTGGAAAGACCTAAGTTTAGGGAGATTAAGCTATTCTTGCTTGTGTTTTTGTGCATAACTAATTCCTCTCGCAGATCACGGCCCTAGGCATGTCGAACAAACACAACTTAGAAAAGGTTAATTTCCAATCCACATCTTGTCGTTGGCTAGTGAATTGGCTAGCCTCTTCCACAAAGGCCTTTTCGCGTAAATCAAAAAAGAAAATGCTCAGACTTTGATAGGGCATCTGTTGACTCCCCGGGTCCTCATCTGCTGCCCAGATGTGGATCATCCCCTCGATAGTGGGCCACGCTTTGTCACATTCGGCTTTTGATTCAGGGCTATTTCTTCTTTTGCATATTCCGCTCAAGGAATGAAGAAATATTCGGTCGGACTTCAAAGGCGTTGGCGGGTTTAGTAAGAGCTTGGTGGAAGGGTATCTTAGAAGTGCTTGAGATGTGTACAAAACCTCACTTAACAGTCATGAGATCGGACAATATACCAAAGGACCTATGAAAGAATGAGCAGTGCCTTATCACAACGTGCACCGAGCTTGACGATATTGAAGGACCACCAGTGTATTGGGTCAAGCAGACATAAGCCCTCCTGTGCACAGTCTGTCACAAAAGGCCATCTCAGGTCTGGTCGTCAAGGCTCTTAAAGATTAGGAACCCTTCTCTGTCAGATATGAAATTTGCTGCTCCAGAGGAAGCTAAGACTCCAACGCAACAAGAAAACCCAGAGGAGAAACATTATGTTAGGTTGGAGGTCCGACGAACAACTCAAAAAGGACTTGCCCAACGCGGAGGCTCTTTGAGCCATGCGGTGAACTTGTGGAACCACAAATGGCATGCCACGACTCTCAGAGGGAATATGGGAAGTTTGTCGAGTGTATCTGCGTCGCGGGCATGGATTTTTGCACGAACTGCCGTTTGGAAGCATCATTGCAAGCGGGGGCAATGAGGGGATTCCAAAAAGAAATGACCGCGCAATGCTAAAGCAGTAGCTAGCAATGAAAAGACTGAGGTAGTCCCGGGAGGTGGCACGAAATGGAATGGCAACCGAGATGTGGCTCTTCGTTTGGCCTAGAGGAGAAATCGACCAATTCATTGAGCGTCACACTGTGGAGCAGAGGGCCGAAGCCTGGGTGCAACTGTACGACCGTCTGCCATTTCCTTTTCTCTGTGATTCTGGTGCTCACTTATTTAAATAAATTTCCTATTACGCAAATGGAATGAGGTAATGTTTTACAAAGGAAACCATAAATGGATAGGTAGTGAAAATTGTCAAGAGAAGGCGGAGTTATCTAGAAGATCAGCAAACATTGGGTCTTGACTATTTTGCGCCTTCCCTCCCCACGATCTTTCTCCCTCCTCTCTCATCACTCTCATTCTCTTAAGTTCCACCTGGGCGGCCTTGAGAGAACTTTCTTCTCATCCGCTTCCTCAATAGCATCCACATGCTAAACACTATAGCGGACCAAGACTAGCCCAGATATCATCGCTAAAGTCACCAGAACCTATTAAACCAGACTGGCAAGCCGATCACTTTGCCCTCACACCCCAGGCAAGATCACCTGGTTCGTCTAGGTCATGGCACTCTGAGACAACAGCCTCAGCATACAACATACAACTCGCATGGCTATACCACCCTCCAAATCAGAAGCGTCTTCGAACTGGCAAGATACACCACCCAAGTTTGGCAGAATCCAGCATCATGGGGATGACAAGCCTCTAAGGCAAAACACGAGAGCTCAAAGCACTTGAAACAAGGACTACCGGGGCTTTTCACAAGTGCCTATTCGTCCCGGGAAAGAGGACCACAGTCCAAACTGATGTCGTTCCCAGCCTTCTTGATCTACGCGGGATCGTCTGGACTTGGACGGTGAGGTCTGGCTTGTAATCTTCAAATGAGCCCACGGAAACGAAAAATTGTCGAGAAATAGTAGCTTCCACAATCCGACTTCCTCCCAACCTCTGTCCCGTCCTCCCTATATACGTATAAACCTCATTTGCACAGCCGGAAAGTCTAACAGCAGCCTTATTGTGCAAAGGGAATTGGAGTGCTCTCGGGGTTGTTGACTCCCTTATCTTTGGCGCGTATGCGACTGCCACTTCAAATGTCAAAAATGCGCAGCCGTTGAATGTCCAGTCTTGGAGGGAGTGAATTTCGGCCCGGTTACTCTTAACCGAAACATGGTGGTTTTCTCTGGGAGACCGGACTATGCAGTCTGGTATGGCGGGAGCGAGGTCCGGTTGTCACTGAGCTTAGTTGGGAGATTCCATGATTTTGCCTTTTGCCATCTCCTGGCGATATACTCCTGGTGGTTTTGAGCTTCTGACGGATGTTCTTCAAGTCCATCATTTCCCCGCATAGCAGTATGTATGTAATAGCGAGCTACATCGGGTTAATGAGAACATCATCAAGTCCATTAGCCTTATTTGCCCTCCATTTATCGTCTACTACGCTAAGTCTACTATCATTGTACAATCGAACTGTTGTTGCCCGTTTCAGTTGGTATCTAATTACCACTAAGCTGAAGTTAATCTCTACTTCAACCCTCCACGTTGAATTTCGTATCCTAGTAGAGTTATCGAGTTTAGGCGGATATCGAGGCTCGATTAAAGGATCAAGAAATATAGGATTCGTTGACAATTATTAATAAGAGTAGAATACAACATACATGCCTAGGTGGTCGCCAGGCTGCCCTACGAAAGGCAAACCTAGATAGCACTACTCAGCTCATCAAGGCCCTCTATGGCTGACTTCACTGGCTCGGTCGAACATTGTAAATTCGAAAGGCTGCTCTTCCAAGAGTAAATACGAGACAGTCTGAGAGTGCGGACGTCGAAAATGGTGCCCACAGCGACGTGTTTTTCCGGCGTGTCTTCCCTCAGCCAAGCGCCCGTGCGGCTGTGCCCCAGGATAGCGGGATGCGGTGGCCTGGCCCCCAAGTACATTTCTCGATGAGGAAGGCTGCCCCAACGGTTTATTGGTCTCTGTCTTGCAGATCTTTCAATTCATCCCATTTGAGAGCACCCGCCTCATGACTTCTTGCTAAGAAAACCCAGGCTTCTGTGCGAAATTCTGAATTAAGACGATATTGCAGATATGGGCAAATGATCGCAATGCCAACACACTCTCCCAAGTCAATGGACCCTTGGCACTAATCGAGGCTGAGTCCCTGACAACTCACATCAAATTTCCGCACAGAGCGCCAAGCTCGTATCGAGAATACACTAACGGAGGCTCTGTACCAGACCGGATAGAGCCGCAAATTACGATCGCCGGGGTAGTGGGACACAACTCACAGGTTAACAGGCTCGTTCTTTCACTTGGCAAAGTTAAAGATTAAACTTATTTTTGCGCTGATCAGGCGGCAGGGTCTTCTTAATACGATGCGGACCTCACTCGTGTTAATCGGACCCTACGCTAAAAAAGCCACATCTCGTATATTTCCGCCCATCTCGTGTTTAGCGGGATCAAATCATTTTGATTGGCTATAAGCACTCTTGGCATTTTCTCTTGTAGGTAATATGTGGAGGATACGAATTGCTTTGAGCAAACTGAGAAGAGCCCCTATCGAGAATAGAAACCACTATATATTCTGGCTGTAAGCCACGTCCAAATCTAGTTCTGCAAGACCTTCCTTTCCACAGTCGCTCTCTACGGAATTCCATATCGCAACTTTCACATTCACCACTTTTCCATTCCTTCATTTCAATCTTCCACAATGCGTTTCTCACCCCTCGCTATCTTGGCTCTCGCCTCCGCCGCCGTCGCGGCCGATATCAAGACCTGGGACGATGTCGTTGGTGACGTTCCCCAGTGCGTCAAGACCTGTCTCGGCGATTACTACGACAACATCGGTCTCAAGGACCAGTGCGGAAGCTCCGATAAAGCCACTGTTGACTGTCTCTGTGGAACTTCTGCCTCCGTTTCGGATGTCCGGGAGGACGCCTCCGAACTGAGCAAGTGTATGCAGAATGGCTGCGAGACCAATGAACTTTCGGATGGTCTTTCAAAGCTCCAGGATTTCCAGGAACGTCTCCAGAGTCTCTACAGCCAGTGCACCGGCAAGGGTATGTTTCTCTCGAATTTCTTTTGGTTTTTATTTTTTTCCAATTATACTACTGGGGAAATACGAATGCTAATTGTCAACTGTGTAGAATCTTCCTCCTCTTCCTCTTCCTCTTCTTCTTCCTCCTCCTCCGACGACTCCAAGGAGACCGACTCCAAGGATACCGAATCCAAGGACACCGAGTCCAAGGATGCCGACTCCAAGGACGCCGAGGCCAACGGCGCCAGCTCTCTGATCCCAGGACGCAACGCAATGCTCGCCTCTGGAGCTCTGCTTCTCGCTGCCATGGCCCTTTGAGTTAATTTGGCATCGATGGTTTCAATGTGTACTCGAGGTCCGACATAATCTAATATACCAACCACTACTTATTTAATACAACATTTGATTGGTCGTATAAATCTCACAAACATGCCGAGTAGAGAACAAGTATCAAAATTCAAATACATACGGAGTAATTCGGTCAAAGAAACGGGCTCGATCGACGAGCGTTCGGTCAGGATCTCTGTGGGTCCAAGATCGGGATCTCCCGATCTGCCGAAAAGGGTAAAAAGGGGTCACCCATTCTGGTACGGAGTATAGTTAGTCATCAACATAATTCTCATACTTCTAGTACATATCTATGTGCGATGCCAAATGACACAAGCTATCATAATATCAGCTGGACCAATTTTTGATGATGATGTGATTAAATTATTAGGCCGCTATTGTGCAAACTGCTGCAGATCACTTCTAAAGGTCCAGACAAAGCATCGCGGTAAGAGCGTTTCTTTAAATGCAGGCACATTTTAACTCACATTTTATCTAACATGTGGCGTCCAAATTGCTTGATCCTTAAAAATCGCTCATGATTGGCCTTAATTACAGGATCTGACCTATCACGTTGTTTTATATGTGAATCTTCGTCGCCATTATCAAGAGCCATGAGGTCATCTAGGACTGAGAGCTCCAAAAATAGCGCAATTTACTATATATTTTCTGTAATGTGATTGTTAACCCTTTGCCATCAAAAGCAATTCATCATTCTCCAAGTACTTTCTTCAATATGTGAAATCACGTCATTTGGCGCGAAGAATACTCATCAACACAACGTGATATCGTAAACTCTATCTTCATCACAATTTATTCAAAAGGATGGGAGCTGGCAACTCTTCCAACCACCTATCTCGTTATGGTTTGAGACCACTATGTCAAACTCTCCCGAGGAGCTCAAGGGGATCGCCATTGCAGGGCGAGTCTCTTCAGTTCTCTCTATCCTGGGTTCATTCACAATAATCGGTGCCTTCTCTCTTTCTCGGCACTTCCGGAGTCCTATTCACCGTATTATATTTTTCAATTCCTTCTATAACCTGTTCGACTCTGTCGCTACCATGATATCCACCAGTGGACCTGCCGCTGGAAACACTTCATCCCTATGTCGATTCCAAGGCTTTGCTCTCCAGATGTATGTTCTTAGTATTGAGCGGGATTTAGTGAAGCAATTCTAACCGGAAGAAAAAGGTTTCCAGTAGCTGACGTGCTCTGGACATTCGCAATGGCCTGGGATACATACTTGGTTGTCTTCTATCATTTTGATACTCAAGCTTTGCGCAAGCTCGAGGTTAAATACATTGGTGCTATAACTATTCTCTCGTTCATTCCTGCCTTTGTCTTCCTCTTCATCCATACTCAAGAGAAAGGCCCTATATATGGTGATCAAATCGTGAGTATTGCTAATCCACCCAGAACCATGTCTAAGCCTAATCAAACTTGCATAGATCTGGTGCTCAATATCCCGCAGTTGGATGCTTCTCCGCATAATATTCTACTATGCACCCGTATGGTGCGTATTTTTCTATTCTACTCAACTACTCTTCTAATGTAAACAGGCTGATAATAGTCATCGTCCTAATACTATATTGTCTCATCGGTATCGAGATCACCCGAGTCCGCGACGAGTTCAAACTGAGCGACGACGATCGTATCGCTCTAACCTCTGGCAACTCTTCCAACAGCGTCGCCACAACAACTACGGAAGCGAATACTCGGGTGAAACCTGGTTCCACCCCGGAATCTACTATGACAAGCGATACCAGAGAACAAATCACGTTCCAGCACCCGCCTACATCCAGAAATGCCACGACAGGTTATCAAACTCCGAAACAAAGACGTGTATCGTTAAGGCAATACGTGATCATGCCATCGCTTTTCTTCCTTGCCATGTTAGCAACATGGATTGCACCTTCGATCAACCGTATCTCGGAATTCGTGCATCATAAACATGGGAACTATTCGCTTCTGCTCTCTGTGAGTACATTGGGGTCCCTGCGGGGGTTTTGGAATGGTGTTATTTTCATGATTATTGGCATGAAAGGGTGGAAGAGACGAGCTTCGGGGAAGAGAATGGCTCTCAGACAGGTAAGATTGTCTTTTTTTACCTTGGCTATTATCTCGGACAGTTGCTGACTTCACTATATTATAGACGAGAATTGGTCGTGAATGATTCAGACGCCTTTGTTTTCCATGTTTAAATGATACCCTATTTAATTATTTTAGAAAATACGTTCAGCCTACCAAACTTTTCAAGAGCTCTAGTGTGCATCAGCAAAAGCAAAGCAATCGCGGAACTAAGACGAGCCCATACAGTCAGCTACTCCGCCACATCCCCCACGTTCTTCAGTTTGATATTTATCATTTCCATCTGATACATTTATTCGACATCGACATAATACAGAAGACTCCCATATGCAACAACCCAGGTAGCTCTCTATCTGGAAAACCGAAATGCGACCAAATAAAACACTCTAGTCCATACCCCTCGGACTAAAAGAAAGCAGTTCATCTCGAACTGATGACATCAACACCATCATATAGAATGCCAAAGCCCTTAAGCAGATTAATTGCGGCAGTTTCACCCGACTTGAAAGCACCATGCACGCAGCCATTACCAACAATAGTACAATGCTCACCAGCAAACTGCAAGCGACTAGATTTATGGTTTTCCAACGCATCAACTAGCAGTTGCGGTTCATCCCCAACTTTGTCAGCGGAGTAGGTCCCATACCCAGCCAGCGGGTCCTGGGTCCAATGTGTAGTCTCAACATTAATCAGACGAGGCAAAGCCTTGTACGGTTCTGTACGGAATAATTTGAAAAGCGGTTCAAAAAATAGGTATATCTCCTTCTGATCTTTCATGTTCTCGATGCGCTGCGTCAGAGGCTCTGCAATCTGAACACACAGCTCTTTGCCGCCCGTCATAATCCACAGATTAATTGTCACGGTGGCGTAGTTGAGGATGTTATCTTTCTCCACGATAGAGTTTATGCTCGGGGTGGACTGCACAGATGACCCGGACGAAGCATCCGATTCCTCTGGCGATGGGTAGAAAACGAACTGGTCGTTGTCTTTTGACCAGAAGACTTCGGCGAACTCGAAAAACACTTTGCCCAAGGCACCGTAGCTGACCCTGGACATGCCCTCTTGTATGTCACTCGGTAAGGGCGGGTTGAATGAAATCAGGTTGTGGTGATACACCCCCAGCGGGGTGGTCATGATAACTGCATCTCCCCCGATGAACCCGACTTCTCCAGCAGCATCCTTATACCGGATTCGAGCGGGCGAGGTCTCGTCTTCGTTCCACTCCACGTCTTCGACGTGGTGATTGAGTCGGATGATGCTTGGATCGCTTCGGAGCGTCTCCGCAGTCCAGTTCACGATCCGATCATATCCACCCTTCATATATAGATTGCGCTCAGTGATGAAATAAGACAGATGTTTAGACGATGCTTGGTCCGTACTAGTTCCGATCCACAATTCCACCTCACGAACAGCCTGAGGAGCCCACTCCCTCTCATCTTCAGTGATGAGCTGGTGTTGTAGGACGAATTCCGTCGCGAATTCGTGCACAGGACGGTCCTCGGCGTCCGGGTTAGTTTCGTAAAACCACTCGCAATAATCCGCGAACTCGTCCGCGACTTTCTTAGCTTTGAACTGGGATCCAGCTCGACCTTCTCTGGTGAAGTACAAAGGAAGGCCATCGTCATAATAATACGGGATAGATAGCTTTGGAATGAGTTTCACCAGGCTATTCTGGGAAGTTTCATGCATCCAAGCGGCGCCTATTTAATATCAGCACATATATCGTTTGACTCTCTGTACCACCTGGGCTATGGCTATCATTATCATACCGATATCTCGGACATGGTCGCCCTTTCTAGTGGTCTGGATTCTTCCACCAATGCGATCGCGTGCTTCTAGTACCACCACTTCACAACCGTGGCGGTACAGGACCGCTGCGGCATGTAAGCCAGAAATACCAGCGCCCACCACAATCACCTTCTTGCGCTCCGACCTCGCTGCGTGTGTTCCCTCGATCGACCCCTTCGGAGTGATATCGAGTGCAGCCAGGTCGGAGCAACAATTACTAGGTTCTATAGGACTAATGCCTGTGATGGGAGAAGAAATGTGGTAAGACTGAGCCATTCTGAGTTGACAAGTTGACATTCGAGTTTGAGGGTTTGGGGTATTGGAGTATTGTGGCGAACAAGTATGTATCGCGACGGAAGTTGGGGTGGTTCGGGTTTGTTATCGCCATGCATAGTGACCATTGTGGACTTTGGTCTTATTGGCTTTTATTGCCAGCAGAAACGTGGCTATCTATGTCCACGGGGTGAGTTACTAGAATATTATAGGGTAATTATTAATTTAATAAACACTTTTAGTCACATGGATATATTGTATTATCTATGGAAAAGTAATTTGTAGGAATTTTGCATTGGTTTCTAGCTTTTATATAGAGATCTGAAATGATATTCACAGGGATTAAAAATATTTAAAACAGCTAATAATAACGCCCGTCTATATCGTCTTAATTACCTTGTTCACCTTATTTACGTCATCGCTAAATATAGCGTATAAACGGCGATTGATATCGCTATGGCTAACTATGAATCTAACGCTATGTAAACAAACAAAGTATAAAAATCCATTACTTTCAAGGCGGAGCCTCAAGCGGTGACTCTTGAAAGCCAATAGGACCAAAGCCTACCATGGCCACTATAATGCGATAGGCTGTGAGGGGAAATTAACTGCGCAGTGGGTTGTCAGCTTGAATGATTTTATCCACATTATTTAGGAATCCAGTATTCTACTAATATCAGAACCGAGGTATTTGTTTTAGCCTAGAGAAACCATATTCTCGCCCTTCATTGTTCCCAATCGGACCGGACCCGCATCATTGCCCGCATGTACCCGCATTGACCTGCAAATCAGGTGAGATTGGGCGCAGTGGAATGAGATTACCGGGTCAGGCGAGTCCTTTAATAATGTCCAATCAGATCTATGTATGGAGTAGATAACCTTGGAATATTCCAAGAACAGCTTTCTGGACCTGATCCCGGATTAATGTTACAGCTGTTAGTTAAGTATGAGAAATATATTGTCTATTTAGTCTAAGCGATCGCAATGGAGATTATCCGAAAGAATCGAGAAAGCAAACAAAGGGAGGCAAACACTCCAATGCGGGTGATACGGTCGTGTGACCGAAACTGGCAAGCACTTAATCCTGCACGAACCTATTGTACTTCGACTGGTTCTACATCATCATATGAGAGTTTGACACATAGATGTGTAGTAAATCTTGGAAATGATTTTTTTTTGAACTCCATAGAAAAGATACCTTGGAAAGCCAAACGGAACCCTCAAGGTTTTGATGTTCATATAAGAATGATACTAGAAAAAACAGCACCTACTTTATAAATATATCAGCAATCCTAGTCTGGAAAGTCACTGTCGAATTCTCAAGGATCCGTCACGGGTTCTTGATCTGCCAAAACCCTCCTCCGCGGCATTTCCTGGTGGATTCTCCGCCGGTGTCTTCGGCACTAGGTCAGGTCCTAACTCAAATAGGCAAGTTATTCAGCTCGTTGGTCGAGGTTCGCATAAAGGCAAATCAAATTGAACTCCCAAACCGCGTCACAAAAGTCCTGTTACACAGGAGCAAGGTGAAAAGATCGACCCATTATAGGTTGATAAGTCGACAAGTTGACATCCAAGTTTGAAGACAAGTACCACAGTAGAAAGGATATATGGCTATAATAAGCCATATATTCTAGAATAGCCCTATCTAAAAATAAGTGTAAAGGACAAAGTTCAACGTAGAGTCGCTGGGCAAAGGCTTAGCCTTATCTGTTGCCCCACATGGAAATCGAAAATTCTTATCCTCACAATTTTTCACTTCTTTTTTTTCACCCCCCCAATAGAGACTCAACTGTAAAAATGTCTCCATGACTGGCTTACCGGGTCGGGTTTTTATCAGATTCCGATTTTGAATTTAGAAATGGAGGACACAGAACTCAATGGCACAGAGCGCATCTGCGTTGATGGGGAAATCACATTGATCCCATCACCTACCAATTCTCCAAATGATCCAATGAACTGGAGTACCTGGAGACGGTATTGGCATGCATTTCTGGTCCTCTTTTTTGTCGCCTTGACCGCAGCAACTGCCAACGATGCTGGCAACGCTGGTAACGGCATGAACGCCGATCTGGGGATCACGTGGAATCAAATCAACACGGCTGCAGGTGTCTTGTTTGTCGGTATTGGATATACCACATTGCTCCTCGGCCCGGCACCTTTCTTATATGGAAGACGTATCTCCTATCTGATTTGTCTGGTGTTTTCCGTCATCGGGTCCATCGGGCTGGCCCGCACCCAAAGTGTCGGGGACAACATCTGGAGCCAACTTTTCGTGGGCGCCTCCGAATCCTGCGCGGAGGCACTTGCCCAATTGTCTCTTTCCGATCTGTTCTTTCAGCATCAAAGAGGTATGGTACTAGGATTATACGTTCTTGCCACGAGTATCGGTACATTCACCGGACCCTTGGTGTCCGGCTTTATCACCGTCTCTCCCCTGGGTTGGAGATGGGTGGGCTGGTTTGCTGCCATCATATCAGGGAGCTTGATCGTTGTCTTCTACTTCACATTGGAGGAAACCTTCTTCGATCGAAACAATCCTATCCACGGACATCATGCGCCTCATAGCGCGAATGAGCTCCCCTTGGACAAAAAGGATAAACCCATTGCGAGCGTGCAGCCATCACCCTCCGACAGTGAACTCGACGAAGAATGCGGCCAGGAAAAAGGAAAGACATATTTCCAGCGTATCGCTCTGATCACCCCATCGCCAACCCTGGTCGGAACGGGCTTCAAGCAGTATTGCCGACGTCTATTGCACACGCTCCGCGTCTTCACCTTCCCGGCAGTCCTCTACTCAGGCCTTCAATGGGGTGCCCAAGACGCCTGGCTGACCTTCTACCTCACCGTTGAAGCGGACAATTGGTACGGGCCACCGTGGAACTACACTGACGCCGCAGTGGGCATCATGAACGTGCCGACTCTGATCGGATCAGTCCTCGGCTGTATTTACGGTGGATGGTTCTCCGACTTCTTCGTCATGTGGATGGCCAAGCGAAACAAGGGAATTTTCGAGGCTGAGCAGCGTCTCTGGCTCTTGTTGCCTGTTGCGTTCATCGGCCCTGCTGGCCTCATGCTATTCGGGATCGGCTCGGACAAAGGCTGGAACTGGCCTCTGCCGTATCTTGGACTGGGATTCATTGGTTTCGGCTGGGGTTGTGCGGGCGATCTTAGCATGGCGTATCTCATGGATGCGTACCCGGATATGGTGCTGGAAGGCATGGTCGGTGTCTCCGTTATCAACAACACTATTGGTTGCATTTTCACATTCTGCGCTGGGCTTTGGTTGGATTCGCAGAGTCTGGCTCAGGTCTTCATTGCGATTGGTGTTTTGAGTTTCTGTTTTATTATGACTACTATCCCCATGATGTACTGGGGCAAGAAGTGTCGGCAGATGACCCGGAAGCAGTACGAGGCCTTCCTGCTGCTTCGTGATGGACCTTCTAACTGACAGTGGCTTGCCATTGTCATTCTCTGTCTGCATTTCTCAATATATATGTACAATCTTTACATTAATCTGTATATCTTGGAGCATTAATGAAATAAGCAGGCCTCGTCTGCTCTGACTTCAGTCAGTTCTACTTGTACTTTCACTAGTTAACCGCTCCTACACTTACAAGAAGGGGTGTATCGCAATAATAGAGAGAAAAAGAAGGGCGGGAATGTCTTTATCCGGTCACTCTCAATCGTCAACCAGGTTAGCGAAATCTTTGATGGGCCAGATCTGAGAATATTTTGGAGACCCAGCTCAGACATGGTACATTAGTGTGCTTATAATGCCGCGACGAAATGTTACTCAAGTCCTTGAACTTGTCTGCGAGGTAAGAATATTGTACTTCAAACCAAGTATGTGCATGTGGCGTTCGTCAACACTTTAATTTAAAGTCGGGACTCAACCTAGATGTACCAAACAACATGCATCCTATTCTACGAAATGAATAATAGAAGATAGAGAGAATACCGACTAAATTTGCCAGATACAAAGTCGAGGGAAATGTTCTCAGGGCATACGTAGTCCTCCCGCTCAACTGGGAAGAGCTACGCAAGCTGCCCCGTCATCCAAGCTTTTTTAGGTGGATCGCCAATTTCGATGCCACCACTGATACTGATATTCTACACATCTCATAACTACGGAAGCCTTATCCACTACGGTTCCTATCAACGGATCCAATTGTTATCCCCCGGTTTAGTGGCTGGATGCGTAGTCGATGTGATGTTCCAAGGTTGCACATGTTGACATGCATCTAAGAATAAAACTAATGAACCCATTCGCGGATCTACCGTGTTCGCTTGTTCGCCGAAGCTAAATCTTACTGCTTATAATTCCGGGGATTCGCCCATTATTCTGATTCTTAATTGTTCTGTGCATCTACTACTTATTTCGTTCACTCTGCTCTACCGACTTCAACATGGGCTTCAAGTCTTACTACCAATGGATTACTCTCGCCGTGGCTGCGACCGCTGCTGCTCAAACTACCACCAGCTGCAACCCTACGGAAAGTATGTGTATTCTATGTTCTCCGCCCTAAAACCGAACTAACAGTTCCTTCCAGAGACGTGCCCAGCGGACACCGGTCTAAATAAGTACCGTCTAAACACGGACTTTACCTCCGGATCTCTAGGTCGCTGGAACACCACCGCCGGCACCGTAACCAGCACCGACCTGGGCGCCAAATTCACCATCTCCGAGCAGGGCGACGCCCCCACCATCGAAAGTGAATTCTACATCTTCTTCGGCCATGTCGATGTCAAGCTGAGAGCCGCAAAGGGCACCGGCATCGTCAGCACCTGGATCCTAGAATCCGACGACCTAGACGAGATCGACTGGGTACGTCCACCGACATCCTCAGCCAAATTAAAAAATGTACAACTAACACCAGGCCAGGAACAAATCAGCACCTGGGACACAGAAATCCAAACCAACTACTTCGGCAAAGGGAACACAACCTCCTACGACCGCGGCACAACCGTAACCGTCTCAACCCCAGAAGAAACCTTCCACACCTACTCAGTCGACTGGACCCACGAGCGCATCGAGTGGCTCCTCGACGGCGAAGTCGTGCGCACACTCAACTACGCCGATGCCCTCGACGGCAAAAATTACCCCCAAACACCCATGCGCATCCGCATCGGTATCTGGGCCGGCGGTGACCCGGATAACTCTGAGGGTACGATTGAGTGGGCTGGTGGCGAGACTGATTATACTGAAGGTCCTTTCTCTATGTATGTTGAGTCGGTTGATATTATTAACTATAACCCGGCTTCGGCGTACAAGTATACCGATATGACTGGCGATTATACGAGTATCGAGGCTACGAATTCTACGACCTCGACTAACTTGGGCTCGTCGAGCTCGAGCTCGATTGTTGCTTCGAGTAGCACTTCTGCTTCCGTTAGGGCTAGCTCGTCTTTGGTTGGTTCTTCGTCGGCGACGGCTTCGGTGGCGGCTTCTAGTGGTTTTGTCTCTTCTGCTTCGGTTGCTTACTTTACTTCGGGCTTTGCTGTTGCTGTGGCCTCTCTTATTGCTGGATTGGTTCAACTTTAGGGTTATGATATAAGTCTAGGTAGTTCTTCGGTGAGACCTGGTTTGTATATATGCAAATCACATTTGTCGTTTGGTCATTTTTTTGATGTGTTATTGCCCATGTTTCATATAGGATTGCAGACCCAGTAGATATTCATTGACTCTATAGTACTCACCTGGGCGATAGCCTCGGATGACTGCAGTGGTAGCAAACCAAAACAATAAGTTTCAGCTACACTAAAACATTCATTTGGAGACTACATAGTACTTTTCAAGTCTGTTCTATATTTCTGTCGCTCTCTGGATTTCTTTACAGAGAGAAACTCTCTCTACTGAATTTAGCATATGGGGACAAAGGGGTAGATCCCAGAACTACTGAGGGCAGGTTAATAAAACACGGAGTAAATGCAGGGGTATGTAGCCGTGTCAACGCGTCAAAGTCATCACACAACCTACTTGCATCCCATCAAATGGGGTCTTTAATAAGAAGTTTCGCTCGCCTACACGCGAACAAAATCAGACCACAGCCAGGAATAAGCCCCGCTTATCGCATCCCTAGAGCCTCATCAACAACCATCCAATTCAGACCCTCATCAACATTAGACCATGTCTCCACAGAAAAGCCCCGATCTTTCCCAACGGAGGGATTCCCAGTAATTGAACCAGGCCAGCCACTCAAGAAGAACAATTATTCGACTACAGCCCCCACCGATATTACCCAGCATACATCGGCGAGATCTTCGAAGACCGCTATCAAGTATGTGCGAAGCTAGGCTGGGACAGTTGATTGTTCGACTACATGGCTAGCCCGGGACCTCAGGTTCGTCAAGAGCAAACAGTTCCACATTTAGAAAGCTGACTACATTCAGAGAGAATAAATACGTCGCGTTGAAGGTCTATATCCACAACTCGGTATTTCACCGCGAGCCCCCATTTTACAAAAATATCGCTCCCCTCATGTCAAGCGATCATCCAGGGAGAGAGAATATTCGTCGATTCTTCGACTCTTTCACAGTCACCGGCCCGGATGGTAGACATATCGTGCTAGTTCAGGAACCCGCGTGTATCAGTCTATTCGACTATAAGCAAAACATACACGGGAAGGGAGTTCCAGAATATAATGCAAAAGCTATACTAGAGGAGTTACTCAAGGCCTTGGATTTTCTGCATACAGAATGCAAGGCTGTACACACTGGTCGGTCTTATCCCATGTTTAGATGTTTTGCGCATGCTTATCTACTTATAGATGTCCATATCGGTAATTTGCTAGCATGCATGGACGACAGCAAGAATTCCGCATTCAAAGATATAGAGGAATCCGAGATAAACGACCCCTCAGCACGCAAGAAAGTATCCCCCGATCGAACCATTTATCTCTCGCGAGCCATCCTCCCGAAGGAGGGACCGCTGAAGCTTTCTGATTTCGGCGAAGCTAGGATCGGGCCTGGTCCGTATGATTATCCTGCCATGCCTTTTCAATATCGCGCGCCTTACGTTACGCTCGAGGTGCCGTGGAGCTATCCGGTTGATATTTGGTGTGTTGGGCTTACGGTGCGTTCTGACTATATTCCACTTCTGATAGCTTCTTGCCATAAGTGCTGATCTTCACGTAGGCATGTGATCTTCTCGGGCTGGATATGCTTTTCAAAGCGGATCACACGGCCGGCGATATGTATGGGGCAGCACACTTTGCGGAGTTGATTGCCGTGCTGGGTCTGCCGCCTGCTGCGTTCCTAGAGCTCAATCCTGAGAAGGCGGCTCGGTTCTGGGATCAAGAGGGTATGTGTTGCTTGATGCAATTTGTGGTGAGATTTATTGCTAATTTGGTTATCTAGGGAAATGGAAGGATGTTGTCCCTATTCCGAAGATAGGCATGCTTGAGTCGTTGGAGGGTCAATTGGGTCTACCTCTTGCGTTTGTCAAGTTCTTGCGCAGAACTTTGACATGGATGCCGAATGAGAGAGCGACTGCTAAAGAACTTTTAGAGGATCCCTGGTTGAAAGGTTGAACTCGGGATGCTCTATGTATGATATCTGGACTGCTTGATAGAACAATCTCTACTCAGATCATTTTACCAGTTCTTTCGGCTTTTTTGCTATTGCAATCGTATCCTAAAGTAAATGGATTCGAAGGCAATTTAGACATTATTGACGTCAATTGAGTGTAGGTTGATAAATCTAACTACGGTTTTTGTATATTCCAACCCATTGTCAGTCCACTCAGCCCACAAAACAAAAGAATTCAACACCACAACGACCAAAAAGCAAAAAAGAAATTCTTGTGCATCATCCGTGAATCGAACACGGGCCTCGTCGATGGCAACGACGAATTCTACCACTAGACCAATGATGCTAGTTGATGTGTGGAGACTCGGTTGTTGGCTATAAGAGTGGATTGTGTGTAAGACAGCCCTAGAGGAGCTCCACTATACCCAGGTGGGATTCCATGTCGCCAACTCCTTTTGAGAGACATAGTAATGGCGGAATGCTTGACCATTGAATTGAATGCTATAATTAGCTCGTATTCTTCATATCCAATGCATCATTCCGGAGCTTTGGGGTATTCTCATCGTTTCATTTGTTTAGAATGATTACGCCCGAAGATATATATATAACGGATAGATTTCAATTATTTTCCATTTCGCCACAAATTAATCTGACGATAATCATCTCAGTAAGACAACAAATGGATACTAGATACACTGAAATGATACAGAAGAGGTAAAAAAATGTACTTGGTCATAAGGCATGAATAGATACATCGAAATGCAAAAGCAGTCAACCGGGGTGAAGAAAGGTAAAAGAATATGTAACAGAAATGTAACAAAAATGTAACAGAAATGGTATATGTAGAAAGAATCATTGTTCATCAGTGGTCGGGGGAGGGTTGACGATATCTCGTATCGCTGGAGAGAAAGGATATTGCTCGTCAAAGTGGTCCAGCTCACTTCCGTCACCACTGTACCCAATGCTATCGCGATTGTCATCAATGATGCGTCCGTACTCGAGTAAAACAAGATAGAGATAGATGTCAAGATCCTCGTTGCGCAGCGCGTGATGCGCCCATTCCCGACTTTGAGAGGCGATCACCTCAGCCTCAAAGCCATGCTCCTGGATATGCGGCTCAGTAATTGGCGCATCCACAGGGGATGCTTGTGGACCCAGACCGAGGAAGTAGGTCATTAACCCGTACAGGTCATCGTAGCGATTGTCCATGGGAACGAAATGACGCCAGGGGAAGAGCCTGGAGTCGTGCCATTCGCGGAAAATAGTTGCCTTAATCCCCAGGGACTTGCTGAGCTGGAATGCGCGCCAGCGGCCGGAGAAACTATGACCATCAATGTCGACGAGATATTTTGCCTTGAATTGCTCGCTAAAGTCCTTGGGCTTTTTGTAGGTCCACACATCGTCGTAGAAGGAGCAGTTCGGGATGCAGCCCCAAGATTCAGTGAATCCGACATCGAAGTGGTCCATTGCAAAATTGCTTGCGTTGAAATTGGGGTAGGTATGATACTGCCCCGGGCTGGTCTCGGAGAGGATTGAGACCGTCTCAGATCTCATGTCAGTTTCGTTGGTAATGTGCACAAAGCGTTGACGGTGCATGCGCTGCCAGTTATCTGCAAGTTGAACACCCCCGGATGTGACACCGCGCCAGATGAGAGTGTCGGATTTGTCTTTCCACTCGTAGTCGTGTCGCGAATTGTAGACGTACCGCTTATCGTCCATGAAATACATATTTGCAGGAAAAAGGATGTCATTGTTCACGCTAACCTTGCATTCACTAAAGACCGGGATCAGTTTTTTTGTGATGAGATTGCTGGATGCCGAGAACAAAAACCCATGGTTCTCCCCAAGAACGGGACCAACAGTGCAAAGATCCGAGGAAGCAGTAAAGTTAGTGACAAACCCACCCGAGGGGGATTTGTATAGCTTATCAGCATCCTCTACAGTGAGATTGTCATTCCGAGCGGGAGAGTCAGGGTCACAGGACTCCTTAGCGAAGTCCATGTATAGCTTCCCAGCGATCGAGAACCAGGATGGGTCGGGGCGTTCCTCGATGGTGGAATTCTCCTTATAAAGATAGTCCATATCCGGCGTGAATCTATCCTGCGCATCGCTAGGTAAGCTTCTAGTGCGGGCTTCGGCGCGGAGGTATTCTTGGGTATCCTCAAATGGAACCATAACTCGCGGCTGATCCATGATATTAAGCGCAATATCCATATCTGGAAGATACCGAACAATGCGCTTAACCGACTTCCTTAGCGTTTCAATCCTCCACCCTTCGACGGGGGAGTCAACGACCTTCTTATCGCGAATCTGTAAACCCGCGATTCCGTCGCTGAATTGTAGCTCGGCCGCCATCTTTCGAATTTCCGCCGGAGGTAGCGCCCAGAAAGGCCGTAGATCGCTTGTAATCTGCTGGAAATCGTCCATGTTGTGCGCCTTGTTTTTGCGTGCGAACATGTACCATTCCTTAAAACCGGGAGGCGGGTGTCTTCCATATTTCTCACGGTATTTGGCGACTGTTTGGCGGAAGCTTGTCGAGCGATCATTCTCATATGCAAGCCATTGTCGGTCCGCTTCCCTCATCAAGTCGCCGATAGGGTGTTTATCATGCGCATAACTTTCCGATCACGGGATTTGTTGTTGCGGAGAAAAGATTCAGATTAGGGAGGCGGATCACGGAGTTGTCGACAGTATGGGTGAGGAATAGGAGGTTGAGGAAACATATCGAGGTTACTGCGCAGCCCAGTACCAGGTAGAATACCCTGCGATTCCGAGGGAATGAGCCGAGCATTTAGAACGGTTCCCAAGATCGGGAGCTAGGTTCTAGCCGCACACTAAATTTCAACAATCTAGGGAGTGAAAAGATCAAAGCACGAAGGCTATGAGAGAGATGAGGAAAAGGACATGGTTGTAATAAACAGCTAAGAGCTGGCAAGAGGGGAAAAAAAAAGAAAGCCAAAAAAGTCGCCATAGGAGGCCTTAGCCTCCCCCCCAAACCCTGTTCCAACTGGAGACGCCAAGGGTTTATAACCATACTAATGGAGTTTTGGGTTAATTTTTGATTTGATGTTACATGTAATATTTTAGTAGGTATCAGGGACCTATCACACCGATCTATACCTCGTCGGCAACTTTGGTTAGAACAATGTAGATCATATTAAAAGGGGCTGATCAAAGAAAAGAACGTGGTCAAGTTGCCCAATCAGGAACTTTCGGAGTAGACGCCGAGCGAGTCCAAGAGTTTGACTCCTTTACGAACTTTTGTGTATCTGCTAAGCGTTACAAGAGATTAATAAATTACTCTGTATGTTGTACGGAGTACATATTCTGAAACTATTTCTTTTTCCTAATTCAATAAGAAATGAAGCATTTTAATATATCTTAGCCTAGCATATGTTTTGTATAGGCTAAACGTTAGGGTTTTTCTCTTCACGGGCCGACACATTCCTGACTCAGAACTTATATAAGCTGGTCTTGCGGCCCCGTGGGGCCTCAGGCGCCTCTAGCTAAGAGCTGTCCATGAGACTCTCACACATCTTCATTACAACTACTTTCAGCGCGCACAATTTCTCCTATGCAGATGACATGATCAACAACTCCTCATGGGTGACTGTCCCATCCGAAAATTATGGCCCTAAAACGTACTCGTGCCGCACTTGAGGCCGATCTTCAAGCAGAGCAATCCCCATACGCCTTCTATGGAACCCAGTTACCGCCACTTGAAGAGGGGGTTCGCGATGATGGCTCGTTTGTGCCAATATGGAAACAGGAAGTGAAGGATGAACATGGGAGCAAACGTCTTCATGGCGCATTCACCGGCGGATTCAGCGCGGGGTGAGTCCCTAGACCAATGACCCTTGGAAGCACAACCACTGACGTCTGTTAGATATTTCAACTCTGTCGGCTCGAAAGAAGGATGGACCCCTGCGACCTTCGTCTCATCGCGCCAGAACCGTGCCCAGAAGGTTGAACAGAAACGACCCGAGGATTTTATGGACGCAGATGACTTGCGAGAACAGGAAGAAGCTAGACAACTACAGACAGCCGATGAATTCGCGGGTTTTGGTTCGACCGAACTAGATGCGACACGCAGAGCAGGACTTATGGATATCTTGAAAACCGGCGGAGAGACTATGGGAGTAAAGCTCTTGAAAAAGATGGGTTGGCGCGAAGGTCAAGGGATTGGGCCTAAGGTGCGACGCAAAGCCAATCTGGATGAAAGTTTTGCTCCAGGTGGTGATACGGGGGAAACCTACCTTTTCGCTCCTGAAAACCCACCCATGGTTGCCTTCATTCGCAAGACCGACCGCAAAGGTCTTGGGTTTGAAGGCGAATCGCGTTTGGATTCCCACAATGCTTTGCAACCTATTCCCGATCGCGAGGAATCAGATTCATTCTTTGGGGGCCGATTGGCTATTAAAGGGAAACCTCAGCCGCCAAAATTGAATGATTCACGGCGGGGAGGACTCGGGGTTGGCCCTCTCAATGACACTGGGTCGGACGATGAGGATCCTTATTCCCTAGGTCCACAAATCTCATATAACAAGACCATTGGAGGGGATAAGAAGAAAAAGAAAAAGGCCAAACCAGAACCAGCAATTGCGTCGTCCAACCCACTCTTGAATATAAAGCCCGTGTTCATTTCGAAGAAGGTAGCCGCATCACGCGGGCCTGGAGGCTTCAGAAAGTGCCGCGACGGGCGCCTACCGTTAGATGGATTTATTCTTGCAGATGGCATCGCAGGATTGTCTATTTCAGAGAAGAAATACGAACCTCCTGTGATACCCGACGACTGGAAGTCGGCCAAACAAATCTCGTCAGAAAAACGGGACAAATCGAATTATGTTTCAACAGCTGATGCTGCAAAAGCCTCATCGCTCAATCCCACGGCCAGAGCAGCACTTCTGGGCGAAGCTCAATTACCTGGGAAGTCTGTCTTTGACTATATGACCCCCGAGGGACGAGCGAAGCTTGCCAAACTCACCGGCAACGCCAATTTACCTCCAGCTTTAGGAGAGAAGGCGCCCGAAGGATACAAACTCCCCGAATCACAAAAACGCAAGGATCTTTGGGACCTTGTGCCAAAACTTGACAAACAGATTGCCGCCCAAGCTCTAGCTCGGGCCGTTAGTGGGTGGATGCCTTACCAAGAAGATGAGAAAAAGCGTGCACGCTACCAAATATTCCTCGAAGTCAGTGCCGGGACTCGCTCTACCCTCCCAGAACGGGCGGAGGGTTCCAGCACCGATGAATGGGTTATAGAGATGCAGGAATTTGGCCGAGCTGCAGAGGTCTTCAAACCCATGTCCGGAGTTATGGCATCCCGATTTACCTCCTCGTCCACTGCGCCCAAGGTTGTCTCGGATGCCTCCGATTCTACAGAATCTGGGCTCAACAGACCCTCCGAAAAGCCAGACGACCCTGCAGTAGCGGCTGCCAAAATTGGCATGTTCGGCCCAATGACCAGAAGTACAATTCCCTTCTACCCAACTCGTCTTCTATGCAAGCGATTCAACGTCAAACCACCCCCGAACGTGCAACTTGACCCCGGCGAACGGCCTGAAGCTTCCAGTTCGGGGCCCGGCACGCGTTTCCAGTCTGCTGGATTCCAAACCGACACTGGTCCAAAACAATTGGTGTCGCAGGATATCATGAACCAACTTCTCATAGACTCGTTAGGTTATCTACCTACAGCAGAAGGCCTTGATCCATCTGCGAGTGGTCAGCCTGCGGCGCCACCGGTAGTTATTGAACCTGAGCGCAATGATGCACTGGAGGCAGAACGGCCTGGCGACGCTGTTTTCAAAGCTATCTTTGGTAGTGACGACGAAGATGACTAAAATTGCCCATTTGTACATATAATCCAATAAAAATGTATTTTTTAGTTATGGCCCTGTACTCTATACGAATTAAGCAGTTGTGCTTTGTAGATCACTGTGAGACTTTTGGAGTCGGCCCAGTTGGCAGACCGAATGGGAGAGACTGTGGAATGTTACCCTTGTTTCTATTTGATTCTCTTCATTTTTTATTCCTTTTCTTTTCTCTTACCTTTTGCCTACTTACCAGGTCTGTGCTCAGCCTTAAAGATCTAGTCGCTTTAGAGCGTTGAGATCGACGCTACTCCACGCAACCCCCGAACGCCCCTCTCAAATTACTTCCCCTCCTCATATGGAGCTCCTTGATCGCTAGCAAGATGGTAAAGAGCCCCCGAACCCAGCCCTCAGGACCTGTACATATATTATCGTCATTAAGACTGGTCACATTGCTTGGCACTATTCAATGTCGCACGACTTCAAAGCCCCGGCTCTCATTTCCATACCAAACCCGCAATCGCCCCATACATCATAACTAACAACCCCCTTTTTAACACAGGGCTGCTGCGCGTCTCTGTTGTCGCGCAATGACGATAACCAACCCCAAGAGCGTATCTCTACAGCAACGAGGAATACCACCGATCGCTCCACACAACAACGAACACGGCGCGCCCCAAACCTCCCTCTAAACGTACACTACAACCAGCCCGTGCGCAACCACGTATGGCGCAGCAAGCGACGCACATGGACGCGCGCACAGCTCGACCGCGAGCGCATCGAGTTCTTCGAGACACGTGTCACAGGCAGGCCGGAGATCTGGGCTGCTGTTTCGACGGTTATATCGCTGATTCGAAGCGGTGATTTGGTTACTGCGCAGAGTATTATTGATGCTGCCGGGATTACTGTTCCCACTGGAGATCTTTGTGAGGGTTGTTATGATGAGCAGGGCGTGCTTTACAGGGTTCCGCAATGTGTTGTTAGTGATCCGGAGAACATGGTTCCTTCGTCTTCGCGGACGGCTAGTGAAGATGGCGGTCCTGCTGGATATGAGCCGGATACTGGGGGAATCTCGGATGGAAAGCTTGCTACGGATGATGCTTCTGGGGACGAGTTGATTTCTCAGGATGTTGAACATCGGGATGAGAAAGGGAAGACGAGTGAGCGGGATTTGATCCGTGTGTTTGCTCGTTTGAGTGACGGGGGTCCTGATATCGTGCTTTCTATTGGTAAGGGTCAGCCCGTGGGGCTTTTGGCGAGGAAGGTTCATCAGGAAGCTAAGGTTGTTTTTATCTGTTCGTTTTGTTTTGTGGATTATTGCTGATTATTGTTTAGCTCGAGGATGGTAGGCGTGTTCGAATCGCTTACTTGGGTCGCTTGCTGAATGAGCGTCAACCGCTTGTTGATCAGGGATGGAAGACTGGCCATGTTGTCAATGCTTTGGTCGTTTCCCCTGTTGATGATCTAGGTCTTGGACACCGATCCTAGGAGTGCTACGGACTTTTAGGCGCTGATGGTCGGCATCACTCATTTCTTCTTCTCTATTTGGACAGCGTTGTGGCGTTTCTGTCATCTGATCTCTTTCTGCATAATACCCCGAGTCTTTTGTTTTCTTTTCTTCAATTACAACCAGATACTCTTCTCTCATATCCTCTGGAATGATCTCTCGGGGAATATTCATACTCTTGAGCCAACTGGCTCTCAACTCTGTCGACTTATGTGCATCTAATTCATCTAGTTACCGTGCAATGTCAATGACTTTGACTTTAATGTTTTGCTTGACAAACCACCCACTACTAGTTGTCCACTGGCTGTCGCCCGCAGGGACGAAGTCAAACCGCCGCACGAGTTGTGGTAAAAGTTTTGTCATTTCGAGGAGTGAGATGTTCTTACCGATGCATGTTCTTGCACCGGCACCAAACTGTAGATGCTATCAGCACGACTTATTCCATTTGTCGGAGGACAGGACATACCCCTAAGAAATGACGATCTAAGAACGCGAGTTGTTCTTTGCCAACCAACCATCGCTCGGGTCGAAACTCGTGTACATCTTTGCCCCATATGCTCTCATCGCTATGGATCACCCATGCATTTACGCCCACCACCGTCTGTTAACACATGATTAGCCTTTGTTTCTGAAGAGGGCCAGCTTGAGTTGCTTGAAACCTACACCTTGTGGGAAATGTCTGCCCGCGATCTCTGCGCCACCCTCAGGAACCACTCTGCTGAGAATCTGGCCGACTGCTGCATGCAGTCTCAAGGCCTCTTTAATGGTAGCCTGCAAATATGAAAGCTTTTGACCTTCTTGGAAAGTCACCGGGTCCGAAAGATTTCCTTGTTCAGCGGCCGTCTCAATCTCATCCCGGAGCTTCTGTAAGCAACCCGGATTCTTCATGAGAAAGTAGATAACAGCACTCATGCTGATGCCAGTTGTGTCCGAGCCAGCACCGATGTTACCAGCAATCACATTATTGATGGTGGAGTGATCCAGCTTGCCAGCTTCGTTCAATTCAATGCATTTAGCTAGAAAGTCCTTTCGATCGCTGGTGGTGACACCCTTCATCCTTGCACCGATCTCCCTCTTTACCACTCGTTGCATGACCTTCCAATGACTTTCAATAGGTACGACACTCTGAAACCAGAGGTACCATGGATGAATCTCAGGAACAAGGCCCACCATGGAACCGTAACTTACCGCCGCGACATGAATAGCATGCAGAAGTCCGTCCTTGTCATGACCGGCTTCGACCAAGCCGAATGATCGCCCCAGCGTTATTTCGCCGATCACGTCGAATGCGTAAAATTGCATCCAGGTGAACAAATCAAACACACGCCCGTGCTGAGCATGGTCGGCCAAAGCAGACATGAATTCGCCATTAACTTGGTCTACGAATGGCTCGTAGGACACCAAAGAGCTCATGGCGTACATATTGGAGGTCTTTTTGCGTTCTATTGCATGATTCTCATTGATCGTCTCCGAAAAGACATCCTTGTGGCCCATAGAAGGTGCACCGAAGGGGGTGTAAAATTCGGATTTACTGAACTTTGACCCAGGGCCATAAATGGTACGGATTGCAGTCGGGTCGCTGATGCTGTAACGATTCGGGGCCAACCGGACAATAGGACCTATCCAGAATTAGTATACAAATCTGTGTTGCGTGAATTGACATACCATATTGTTTGTGTAGAGCGACTGTCACAAGTTCCAATTGACCTTGCCAGTTTTTGTACAACTCCCACAAACGAGTATATCGAGTGAGGATTGGGCTTTTGACATCACGTAGAGGACTGAAGTAATCCCCGAGCAGATAATACAGGATCAAGAGGGTGCTTCCTGCGGCAATGAGCGTCGGAACATCATATGGTATGTATGTAGCTTGAGAAATCATATTGTAGAAAAAATCTTGCCAGTCATAATTCTGACCAAGGCAATACAACTGAGGGCTAACTGGGTTATTATTTAAACTGTTTATCATAGGTTTCCGATGATTCCGCGGGATGCACAGAAGGGGATGCAAGGATCTCGGAACAAGGCCGCGGAAGCGTCTTGGAGACTTGGAATATATTCGCTTGGGACTATAGAGGCCTCTTCACGGAACGGTCCGCTAATTTGCGGGGTTGAGCTTCGTTCTTAATAAATACCATGTGTTTTCTAGTAACCTTGAAGGTAAGGTAGACTAGAGCTACCTAAATCCCGGCGTATATTTAGTTTAACTCCAGAATTCTGACCTGATCTACCAGGTACTAATCCTAACATCACTGTATAAGAACCTATCTCAGAAAGGCCATTTTGACCGCAAATGAGATGGGTCTGACCTCGAAACATTTGACTATGAACTAATTTGTGAAGTGGCTATATGATGTCTACACCTAGACCTCCGCAAAGCCCACAAAGGGGTTCGAGACCTGTCCAAAGCATTCTTGATATGGCGGAACTTCCAAAATACCCTTTGTATAACATATATGCTTTTTACTACAGCATCCCAATCAAAGATGTCTCCCCGAAACTAACCATTCTTCTTATCCCTGGAGCCTGGCATCAAGGCAGCACTTTCGAACCAGTAGCAGCACTCCTATTGTCACAGAGGTATTCCATGGAAACACTTGCATTATTGTTTGTTGGCAGAAAGGATGTATGTTCACAGCCTGTACATCTTTTCTCAGAAAACAATATAAAATTGGCGAGAATTTCTAGTTATGCTAAATCACTATATATACTGTCCTGCATAAATTAGCGGCATGCCTACAGAGGACAGAATTTTTCAAGTGCTGTCCGCGTAATACAAATGTGACTACTCCGTATAGACATCAAATATTTAAGTCCGAACCGTTTGTTAAGTTTAACTAGTCCCCCGAGCTACGCCAAAAGAGGAGAAATTGTCATCGACCTCGGGAGCCAATAGCACCCGTTAGACGATCACTTGACCCGCCTACGTCCGAGGCGCCCAGAGTGTCTATGGCGGAATTCTCTCAGCCAACAATACTTGGCCCTTGGCATCCTTCGGAGTAAAGGTTGTTCCATGGAGTTTCTCCGATCCATCTGCACCTTTAACTCTAAAAGGCGGGTACGCTAAGCCAAAAACAGCAAAAAAGTCATCAGTCGTCGGTCCCGAGGTCTGAACTATAGAAAGGCGAAGAAAACTCTCTCGGAGATGGCAGAAGTCCGGCTTTGAAATGCAATTTCTGAGAATCACGACCACGGGAATTCTGGACTTTAGAGGTTAAATCCGAGTGCTTTGAAATGCGAAAAGTCTGTATATACTTAGCTAGAAGCCTGAAGGAAAAAGATAAATAGTTCACCGATGCCCCCGAACTCTGAGTCCTAAACTCATCAAGATATTTCATTCCAATCATCACCCAGATTTAAACAGCCAAAGTTTCTTTATTCAAGATGTCCCGTTACGCAGAAGCTCATTCGAACCCTGCTGGCCCCGGCGACGCTCGCCCAACAGCTCTCCAGATTATCAAGGATGAAGCAGCAGAGGGCAAGCTAGCCGGGAAGGTGATTGTCATCACAGGCACTTCGTCTGGAATCGGAATTGAGACAGCTCGTGCTCTCTCTTTGACTGGAGCTAGGCTATTGTTGACGGCACGAGACCTGAACAAAGCCAAGTCTGCTCTCGGGGGAATTCTCGAACGAGACGGCATTGAACTTGTTGAGATGGACAACACTTCCTTGAGCAGTGTGCGTGCTGCCACCCAAACCATTCTCCAGAAGTCGAACGGCCTAGTCAACATCCTAGTCAACAACGCCGGTATCATGGCCTTACAGAAGCTAGAGCACACCAACGACGGCTTTGAAATGCAGTTTGGAGTCAACCATCTCGCCCATTTCCTTCTCTTTGAGCTTTTGAAACCAGCTCTCCTCGCCAGCGCCAGTCCTGAATTCTCGTCTCGAGTCGTCAACGTCTCTTCGTCTGCCCACCATGTAGCCTCGATCAATGAAGCAGGTGACTACAATTTCGAGAAGACTGAATACAACGACTGGGTTTCTTACGGACAATCCAAGACCGCCAATATCTACATGGCCAACGAGATCGAGCGGCGCTACGGGTCGCGAGGACTCCATGCTACCAGCCTTCATCCTGGCACGATTGCAACGGGGCTTACGCAGCATATGGACCCTGCGATGCTGGAAATCTTCAAGAAAGATGAAGGGGTATTCAAAATGATGAAGTCGCCAGAGCAGGGGGCTGCAACGACAGTGTGGGCTGCGATTGGCCAAGAATGGGAGAAGAAGGGTGGAGAATTCCTTGCTGATTGTGGAAAAACCACACGGGGCAATGACAATCGTGAGATTGCCGGTGCAGGCTTTGCAGGGCATGCATATGATCCCGAGAGAGAGGCTCGGCTCTGGAAAGACTCCCTGAAGATGGTGGGGTTGAAGGATGATCAGTAGGCGAAGTGGAACAGAATTAGTAGGAATGATGTGGTGACCATATCACCATTGCTACTTAACTGCCTTTTGTCAGTAACTGCTACCTTTGGAAGATGTCAGGCTAGATAGTCAAGCATAGCTAGAATGAATCGCACGTTTTATAAAGCTCAATCCGCCCTCCCCCGCTCCTCGGCGATTCACCAGACTCCATATCCATATCCAAGTCGGAAGTTAGTTTTGAAACATATTTTGCGCCATGCCTACCATAATTTGTACAAGAGCAATATTATATTGGCAAACCGCAGAAAACATATATAAACATCGACTGCTATGCTAGTGCTAACGTATCTATCCTCCACTCAACGCTACGTGCGAGAGCGGTGGTGACGGGTAGCTCCTCGACATCGCGAGTCTTATAGGTTCCTCTCCTCTTTTCATCCTCCAGTGGTTGCTTATTTCCACCAACTCATCGCAGCCCTCCGCGAAACATGCCCATTTCGCGAGAAAACCGGGCGTGGCCTCCCAGCTCTTCATCTCGTGCGGCTCGCCCCAGACAATGAGCCCGGTACGTCCGGCGGTCACTTCATCTAGATCCATCCCAGATGAAAGGGCTAGGGGCCGTTGAGCTTCGGGAACTTTGGCAGGAACGGGCGCGTCTCGTCGTCGCTGCACTGGCGTCGAGTTCAATAGATCACCGACAAGGTCTTGCATCAGCTCCCAAGGGTCGAACCGGCCTTCGTATCTGATAAGGTTGTCACGGAGGCTGGGAAAGGGGATGACGTTAATCCAGGATGAGTGGTCGCGAGTTTGCTGGAGGGCCGTGGGGATGAGGCAGGGAGGGATGTCGCGCTTGATAGGGTAGAGGGCCGTGTCGTCATGACAGGGCGAAGAAATGGTGCAGATGGTCGAGTCGACGGGTACGGTGTTGAGAGTACGCATATTAGAGATGAAGGCGCGGAAGACATTATACTGAATGAGATGGAGGAGATGGTCCAAGGACAAAGGAAAAGTAAAGGGCAGGGGTTCCAAATTTACGGGCTGGTGGTGGGCAGTGGATGGTGATCCTCGTAGGACGTCTGTACGCTTGGCTGTAGAGCGTGGTATGCCTGTGTACGTGTAAGGCGGTTGCAGGGAGAACGAAGTGTTTGTCGCACGTCCCGATGCTAGCGAGATTTCCTGTGAGGGAATATGCTCGGGCTCGTCGAGGCGCCAGCGCCTCACCCGGAATGGGCGCGACTCCTGACTATGATTTGAGTCTCTGCCCTTGAGGCGTAGTCCTGTAAGGTTTCTCAGTATAGAACGGGTTATAGTAGCGAGGGCCATACTTACGGTGTGCTCTTTGATTCTTCCGGTTCTGAACTCTCCTGCACTGCTTGTTGGCATCCGCTTCACGGTCGTCTATGGTCTGTCTCGCTGCGCCCTGGAGCCAAGAAAGCTGACTCCCGACATACTCCATCGTCCTGGTTTAGCGAAGGCCTAATTTTGTGTAATGTTTTCGATATGTGATATCTAGAAGTGAGCAAAGCAGACTAGTACTAGTCATAGTTCGGGCTGAAGTATCCCGCTTGAGATACGCTGAAGTAAAAAGTCCCACTGCGAGCTAAGTAACTCTTAAGGGAAGAGCGGGCCCTATATGCACATGGCTTAGGGAGGCTAGGCTAGAAACGGCAAAAAAGTCATCGCTCTCAAACTCTAAATGGAAATTGAGTGTTCTGATTCGTTGAAAATTTACCTAGTCCGATCTCGGAACAGAGATTCACCGCGTGGCGTTGGGCGTTTGGCACGATTAATCCGCTCTGGCTACAAGCTACCCATGCAGATCTAAGGCAAATAGACTGATTCTTTAGCTGACTAACGGACTCTCCGGGATTATGCACAACATACACTTTGTGTGATTGAAATACTCCATACCAGAGCTGTCCATAAAAAGCAACCTTTAGAATAAGTCGGCGTCTTATGGGAGTATTCGATCTTTGTCCCTTCTGGGTCCTTGGGAAAAGCCTTCAGCTATTCCAACCTTGGAAGGTTGATTCCAAGATTATTATGGAAGAAAATAAACAAGGCTAGAACAATAATAGTATTGACCGAATTGAGGGTAAAATATTGCCTTTATGAATCTGTTTTGTTTATAGAAATGGGCCTTACGTGACCGCTCTTTCTACCGGATACTGCCTGGCACTCAAGACCTTCCCTTTTCTATTTTAATTCTCATCCCTTGCCGCTTTTTGACCACTAAGTAAAACCAAGCACGTCCCTGAGTATCCTGACTTCCAAGGTTGGTCATGGCCATTACATAATCATCTGATCTGCCCCGCCCTTGGGGCTGCCCGGTGGACCAGGGCTCACTGAGCATCACCCGAACGCTGAGTGTTCACTGAGTGTATTGGTAGGGATGAGCGGCCTGGGTAAGCTACATAAATACAATGCGACACGCTAGCCACATCACATGCAGACCTACCTAATTCGATCTCCGTCGTCCTATCAAAGAAGGACTGCGCCGTTAACGTGACTGTTCATCCTTTGTTGTAGCGGTCTCATTCCTATCCAAGTAAAAGGCCACAGTGGGGCTATTTAACTAACCTATCATTTTCCCAATTCAACCTACAACATATGCTTCTGAGATACTGGGAATACCCCTGGGCATACCTCACTAATAGCTCAGCGATCCCTTAATCGGACTTTAGAGCACCAGCTTGATGTGTTGCTATGATATTGTTGATCGTCTCCTCGACCTTCGGAGAAGTCAACGGGTTTTTTTTTTTTTTTTTTTTTTGGTACGGCAGGCATCAATATGGACGTGTCAATAAACCACCAGGGACAGTTTCAGGTCTTCCTGGGCCATGAACTCTGAAGACCACAGTTTCTGGAATACGACACTGGTTTTAAACACTCTAATACTGTACCCATTCGAAGATTTTAAGAATACTTGAGAGCTACTTAATCTATTTAGTGCCCTTATTTTCTTCGGCCATTCCCAGTAGTGACGCTTTGAGGCATCTCTTAACATGGCTTCTGCATCCCTCACCCATTCCAATCGATCTAAATCTGTCAAAATGTCCATGTGCCAAAAACAAGGTCGTCACAAATCAAGCCCAATGAGAAAAAGCGTCTGAATACAGCAACATGGTGCAACGCTGATATCTGTGTGGGCATCAGTCTTTGGGAAACTGGCCAAGTATTTATCTTGTCAGGGGATGCTTCGGGGCTACCAAGCCCAGGACATCTCTAAACTGGATGAAATTTTTTTTACTGTAGACTTGGGGGGTGCCTAGGTACTAGGAAAAATGCGCTGATTTGGAATGGAGACTGTTGTCCACCCAATAATATTCAACAAACACACTACTTCTTTCAGTTATGTAAAAAGAAAATGAAGTATTCCAAATAACCGTTGTTTGCTTGTTATTGTTCCTAAACATCATGTCTCTTCAACTGGTGTCTTTACACTTAGCCCGTGTTTCCATTTGCATTCTAAATGTTGATTACCCATACCAGACTTTGCCTCAAGTATTGACTCAGTATATATGCCTTTGTAGAACTGGAAAAAAAACAGGTGGGCAATAATCACTACTTTTTGTCTTGTTTCATATTACAGGGCGCTGGGTCTCATGCCACCAGGGACAATGGTTTGCCAGCCGATCATTCCGTTATGGGGAAGCCCTTAACCGGGGCCAAATGTAACACTTTCTAGGCTTCCATTTTCAGGGGCGCCTGACCAAATTTCAGACGCATCCAGGCTAGGAATCTGGCCGCTAGTCTGCCCGATTGGCCTGTCTTGGAGTCAGGATCGGCGTATGAGCTTATAAAATAGTACTCTTTTTGCCGATCAGCGTTTGTTTACTTATTTCAAAATGCTTCTGATGCATTTGCCGTAGCCCACTGGCACCATGGCCAACGGGGACGTCTTTCTTGTACGAGTAATTCGCTCGACGATACCCTGTTGGTTGGTCTCCTTTTCGTTGATTGTATCCTTTGTTTCCTCCTTCCCTCTAGCCCGCATCCATCGTTCTAGATGCGAACAGTGTGGCCTTTTCTTGTCATTTGCGTCATTGCCCAAGCGGTTTTGGCCCCAGCTACTCGAGGGGAGTTGCTGGACCCCGCTTTGGGGAGTGGGGGCGCGGCGTAATGGGACTCGGGTGGCGGGCCGATCCATGCCATGCTATGGGGGTTGCTGCGCCCAATATGTGCATGTCTAGTCTTCGGGGGGTAGCACCCGGGTTTCCGTATGCACTGTGTATTATGCAGAATTGGGCAGCGGGGAGGCTGCTGCGAAGGCGTACAAATCCTCGTAGGGCTACGGAAACCACCGTTCTTATTGGTTCTTAGCTCGTGTTGTTTGCCTTGTGGGTCCTAATGTCAACTTCATGTTCACAGGCCGTGGACTCAAGAAAAAGTCATGTTATCTGCTCCATGACAAAATATGAACTCATGTCATAATCCGTCCCTTTATATTTTTTGTGCTTGTACGAAAAATCGCTTGATATGGGAGACCGATATCAGTCGAAGCCCTAGCAAGCAAGGAGGACCGATTATGCAACACCTTTTATCAAAAAAAATTGAGATGTCATGGTAATGAAACGTCGCTACGCCGGTGCACCCGTAAGCATGTTGCTCCGTCTCTCCTTGCATGCATTATGCACCCTACCTCACATGTAGGTATTCTCGTACTCTCTACCATGGGTGGCCTTATTGTCCAAAAGTAGACGAATGTTTCCGGTCCTGTCTTTATATAAGTCGCGAAAGGACGCTCCAATTCACCTGGATATCGACGATATTGTTTCCTTCAAACACCAGCAAACTCCTCAACATGAAGCCCACTCAATTCGCAGTCCTCATCACCGGTCTCCTTGGCACCGTCGCCATGGCCAACCCCATTGCAGGCCCGGAGCCGAACCAGTTGGAGGTGGCTCCCCGTGCCAAGTACACCGTCAAGTGCGATGGGGGTTTGACTCCCGACTCTCGTTGCACCAATGGGAAGAAGAAAGATGGCTGTCGATGTGACAGCAAGGGAACTTACCTTTGTGACCCTTCGAGTCTCTCGAAGAAGGGCGGCCAGTGTGCCAAGTGTGGCTGTCACGCTTCGTAGTGAGTATTGTTTCTGTGTAGAATACCCAGTGCCTGTATGGTGGCTTGAGATGGAACCGCTAACATGATCTCCTTAGAGAATGCGGCATCATGTAACTTTGTCACCGGATGGAAGTGGAATAGGAAATGGGTGTCTGTCTATCCTCGCAAGTGGAAATGGGGAACGGGTGTCTATCCTTACTTGCAAGTGACGACTGGTTCGACAAATACAATCAGACAGTCTTTACAGTAAACCCGATTTGACCATCGTAAAATAATACATTGAGTCCTATGTATAATTCAGAACGTGATCTTCGTAACTTACGCCAACAGATGATACTCCTACATGTACCATAGCGGACAACGAGCCTCCACGTAGAAGCTGATCACCCATGTCAAAGATGCGAGTGGCTATGAGTGATTATGATGCTGCCTAACAGGGAGCCAGCTTTTCTGCTACCCCTTCCCGGCTTAGATGATGGCATAATCAGGTTTCCGCCCTGTCGCATATAAAAGCATCCTTGTCGCACATTTCAGACTTTCCATCCACATCTCAGACTTCCCATCCACATTTCCACAACATAAGACAAAACCCACCAAAGAGTATACTATCATACTAAACCTACATTAAAACTCAATACTCAAGACATATTATCCCAATCTTTTTCAATCATGTCGTCGACTCATCCCTTGGAGTTCCACGCCCCTGGGTGGCATGATGAGGAACGAACACCAGTTGTGGATGGCAAATATTGCGATCGCGCTACCGGCGAGATCAAGCTTGCATCAGACGGCGATTATCAGGAGTATATGGGCCCACCAGCGGTCGATATTATCGTTCGGAGTCAGCATATTGACACCGTCAACTGCATCTACCGTGCATCACGGTCCTTTCCTATGGAAACTCTCCTGTGCCATATCATGAAGGTGGTTGGGGATAGAAAATTGGAGCTGGATTCAGTCATTGCGACAACATATTCGATTCGGGTCACCCTAGCACACGAACTCACGCCCGACCAGTTCAGTGAGATTGCACTCAATATGGCGAACGGGGTCTGGGACCAGGTCGATTGAGGCATTGATCCAGAAATACAATCCTGCTGTTGGATTGAAAACTTGCTGTTCCCTACCGAAATTCGAGATATCGGACTATCTATCTGAATTCAAGTCACTTCCCTTTACGTACACAACCTGCATGTCTCAAGACCATACCTCCTTACCATGATCGTCCATCAAAGTCGTATAAGCTCCCATTGTATTACACGCTTTTATGTATGCTGCTCTAATTGCTGACGAAGGTCTCGCTGTCTTCTCGTCTCGGTAAGTCCCTTTCGCCCTTGTCGGTAATACGGCCAACAATTTCCTACGTCACCGGTCGCGCACTCCAGTTGATACGCCCTAATGCAGCTCCGGTCCACCACTTGTAGAGGAATGGATGATTCACTCACCAAACCGGGGTAAGTGAAAGTCTGTACCTTAGATCCATCATATGGATTCCTTACATGCAATGCTCTGCTTGACTGTTATCTATCGCAATGTAAAGTTGTCCCCATTTCTTTTCTCCACAGAGAGCCGACTGAGATTTTGATCTTATCTTTACCCTTACAGATAGAATTGATATTTGGTGTACCGTTGTACTACTTGCTTTTGCTGCAGGTGGCAGACTCTAACTGCAATTGTCCTGAAAGTAGTCGGTTGCACATCGCACCATGCATCAATCGTTATCTAGAAATTTCGCATGACAGAAGATAAGCGGTTGTTTGCCAGGGTAAGTATAATATTTTGCACATTCAGATATTGGGTTAGAAAAAAGTGGAATGTCATCCTTAAGCTGATTTGGGATTTCATGCACCTGTTATCTACACTTATGGCCAGTTTGAAGTTGGATTCGCATGTCATCCTTTCTATGACATACCACCATACTCTTACAGTAGCGACAGGTATCGTCTTCCATGTCGGGAACAGAGAGATCATCTTTCAAACCCTAATCACATGACATGCTGACCCAGATATAGATAGCGCATAAGTAAGACGTTTTATACCTCCCCGACCAAGTAATAAATACCAGGAGCCCAAAAGATACTAGTACAGTATGGAAGATACTGTAGTCTAGAACTAGACATCTAGACTAGAAGATTCGATGCAAACCCAGTAAACATGGAGGCCTTTGAGTAGGCAATCTATCAATAACTCCCCCTTCGTCATAATGTATTTTCTTAATGAGGTGTAGTGCTCCAGAAAATGAGGGCAGCGACAATGCTACCAATGAACTGACTATCAAAGTATAAACGACCCTATAGGGGCTAATCCCTTCTAGGTATAGTCTGAGGTAGGCTGAGTGCATCAGTGTTGATCACTGATTGGACACCGAGCATCAGTCATCCCACACGTGACTGGTCTGAAGATGATCACCAATCAGAGCTCGTGCTGATATCTACCCGTGGACTCTGTGAACCTGAGCCTGAGCACCCTCATAAAAGCGGCGGCAGCAGCTCAACTAGGAAAGCCCCACCCGCCAGGGGATGTCCGGTACGGAGTAGGTGCATGTAGATCGTTCTGCATGAAGATGGCGAAGTCTCTACTAATACTAGTCAAAATATCTCACGGAGCACGGGGGGATCCGGCCCCACTTTTAAAAACAGTGTCGTCCCTTCACCGTTAAGATTCTTTTCTTATCATTCAATCTCGTGGGCAATATGAAAGCTGCAGCTCCAGCTCAATCTCGGGGTAAAAGGTCACTAGGTGCTTCTCGGGAGCCCCGGCCTCGGAAAAGGGAGAAGTATGCAAGAATGGCCTGGTAGGTCAAACCCTCTCCATGCATCACTACAAGGCTAGATTGCTTACCCCCCCCCCCCCAATAGCTCCCTGTGCAAGGCACGAAAGGTTAAATGCAGCGGCAACCAACCGTGCAGCCGGTGCGAGGAGCTTCATAGCGAATGCACCTATACTGAACCGCTCCAGCCTGATACTGGGTATGCCCCATGGATATGAGGGAATGGCGTCCTAGTCCATGCTAGAAACTAATCATCAAACAGAAGTTTTGACCCACAGCCAGCGTATCAAGACCTCGAGGTCACAGTTCAGCGAATGAACAGGATCTGTGACCAGATGCAACAATCGATGGGCCGGTTTGGCCTCAGCCATTCAAGCAGGTCCTGCCTGCAACGAAGAAAAGGTGACCAGCAAACACCCCGGCTCAGCAAACCCCTCGCCCTTACGGATTTCCAACACAACTTGTGTCTTACACGAGATGCTATGAAAGCAAAGGGCCTGCCATCTTCTTCACACTCCCAAGATAACCCTTCCTCGGTCGCTGGAGACGCATTAAAATCTGCTGACACTTTGATCAACTTACTGCAAACCGCACGACCCATTCTGGAACTCGGTCATGAGAGGGTCACTCAGATCTTCACAATATTTAAGGACGAAGTCTACCCTCTGTATCCTTGCATCAGCTTAGAGCTGGGCTATGAAGCTGTCAACGCTGTCTTTTCACTTGGGACAGATTGTTCCTACGAAGTTACTTCGAACATGGACATAATTGACATTGAGATCACAAAAGCGGTTGTAGCAATTGCCTTGCTTCTTAAGGATGATAAAGAGAACCTACTAGCCTCTGACCTTGAATCCCAGTTGGTGTGGGGCGTGGATTCTTGCCTCGATCAAGTGAAGCCCCAGGTTGAGGATATCGTTATGGCGACTTTGCTGGTGAGCCATTTAGCCCGTTCCTAGCATGCTATCTACTAATCAAAGGGGATTCCTGGACCCTATATAGTCAATATATTTACAGCTCAATCACAGGCCAGTCAAAGCATGGCGGTTGGCCGGACTGGCCGCCAAATTGTGTCTCGAGCTCGGTCTCCATCGGGAATTGCTCTGTGAAGATCCGAAAATGCCCCCACAGAGGATGGCTGAATTGAGGCGTCTATTCGCCTGTGTTTATCGTCTGGATAGGCAATGCAGTTTCTATTCGACGCTACCGTGGACACTGCATGACAGAGACATCAATCTGTCTGCAGTCACCTTAGTATGGCTCCCTATTAACTCATTTGGGTGCATGCGGCTAACGTCCTCGGGGCTAGGAACCAGAAGAGTCGTATATATCAACCATGGTATCCTTGGACAGAAATCTTTCGGAGATATGGACTCTCGTTAATGCTCGGTCGTCTCAATCCAACAATAATGAGGAACAGATTGATTTCCTTGATTTTCAACTACAAAAGCTTGTTGAAAAAGTGCCGACAGAAGACTTCAAGCCCCTAGAGCCAACGGTAGTTTCACCACCATGGCTACAGGCTGGTCTAAAACGGTTTTACTGGCTTCGCGTGCATCACATCAGGATTCTTATAAAGGCTGGCACCTCCGGCTCAATAAGCGATTCAGTCTCTAACCCCAAATCTACTAGAACCCTCGTGGCTGCAGCCGCGCAATCGGTCGAGATGCACGTGGAAATGGTCAATGCTGGCGAAATCAGTCCGCTTATGTTGCCTACGGCTATCAAACTGCTCCTGATCTCTCTATCCGTTATGCTGTTTGCCGTCTCCCACTTTCCTGAGGACTACGGATCGCGATATAGCAAGCATTTCCAAACTGCTATTGATATACTTAGTGACGTGCAGACCTCTGTCAAAGACCCGGACCTGAATATCCCGGGTACCTTAGAGGTACTAGAAAAGGTTGCTGACACGAGTCGGATATCACACTCGCGACGGCCGACGTCCTTGGTCAATCACAAGGAAGGCAGCAGCAACGTCGTTTATCGTGGAGAGGCCTTCGATGAAGGGGGTTTGTTCGAGGAACTGCCCACGTTGGACTCGGAATTATTCTCCATGTTAAGAGACTTCAGTGCAGCAGCAACTGATATATCAGGTGTCGACAATATCTTTGGCTAATAGCAAGAAAGGGGGCAACCTTGACAACGTTTTCGCCCAAGTTCTTAAGCTGTGAATACTTCCCGAGGTACTATGTATCCATGTAAAATCGGGTGTTGTACCCATTGATAACGTAGTACAGGAAGCGCGACTGCCATGAGGCCGATATTTTCTATTTTCTAAGAAATGGAATATGAAATACGGACGAGCCTTTGTGCATCTACTATGAAAGGGTAGAAGTCCTTCTGCTACCTAGTGAAGAACAGGGGGGGGGTAGGGGGTGTACTCACTGGTCGGAACAGAAATCGATATTCCGAATAAATGTCATTGCTTATATGGAACGGACAAGTTAGGTAAAAGAAAGTTGATCATCCTTGGCTAAACGACCTCGGGAAATTCCGAACTTCACCGGAAGTTCCGAATGCCGCTTACTCAGATGCAGGAGCCACCTGCCCAGGCACGCCCATGTGGGCCGCCCTACTTGCCTAACTAGGTAACCTCACCTTGGGCGGTACAGGAGTGACCCTGCTACTAAAATCCAGATGGTACTACAGTCCAGTACTTCCCTTAATTTGTCCACATCTACCTTACATCTTTCTGGCGCTCCTTAAGGACACATTTGGATTCTCATTTGACTAGTTACTCGCGCGGATATATGGTTTCTCTTTAGTATTTCCACCTGTGCACCTCTCCAATTGAGCCTACCTATTCCTACTAGTATATGCGCGAGATAGATGAGTGTTCCGAATAATCTCTACCCGCACAAGATAAGTGGATCTCGGGCATTCCGAAGTATGTATGTACTTGGTGCAAATACTAACGGAACACGACTATTGCTTCCGAGGTGAGGTTATCCAACTGACCGAGTCACCGGGTGAGCAGATGATATTCAACCCAAGCTTAAAGTGCTCCTTACTCGATTTTCACCCGGGCACGGAATTGAGCTCATCCGGTAAGTATCCATTCCCGCGAAATCCGATCCTCAATGCATATATAACCCAGAGTGACCTAAAGCAATATCCAAAACAAACGACAACTTTTCATTCAGAACTTCAGTGGCACTGTCAGCACCAGACATGGAGCGAGATCAAAACACCGGAATATCAATCCTTGTTGTTGGAGGTGGCATTGCGGGTCTGACCTTCGCTATCGAAGCTCATCGGAAAGGCCACAATGTACGGATAATCGAACGACGACCCGATGCAGAGACCTTCGGTAAGCAAAGAGCAAACTAGAAGCGGTTGTCGACTTTCTCCCAGATTGCAGATGAATAACCGAAACATAAACTGGACGTTCTAGCTGACCAAGTGGCACATGAACTATTGATGCAGGCGAAATGATCATAATCACGACTCCAGCTCTCCATACTCCAAAGAAATGGCCAGGCTTCATGGAGCGGGCGAGGCAAGAAGCAATTGATCCAGTGCTCAATATGAAGAAATTCGACGGCACCTTGATCGGAGCCTTTCCCATCGGTGATCCGAAGGACCCATCCCTCGCGATTTACCGATCAAAGCTGCATAAAGTTCTCCATGAGTATGTCTCGGAGCTCGGCATACCGATCGAATTTTCTGCGACGGCTTCAGATTTCTTCGAGGCAGGGGATCATGCTGGTGTGATCATGTCTGACGGTCGCAAGCTCACAGCAGATGTAGTGGTGGCTGCCGATGGAGTCGGCACTAAATCATGGATGTTGGTCGTCGGCAGCAAAGAACCCCCCATTAGTTCTGGATTCATCCTGTATCGTGTTACTTTCCCAGCGGGACCGGCGCTCGAGAACCCAATTATTGCCAAGGAGCTTGGAGGATTCAAGAATCGTGGGCTTCTACATGCTGGCCCGGGGGCGCATGTTGTTTCTTGCAAGTCGAGAGATGAAATTTGCTGGATGCTCACTCGTAAAGTATATTTACCCCAATACGAAGCTGTGTTGTCTGATCAGACACTAATGTCATACAGGAAGACGGCGGTGATGACAAAGAAGATTGGGCCAACACCACGTCGATCGACAAGGCCCTCAAGGCTGTCGAGGGCTGGGAGCCATTTATGACCGAGCTTATTAAAGCCACTCCCAATCACACTGTTCTTGAATGGAAGCTACTTTGGCGCAACCCTCAACGGCAGTGGGTGTCTCCTGGCGGTCGCATTGTCCAGATAGGCGATGCCGCGCACCCATTTTTGCCGACCTCAGCTAGTGGTGGAACTATGGCAATGGAGGATGCGTATTCCTTAGCCACCTGCTTACAGATTGGCGGGAAGGATGGCATACCTCTCGCGACGAAGGTGCATAACCACTTGAGGTATGTGAGGAAACTCTGCTTTGGATAGCCAAGGAAGGAGATTTGATGTCACAGAGGCTGATTATACATGCGCTGATAACAGATTCGAACGGGTCTCTTGCGCCCAGAAGATGGGATTCAAGAACCGCGAGCTATTCCACAACACCGACTGGGATGCTGTCGCCAAGAATCCGGAGGTTATGGGCAAAGTGGTTGGAAACTGGCTGGTGAACCACAACCCAGAGCAATACGCGGTGGAGAACTACGGCAAATGTGCAGAGCACCTCCTCAACGGTGCACCATTTGAGAACACGAACTCCGTTCCTGGCTATAGGTACAAGCCGTGGACTGTCCAGGAGCTACTGGAAGCTTCGGAGAGTGGAAAGACTGTTCAAGATGAAGGTGACTGGTCCTAGATAGAGAAATTTCTGCTGTATTCACCATTACAATCGCATTCCTCGCCAATTGATTCTAAATTATGTCGTTTTATAATCCCCTTCCCTGCGTAAATAGGTACATAAGATTATAAGATGTGGAAAACACCGTCCGCTCAACCGTCCTTAAGCTAAATGCGACCGGTAGGAGCAGAGATATATGCAGTAATAATTATATGTAGGATTAATGACCGAGCAGTTTTATCAACGGTAAGAAGTCTTTTATGCAATGGTGGACTTTCATGGGAGCCCAATAGGCGCTCACGGTGGGCCGGAGGTTGGGCTTTGGGCCTGGACCCTGGGCCTAACATTGAAAGTTGGGCTTTGCGGGAAACCTATCGCTTCTTCACGTCCCAAATAGGAAGGAGACTTGTTCACGTGTCGCTGACTGTGCATCGCGGCCTCGGGAATATAGAGCTCTTCCGCCATGTTTATAATGCTATATAAACATCCGGGTCATAATCTATGGATGATATAGAACGCTTCGTTGAACAATATGTGGAATGGTGCCAGTATATATGGGCCAGAAGTCCAGGGGGTCTCAGAGTTTGTGATCGATCTATGTCTCACTACGGAGTAAGCCAACTCTCCTCGGTCATCGATTTTCATTCCTTATTTTCGTTCCATCGCCGGCAGATTTGAAGTTGCAAGCATGCCGCCCTCATATCCAATCTTAGAGCCAGCCCCAGAATCACTGCAACGCCTCTAACCAGTGATAGTGGTATCAATTTAGGATGTCTGTTTGTATTGGATCCTGAACCCCGCCAGGGGCTATCTGATACTGAGAAGGATACATTAGGGAAAGTGGCAGAGTTGGTCATGGACTACTTATTGGTTAGCCGTCAAGCTGTAGAAGGGCGACGCGCATCCAGGCTATCGCGTGGTCTCCATCTTTTTGTCGACGGTAACTCCAGTTTTCCAAGCAACGCTCACATGTCATCCCGGTCGAACAGCTCAGCACAGAGTACATCCCCGCGGGCATCATCTCACCGGAGAGCCAGCCGATCTACAAGTTCCAAGAATGGGGTAGAATCTCGCTCAGTACCGTCTGCGTCAGGAAATGCGTCTCAAAACGGCGCCGCACGAAATTCCAGCCCAGATTCCGACCACAGTGGTATATCTGCTCCCGCCAGTACAACGTCATCGGTGCAAAACTCGCAACATAGCGATAGTGGGTTGGAATCTTCGAGTAGCAACCGCTGGCTTTTCCAACGTGCTGCGAACCTCTTACGACAAAGTCTTGATTTGGACGGCGCTGGCGGTGTCATGTTTATGGAGGCTAGTGACAACTCCTCCGAATATGTCGCAGCTGGATATCGCGACTCCCCTGATTTTACAAATCCTGCTCCTCTTCTTGCATTATCCACTAGAGTTGATCCGTTTTCATATCAGTCAAGCTCTACGCTGTCAGATCCAGCTGTAAATCTTGACAATGTCTTTCTGAAACAGTTAACACATCGCTACCCTAAAGGGAAACTCTGGTCATTCCACCATGATGGGACATTTTCAACTTCAGAAGATCAGTTGACCGACGAGTCTCGGAAACAACGAAGGAAGTCCAAGGCTTCGGAGACTAGCAAACTGAATAACTTCTTCCCTGATGCGTCCGAAGTCATGTTTGTCCCACTGTGGAATGCTACAGATTCCCAGTGGTTCGCTGGGTGTTTTTGTTGGACTCCACAGCCAACGCGAGTTTTTAGCCCTGCCGTTGATCTGAGCTCAGTATTTGCCTTCGGGTCCTCTATTATGACCGAATACAGCCGTGTTGAATCAGTTATCGCAGACCGCCAAAAGGGGGATTTTATAAGCAGTATCTCCCACGAACTGCGCAGCCCATTGCATGGTGTCTTGGCTGCATCCGAGTTTTTCGGAAGTACTACACTTGACCAGTTCCAGGAGTCTCTCCTCGATACCATAAATGCATGTGGCAGGACTCTCTTGGATACAATGAATCAAGTTTTAGACTTCAGCAAAATCATGTCAATGGAAAGACACAAGAAAGCCTTTAAGCATGGAAAAGATCCGGGGAAACTGAAGCCCTCCGAGGAAAATGTGGCGCGCCTGGATGCATTGGTCTTTACAGATGTGGCTCTTTTGACAGAGGATGTTATAGACAGCGTGTGCTTGGGCCATTCCCATATGCGGAAGTCAGCCGTGTCCACCAACCACCACACGGATGCCTCGCCAACATCACCTTCCAAGCCAGCAAATGATGACAGCCAAGTTGGTCTAATTCCACAAGTGGATGTCATTGTTGACATTCCTGATAATGACTGGATGTACAAAGTCCAGCCGGGCTCGCTGAGACGCCTAATTATGAATATTCTTGGCAATGCACTGAAGTATACTAGAAAGGGGCGGATTTCCGTCTCCATGGAGTTCATTGAGTGCTCAAAGGGTCGCTCTCGACGCCAAGGTCTCGAAGACATGGTGACATTGACCATCTCAGATACGGGTAAGGGCATCTCGAAGGAATATCTTCGGAAGCACCTGTTCACTCCGTTCTCGCAAGAAGATCCGCTATCAGTAGGCACTGGTCTCGGTCTATCAATTGTTCGCGGCATTGTGAGAACTCTCAATGGGAAAATTAGCATTCGAAGCCGACAGGGCGAAGGTACTACTGTCAAGGTGTCACTTCCGCTCGAACGTCTAGTGGGAGATGAAAACCCACAATCACCGTCTAGCATGGAAAATCCGGGCTACAATAAACTTGCACCATCTTCTCAGCTCCGACGTCTCGACTGTAGTGGAAAACGTGCTGCTATCTGGGGAATCGACCTAGCTAGTATTGGGGAGGACCCGTTCTGGGCTTCCATAGCCCGATATATCACAGATTGGTATGGTCTGCAGCTTGTTCCTGTGTCTGTCAATGAGCCTATCGATATTATGTTTATGAATGAAAGGGATTTGCCTGCACACGAGATGCGGAATTTCCCAGCACCATTGCCAAGCCTGCTCATCTTTTATAGTGAGACGAGCAACCAGGGTGATGCTAGGGCAAAATGGTCGCATCTTGCTCACTCTTTGGCAATTCTTCATCGACCTTGTGGCCCACGGAAACTTTCTCGCGGTATCTTGAGCTGTCTGTATGCAAAGCCGACAAGCCCTACGTTGAACCCGCAAAATCTCCGGCAATGCTTGGTACTTCCTGAGCGACCAGCTCTTATATCCTCGCCTTTACAAGTTGAAGATTCGAATCCCTCATTATCAGGAAATTTACGATCATCAACTCCTGAACCACGAATCTCCACCCAGGGGTCCAAGGGCACCATCGATCCCACAGAGCGTAGCGCCTCTGCATTGACATTGCATACCGACAGCTCGGCTCCAACAATGTCCGGGAGTACCGCTTCCACCAATGCCGCATATTCTTCATCTATTCCACCTTCCTCTAGTGACTCAGGCCAAGTTAGCACTTCATCTGGGAGCGAAAGCAGACCTCGAGTCTTAGTGGTTGATGATAACGACATCAACCTTCACCTCATGATGACTTTCATGAAAAAGCGAAAGGTCGTGGTCCTAGATAAAGCCAAGGATGGCAGAGCAGCCGTCGAGGCATTTGAAAGGATGCCGCAGGGATACAACCTTATTTTCATGGACATATCTATGCCAGTCATGGACGGATTTGGGGCGACGCGCGCCATTCGTGCAATCGAGAAAGAAAAAGATGGCTGTATTCCAGCAACAATCATCGCTTTAACAGGACTTAGCAGTTCGCTCGATGAGTCTAGAGCCTTAGACTCCGGTGTAGACCTATTCCTAACGAAGCCTGTTTCTTTCAGGGAAGTATCAAGGCTCGTTGATGAATGGGAAGCTAAACCACCGAAATAAAATATGGCGATTGCAGGGTCTTACTTAATGTGGGCTTGTGACTTAGACATGGAAGAGCACGTTTATCATCATGGTTTCTTACATTGGCGTTCTCGGTTTCTTCCTCTATACCCTTGCTGCTCATTTGGCTGCACATATCATGCATGGGTGATGGCGAGATTTGATTCATCTAGTTTTTCTACAGCGCCCCTACAGATTAGAGGGCCATTATATCTACACATAACGCCCAGTGGCGGTAAATTGGACGCCGAAAATGGCAACTCTTGATGCCATGTTCAGCACCTTTTTACTAGAACAGTTGATTGTCGGGACCCTGTTATTTGGACTGACTCTTACAAGCGCTTATTGCGCGTTACTCACTGAGCGATTAGCATGATTGGCAGGTCTGGAGAGACTAGGTATAATATCTCTTTGACTTTGGTAAGTAGTCACCCATACGAAGAACTGCCCTCTCTAGAGAAATACTTAGATACATACACTGCTTGAATGCTCATTGATATGTAGCACATCTATAATACAGGAATTATGATACTTCAATATTTTTCATACTTCAGCATATTGTTGGATGCCCTATATCTCAGGCTCCAAATACCTTACATAATCACAGATATGGAGCTCCTAGACAAACAGTGCAAACAACTCTATCGCAAAGGAAAAAAAATAATTTATCGCAATCTTCGATCTGGATTTTGAATCAAGACAGTTCGATAGTCTCGAACTTTTGATTGAATTCAACTCAATTGCATACCTCTTCGGAGTAGACTCTTTATATCACCACTGAGATCAACGACCACCACCTTGATATATCCCTAAATCACAAGTCTCGCCAATCCTTGAGATAAACCGTACCAATGGACGGCCAAAAAACTCCCTTCGTGAGGGAGCTCGGTTCGAGTGGTACGAGCATTCTTTTCTCCGATTAGAAAACTATAACGCTAATTGATCTCTCTAGACCGGAAAGTCCGCGACAAGGCTCTTGAGTCTTTAACCAAATTCGTGCAATCTCGCACCGATCTGACCCTCGTGGATCTCCTCAAACTGTGGAAGGGCCTGTTCTATTGTATGCACTGCTATACCGGCCATATATAAAAGCGAAACTGACTCCCACCTAGGCTTCTACCACTCCGACCGACCCCTCACACAACAAGCCCTCGCGCGCGCACTCTCCTACTCTCTCGTCCCCTCCCTCCCCCAAGCAACTCTCCACCGCTTCCTGCGCGCCTTCTGGATCACCATCGGCCGGGACTACCACTCACTAGACCGCATCCGTCTCGACAAGTACCTCATGCTGATCCGTTTCTATGTCGGCGTTGCATTCGAGATTTTCGTGAAGAACAAGTCAAAGAACGACGATGGGAAAAAGCGCAAGCGCGAAGACGCAGCCAAGGGCCGTGGCAAGAAGCAGAAGAAGCAGGCTGAGGCTGAGGCTGAGATCGAAGACGAAGAGAAGGACAGTGCCGAAGACGTCGAGGCTAAATTCCCCGATCTCGCGGCTTATATCTCCATTATCGAGGAGGGTCCTTTGTGTCCGTTGAACTATGATGAGGATCAGGACATGGATGAGGGAGACCCGAATTACGTGCCTATGCCGCATGGTCCGGATGGGCTGCGCTACCATCTTATTGATATTTGGATTGATGAGTTGGAGAAGGTCCTTGAGTTTGAGGAGGTGACTGGTGATGATGAGGAGACACCGAAGCGGAAGATCAAGGGCGATGTGCCCATGGAGCTTATTTTGAGGCCGTTGGAGAAGCTGCGCGCCGAGAGTGCCTACAAGCCTGTTCGGACGAGGGCGGCTGAGGCATTGGAAGATGAGCGGTTGTTTGAGTGGGGTGTTCGCACAAGAAAGGATGAGGATGAAGATGATAGCGAGGAGGAATGGGGTGGCTTCGAATAAATATTCTAGTTATAGTATGTGAAAGGGATTTGTATAAACTGATTGAATTCATTGCACAGCGTGCTAGCGATTATATCTATCAGTCCATCTCGGGTTCTATAACAGAGAAGTCGGTGCTAGGCCTACAGGTGTAAACGACTACAAAATGTATTCACATGTCTCCTGTTTCATTGCGGTTTTACTGTACAGGCTAATCATAGAGTACCAAAAGTCTAATGTGACTTAACGACCAAAACAATTCTTCTGTGCGAGGGTATCATGAGTGGATGCAAAGACCCGGCAAGCAGTGGGTATATAGAGAGCAGACTCCCAACGATGGCATGGGGGACAGTAGCCAATGCTGACTTTCGTCAGAGAGGCTGATTGACGTATAATTTAGCGGGGACCTTCCGCCTCGTAGATACGGCCCGATTTGGTGAGTATCGTGCCCAAGGCCTGGTGGACCTCGGCTTGGAACGCCTCGAAAGGCACCCTTTCACCGTCAATACTGATATAGCCTTCGGACTGGTGGGGAACTAGCCGGAATGCAGACGCCTTGCGGAGCTTCAGATCTGGCATGTCGAAGAAGCGACCACTGGGGATTTCGTTCATCATAGTAAGCGCTGTACCACGACTCACAGTACCCTCAATAGTGACCACGTCCATCAAACCATCGTCTGGCAACGTCGCAGGGAACATATTTGTGTCTTTAGACATGATGGCCATATTTCCCGCGTAGAAATTGCCCATAGTCTCTCCCGAAATTGTTTCCCACCCCTCAGGCAGCTCGTCTGTCACTGTGCCGTATTTGAGCTCTGGTAGGCCTGGGGACTCTGTAGCGATTTCGAGGCGTTTTCTATCAGCATCCAAATCCTGTGGGCGTGCAGACCACGCAGCGTAGTGTTCCTTGATTGCCGCTTTGTCGCCAATTTCCACCTTGACGGCTATATCACAAGGCCATATCGTCTGCCGCAGCAAACGGACCAAGAAACCGTATGTGAACCGCTGAGCACCCATCCAACGGATGTTCTCAGTGCCCAAATCACTCTCGGCAACGATACCAAAAGATTGCGAGAGGAAAGAGAGCGTGCGAGAATCCTTCTGGGAGATCGAGATTAGGTCCAGTGGAGTTCTCAGCCCCTTGACGATTGCCAGCGCCGCAATAGAGACGCTACCAGTTCCAAAAGAATTCCATGCCAACCCATTTCCAGAGCCACATGGGAGCAGTGTAACAGCGGTTTGCGCTAGCGCTTTTCGAGCATCTGGCCTCTTGCCCAACCCATTAAACACCTCGTAGGGCAATCCATCGCCAGAGCAGCAAACGACCGCATCGTACGCGTCGATATCGAGATTTTCCGCGATTTCGATTGCATGCCCACTGTGTTCGGTGGTCTGTACATCCACTTGGCACTTCGCCGCGGCGAAGACCGGCGCCGCATATCGCTGATACAAACTCGCAGCCGTCCCCTTCCCTCCAAAAGGATTGACCAATATCTTCAGTCGTTTACCCCGCAGTGCCTTGCCATATGCCCCGTCAAGTAGTTGCCGTACCCATGCCTCGACGGCGGTTTTTTCTTTTTCGGAGATTGGGTATTGGACGGTCGTTACGGAAACATCGTCCTTGGCAGCCGGTTGTGCATAGGCAATGACGAGGTTAGAAGCGGTGACCTCGGCACCTAAGATGTTGTACAAGGAGATGCAATGGTTGGTTTCTGGTTCTAAAATGCGCGCATAGCTTGGTCAGATCATTTCCATTAAACAGCCACGATAACGCGACGATGGAGGACGGAACAACTTACTGGACTGTAGCAAGCCGCAGCAACGACGATCTGATTTGCGAGCCGGGCGGTCATCTGCATGAGTTAGCATATGCTCACGCGCCGAGTGTGGAGCTGTCCATACCATGTATGAGGAGGGAGTCAGGGCCGATGGTCAAAGAGACAGAGTCTATTATCAGCGTATCATGCGAAGAAGGATCGCCTGGGGAAGACATGTTGGAATAATGATGAAGACTTAGGACATTATAGATAAAATGAAGGAATTTAGGGGAAAGCGAAACAATGAAATTGCCCATGTGCCGCGTTGTTCCGACGGGCCGGGCTGGTCCCTGCTTTGACATTCCATGTACGGAGTAAATAGTTCTATATAACTACACTGTACAGATATATATTACGATATTCATATGTGTATAATAAATAACTATTGACTTATTTAGAGAGATTACTATGCCCTAGAAATATCAAAGACATTGTTCTCTATCCACTACTCCCGATGAGCTATTCATCTCATCTACACAATAAAAGGGACATATAAGTAAACAAATTCGTCTCAAATAAACAGAAACACACAGGAAGGGGGAAAAGGATAAAAAGCACATAGACCGCAAAACCGCTGGAAAAACATTGACTTATGCAGTCGCTGCCTTGAGACCCTTCAGAGAGCCTAAGCTCAGTGCCAGACCCTGAGAGCGACTTCTTATCCGCACAAATCCTGTAATTGGCCCATCGTCTCCCTCTTTTTCGATGCTCAGGTTTGCTAGTGCATCCTCGCCTGGTTAAATAGTTAGTTATCATATCAAGTAGAAAGGGGATGGATTGTCAGATGGAAAACATACCAAACACACTGCGTGCGTACAAGTTGGCGCTCAGGAAGCGGCAATCTCCCTTGAGGGAAGCATCGGGTGTCAAGCAGGCCATATTGGTGCTCTCCATCAGCTGCTTGAGGAAGTCACGCAGAGTTTTGGCCTTGGAATTGATGTTGACCTTGTTCTCCCACTCAAACTCAGTCCACATGGTACGGAACTGAGTCTCGGTGCAGTGAGCAGGCTGGATGTAGTCCATGATGTCGGCATGGATGTCGTTGAGAATGACCACATGGGTCTCGGTGGAACTGGCACCGTCATAGACAATGTTACCAAAGATAACACCGGTGTCGGTTGACGAAACCTTGACTGTAGCCTGGACATTCAAGAAGTCGCGTGGGCCGAGGTTGTTGGTGGATGGCCGCTCAACGACCTTGAGATCACCCAGAGTGGCGAACTCCACGCTCAGGTTTTGCAGAGTTTCCGATGTTTGGTTAACCAAAAGGACGTCAAGAACAATGTCGAACTGGTGAACAGTGACATAGGCTTCAGCATACACCGAGTCGGAGAAACCAGTTAATTGCACCACCCGACTAAGCTTCGAAGAGACCTCCTCCACGGTCGAATCGCCACCGGTTGCCTTGACAAGATCCATTTCGATCTCTTCCCCGCCCTCGACGGTGTTCTTCTTGGTGAATTGGCGAATGGGGATAGCATCGTCAATCTGCACAGCAGTCTTGGCCTTCTCCACTGCCTCCTTGGCAGCTCTCTTCTTATCCTCGACCTGAACCATAGCACGGAATGCCTTTCGGGTGTCCTGCAGGAAAGAGGCTTCGAGCTCCTTCTTCTCGGAGAACTCGGCGAGGGAGCGCACACAGGTCAAAATACGATCCACGGAATCTTCATCAATAGGAGCCTTAACGAAATGAGATTGGCCAACGCGCATGATGGAAATCATGATAAGCATGGCCTCGGCACGGAGAGCGTTGGTGCGGGCGGCGTCCTGTGACACCTCGGAATGGCGCATCACCAACTTGGTCAAAGTCGAAGAGAGAACCGTTGCCAGGTAGTAGTCGCCGTCCAAAATGAGCTGGCGCAGAGGGGGCTTCTGTGCGGCCTTGACAGCCTCGAGACGAGCAGCTGCCGCCGACTGGCTGGTGAGTGCACTTTCGGTGGCGTATGTACCATCTGCAAGCACCTTTCGGGATCCAGTGGGTGCGGCCTTGGATTGGCCATTGGCCTGCTCCATCAGCAGGGCGTTATCATCCGGAACCTCATCCAGGAGTCGTTGCTCGGATGCCAGAATGGGGATTTCCCCAAGGCTGGCTCTGATCGTCTTCCAGGCGTCCCGAATATCCTTCTCCTCCAGGGAGTATTCACCAACAACCCAGAGAACTCCGCGGTAGACCTTTCCAGCCCGGACCTCACTCAAAGTTGAAACCAAGCGGGCAACAATTGACCCGCGCAAGTCGGGGAATTTCTCCACGACCTCTTTGACGAACGAAATCACATCGACGGCGGAATTATTATTGAAGTCGGCAATAAAGTCCATAAGGAGATCAACCACGCTAGCAGCAATTTCAGAGAACTTGATGGCGCAGGAGTGTATTGACTGCACTAGGATTTGGCGATACTCGCTATTCTATAGGGGCCGTTAGTGCTGCTAGGTGATGTGTAGTGACCGTACAACCTACCTGTTCATATTGTTCGTCGACAGTCTTGGCAAGTTCTTTCTTGAGCAGCATGATGATTTCTTCGACGTTCTTGCTCGAGACCATTTCCATGGCAAGGTTGAGGGCCTTTCTCCGGACATCAATGTCAGGGCTGCTGAGAACCCGCAGTGCCTCCATGGTCAGGTCGTCCAAGACACCCTCATTGCGAATTCTAAGCTGATCCACGCGTTCCAAACAAATGAGCTTGACGTTATTGTCGGCCTCCCGAATTGCGAGCTCGATTAGCTTGCTTGCAGCGGCTTTGACGGCAACAGGGTTGCTTGTAAGGGCGGTAAGCGATGTTGCGGCTTCGTAAACAACGGTGCTAGTGGATGCGTCGAGGAGCTCAAGCATGAGTTTCAGGTATCGCGACTGTTTTTCGTTAGTGGCCTAGACATTATTACTTTAAGCGCTAAAACCCACCTTATTCTGAGTGTTCTGTACTGCATCCTTCCGGAGGAACTCCAACTCGGCTAACTGGAGCAACTCATCTGTGTTTGGAATTGTGTCAAAAGTGGTGCGCAGGTACTCAAGCGCCTTCTGATGGCTGATGCACATGAGCGCCGCAAAAGCATTGCGCTTGCAGGTGCTGTCGGTCTCCGATTCGAGGAACACCTGAATCAACTCTGGTGCGTCGGGGATGAGGGACTCGGAGTGCTGGAAAATAGACGACACAGCCCAAACTGCATTCTTGCGAACATAGGCGTGGCGATGTTGCAGACACAAACGTGCGGAGGAAAGGAGGGGCTCAATGAGTTCTGGTTCGCGGAGTTTGGAGAGGAATCGGAGGGTATTGCCTCGAATGTATTCGTTGGGATGTTGAAGATCGTTGCGAATGCCGTTACTGCGAAAGCAAAACTTGTCAGACAGGAAAGAGCATGTAGCAATGGCTAAGGGGATCCTCACCAGACCAGGATCATCTCTTGCTTGAGCTTGCCAGAAGAATCATGTTTGGGGCAGATCTCATAGAAGAAGTAAAGTAACTTCTTCAATGACTTGCTTTTCGACGGCATCACAAACCGAATGATGTGCATGAGAATTTGCGGCATAGGATCTCCATTTAGCATAATGGTGACAATTGTCCGCATTGTTTCCAACTTGGTCTCATCATTTCCTTTCTCCAGCTGCAGCTTCAACTCCTGCACGGTTGGCTGGTCGGCAGTATTGTCGACATGGAGCAAACTGTAGGTATTTTCGAGAAACGACGCCATGGTGGTGGATTGGGGGGAATCGGAAAGAAAGAGAGCTGCAAGTTGTCAGTTCCGGGGTTGTTTTGGGGACACATCAGCATGTAGGAATCAACACACACAGTAGGGGTAATTCTCCCAGGTATAGGAGTTTGCGCCAGATATCAAGAACAAGCAATTAGTGTAAAGCAACACCCCTCGCCAGCCTTGAAATCATTAGTTGTTATATGAGCAATGGGGAGGGACCATCAACTTGTCCCTTAATCTGGCCCCCCGGCGCGGTCTGTGTGGATGACTAAGCCACAACCCGCCGCTTTTCAACTGCCACACATCGATTGCTATCTCTCTCCATACACTTACGACCTCTACGATTGAGATTCGCCAGGATGTCGAATGAGAATTTCTACCTCCGATACTAGTAAGGATAATATGAGTGAACCCAGGTTTCCTCAGCTGCTGACGGTCCTCACAGCTCAGGTCACTCTGGGCGGTTTGGACATGAGTTCCTAGGTATGTCTATGTGCTAGCCAAGATCGCTTTCTTTAGCTCAGTCACTAACTTGCACGCAGAGTTTGACCTCCGTACCATTTCCGAAGGTAACAGTGCCGCCGTACGATATGCGAACAATTCGAATTACCGCAATGATTCCCTCATCCGCAAAGAAAGTGAGCAAGAGCATATATACCAAAAGGATAAAAACGGACACGAGCTGATAGAATGATAGTGTGCGTGAGCGATGCGCTGGTAGAGGAAGTGAAGCGCATTATCAAGGATAGCGAGATCCTCAAGTATGCACTCACATCACTCCGGCAGAAAGAACACCCGCGCTAACCCTGTCTAGGGAGGATGACTCCAAGTGGCCCCAGAAGAACAAGGACGGACGCCAAGAGCTGGAGATTCGCATCGGAAACGAGCACATTTCCTTCGAGGTAATTGACCGCGGTAACTTGTGGAAGGAATCATGATCTAATACTGAATATATAGACCGCCAAGATCGGCTCGCTAGTCGACGTGACCGAATCGGACGACCCCGAAGGACTTCGGGTCTTTTACTATCTTGTGCAGGACCTAAAGGCCCTTGTCTTCTCGCTGATCTCTCTTCACTTCAAGGTATTGTCAGTCTTTCCCCATGCTTGGAACATCGTTGACCATCCCCTGTTTTACAGATCAAGCCCATCTGAATGTTGAGCGCATAGAAGAAAATTGAAGAATAATTGGGGGTTTTTGATTTGATGATACTCACCAGGCGTTCAAGGGTTTCTTGGGGTGCCAACTCAACTATAGCGCAAAAACAATGAGATTGATACCAGTCAGACCATATATATCCCACGTCATCCGTCTACCTTTGATGCTTTCTAGGTAGTTTATCTGTCTAGCTCTTGTAGCTGCTCAGGATAGTATAAAGACATCAAGGAAAGATGTTCAAAAGCATGGCACAATATAGCCTGAGAATATTTGTCAGTGTCTCCGATGAGAGATGAGTAGTTTATAACATCTTACCACAGGTGGTCGGTCTTGTTTTATATATACGATTCAACCCAGTGGGAAGTCAGCAATATATCCTCAAGTGTGGACCAAGTTCACTAGACTGTTAGGTTCGTATTTGGATATCCTCGTCAGCACATCGATGTTAGGAAATACATAGTACATCCTGGGACTGGGGCTTCACCTGGGCAACTAAGTTAGGCTTGTATAAGCTTAGGTGTGATTATAAAACCAACACACCCCTCCAGCTTGTGGAATGCCCAATATTGTGCCCAAGCATTGTTCAAATGTTTGGAGAAAAGAAAGGTCATACCATTGTTGTATAGATGAAAGGTATTTGATTGGTTTGCCTAAGGCATGCGCATTACATAATTGATATTGAAAGTGGCGCCGCGCCAGGCGCAGAAACAGCTGACCCACCTCTAGACTGTCCCCGCATTGCTCGTTCCGCAAGGCCTTAAAAGACTTAGTTCGCTGATCTCGAATGATCCATCCCCCTTGCTCTTCTTTCTCTTTTTTTTTTTTGGATCTTACTTCGATTCAATGTCCCCTCACCTATTTCCCTGATCTGCAATGCCAACTCCGAGTAACAACTCGCCTTCGGCGATCGCCGCCCGCACAACATGCCCAGAGCCTGAGAGGATATCGGCCTGGCGAGACTCTCCCGATACTGTAAACAACGATTCTGCCGACGTTCTCTCACCTGATAATTCAATTGCGCCCTCCGTACTGAGTCGATCTGATGTCGGCACCACTCCTGAACCGATGAAGGCGGAGGGAAAGTTGACCGGCGTTGAGGAAGATGACCCAGTCCGAGCTACCTCCCCAGCCGAGTCAACCTGCCTTCGCAGCCAGTCACCAGTAGCACCCCCGGGATCTTCACTTCTCAACTGGGAATTCTCCAATGTTCGTGTAAGTATTGATGTCGACTTCATCAGAGTTATTCCACATTCTGACTATCGCCACAGCTTCTGCCGAACCACACCTCGTTTCTTCGTTCAGGCAGTAAGTTCGCCGGAACTCAGCAATCAGATCGTCATGTATACAATGTCGATGTCGAGATTAAGCATGTGGATATGGCCGAGTCCTATCTTTGTGGCTACCTGAGAATCCAAGGTATGTGGTTCGTGCGCATTGGGCACGTGCATTGGACCTAGTAACTCAGCTAATGTTTGTTCTCCACAGGCCTCACGGAAGATCACCCTACCTTGACGACATTTTTTGAGGGAGAAATCATTGGTACAAAACACACTTTCCAGACTCGTAATGAGGAATGGGGCGCTTCGGAGAAGACAGACCTGCACCATTGGTCTCGGTTTCCTGCCTGGCGTCCGCTGGCTAAACAAGCCAAAAGAGCGGATTTCACGTATCGGAACTTCGCCCAGCGTGAACACATATTCATGAGATGGAAGGAATCTTTCCTTGTTCCTGATCATCGAGTACGGACAATCTCAGGTGCTAGCTTTGAAGGATTCTATTACATCTGCTTCAACCAAATCGAGGGAACTGTGAGCGGGGTATACTTCCATGCGAAGAGCGAGCGGTAGGTGGATGTTTTGTCTCTGAAAATCCTCAATTTTGCTCATGCTAATTCCCATCATAGGTTTCAACAGCTCGAACTCAAGCATGTCGAAGATCGTGGATGTGCACCAGCAGTCGAATTCCGCTAATGTTGCCGAACTTGCTTGCTGGTGCCTAAAACGATATCACGTAAGACTTCAAAGTTCTTATGTGATTGATTTCGTCCTGATGCGTCCTGAGGTCGCATATGTATCCCCCCTCTTGTTATTGTGTTTGGTACTACATGGCTAAGCTGTGCTTCCTGGTCACCATTCCCAATGAGAAGCTTGGCTCTCTCAAAACTCTATTGGGTTCAGTATCCCGCTTGATTTTCCTCGAATACCCTCTACGCCATCCTCTGTTCCTCGCCCTCTCCTCACTACTCTTCTGTGCGTTTTGATCATCCTTTCCGGCTCTTCGTGTGTCATTTGAGGATTCCCAAGACCACATCCCTTTCCAGGCAAAACCTGGATCTTACAACTCATTCTCAAATTGACCCTTATGTCTCACGATATTGCAATCTACGAAACGGCGTTTCCATCCCTACTTCCGGCGACCTGGTTCTGGTTACCCCACACCCTCTTGTTTGGAGCCCTAATCTCATATTTTTCAACCTTGTTTTCTTATTCCTCACCTATCTTGTGTTAACCTAGTGCTATTATGTCCCATGAGAGCTGTTGGCTAACCAGCTTATTGAAAACTTTCACTATATCTTCTTGGTAATCGTATATATGCTCCAAGGCCCTATAACTATAATGATATTTGCTATATACATAGGTCCCTCGCTGGACTACCGACATAATAGAGCACAGCCAGAAAGCAACGCCACTGGAGTCGGCTCACGGTTTAAGCAACGAATGTACTCCGTATGTTCCGTGGGTTAAAGTATATAGGGCTAGCAGAAACAGGAATAACTGACGTATGCACAAATGCAATTACCACGTATATATGTGCTAGAAATCAAATTATGCAGTAAAAAAAGTAATATAACAGGCTTGACACCGATTCGTTTACATCAGAGTGCATAGTGAGAGATGCCGAAAGATCCTGGCGCCGAATATAAATCCACACGTGAAACAAAATAAATAATCAAGGAACCCCAAGAATGCGAACTGAGTTCCAGGACATAAATGAGATAACTGCAGTAACATGAGATGGCGTTATGATACGGCTTTGGTGAACAAAAGACGTTAAAGCAAGAAAGAGGCGAGATGGGGTATCACATGCGATGCCAGTCCAGGATGGCGAGATCGAGCGAGTGTGGGTGAAAAAGACACTTTTGAGTTCCATGATAATCATATCCCAGATGTCGTCCACGTAAAGAGGGTGGCATCCTATAGATGGAGACCAGTAAGGAAGCAATGGCGCGAGAAAGAGAAAATCACATATATGACGAGTTTTGACGAGAGCTTGAGTTGGAACCGCTGCTATAATCGCTGTTGCTCGGAGTAGGGGGCTCTAGGACGATTTGCTGACGGATGGAGACGATCCATTCGTGCTGTAGGAGTTCGGCAGCCGTGGGGCGGCGGGCAGGATCGCATTCGAAACAGCGGCGCACGAAGTCGATACCTAGGTCGCTGAGTTGATCACGAGATGGAAGCGCGGGCGTTTTGCCTTGTGCGATGTTGTACATAATTGCCCACTCGTTGTCCAGCGTGGACCATGGCCGACGCCCAGTTGCCATTTCTAAAACCACACAGCCCAGAGACCATATATCCACAGCACCCTGGCGGTTGTCTAGATTTGCAGCGTCGCCGCGGATCACTTCGGGTGACATGTACATCGGAGTTCCCGTGGTGGTCTTCTGGTTTTTGCGCTGGTTCGTGGGATCTTTGGCTGGTTCCTTGAAACTGACCCCTTGAGGATTGTCCATTGGGGCAACTGTGCGGCCGGTACCAGCGATAATCTTGGCTGCACCGAAATCAACGTACTTAATGACACCGTTGTGATCGAGCAGGATATTCTCGGGCTTGATATCACGGTGCACAATATGGGCTTCGTGGAGATACGCTAGACCCTCTAGAAGTTGAAGGGCATAAACCATGATGACCGTTTCATCCTCGATACGTCCGTGCTCTAGCAAGCTAGCGAGCGAGCCACCTGAGCAGTACTCCATGAAGATGTAAACCTTGTCACGGTGCACTTCGATGCCGTGGTAGGAGACAATGTTCGGATGATCGAGCACTTCAAGGACGCCCATTTCATCTCGGATCTGCTGAGCGATCTTGGGAATAAGCTGGGGGTCTTGTAGACGAATTTCCTTAACAGCCATCAAATAGTTGCTGTCCAAGTTGATAGCAACATAGACAGACCCAAAGGTACCACCTCCGATGAACTGGCCTTGCTGCCACCGCAGAGTAACGTTGGTAGCCGATGACGATAGCACGGTGAGTGACCGATCAGCCTCATCAGATCCTTCTAGCACCTTTCCTAGAGCCTGGCGCTTGGCATCTTCCTCAATTCTCCTATCTTCAATCTCCATAATACGCGCGTACCATGTGTCTCGAACAAGTTTTGATGCTTCCTCGTCGCTAGTGATCCGGCCAGCGCCAATCTGCCGGGCTCCGTTGCGTTCTTCCATGCGTTTCTCGTTCTTCGCCGCAAGGGAAGACCGCGCACCCATGATATCGAAATGAGAGATGAGGAGGGACATGCATCCCGCCACTTTCAATCTGAAATCACTGAACTGTTCTTGGTCCATGGACAGAAGATGTCGGCTTGATGTGATCGCCATCGCAAACTCAAGGGCTGACACGGCCCATTTGAAGGTCTTTCGATCAGCAGCGTCACACTCATCACAGATAAACGCGACCCAATCGAGCGACAACTCAACTAGCCGGGCACTGTTCATAGCACGCCTATTCGCGTCGACATAGTTGGAGGACCGTTTGCCAAACTCTGTTGCGAATGCATAGCAGGCCTGAATCAAATCATTGTTCTCCCAGTTTCTCTCATGTAGTTGATCTTTGATGATAGCCACACTATCCATAATAGTCATAGACAGCTTGAAAGAGATCTTCTTGATCTTGTTCAACTCAACGTTTACACGTCCAAGGTTTGCACGTTGTTCAATGACCATATCAAGCTGGATTCCTGTGAGTCGCGCAAGCTCCATACGAGCATTTTGCAGTCGTTCTTGCATGCCCCCAACAACGATACGTAGCTTGCCTAGCCGCACATCCGTCGGATGTTCCAAAAAGTCCACTTGCATTTCCTTTCCTGCCCAGGCAAGAGGTTTTTCGGGTCGGATGGCCAGGACATAAGGGACATGGACATCCTGGGTTGTATCATCTTCTTTGAAGGAAGTAGATAAGATACCCTGGATATCAGCCGGACGGTTCCATAATGCATGATGTGCAACCAGATAAACTCCTTTCTGGCCAACGGATGTGGTAGAGGTGACAAGGAAGTGGTCGGAAATTAAGAGTGCCTCAAAGAAATCATAGGCCACATCGGTCGTGATATTGTATTCAGTAGCATTTTCGAACAACTGACACAGGAACTTGGAGAATCGATAGAGCTTACGCTGGCGAATGCGAGTTGAATCCAAAATGCTCTTGTATCGTTTGTCCATATCTTGTACAGTTTCGGTGGGTCTCGGGACGAGCTCACGTTCGAAATGAATCATGAGACGTTGCAGTGATCTAGCAGTGAGGGCACTGTTGTTTTTGTTAGTTTTGATAATAATGCAAAGCACAGAAACATTACCTGAATTGCTCGGCCACCTCAATATCTCCCCCGTCAAGACGGCAACCAATATCGTATGAGAATCCCCATTCCTGTTCCAAGATTTCGGCCTCCTTGAAAGTATTCTTGTTGGCATTCAGCTTCCAGTTAAGGAGCCGGAAATAGTATTTCATAGCATCCAAGACGGAATTATCAAAGTTCTCATCCACACATGGCGGCAAATCCCAGCCCGGTTCTGGCCTCGAGACATCAAGGTAGCGGAACTTAATATCGACGGCCACTTTCATCAGAATTTGGAATTGGGAAATCATTTGATCAATCAAAATGGGGGCTTGCTGGGCGGGGTCTTTCATGTTCTTGGCATAGGATAAACGAACTCGAATGATTTCCTGGATCAACCGAGAGGGGAAGTTAATCAATGTTAGTAGTTCTTCGATATATGGTGGCAGGTGCCGCGCGGCAAACGCTTCCGAGTTCTCAATCAGAGTACTCTTCGCTTTCTGGATGACGACGAGAATGCGAAGAAGCATGCCGTCCTTGTCCTGGAGCGTCTTCAAGCCATCTTCCTTCATAATGCGATCAAGGAAAGACGATCCATCCGAAAGATCATCTTTAGCAGACTTAATCCTCGGTTGACTAAAATCGAGAGCCTCGTTTCCTACCCAGCTCTGTAGCACAGCCAGCTCGGTATTGATGAGGGCTGTGATGTTGTGCCACGCAAATATGGCTGCGCGACTAGAGGTGAATTCCTCAGAGGCAACACGTGGGTTTGCAAGTTCCATTTCCTTATGTGAAGAGTAAAGGATCTCGCATCGCTCGATCTTCTCCACAACATCCTCGACTTGCTGCCTTGCCGGTTTCCCGATCTCGGTCTCGCCTTTAATCTGGAACCCGATGATATCCTCAATTATGGGACCCAGACGTGACCGCGCATCCTCAATTAACTTTCGCTGCAGAGGAATACTCCGGCCGCATGTCCTTGCCCGAACTCCGATCCAGAGTGCATAGCTCTGGGCCGCCGACCGCTTTGATTCCGCAGATCCGATGAGTCGCTGTTTCTCTTGTTTAACTACGTCTCCCTTCAATACTGATGCCAGCATAGAATGCCACTCGAGACGTTCCTGGTTTTTGGGATGCTTGAGTTCTTCCGTACTTGGTAGATTGTCGTCTGGGAGGAAAAGTTGGGTATCGGGATCATAAGAATCATCTTCGAACGCCACTTCGGAGGAAGGGGAGGGCTCCTCCAAGTCTCCATCCCCTTCTATCATGCTGTTGGATTGCGGGTCTTTGGTGTGGTGATACCAGGCTTGTGGGTTGGCTCGAATCCGCTGAACGTAGGCTTTTTCTTGGGCACGGTATTGCGCGTTCGGATCGCGTCGGTTTCCTCGTTTGGCTGATGATGATCGTTGGCGGTCTTCTTGAA